AGAAAGCTTCAGCGCGCAAATTACCCGTCACCTCACCTGCTATAGTCAGTGGTCAAATGTCAGAATCAGTGACTGAGTAAGGAGTGTCAGCAGTTGCTGACTTGTAAGCAAGAGGTTTGGTGAGCACTGTTCTTTGTATTTCTTCACTTCCAATCAAACACTTACCTTCTGTCTGTGGGTCTTTCTGGAAAAGTTTCTAAGAAAAGATGTAGCACTCAAACTTGTTTTCTTCTATTTTAGTCTATGTCTCTTTGTATACTCTTTCAACTGTGTAATTCTGGACTCAGAGGAATGAAATCAGCACCTCGTGCAAAAATTTTGCCCCGGGGTAGAGAGTTGTTTCTCTCCCTTATAAACAAAACAGGGATGTGCTGCTTTAAGGAGTGTGTCCAGTTTGGCCAAAAAGGGAGATATATTTTGACCATTATATTCTTGCATCGAGTATGGTTTTCGAGTGAACTAGAGGAGCGTATAAACGTGTCTCTGTTTTTAGCTGCAAATGAATAACGAGGCTGAAAATTAACCGAATAAAAATGTATCGTATGAACTGAATTTAGTAACTCTTGAGTTTGTCATTCATGCGCAGTATAATTACGAAAAAACAGTACTTGATTGATTTTCAAGAGACGTTGAACTTTCAAGAACAAGTCTGGAGACAAGTGTGGATTCTAGAGACCATGACTAAAAATAGGTGTGCAAAAGAGATGTTTTTATCTAAAAAAGGGTCAGGATTTGGAGAACTATGAAGCACAGCACCCCCAGAAAGTGAAGTAACCCCTTACCCTCTCCCCCACGGGTGTTTTTATGCAAGTTGTTTATTTGTAATCCATCCAAGTAATTCCGTCTCTTCCATCACTAATCATCTCCGTTCCGTTTTCGTTAATTCATACCTTTTGGGTGTTGGCTGCCTACGGCGAATTAAGATTGTAAAGTTTCCTTCAATCAAACAGTTATGGTGCAAACTGCCTTAACCAACTTCCTTCGTACAGGGAACTCTTAAAATGTTGTTTTGTGACAAAACATCAAACAGGTGGCAGACATTCCTGGTGAGCTTGCTTTTTTTCAGTCTGCAAACCCTGCGATGACCAGGACCTTTTCTGTCCCCTCAGGGGGGAAGATATTCCTGTCGCTTGAAGAAAAGAAAAACAACCAAACAACTTTGGGGCTGTGGAATTAAAGCCTACATGAGTTTCACTTGTAATTATGGACTTGATGATCGAATTGTTGCGTAATTAATATATGTGATAAGAAGGCGGATGAAACCAAATAAGGAAGGGGTACACCTACTCACTGACAAAGCGTCTTCTTCGAAAAAAGTGTGCCAACGTTTCTCAGAGATCTTAGCCGTAAACTCAAGGATTGATAAACATCTTGAAAACTTTATTTTCGGTGGACAAATGGGTTTAAAACAACTTCAACAGCTGCCCGAACTGCCACTAAAAAGGTTCACTTTTATTTCCCGGCTTACCTTTCACTCTTATCTTTGTCTTTGTCTTTCGCGTTTTTGTTTTTGTTTTTTTACATGATCATGATTGCAATTTTTCGTCTGGGTTTGGTTTGATAGTATGTCATCACCCTGTGTTCATAGAACTCAGGCAAATTTCAGCTATTTAATCAAAATTCCTTCATGTTATTACAAGCATAACTAAGTATTGATGATTTTCGAATATCCAACCTCGTCACGTAGCGTTGGTTCGCAGTGAAGCCTGAGACCAAGTTAAATAGTGTGCACTAGCGGAATACAATTTAGAACAAGGTTAATCTAGTCTTGTTTAAGGTGAAGGCACAACGCAAAATTTGAGTAAAATTCAACGGTTCTTTGAATTTTGAAAGAGATGACTCGGATCATTCGATCACCTTTAGCATTGTTTGCGAACCATTTATTGAATGAAGTAATTACTACGAACAAATCTGTTAGGATTGTGAAAAAATCCTTCCTCCCTTTTTCGACCGATGTGAGAACAGTGCTACTGCTCTCACATCGGGGAACTTTAAATTTTTTTTTGTACCCTAATTGTTCAAAGTTGCCATAGATTTTAAATCACTCCACTTACAGTAAGGAGATGGTCGATTCTTGCAATTTGATAGCGGATAGCATAAAATTCATGGTGGATAAAAACTTTCACTTGGCACTGAATTCTTATCGCGTCCGAGTACTTGCCAATTCAGTTGTTAATGAAATTTCCCATAGTTTATGTAATGCCAAGAGCGTTTAGGAGCGAAAAACGTTTTTTAATTCACGTCGTCAATTTGGCAAAGTGAAGCGTCATTTATTACTTTTTTTAACCACGACTTCTCTTTGATAAAGAACTTAAAATCAGTGGTAGGGTAACTGTTACAAAGTTCCTTGGATGGTTTTAAAATTTTAGGCATATCAGGGCAAATTGGCGGGCTTTTATTTCCTAAGGGCCAACACGTAGGAGGTTAACTCAAAACCGCAAAGGCCACTCAAGACAAGAATCTATTTCCACCTTAAATTATTGCGGTATTAGTGGCATTTCCACTCCTTGGTCAATAAATTAAAAACTTCCTCTGCATACATAGCGGCCTACCGCCAATGTTATAATTAATCTAAACTGCATCAAGCTTGCAACGCATTTTCTTCTCAAGCGTTTTTTATGGGTGTTGAAATAATTCCGACGTTTCCCTGTCAATCTTTGGTGCCCAACCACTTCACTATTCTTTTCTCGAGATCTGTCTATTTGTGTATCTACGCACTGTTTTTTTTCTCTTTCTAATTTTCCAACATTGTACATCTCCTATTTGTTTCGCTTAATCTTAACTAGAACGTTATGGCGAGAGAATTTCGATCGAAGGTCATGTCTAACGGGCAAACTGCTAGAAATCATTATTTTGCTCAATTATCGAGAAGGCGTGTTTCGAGGTGATAGAATGATGGATGCATTTCTGACAGGTGAGGTCGATTCCAAAAATCCTTATCTAGAGCTTCCTCAGCCGCGGGTCAATTCAAGCTGTCTATAGAAGAGTTTTGAGAGAAAAGCCATGAGCACCACTTGAATCTTGCAAAAAAAAAAATGATTAATGTTCCCATTTCATGTTTTTACCCAGAATTTATTTGCGTCCTGAGTTGGATGTCAGCTGTTGATAAATGATAAATCACGGTATAAAATATATTTTTTTTGTGAAAACTGCAAGATGATCGACACATTGAGTCTACCCAAACGTCTTGAGGCATTCGCTATATTAAATTATAGTACATTTATTAGCATAGTTTCGACATAATTTCCATGGTCAATCTAGGTAACCCGGCTATGCCTTTTTACCACGGCCGCCTGTACTATAAAGGCTTCAACCTCTTCCAAATGGGCGAGCCAATGATAAATCTATTAAAGGATTCGGCGAGATTTGATTTAACCCTTTCATTCGCAAGATCTCATTAGTACTTCTACTTACTACCTTTCATACAGTTTTTATCATTAGTTCAGAGAATCTGGTATTGGATCAACTTATAATCCCCCAATTGATATTTTTCTTTATTCTCGTCACTTGTCTGCTGGATATTGTCTTGATATTGTAAGGAGAAATTCTGTCCTGACCACTCATGGGAGTTAAAAGATTAGTCAAATGCCTCACTTGAAGCGTTTCACCGAGGAATATGCGCTCGCGCCTTTCACGCCCGATTTGTTGCATCTTGTCTTCTTCTCCGTTTTCCAACGAAGTACTTCAAGGAAACGGTGAAAATATAGTATTTTGATGTCTTATGGACTTTGGTTTCAAAACAATTCAATGTCGATTCAAACTGAGGAATTCTCTTATCTTCATGCTTTCGGCCGACGGAGACGAAGTCAGATTTCTCATGCATCGAAGACGATAACAACTTTGTCGAGAGTTAACTCTGACTTAACGCACACGGGCAAGCTGTAGATCAACAATTATGACTCAAGCTTTTACGACCAATCTGATTCAAATCATTCTAAATGGGCAATCGCACGGAAAGGTTGCAGGCCTCTTTAAGGAACTCGGTCAAGGAGCAGGGCCTGTATTTACGAGTGGAGTTGGCTTAGGGGGGATTGACTCTTACGGAAGGTAGAAACTCAAAGAAACTGGAAGAGAAATCTCTAAGCAAGGGCGAGAAAGAATGAAATATCAACCCGGCCACATAAGACTGAAACTAAACCCGAGGAACATCGGTAGGAGGCCAGAACCCTTGCCACTACATACTTGCTCACTAGGTTTCCGCCTGAACGGGTTTAATTCATGTTTCGCGTGTTGAATGTGGTAATCGTATGCTACCGTGCTGAAATTAAGCAGATAAGGACCCAGACAGGGATTTTACACATGCTAAGAAACCCCAGTCATAAGTTTTGTTTGTTTAAATAATAGCAAGGACAACTCATGAACACCTTCACACAGGAGAGTATAGTCAAATGGCATTTTCTATGCCTGAACCTTTGTCCCTTGCTTTGTAGAATTGATTGCCGGATTAGGGTGCAAAAAGCTAGCCATTAAGATTTGTCAGCCATAGTGGTGTAAAAGCCTCACACATCACTAACGCCATTTACTTGCTCGTAATCCACTTAATCTTCGTGAGAAGTGAAGCGAGAACAAGACGAGAAAAAGCGTCCAATGTTTTTCGGTGAGCATAAGAGAACCAAAGAGATTTCATCTCGCATGAAGAAAAGTCATTATGATTGCCATCGCGACCCATGCTTGGTTTGAATACCGAAAAGTGAAGATACAGATTTTTCTATTGTTCACGGCAATTGATATAAATGAATACCAGTGCTTTTCATGCGGTAGAAATATTGATTTTCAATGGTATGTAAAGTTCGAAAGGTTGTACCCTGCCCATTCAAACTTTCAGGCATTAAGCCCTCTTTTTTCATTTCCCAAAACATGGCCTGATTGACGCGCATTCAAAGGAGACTCGAGACAATAGCTCATTAAGAATATCATCACTTCCATAGATGACACGCGTAAATGTTTCACATGCCTTTGTTGCCCATGAAAGTGTTTGACAGTGCCTTTTGTGTTCGGCAGAAAAGCTGGAAATTCGATCAAGATACTTCAAGCACCGCCCACAGTCCACTGGTTAAATACGCTACCGTGTGATCCTGTCTGGAAGATCGTGGATTTAACGCCAGTACAACCGCAAGGAAAGCGACGCTATGACGTTCCTTTACAGTTTCTTCATCGTTGCTCTGATGACTTGTTCGGTAGCTTCTACATCACATGGACATGGCTTCAGGGTCAGAGGACGCTGCGAGCCTGTGCCACCTTTCTGCCAGAACTTGACAAACGGCGGTAGCTACTCTTACATGCGACTCCCAAATGTTTTTAACAATTTTCAACTCTCGGAAACTGTCGAGGCGATCATGCCCTGGGCCCCTCTCGTCGGAAAGTGCCATTCTGGCCTTAAGATGTTCCTGTGCGCCATTTACGCGCCGATTTGCCTGTATGATAAAGAGAAAGGAGACTATGTCAACATCAAGCTGTGCAAGTCGTTTTGTGAGAGCGTGAGAAAGAGCTGCGAGCCCGTGATGAGTAGTTATAATTATACATGGCCAAGTCACGATGCCTTCAATTGCACGGGGTACATGGACAATCTTATGTGCGTTCGAGAAGACTTCGTTTCGACCCCAAAGCCTCCTCCTCCAGGTACCTTTTTACAATTTGAGATCGGGATTGACGTATAATAATACGCTTTACGTCTTTCATGTGTTTATTTAAACCTAGGTGATTTAAAACATTGAAGGCTGTACAACACCGGGCACAAATGACCACTATATTTAGACACAAGATTTGAAGTATTCTCTTTTCTAGAGAACAATCTCTGAAACTATGGTAGTTTGGCTATCGTAAGGGGGGGGGAGAACTCGTCAGATTTAGCTACAAAATAGATTGTTTTGTGCCAATCTGTTTTTCACCAACCAACCCATTGCTAAATATAGAGGTGCTTACGGAAAGGGAGCGAAGCAACGGAAGTCAGAGGAACATTTTCCGTTGAATCCATCTCTTAAGTATTTCCTACCAATATATCTTTTTCATCTTTTTTTTTCAGTCAAAGACGTGATTTGTGACCCAGATTTAAACAACGATGCTGTCCTTCAGAATAAAGCTTGTACGAGTGACTTGGGTGAGAATTGCTAATGACTTTGTCATATTAATAAAAACACGTATACAAAATCTTTTGGGGACATTCCAGATTTTGGTTTCTCTACGGTAGTTTTAGTCAAAATGTACGACATGTAAAAATCGAAAATCATGAAATAAGTTGTTCTAGCACACTTGAGTGTCGGGAGCGTAAAGTTATGCAAAATTTTTCGCCTTAGACGTGACTCGGATATTTTTATTATGGAAAGTAATTTGAAAAAGGCCAGTGAGTCATTAAGCTGAAAAGTGTGTAGCAAAGGTTGGAAAATTTGTCGCCTCGAGCCTTTGAATAGGTGTCAACGGTTATACAAGTGTTAGCGTATTTTTAACGCTATGCAAATGTCTCAGACCACCAAATGTGATTCTGTATTACGCCACTTTGCAAATCCGTCCCGTATCTGGATGGTTCACTTCAGCGAAACCGCAACCGTTTGAAAAGTTTCATTTTCGCCTCAGCCCCAGAAATATCTGCCATGATTGCGCATTTCGATGTGTTATCGCAATTTCTCGACGCTTTGTAGGACCGGTTCACGTAATTTCTGAATTCTCTATAAATCATCACAGGTAATTAACATGACAGGGGCCTTTCATTTGAGAAATTTCACATTATAATTAGCGACGCTCTCGAAAATGTGCCTCGAGCTTTCTGTGCGAAAACAGCCGTCTGGGGTTAAGTTAAATTTAAAAGGTGAAGCGAGATTTCTTGCAAATCTATCGTGATGTGTTTTGACTACGTACTTCAGTGCGCGCCGAAAATGAGCAGTGATTGATTAGTAATTAGCTAAAGTGAACGGCATTTACGTCGTATGAACGTATTTATTACACGTCTGTCATCTTGGCAGATTCCTTAACACGCTATCCAATTAAAATTGAACCCAATGTCTGATCAAACCTAAAACCATTGATTTACAACGTAGAGAATTGCAAACAAAAAAAATCGTTTTGCATGCCTCTGTTCTACATTTCCTAGTTCATTCGAATCTCTTTTTGGGAGAGAACGATTCTAACCGGAGCTTTTATATCTATCTGTGAGAATTAAAGGCTTTGTTCTTAGCCATTACCGAACGCCCGTAATACATCTGACTTCGACCCCGAGGACGTTTGAATTAATTTTTTGCTGATAAAGTTTGCACCATAAGACCAGATAAGAATTTTATATTTAAAAGCTTAATGATGTAATAAACCATCAAATGTTTCAAATTGGGTAGAATAGGTTTGAACTGGTTGTGATGTTCAAAGTTTGTGTGGAGGAGTCGAGAAAGTGATTAGTGAGTTTACTGACCCCGGCAGCCGCTCATTATCGGCCACCATATCTCACCGTTAAACCTTTTAACAGTCGAGGTTTTGCAGATAAATACTACTCACATCAATTCGGTGTCTGAAACGGCAGAGATAAGAGTGATACGGGCAGGAGTTTTGTACCACCTCAAAGAACTGCGACCTATCATTTGATAAGCAACAGGCATAGAAAAACACTTATATTTCGAATTTGATAACCTTCGCCAATAGGAGGTGAATGTAAGTCACTTACCTGCCCAAACATTTATTTAATACACAATTTTCATTGGTATGAATTTGAATGATTCTTCTTCTCTCAAAAACCGTGTTGGCACTTAACCAAGGCGTTGAAATAGGCAAAAGTTTAATAAAAGTTCAGGTCCAGAATCGAAAGGGCCGATTTCGATTTTAAAGCTGTGCGATGAAGTTGTCCTAGCAACGTAAAACTGCTTAGTACAATATGTTATATCTGATTTGTGTGGCAAACAAAATTTAATAAGATCAAAATTGGTTTAAGTTTAATGATCAAGGAAAAAGGATAAGCTCACAAATGAGATCCATTCGGTGATCTAACTAAGTGGATGAGCTGATGGTCGCAATTATCAAATTAATTCTCGAAAAACTGTTGTCTTTGTATGCTATTCTTTCACCTCAACTCCATTTCAGTGTCATCATAGTTGGCCCCAAGGTCTAGAAATATCGAAGCGGTTCACCTTGTAATTAGAATGATGACAATCTGTGGATAGCAGAACTAGACCTGAAGCATATACCGCTAAATACCAATCGCTTGTCCCTACTTCGGACGAAGTGTTTTAAAAACCTAAAAAGTAATGCAATAAACCGCTTGAAAATGACTAAGAAATAAACGCTTCGTTTAGCCCATACGCATCAAATGATTTTACAAAAGATAACACTAGATTGCCACAGGTATAGACATTCATCCCGTTACGGGGAGTACAGCTTAAAATGACTTGCTTTATCCAGATTCATAATGCTAGATCTTATTAGATTTTGGTGTTATCTCTAGTCAGTTAAGCTTGAAAATAGGTTGCAGTTGCCAAGGTCAAAAGAAGGTCGTCGGAGACTTAAAGAGAAATGATAAAAGCATAAAATCTGATTTAAATTTATCTTATATATTGTTTTGCTAAGATCAATTAAGATTGGACAGAAGAGATGAGTGTTGTCTTCGCATTCATGGGACACGAAGATCACTCTAGCTAAAGCTAAAATTTCCTCGTGGCTAAAAAAGAAAATACTTTGCAATGTTTGTAAATTACCACCCACGTCTGTCTTAAGCTATTGAGCTTTACTTTCCAGACATCCACTGTGCCCTCAAGATCTGATGGATTTCCAAGACCCCCGAAGCTAACCACGAACTTACCCCAATGCAAACACAATCAAATTTATGTCTTAAATTCAAAGTTTTTTTCTTTTTTCTTTCTTTTTCTTGTTTCCTTATTTTGTTTTTGATTTTTTTAGTCAAATTGTAGCTTTAAATTCTGGCTACGTGGCCTTATCTATCACCATTTTCTGATGAAAATTGTTACATTTGATTGAATTTAACTGTTAAGACAAACTAGGAAATGCATCTACTGCGGGTGAATCAGAGGGTGAAAGCACAGAGAAGATTGATGAGTAGAATGCCGAAGGAAGACTTCAAAGAATATTATTAAGAGATACAAAACCGCCCCTCTATCTAGAAAGCTCTCAAACTTGCTATTTGTTTTTTCAACGCAGTTATTCGCGCAGAGGTGTTGGGAACACGAGAATCAAAAGGTGACAGCTCCTATACTTTGATCAAAATCAAGAGGCACAAGAAATCTGCCAGGCAAGGATCCCGCAGCCAGAGAAAGACGAAGAAAGCTGTCGAAAGCGTCGACCGTGTACTGCTACCAAGAAAAGGCTGCAAGAACGTGGCGGGAAGAGTGAAGAAAGAGGTTACACATTTGATAATACTCGACAGGAAAATAGGAAAGAAGATAAAGTACATCGTAAAGGCCATTGTGCCATGGAAGTCCAAGCGACATAGAAAAATCATGAGGCAGAGAGGCAACTGCAAATAACTGAGCAATTTCCAGAAAGTTCGTGTGGATAAAATTTGACAAATTCAGGACTCATTCTCGAACAAATCTTCTTCCTACAGACTGAAACTAGATTCAATGTTTTGATTCTGTTTGCTTGGGATATTTTTGACCAAATACAAGAGGAAGTTTTAATGTTTTGGCCTTTAAGGACTTGTCAGTGACCAGATATTTATCTACACGACTGAGAAATTTCGCCGAATGTGTAACTGGGTTAAGAAATCCTGTAGTTTTTCAGACACCCACGATTCTCAGTTCATTAGAAGAGTAGTTTTTAATTAAAAGGCTTCTGGCAGAGAACAATAAGCCTTTTTGCTCTCGAATGATTACATTTTAAACCTTTTTTAAAATAATTTGAACCTATTTCAATACAACTTGTAATAGACAATCCAATATATCTAATGAAGTGGACTTGTCGCCGTAAACGTGCTTTTGCTAAATTTGATGATGTACTGTTGGAATGCTTGATATGCTTTGTATTCGAATTTTTTTTCTGTAGTCGTTGAACCATTGATATGTGCCTACGTTGTGCACCGCGTAAAATTCGTGTTACTTTGTGAGATTTTTAACTGTCACGTTTAGTTATCAGTTCAATTATATGAAAAAGAGGCATACTACGTCATGTAAGTTAACCCAAACATCCTCGGTAAAGTCACCAAGCGCTTGTCTCTGCGAGGGCTATGGTTGGCAATGTCGTAATTTACTTCATAAGTTTATCGTCCAGTAAAGAAAACATAGCATTTATCGCACAGTAGATAAATTAGTTATTTTGTATGTAATTTGTAAGCACGTGGTGCTAAAGCCTTCTAGTACTAAAGGCACTTTTATCCATAAATTAATATAACCATTTAGAGAAAGACATTGTCTTATCGCTTGTGGTCACCTGGGTGACGGATAATGCGCACAGGCGAGGGGAAAAACTGGGAGCCCAAAGCATAACAGGGATTTTAATGGGAGTCGGTTCCCGGCGGTGTACCGCAGCCGTTAAGACCGCCCACCGCCGTCTGTTTAGCCCACGAGGGTGCTTCGTGTTTGGGTGTAGCTTTTTGGCTCTTTTGCAGGCACAGCCGCCTATTACAACAACCGAAAACACTTATGGAAAAGTCACTGAAACCACTGCATAATAGCTGGTCATAAGACTCTGCGCTCTCTGTTTTCTTCAAAAATACCACATTTCTCTCTGAAGTTGAGATTTAGGCTGATATTAAGCAGGTTAAAACGTAAATTGAAACTTAATCTATTTCCTCTATCTTTGACGAAGAGAAGTCCACGTTTAAATTGTTTCGGATCATATTTAATGACATTGGTTGGAGTTTCTTCACTAAGCCAAAAGGCTGTGTTGAAACAAAAACAGCGTTCAGAAACATTCAGCGGCCTTGTTGTGCACAGTTCCAATAGAATGATTACTTTATGATTGGCTCGAGGCTTACCGTAGCATGCCCTTTGGAGATTACCGTAATTTTTTCAAAAGATTGTTTTACAGTAGATACCCGAAATAGTGCCCATGCGCATTACGATAGGCCAAGGGCGCGAATTGAATTTTCGAAATCGTGGCCAGAATTAATCAGTTTCTGTGTTATAGCTATTGCGTGGATAAAAATAAAAGCTGGAGTCATTGTTTTAAAGCTGGCCCAAAAGTTTTTAAGCGGCACAATTGAGAGTCGCAACTATCTCATATTTACCATGTTTACAAACAGAAATAAGTGCTGTATAAATGTGCTCAGGTCGGACGAGAGTGATTAATTAAACATGTAAACAATGTACATCCTTCACCTAGCGCCAGTGCTTTAAACCAGGCGAAGGGTAATGGAGTGGATGAGGCACCTATTCAAGCCGAGTAAGGATGCTGATTGAAAATTTCCTCCGACAGGAGCGACACTTTGTCGAAGGGAACGCCATTCTAGGGGAGGCGCTAAATCGAGAATTTAAGGTAAGACTTTCGATAGGCCATGAAAGTTCAGCCGTGATCAAGAGATAGATTACTTAACGAGTTTTCGAAGCAAAACAGATGGGTAGTTTTTAATCTTCGCTCGCAAATGAGGTGACTGGTTTCCAAAGCATCTGTGGTAATTATTTCCTGAGGTGACTTGTAGGCCTCTTTAGAGCTCGCTCTGATGACGGGCTGACTGCTTTAAAACTTCTTACGGCTCTAAAACTCCTTGGCAACGCCGTCACACGCTGGTGATTGCTGGGAATGATTAGGAAACAGTGAATCTATCGACCCATAGAATGTTTCAAAGCTTCTCTCTAAGAGCGTAGCTACCTGTGTAACAGCTGTTTCCAGAGAAGAATTAGGTATCTTTCCCGCGTCTTCTACACAGAACTAAGTGACCGCGGGCGCATGTTTATTCATTTCACCGAGGGAGTATGGCACTAGTTGTAATCCAACATGGCCGACTGGTAGCCATCGGCGTGGATTAGTGTGGAACAATTTCTTTTCATTTCTCGTCTCCTTGGTTGCTTTGGTGTTTAATTCACCATGACACTCACTCCTAAAGAATTGTCCTCACTTTTGAGGTAGGTTATTTCTCGTTTATTTCATGATATTGAAAGCAAACTTGTAAACTTCTCATTATGATGTGAGGTTGTGAGCTTGATTCTATGTCTGATTAAGTGTATCAAATTATTAAACGATCACAGTTTATTCACAAGGGACCTCGGTAAAATTTCCATGCAGCCCCATACTACATTATGCATTCAGTTATTGGATAGAGAAAACAACGACAAAAACAATGCATTGCCATTGGGACAACAGATTTGTTTAACAATAGTATGGGGCTGTGCGGAGATTTTACCGGGACCTCAGGTAATGGACACAGAGAGAAAAAAAACATCTCAAGCCTTATCTGTGTGTTTTAAGAATATTTAGTTGAAGTGATTTCATTGTTAAGTAATGTTCTTGTGAAGTCTCATGATCATCAACAGAATTTACAACTGCAATACAGCTGCAGTGACTTGAACAAATCTTTAACCCTTTAACTCCCATGAGTGCCCAAGACAGAATTTCTCCTTACCATATCAAGGCAATATCAACTAGATAGGTGATGAGAATCAAGGAAAATATCAATTTAGAAATAATTTGTTGATTCAATACTAAATTCTCTGAAGTAGCATTTTAAGAATTGTACGGTTGACAGTAAGGAGAATTACAAATTTGATCAGGGAGTTAAAGGGTTTAACTGTGCCCTTCATGTATTGTTTTGTTTATCTCTTAGTATCCTCGCTGAAGATTCCCTTGCTGCATCTTCCTTTGAAGCAATTGCTTCCTCCTTACACCAGAGATTTAATAAAAATGAACATTTCCAAATTGGGAGTGCAATGGTATGTGCAGCACAATAACATTTACCTCTTAAGTTCTCATTTGTACAGTACATGTAATGAATTATGTGTCAGTTTTGGAGTTTTTTGGTGCTACTTGAATTGAGACTGAGATCTACATGTAAAAATTGGATAGCAAAGGGAAACTCCTAATCCCATTTTATAAACAAAGTTTAGGAAAAAAGCACACACACAGTGACTGTTAACACAACACAATGCCTTAGCCAATTCCACAGTCTAACACAATAACCACCAGGGTAGCAATTTTCTTCTGTGGTCCATGTGGTTGGCTTTGGTTATCTTGGGCCACAAAATCCTATAAATTATTAGATATGATAGCAGAAGATTATGAAATTTGAATAACACATACACACATGTGTAGCATCATTATAACATTTTTTGTTGTCCAATTGTTTACAGCTTATGCTCTTACAACAACCTGACTTACTGCCATTAAACATCCAAAGAATTGTAGTCCTGTTTTTGTTGTACGAAATGTATAAAGCCGAGCCTATAGCTAATAACCCTTTTGCGTCTGTGTTTGTCCATGTTCTGGTGAGTATGCCATGCATCCAGTTGTGTTGATTATTTATGGTAAAAAGACTTTGTGTCATCCAATTCTGTCTGTAATCATGCTCATGATTTACAAATTGGACTCCTACTTTGCATTTATCAGATTTTGTTTATCACCGATATGATTACAGACGGAATTGGACTCCTCTCGGTCCTATTACGGTCATAAAATTATGCTTTGCTCTTGTTCAATTTGTAAATCAAGAGTATCATTGCAGACAGAATTGGACAGCACAAAGTCCTGCCCCAATTAATCAAAACTCTGACAAAATTTGCTAAAGAAACTACGCACTGGTTGTGTTTTCATAGAGAAAAAAGTTAACTTGGCAAAATGCAAGACAACAGCTCATACATGACATTTTCTGTCCAGTTACACAGGAATGATGTGTTAACTGTTTGTTCAGCTATCCTATTGCACTGTGGAATTATGAGCATGATGTATATGCTGTCCTATTTGTGCCCTGGTGATAGCCAATCATGGTCAAGAATTTCATTATAGTTTTGATTAAACCTTTAAGTACTGAGAGTGACTCGCATCTACATTTAATTTCTCCTTACAGTATCACCCCTGAATCACATATTAGGGTTGTAAGAATAAAGGAAATTGATGGTACAATAAAGTGACGTCCATCTTTTGTGGTGTCATGGAGGTGCCCAGATCAGATTTTACACAAACAACAGAACAAGAACTGTTACTGTGGAGAACAAACTGTTTGATTAATTTATTTGGTTATTCAAATGTTAACATCATGACAGGCTTGTATTTTCATTTTACTTTGTTTACAATGGCACATTGATAAGCCCTTTGATCCCCAAGAGTTACTAGTATCTAATTTCTCCTTACAGAATCAAACAGTAGGGTCACAAGGACAAAGGAAATAATCACCTTGATTGTTTAACAAATTCTTCTAGTCAGCACCTTAGGAAATTTATGGAGAACAGCTTGGAGAATAAGCATACTAATGTTAGGGTGCAGATAGGATTAAGGTGGTAAATAGGTCAAAAACATGTTTACAAGTAGTTTTTTCATTTATTTGTTATTGACTTTTAGAGTTCAAATGATGAAAACAGGGTCAGTGGTCTTGAATCACTACCAGCACTGGGTCCAGCTGAGAAATCTTTCTTGTATCTTCTCATCACCACTCCATCAAGAGATGTGAGTATTAAGCAAACTTTAAGTAACATGAAAATTGTGTAATGTAAACATTCTTTTGCAGACTTTGCATATACAGTACTGTTGTCCTTGATCCTTGATCCTTGATCTGCCTGCTGTGTTTGGCAGGTGGTTGATGTAGAAGGGTAGCCACTAGTAGAATTTCAGCGGTATTTTCCATTACAGTGCTCATCATTACTTTTCAAATCCAGTTGCCTGTAACTGAACACCGAAGAAATACGAAAGCTTGTACCGAGAGATGTATGGTAATAGAATGATGTAGATGTTAGATCTACATAAACAATAATTTTTAACTGGAAAGCTGCCAAGGACTTTGTTGGTTTTTTCCTTTTTTCAGCTTCTAAAGAAAAATCCCCGTCAAGTTTTAGCATTCGACTTCCCTGGGGGAGGGCAGGTAAGATATAATTTGGAATGCAAAATGATGTACTTTTACATATGAAATGAGTTAAATACTGTGAAGTGTGTGATGGAAGTGCTAAGATTATTGTAGATAGGGAAATTGTCACTATCTTTATCAAGGCAATAACTCTTAGCTGTGCTGCTAAATGTGTGTTTGAATTTGAATTTTTTTTTTCATGATGTCAATTTGTGTGCATTCAAAGTGTAAAACACAAACACCATCACCTAAAAACAATCAAAGTTTTTAAACCACTTTCATGTGGATTTATACCTTCTACTAACCAAGGGTTAATGTCTTTACTGTAAGTTATTTTCTGAGTTTTTTTTTTTTTGGCCTGGATTTATGACCCTAATCATAAAATATCTGGGCAGAAAAAATGGGGATCTGTAACCTACAGTACAGAACAAGAAAAAAAGGGTAGTAAGATATTCATGAAATATCTGGAGGCAAACAGAGGGAAAAGATTTCAATTCAAAGAGACTTTTGAATTTAGTGGGCTGTACATTGAAATACAGTCCACCAAATTGCCAATCATAGTGTGCACAGTAACAAAGATCTATGATAAAGTACAGTTAGAGAGAACTGCACTTGGGTGGTCCAAAGAATTCATGCACATTCATACATGTATTTGTAAGTATTTCAGGGCTGTTACAGTTTTTCTGCTTTATCTTTCTGGTAGCTTCACAAGTGGTTGTGGGATGTAAGTGGTCTAAATTTCAGTTATGGAAGATAATTTTTGGATAGCAGTATATCAATATTTATGCATTTCTCTCCAGAACATTGATCTTAGTTCCCTGCAGTTGGCTCTGACAGAGAAAAATTCTCAGTTGCCTGACTTGAGCTGCTGTGGACTGCCAGCAGTACTGGCTGATGCTGACCCAGATGTCAGGTAATTACATAAAATACAATGAAACCTGTCTTATCTGGATCTCCTGATATGTTAAGCAGATGTTATTAGCCTTATTACAAATGTCTTCTTCTATATATAATGTAAAATTAGGCTGTATTCATTAGACACCTCTACTGAATAGAGATAGACACAAAAACATTATTTAATTGACAGATTATGGAGAAATTAGAGTTTCAATTTTATCCAGTTGCATTGTAAGATTGCATATTTTTTACTTTTTAAATGTGTTTCCAGTAATTGATTTTATTCTGTCTCTGCAGAGCAGCCAATTCTAAAGGTTGCTTATCATATAATTTTTTGTATTTGGGGCATAACATTTTACTTCTTTTGTTCAATTTTCTAAACCTGTGATCTGCAAACACTGTAATAAGCAGGCAGTCAGCAAGAGACTAATGGACCTCTGCTTGATGCCACTTTTGTTGTAAATATTTAAAGTGAACTTGGAGCTGAGAGATGAGCTATTTGAAGTGTATTTCTATTGATTTTTTTTCCATGTCTCAATAAAACATCTTGTGGAGGATAAAGACCTCAATGTAAACCAAAAAAGACAACCTTGGTGAAAGGAAATCCAAATTTATCATTCATACTTGTCCAACTTTGGAATAATTTTATGGTCAATGTTGAACTTCATCATTTTGGTTTTCAATCAAGCAGAGATGTTAACCATTTTCCACCCATGTGGGATGAAGAAAAGTATTATTTCTCAGAGAGGAAGCGTAAATTACTGTTTTAAGAGTGGGTTGTTTACAAAGGAGGGGAAAAATGGGCTAAATAAGAATTCTTTTACACTGTATTCCTGTAATTACAAACCACTTTAACTTAAACGTGACTTTTGTTCATTTTAACAGTTCAGGGTTTGATTCTACAGCAGCTTCACAAATCACAGAGACTCTTGTCACAGGTGAGCTAAAGAAACCAACTGTTTGTTTCAAAGCCATACAAAGAGGTGAAATTTCTAAGTTTGCTTTCTTCTTAGGTGGGATTTACTTCAGTCTGTGTCATTCTTAAAAATGTCAGTCTGGGAATTCTTCATTAAAGCTTCATTGTGGTTGGTTGTTTTGTGTGGGCTTTGAAGAGAAGCTTAAAACAGCAGACCCAGTGGTTTCCCTTGTGGCCAGTGTCCGATTTTTCCAAGGCCTTTACCGGTCAAACCCTCAAAGTGCTTACAAATTCTACCCCATTACATGACTTATCAAACAGAGTTTAGAATTCTCATTAGTTTTTTGTTATATATTTTTATATTTTTACTCTTGTGCAAAATCTCTCTGCTTGAAAATTGTTTGGCATAGTGTTAGTCAAATTAAGCCAAACAGAGGTTTGATTTATGTATAGCAGCACATTTTGAGTTGCTTTCTCAGAAATTTGTGTCCTTTTTCCTTCATTCTGCGTTTGATCTCCATTTAACAGGGCTGAATCCACCATCTGAGTTAAATCTGAGACCAGTGTTTGCCAGAATACCACCTCCACTGTACTCCTGTGATGACGAGGTACAGCACTCATGACATCAAACATTTATCATGACATAGCTAGTGAATTCATGCAATCAAACTCAACTCTGCAAGGGTGCTTCATATTCGCATCGTGCACAGTGGAGATGTCCATTCACGCACGCATCCCTTATTAGCACACCCTGAAAGCCACAGACCTCACCCTAAACTGTTCAGGTTATTGTCCTTGCTATTGGAAGACGCAGTACAGAAGAATCCATTGGCATGTAGCTCTCAGTTGGAAGTAGCACCCTACTAGTTCTTTAACCCTTTAACTCCCAAGATCAGATGGTTAATTCTCCACTGTAGCTGCTGCACAATTCTGTTTAAAATAGTTACAAGAATTTGGTGTTAAATCAAGATTACAATTTCTACCAGATGAGTTTCAGTATTCTCATTACCTTTTTTACTGGATGTTGTTTGGATGTGAAAGGGAGAGGTTACATGTTAGTCACTTCTGGAAGTTAAAGGGTTTAACAGCAGCTTTAGGCCTCACTTGAACTTCAACATATCTTTAAAAATGCTACGGCAGTACAACATGTTCAGATTCTGCAAAAATCTGAAAGAGAGTTTTTTTTTTGTTCTGATCAATCTCAAACTATATTTGATTATTATTTATTATTGGTTTGTAGCTTGTATGGATGAACCCTACTGGAGAAGTGCATAGTGTTGAATGGGACAGTACCATGTGTGTTACAAACAGCGCTGGTCAGTAAGTCAGTGTTTTGAACAGCTTATTTGGGAAACTGGGTCGAGTGCGTAAAGTCAAAACTAACCAAATTTGGAAAGACGATTGCCGAATATTTAAACTTACTTTTTTTGTTTACCTATGATTCAAACCATACAGAGAAAGTTGTTTGCTTTTCTTTTTATGTACTTTAAGTAGCTTCGACTACTTATGTTTCCGTTGGCTTTGCTACTTTCGCTCCTGTACATATTCAGTGAAAGCTACCATGTAGTCTTGATTGGTGCTGAATACTACAAATATAATCTTTACATCTCCTTTGAATGTTTATAAGTAAGAGCTACATAGCAAATGAATATTTATGGTCCAATTTTTTGATCCCTATTATTATCTCGTAAGGTGCCGAAGTTCGTCGTTTGATGAACAAAGCTTTCAAGGCTCCTCTGGTCATGCAACAACAACAGGTGAAGAACGCTTGTCAAACATTCTTATAACTGTTCATTGCTTAAAGAAAACTCACACTACTGCGGCCATTTTGAAACATTCCCATCTTTGTTTATCGCTGTGGGTGCCTCTTCCCGGGTAACAGTGAGAACTAATTTTGTTCCAGTGCTTGTCTGTCATATGAAATGCCCTTATTTGCGAAGGACACGTTGCGGGATATGAAAATACATTTTAGTAACACAGCTCGTCCAATTTTCTCGCTGATTGAGTACAAATTTTAGTGCGAGACTTACGCCAAAGTTTCGTTGAAGCTGTTTTCTTTTTCATTTAGCAAGTCCTAAGTGAACTCGAAAAAGATCCGAAGCTCGTATATCACGTGGGGCTTACTCCAAATAAGGTAATGTGGACGTGGACTTGATTCTAATAAGGTAACTCGGAACATTTTAGCATGGGAGTTGTTTTTATGAAGTAATGTGTCAAGGAAGAAATTGCTGTGCAAAAAATATTTTGTGCCTTTTTAAAGGACTCTCTGTAATTAAATTTTCAAGCTTAACCTTTCTACTCACGCCATAACCGGTTCTTAAAACTTCGCCGCTTTTCAGCTTTTCCAAAAATCTGTCAATTTACTACGATGTTGCATTGGTTTCACACATGAGCCCGCAACGTTCGTGGCATGCGAAGCCCTTTTTCAGCTCTGTCTCCTGTTACCAGTATTTACATGCTTGATTGTATTTTGTAGCTTCCTGATCTTGTGGAGAATAATCCACTGATAGCCATTGAAGTCCTACTGAAGTTAATGCAGTCCAATCAAATAACAGAGTAAGTAGCCACTCGTCGTTGGTGGAAAGTTAAGTCGATTCAAGGCCAAGTTTTTGCCAGGAAATACAGGTTATGTATCACGGTAGTTTGGAGATTTGTATTCAGACAAAGTTCTTTGGTAGCAATCAATAATCAGTGAATGCTAAGTGAACCCAGGATTAGGGAACGACTTCACCATCAAGTCCGCGTTCTCCAAACTAGCCTTAAAAGACCGGTATGCCCCAGAAACCATAACGCTCACTCCTGACATATCGAGCTGAACACGAGAAGAGAAATTTCATATCTACAAACAACCATGTATTAGTTTGTTAATTATATCAATACCATAGGCCCTTACTGACAAAATAGGCGACTCAGTGAATGAATGAGAACGGATTGAGGATGGCGAACAGTGTGCCATTCATAAATAATCTGATAGAGTAGTGCGAAAGGCGAGCGAGGTATCAACAGCTGATTGCCTTTTCTCAGAAATAATAAGTTTATGCGATTCCTTAGAGTAACTTAGCTTTTCTAAAATTGTCCCGAAATGGGTTTAAAATTTCGACCGTAGATGCTGCCTTTATAGAATCACTTAATGACTTGGCTGTCTTAATTTGACGATTCAGAATTCGACGCAAATGGCAGGAACTAAAAATCTTTCTGTCGTAATCAGGTATTTCTCCGTGTTGGTGAACATGGAGATGTCTCTGCATTCAATGGAGGTCGTCAACAGACTAACAACGGTAAGTAGATATAAGAGAAATTTTCAACTTTGAGTGTCGAATGTAATCCGGGATTGTTTTGGTTTTCCTTTCCCTCTGTGATTGGTCCAAAAAACTCGCGCCACTCTTTCAACCAATCGGATTCAAAACTAACACAAAGCATGTTTTCCCGAGCTTTAGGTAGTTTGGTTGTTTTCACTTAAGATAGTAAGATAATCTTTAAGGACAAATTTGCGAACGAAAATATTTTATGTATTATAATACAGCTTAGTTTTTGTTGCTTGGTTGTTTTCAGGCCGTGGATCTTCCTCAAGAGTTTGTTCATCTTTACATCTCGAACTGTATTTCCACCTGTGAAAATATTAAAGATAAATATATGCAGAATAGACTTGTCAGACTGGTATGTCGGCACTTATTTATGTGCATATCAAAGATGAGTAGACAAACTTCCTACTCAACTCCATATTCATAACCGCTCAACTCACTTCTTTATGTTTCTATCACGTGTCTTAGATGCTTTAAATAACATTATTTTTTAGTTGTAGTATTGCGGTGTAGTTCGTGTCCTTAATCAGCTAGACAGTGCTTCAATACTTAATAGAGCATATTAAGACGGTCGTGCCTGTTTCTCCAAATGACACTTGATTAGTCATCGTTGTTACGGACACTTTGTTTTTTCCCCTTCAGTGTCCGTTTAAGAGAAGTTGGACCTTGAATGCCAAGCTTTCTCATCTTCCTTTTCCTTGCAGGTTTGTGTTTTTCTTCAGTCTCTGATTCGTAACAAGATTATAGACGTAAAGGTGGGTAAATAATCAAGGACTATAAATACAATAAAGAGAATTTGATTAGAAAGAAGAATGGCGAACAAAGAAAGCCTCTAATCTAAACTGCCCTTACTTTTGTTAAGTCTGGCGTAGTGAAGTTTTGCTTGCAGTTCTCCAATGATTGAAACAATCTCACGCTCCTGGAAGGTCATCGTGTGACACCACCTGCCGTTATTGGATCGTTGTTCAGCGGGGATTACAGTTAATCCTGATGGCGTCTTTGCCTTAATGAGTAAATGAGACCCACAGGAACCCAAAAAATTCATTGAAATGTCGGCGAGTGTCAACCATGTCACTTCCGAAACAATCTCTATTTCCTAATTTCATTACACCGCCCTCTATGAGACCACTCGTATGTCAAATGATGTTAATTTCGGATTCGAGTATGTTACCTTAAAGGTGGTGTTAACAAAAGAAGAATCGTCTCATTTCTATACAAAACTTTATTAGTTAGGGAGATAAAGCTCTGGGAATAATTTCAGGTACTCAAACTCATGACTGTCCGGTGATCTAAAGGCAGTGCTCTAACCGACTGAGCTATCAAGCCAACTGAGAGCTCGACATTTATGAAGGGCGGATTACTTCAAAATAAGTCATTTGAACTTTGGAATTAAGATTTTACCCGAAGAGCGATCATCACATCTAGAGACACAAGTAGTTTTGAGTGAAGATGGGTTGATTAGGGTCTGAAAGATACTCGAATAAATGATTAGAAAGCAACAGGCATGTTGCGTGTTTCGTTAGTAAACGAAACTCGATAGCAGCGCTGAGATAGACATGGGACCCCTCCCCCTTTGAATAGCTCAGTCATTTGATTTAGCCTCTGTTACTAGCTAAAGATCCGTGACAGCCTACCAAGAGGCTTGCCATGTTTTTAGGAAAATTGCCAGGAGAAAGTCCATGTGGCTTAGCGAATTATTGTTGGGGTTTCTTCTTATTTTTTTTTCCCCTTTTTTTCAGGACCTTTTCATCGAAGTTCAAGCGTTCTGTATTGAGTTCAGTCGCATTAGAGAAGCAGCAGGATTGTTTCGACTTCTCAGAACCTTGGACTGTGGTGAAACAAGTCCCGCCGCCACAAAGTAAACGGAATGAAGTCTTGATATCCTACACCACTTGGAAGCGGCTGATTAGCCTATGGGCTTTAAAAAGAACTTACTGACTTTTTGGAACGTTTTCCCTTCTACTTCCGCCAGACAATTCTGAGTCAACCCTTTCACTCCCATGAGTGACCCTAAAAGAATTTTCCTTACAATATCAATACGATATCAAGCAGACAAGTGATAAGAATAAAGATAAATATCAATTGGGGGATTGGTTGAGCCAATACTAAATTCTCAGAACTTTCATCGTGAAAATCGTATGGCGGATAGTAAGGAGAATTACTAATGAGATCTTGAGAGTGAATGGGTCAAGGCATGAGCAAACGGCAATAATGATGATCATTTTACTCACTCTTCCTGTAATCTTTGATTCAACCGAGAAGAAAAATAGAAGCTAATCTCGTTAGTGCCGACGAATACAAGTATTTGTTTCTCTCTAGCGCGCACACAAACGACTTGAGCGCAGTGAAATGGAAAGAAGTTGAAGTCTTGATACTTTTCATTGACCGTAACAATAACGGTCAATGACTGGTCGTTATTTATCCCATGGAGAGGTCGGAGGATTTCGTTTGTGTCACGATAAAATTACCTGATCCCTCCCCTAAGGCTTTGCAATATTTTTATAATCTCCTTATCATTGGCATTTAATTTGAAACGGAAAGAAGTTGAAGTCTTGATATTTTTCATTGACCTTAACAATAACGGTCAATGACTGGTCGTTATTTATCCCATGGAGAGGTCGGAGGATTTCGTTTGTATCACGATAAAATTACCTGATCCCTCCCCAAAGGCTTTGCAATATTTTTATAATCTCCTTATCATTTGCATTTAATTTGCAGTCAACCTTCTTTCGTACTTCCTCAATACTCTGTTGGTGACGACTGATGCCCTCTCCTTCCCCCTGAAAACCATGTGATCCCCAAAAATTCGTCCAGGCAATGATAAGGACTGGTACCTATTGACACTTGGTTAAGTTCGAGCACTCTTACCAGAAAATTAAAAACGAAATGACTTCAACAAATTTTAAGAGGTCCTATCGTTTCTGTTAAGCAAGGTGAGCTTTAAAAGTCAAGATTCAGTCGAGATTTCGAGCGTCATTAAGTTACTCATTTACATTTAAAGCGCTAGTGGCAAGTCACGGTTTGTTGTTCCCTGTTATTTAGCTTACTGTAACCGTATGCCTTTTTAGTATTGATACATGTTCAGCGTAACGTTGGCTTTTTCTTGCTTTGAAATTTAGCCTACAGTCTGAATGTCCTCGGCGGCTGTCTTAAGTTTCTTTTTCACCCAAACCTTTGTGAGATTTCTATTTCCGGAGCACGTCTCACGTAAAAGGCAAAGCTGTATGTGGGTCCTTTACACCAAAAAAATAAGAAAATAAAAGGGAAGGAAGCCCTTGTTCTGAGTTCTCATCGGGTTATTTTATTACTTTAAGTAGATCTCTCTTTAAGATCATTCGACTTCTGTGAATGAAAATATGCTCCTCGGACAACGAAGCTTAGGGCAGGATCAAGCCTGTTGTCGAGCGTTACTCTATTCGGAGGAAAGTGGAAAAATATCTTAAAACGCGGATGGTGGAATTTCCTAAATCACAGGATGAAACAATACTCTTAACCGCGGAATGAAAGAATATCCTAAAACGCGGAACGACAGCCATCAACGAAAATATCTGTTGACGGTCAGTAGTTTAGAGAAGGCTGGAGGTAGTTGTAGGGGTTTGACAGATACTTAAAAAGAGTTGCTTCTAAGAGGCAGTATAAATCAATTCACAGAAAAATAGCCACGTTGTTTAGGGACATTGTTATTCTTCAGGTCCGCAAATTTCTCAGATCGATCTTGTTTATGGTGATTTTCGTTTGAGAACGTACACGAAGACAGCACGATTAGTCATCAATAAGAAAAGACAAAATGATTCGTGTCGGAAGGTTATCGCATTTCATGATGCCCATAATCAAAAAGAGGCGTTCACCCGTCAAGTGAAGATCCTCAGAAGGGAGAGGGGGCAAGGGTTGATTCACCACAAAATTATCGGAAGGAGTGTTCCGTCCAGAGTCAAACCAAAAACACGACACTTTCCACACCTGTCTTCACCTTCAGCCTCTAAAATCCATACCCATTTTTAAATCAAGCTTTTAAGAGTCGCACTTTGCTTGCGAACCATGAATTGTTTCAGCGTAACCCAGAATTATGGTAGATTAATTAATTTAAGTTACTTTCTCCGTTATCCATTCGAGACAAATGCATTTGAGATCTCGCATGGTCGATTCAAAATCACGATAAGCAGTCTTTTCAAACCAAAAGGGCTCAAGATAATAACTCTTAACCCTTTTACACCCAGAGGAGATTAACATGCGACTTCTCCTTTCAGTATCCATACTTTATCCAGCAAACAGGTATGAGAATACTCAAACTTATCAGGCATAAGTTGTTGATGTGACGCCAAATTCTTGGGATTCATTTATAAAGAAGTGAGTAGGAGAGGGCATTAGGGTCTATTAGAAACCGCAAAACCGTAGAAAAATCATCCAATACCGCAGAACCGCAAAAAAAAAAAATTCGATTAAAACCGAAAACCACACGCAAAACCGTCGAAACAGATAAGTTTTCACATCCCTGTAATCAAAATCCTAATCGATCCGATACAGTCAGCGACAAGTGGAGTATACAGAGGTTTCATGGCTATTCAAGATCAGTAGAGGCGCATACTTGCCGCTCAGATCAAGGAGAAATCGGAAACCAAACAGGAAAACCCGAAAACCACATCGGATACCAAATCCGAAAACCCGATAGCATTTTTTACTAAAACCGAGAACCAAATGCTAAGAAATGGAAAATCGGCAAACTGTAATGAACACCAACCGAGATTTGGCTCAAAAACTGACAAATTGGTCTAAAAAATAACCAAAATTTCAATGTCCTCATCTTATAGCCACCAGTGAGGAGGATTCACAAACAGATCTTGGGTTAAAGCGGCGCATGCCTATGTGGCTTATACACAGGGGAATTCCAAATGAAGCTACAAGACACTCGAAAAGGTAGAGTGGTTTTAATGGGTTTCCCATGACCGCTTGAAGGCACGGCCATATTTACATTCAGGTAAAAATATCCAAAACGGCCGGAAAATGTTCATTAAATTCACTATCAGTAAGAATTTTTTTTGTACCTGTTAAACTACACCCTGTAAATAAAGACAAAATCACAGAATTCCTGTTTGTGCGAAAGTAATAATTTATGAGACTACAAATTAACAAAGTATTTGCGACAGCAATTTTTTTTCAGTTAAAATATCCTCAGGCTCATGTGATATATAGGGGTAGTAGGGTAAGTCTCTCTTGCAAGAGTCAAATGGAAAAAATTGCACTAGATTTTACTTTCTATCATTTGTTTCTCGAATTTCGTTCTATCATTATTCAAACGTAGTTTTGATTTCTCTCAAATGTAAGCAAAACGATCTTTAAGTGCACGCGCTGCATAAAAAGATTTAATCAGAAGACTTTAAGTCAGTGTTGCAACAGGTTCCAGGTTTCCGAAAGAAGACGTTTCCAACATCTTTTTCAATCTCATCGGCTCTACATGCAAAAGCCTCCGTGAAGCGATGTAAGTTCGTCTTTTAATTGTAAATGTGGGACTCGAAAGCAAAATCATGAGGTCGGCTGCTAAGATCCATCTTAAAATAATCACCCGTGCGGTGAATAATTGATGCAATGTGGGCAGTCTAATGGGTAACATTAGCTTGTTATTTTACGAAAGCGTGGCCTGCTGGTAAACCACGGGTTAAACAATGTCGGATCTATACGTGCGCCTTCAGGAAACTGATCACGTGTCTTTGTAAAAAGGGGAAATACTTTTAACGTAGCTGGAGCGAAACATGTAGAAGGAAACACGGAAACTGCAAAAGTTATATTGTCACACCGATACTACAGAAAATTGCGTTTGCAATGTCAATCTGTGATTCTTTCGTGCATTTCATTTTGATGAAATATGGAACCGCTGGTACTTGTTATAAAATTTAAATAAATTTTGTTATGTTTCTCACGAAATCAATGAATAAATGTAAAATAGCTAGGCTCATGTCAAAGCCAAGCAAGTTATAAAAAAAGTATTTAGTGATTAAAAGATTTTCTTCCTTGTTTTTCCCTTTTTTGTGATCTACCCGACTTAGAGAAGTGTAGTGAGATGCATTCATCTTGATAGGAATACGTTTTTTCTGCCTCGGGCGGTCAATTCCTACCATTTTTGAATGTTTTATTCAAGACGAAAGATAACCTTTGTAGATAAGCAAGCCACTCCGATATTTGTGACTTTCCCTGCTTTTAGTGGTGAGAGACTTAAAACCAGACCAGAACCAACACTTTAACCGCGATGCTTTGAAGACGGATTGTAGGTAGGTGCCCCGTTTTTTGATAATCCATCTAACAAACCTGAAATGTGAGTTTTCAAAGTCGAAAGCTTAAAACTTGTAATTTTAAATTATACTTCAATGAAATTCAATCGACGCGGAAGTCGGATTTTCCACGCTTTCAACGCAAATGAGATTCAACAATTATCAATGCAGAATAAAAGTTTCGTAGGCACTTAAATTGCCGATGTTGTTTAGTGCGGTTGGAAGCTCAAACCGCGTCGATGGAAAAAATAAAATTTTTAAGGTAAGGAAGGAACAAGTAGGTTTTAGAAATCCGATGAACTGTGTTAGGATTTCTATTGTCAATAATTTCATTTGTAAATAATATTTAGACAACCTGTAAAGCTATTGTCCTGCAAAGCTATTGTTTGTTCCGGAACATTTACTTCACTTCCGTTTCCAAGTGCCCGGATGAGCATGTTGTTGAGATTAACCTAAAAAATTGTGATTACTTGTAATTGAACTCATGGGTCTGCAGAGTGGCGATTGTCTGCTGTAGAATGCCTCCCTCACCAATAAGTATACCCAGGAAACTAGATTCTTTTGTGTAAGAATCTAGTGTACATTATACCGGCCTTCGAACAAACGATCGAGCAAACATGGGTTGAAATGAAATGATTTTAACAGCATGGTAGCCATTCGGAGGGTGAAACGTTTGGTGCAGTTCTCGGTGCTCGCTGTTTTCCTCGCTACGATACTACTGTTTCTTCAATGGAACGAGATATCGGACTCGGAGAAGCACAATACTGCCAAAAGAGGTAAGGAAATTCCTTAAAAGTTTCCTATTTACGCCTGACTGGATGTTTGAATGTTGTTTTCCAACCACTTGTGCTGTTCATTTACGCTTACATTCTTGTGTCAATATCGTACCTTAGATCGCGAAAAAATTGAAGAGTTTGTCTGGTTAATGATTTGTTTTCTTTGATTTTGATTTTCAGCAAAAACGTCCTTTAATGTGGAGAAGCAAGACCTATCGAAGACCTTCTTAAGCCCTGATCGGGAATTTGATGTTAATGAAATATTTAAGGTAAATACAAGGGTCCATTGTAGAGTGAAATCTTGTATCGTACTGAGACAAATCAAGAATCTTTGATTGATTGAGGAAACGAACCTTTTGCTTAGTTAGTTATAGTTATTTAAAGACGTTTTTTTTCTCTGTAACAGCAAAGGAAATTTCATTTTTTCAGAACAAGGTCTATTTTTAGAATGTCGCAACACCTCGCTGTCTGATGAACTGATTTCTATATTAGTAATTGCGATTTCATATCAGTTTACCTCAGTATTGGCGAAACAGAGAGATTTGAATTTAAGGGAAAAATGTTTTTTTTTTATTCAAAGCTTCTCGATTAATTTACTCTGCTGTTTTACGGAAGCGAATGTAGTAATTACCAGCATTCCGACAAATCGAAGGAATGTTTCAACGTGATAAATTACACCTTGTGAAGGAATGCTTTAATCAGCTTTCACTTTATAACATGTGCGATATCCCACAAAATTAAACAGCATTTCGTTTTGCTCGAATGTATTATTGTAATTATCAAAATAGTTTATCTGATAGAGACATTTATATTTCTTGTTTCGAGTCACGCTCTATGAATTTGTACTTGCTTGGCAGCTTAAGAGCGTTGAACGTGTGGCTGAACTTCAAGTAGCACAGTGTCACGCCATTGTTACGCGTTTATCTAAATCTAATTTGAGGGTCCTTCAAGGAAATATTGCCTTTTCTTTCTTCTCCCAAGCGTCAATTGACCAAAAAAATATGAATATCGATTCTTTCTCTGCGGTTTCCCGTATATTAATCCATTCGAAAATATGATTGTTTGGTTTCGCGCCAGATGTAAACATGCAAATAGTTTTAGATTTTACAGAATCACTGTTCGATCGTTATTTTACTTCGACCCGTCAGTAATAACCATTTCCTTTTTTAATTCCAGCATTTGCTTTCTTTGCTGAAGGTTTAAAAATAATAATTGCCATTAAGGGAGATTTGTTATGCTTCTCTTTCAACCTAAACAACACCCCAAAGATCATGAAAATTCTAATTATTAAAACTTCATGACTTTGGTCACCCATGCAAAAAGCAGAATTGCAATGATAATTTTCTGAAGTTCCCATGCCAATTAATTTTTTTTAGCTTAGGTCTTGCTACAGTTTTGTTTTTCTGAGAAAATGAAGGTATCATTTTTATTCATTTAAACGTGTAGCGTGCAATAAAAAAGTAAGATTTCACTTCTGTGTAATGTATCTGTGTATAAAATTGTCTCTGAAAAACATTTTCATTACTGTAATTTTAAATGCTACGTTCCTGTAATTGAAACTTAAATTAACTTTTAACGAATGATGATTATTTTTCGGCAGAAAAGGACCCCTCACTGGAGTATATTCAGTACTTTTAATTGAATGTTTGATCCTTTTGAGTTTGTGTAAACTTCATCTGGTGACCGTAACTCAATAGATGTGATCAAAAGCTTTTAGATTATGTTGCCAATTGAGGGATAAAGTGTGATACTGTTGACTTTTCAGCCTTTCATTTTTAATTGTCATTAACAATTTGAAAAATTTTGCTCTTAAAGCAAAGAGGGATTTTCTGATGGCAACCTACATTGTACTTAATATTCTAGCAACACGCTCTAAAAGAAAATGATCTGGTACACTTTCAAGAGTCAATTTTTTTTTTTTCGTGTCAAACTAAGAATTGCAATTTTAACCACAGTTTCCTAGACAAATGTTGGTAAAATAATTATTGAAAAGCTCAACAGTCATTTAGAAAAATGTTTTTTTTTTTGCCTGCTAAGCTGTGAATGTAACATGTCACCACAGATGACTTTGTTAGTGCCCTTCGTGGGAAAACATATAGGTTCTTTAATTTCAAATAGCTAAATGTCTCCTGATTTCAGTTTCTCTTGGTGATCTTTGTTGTCTGTCTGCATACAAAACTCAATCGTGAATTGGGAAAGATAAAAAGGTGAAGAATTCTTAGGTGAAAGTCTGAAAGAAGCCTGTGTGTAAGAGGAAAAATTAAAGAAGTCCAACAAGGAATGGCAGAAAAATATAACGGAAGTGGAAAAGGGCTCTTGGTCTGGGCAATGTTGCTGCTCATACTTGACCAGTAACCATTAACAAGTTATGTCACGTGGAGTAGACTAAGGTCTGTCATGAGCAACTGTTAGATAGTGTCCTGCAAAATATGTTTTTGCTGTGAGTCTCCTGATATTCTGCAGGACACCAGTCTTCAGAGTGTTGACCTAACTTGACATGTTGTCACCCAAAGGCATTAAATGTTGGTAAAACTTTGGCAGCAAAAAAAAACGACATTTTTGTAGGCATGTGTCTTTTTTGAAAAAAATTTATTGGATATGGAAATATCTGTGAGGGATTTCCATTTTTCAAAATTGATGTCTTTCAAGTTGGCAAACTACACAGTGGTTTTAGCCTGCCATTAGCTCTTGTTCATAGCTGTGAGTCTGTCCTTTCTTAAAACATAAAAATAATATGCTTGAAAGGCAAAGGTGAGGAGGTTTATTGTAATGTCAGGGGGGTGTCAATTCAAGATGATGCATATATTCTCCAGGCAGTTCTCAATACATTTCTAGAGGTGCTGACAAGGGGAATTTGTTTCACAATCAAGATATCCTTTAGCAGGTGATCATTTTCTTTATTCTCCTGGCCTTAAAGTGAAATTCAGAGGTGATATTGTAAGGAAAAATTAGATGCCAGTCACTCTTAGGGTTCATTGGGTTAAAAGCTGGTGGCCTGATAGTACATATATGTAGTCTTTCAGTTTTAAAATACTTTTATGCCCACTCTGTGATTATTTCCTGCAGCTTGCTGCTCTAATGTAATCTATTACTTTTTTCATCTAGGAAATAAATGGAAATGGGGATGCAGCCAGTGATGAAGAAGATGACTGGAAAACAGTATTTAACGAGAAAGCAAAACACCAAGTGGAGAAGAAAAAGACTTTTAATGGTGAGCCATGTTTGAAAAAAAAGCACACTTGGCATCCTTGAGTTCAATAGATTTATTACTGCCTCAATACTCTCTTCTTGGACATCTATAGCAGATATTCTGTTTAAAAAAAAAAAAAAAAAAAAAAAAAAAAAAAACACTAGCTGTAGTACATTGTATTGCATCTCATAGTGTTTTTTGTTCTGTGGTATGGAAATTTCTCATTCCAGAGATGGAAACTGAGCCAATAGCAGAACTAAAGCAATTTTCATGAACAGTATGCAGTTAGAGTGAGAAATGTTTTCTTGAGTTGTCGCGATGGGCGAGTGAGGACCACATTCACACAAACATAAACTCAACATGGCGGATTTTATTCTCTACATGCCTCTCCGTTTCTTTGCATGTGTTTTCGGGAATCCCGCGGGGGATCCTGTGTTACTTAAATCTCGCGGAGTAACGCTTCTCCGTGACATGAGTGCATTAGTTTGACATAGTTTGTTTCAAAGGTTAGTCCTGAGATTTGTAGAGACTACAATATACATTTACATCAAGTTCATATAAAATTGTAAACACAGTTGTAATAGATGGTTAGTGGAGAGAATGGAACTTTACTGCCGGTCGAAACTATTTTGCTACAAAAGGAAAAATTTTCTAAGCTGAGACACAACACACCACCCAAGTTTTATCATTTGTTCACTTACTGTAACCTTTTTCTTGATAGTATCAAAGGTATTGAATTAAATTACGATCAAAAGAAAAAATAATTGTAAGCTGAGACACAACATACCACCCAACTTTCTTCATCTGCTCTCTGTTCTGCAAATAATCTTTTGTTAACCCTTTTACTCTCAGAAACTAAATGTCAATTCTTTACACCGACTGTCATACATTTGCTATAATTTTAGATCTAAGAACTTGATGTGAAATCAAGTGATGTTTCCTATTATTTACTAAGCTGATTCTTGATTGATTCTTAATACCTATGATCTAAGGAAGGACAGAAGCATGCAGTTAGATGACTTCACCATTAACTGTATTTTGCTTTTTTATCCAAAAAAAATAGATTCCACAACACTTTGGGTCTCAAAATGTAGAAAGAACATCAGTGATCCACTTGACAGCACCTCGTGTCCCTTTTTTTTATTCTTTCCACATTTTGATGTTATCCGTGATCTACATGTATTACTGTACAGACTCACTGCAACATGGAATCTACTTTTTTAAGTTTATATTTTTCTAACTTCTTGTTACCTTTCTACATGTAAATGTTTGGATAGTGCAAGGCAATATTCATATTTGGTCACTCCTCATAGTGACAGAGTTAAGGATTCAATTTTCTTTTAAATATTCCTGTTTAAAGGAAAATGGAGAGAGACAGTTGGAAGGGAGAACATTGGCCATGTTGACAAAAGGAAACTGAATCAAATGCCAAATGAAAGTGAAGCATTGAATTTCACCACTCCCAGTACAACAACTCTCAGTGGATTAAGGGTGCTTTCAACTCTTCAAAATGAAACTACCCAGAGTGTTCACAATGAAAAGAAAAAAGCATTAGGGAAAGCTTCTAAAATGCACAGCAAGGAATCACATGGTGGTCACCATCAAGAACCTAACCCCACCTGGACAAAATTTCCATGGGGAGAAAACGTATGTTTTTTCTTTTTATAACCCTTTTATTTGATCATTTCTTTGGTTTAAGAATTATAAATACTTTTGGGTTTTGTTGTCTTTGAGTATGTGCAAGAGCCATTACCTCTTTGGAAATCATCTTTAATAAACCCTTGAATTCTTAAGATGCTTCATTTGCATGGACATAATGTAGTTCTCTTTGTCATGCAGCATCTGCATGTTTTCATTTGAATTTGATCCTTTAAACCCTAAAATTAGTACACATATTCTCTATATTGCAATATTTGCATTTGCTGTGGTGTTGACCAGGACAGTTGGTTTGACAATCAAGAGCTGTTTTAGTTGGTGATCATTTTCTCTATTGTCACGACCTTAACCCTTTAGCACCCAAGATCTCATTAGTAATTCTCCTTACTGTCTGCTATATAAATCTTGTGATGTTAGCTTGGAGCATTTGGTATTGGATCAACCAGTTATTCCCAAATTGATATTTTTCTTTATTCTCATTACTTATCTGATTGATATTGTATGGATATTGTAAGGAGAAATTCTGTCTCGGTCACTCATGGGAGTTAAAGGGTTAATGAAGATTTTAGATATATGAAAATTCATATATTTGCACTACGGTGGAGAGATGCAACTACTCGTTTCAGTAGTGTTCTTAGCTAAAGGGTTAATGTTTGAGTCAGCAGTACTGAAGGAGAAATTGGATACTAGTCACTCTTAGGTGTGAAAGGGTAACTCAAGAGTAGTTTTAACTGTTATCAGCTTTTTCAGTTCAATGATTTCATTGGACAAATGAAAAGAACTGATATTCAGGTTAAAAAAGAGAGGGTCTGGGCTCAAGGGTTTTTTTTAATAAGGATTAATAAGGCGGAAAGTAATTAATATTTAAAAATAAGTGTGCCTTGTTCATTTAAAACTAAGTGTGCCTTGTTGCTTGTGTCTATAAAGATGAAGAATTTATTGTCTGGTTTTTGTGTCCTTCACACATCCTTGTTCATGTCCATATTGTATGCTTGTACTGTAAATTGAATATCACGTCTCTTATTTTCAAGATGGTTGGCGCATTAAATGTTCACGTTTGGCAAGCTTGGTGTGGTAGCACAATTCATGATTTGCGTAGGAACAGATTTTTCCCGCTGTACCCAGACATTCGCTTGACTGTGAAGAAGTTCTTTCTTCGTCACATGCAAGCCGACTATGGACAAAGAATATTTGGTTACGTTCATCCCCCTGTCTCAGGTATCAAGCGCTTGTGCAAGTACCAGTAACATGCGAATTAAAAAATTGAGATAGATTGTTGGAAAATTTGTTTTGCGCTGCCGTCAATCATGTTGTGGCCTGTCACGAAACAGGAGCTACGTTTCAGGGGTTCGGCATTTGGTCATATCCTGGGCTGTGATAGGAGGATTTTGATCCATTTCGGTAAATTCTGCTTTTTCGTGTCTGTAACGTTAATGATAGACGGCAGCATGAAACGAAATGCAAGTTTGACTCGTAGGCTTGGAGTCTGCATGTTGCTATTAGGAACTATATTGAATTTGTTAAAATAGCAGAAAGCTTTATTCTTTTATTACTTTTTACGTTTTCTCGGGTTTGATCGTCGGTCCTTCCTCGAGCGAAGCGGACGTAGAAATGCAAGCTCTTTTCTTCGAGCAGTAGATGTAATCGAGCCTAAGGCGCAAATGTGTATTGTTTGTAATGGTCAGTGTTCCTAATGAGTTGATAATGTAAATTTGCCACCGTAAAGGGTTTTTAAAGCTGACGTTTCAATCGTTACCCTTCTTCAGAGCGAAACACGTAGGGGTAGCGTTCCAAGTATCAGCTTTGATGGCCAATTTACCGTGTCAACTCAGTTGATAAACCAGATTATCTCGTAAAACCCCCGCGGACGCAGCAACACAGTTTCTTTAGAAAATACCCTCTTTGCTACAAGTATCAAGGATACTCAGTTTCGCTTTTGTTATTTCCAGGGAAGTACACGTTTGCCATTTCGTCAGACGATAGTTCAGAGCTCTGGTTGAGTTCAGATGATACTCCTTCAAAAGTGAAACTCATAGCTTGGGTCGGAAATCGCACTTTGCTCAGTGGCACCTTTAAAACCAAAATTGCACAATTTGATAAGTACAGAACACAGCTGTCACGTCCAGTGCTTCTTCGTAAAGGACAGAAGTACTTCATCGAAGCTTTGCACAAGCAAGGAAATCTACAAGAACACATTTTGGTGGGCTGGAAGATGCCTGGTTCGCATGATTTTAGACATCTTACTGGATCCTCGATTTCGGCGGCGATCAACGATACAATAGCTCCAAAAGATGTAACAAAGTATGCTAATTTTATACCGCAAGACCTTCCGAGTCACTCGCATTATAGAACGAGCTTAAAACTGGATCAGGATGTGTACAAATTTGGATCGGAAGATTTGCGTGATGTGGCACATAAAGCAAATTTCGTGGACGAGCGCGATATAGAGAACATATTCCCGACTTGTCCTTACCATCCCAGCTACTTGGTGGACTTCAAATTGAAGCGTTACGAAGGCGTGCATTTGATTCACGACACTTCTCGTTTTCCCGATGATTATTCCGAGCTTAGTCACATGAGACAATACGACCGATGCGCGCTATGGAGAAATCTAGATTCCCATGGCAACCAGGTGAGCTCACCGCCACCAAAACCGAGATCTGAACAAAGACAGCAGGAAGATTCTCATGGTAGGCGAAATAGTTCTCTGCCACCAAACCCGAGGTATAAAAAAATGCTCTATGAAGATGGCAGTATAGCTGTGTTTAAGAACAGCAAGGTATTCTTGCCTTTGTCTTTAGCGAAAAGTGCAGCAGAGAAGGAGAGAGTTAAAGAGCAGTTACTTGAGACACAAATGGACTTGCTGGATATGAAAAGACTCAGTCAAGTCGCTGACCAGCAGGCCTCTAAGTCGATGGAAGATTCATCTTTTGTGGCCGGTGACTCTTCAGAGAAAAATGATGAAGAGAACGATTTTGAGAAGAAAGAAAGAGTGAAGAGGAGAGGCTCAGACGCCGTTTCTATAGACAGGTCCAAAAAGAGGACTTCAAGAAAAAGAGAGTCTGTTAAAAAGCAAACGAATGATGAAAGTAAGATTAGACATTCTGACGGAAAGCCTCAGCAACGTTCGCGCGTTGAGAAAGTCGTGGAAAAGAGACAGTCACGTGATGCGCCTCTCAGTTCACGCGAAGAAACCTCACGTGATTATGCCATGCGCCAATCAAATGGTTATGTGAGTTCAAAGGGCAACCAGCGTAAATTGTTGAGCTACAACTCGAAGAGCGCGAGATCAATCGACAGCATTACGGTTTCTACGAATGTACCAATGAGTAATGAGAAAAGAATTGGTAATGTCTCGTCCCTTGAGGCCATACCAACGAGGAGACATTTGCCCTTCACGGGGCGAGTTTCAGATGGGTCGTTGCACGAGGTCGTACAGACAGGAAGACAACGTTTTAGAAGTTTTTCTCCAATTTCATATAACCTGGCTGAACTAGTTCCTCAGAGAGAGGTGAACTCAAGCTCCAACAGTCTACAACAGCGCACTAGAGGACGTATTTCGTTTTATCCTGTTGACGAGGAAGACGATCGCTTGACTCGAATGAACTCCGCGAGAGAGTTTGTGCGCAAGATGATGTACGCAGCGCAGATGTTTAACCATCGCGTGAATTCGCGCACTCTGGCGGAAGGTGTGCGCAGAAAATTCGGAGTGGCGTTGAAGATTCCTAACATAATTAAAGCCCCTGATTACAACGGATGGGTTTTTCATCAAAACAGGACAATGTGCGCAAGTGATGGAAACTTGTTGCTGAATGATGCAGTAAGTACTTGGACGCAGTTAACACCTACTAGTTTTCCTAGGAAGCGGAGAAAAGTGGAGACTGTCATCCAATCTGCCTCTGAAGGAATTTTCCTACTTATTTAGTAGATTTAATTTAAATTAAACACGGCCGGTCTTTGATGTAGAGTGTCTTTTTGTAAAATACAATGATGTTTGTTAGTCTATCCAAATGTCGAGGGTATCATAGGAATTAAGTGTCGTTTGAGAATTAATTCCTTTACTATGGTGTTTTTGTTTATGTAAATCTTTTCATGATCACTCATGGGTTAGGAACATCAGTTTATAGGTCAAGGACATTTTCTGTACCGAACTGTGGGCTGCTTTTTTTTTTTCTTTTTTTCCATCGACTGAGTGATGTAGTCTCAGGTCCAACTTATAGTTCTAAACGTGTGATTCCGAATTTTAAAAGCACTTCCGATCTGCATTTAAGTCAAGGTTCCAATTTGAACAGGTGTGAGTTAATGTGTGAGCGCCGTCCCTGATAATGTTTGTTTTTGTTTCTGTACAAAGGTGGCGAACAGTGTTGTGAATCGATACATGCGTGCCTTGAGACAAGCAACGAACAGGTTAGAACTGAAACATCGCAAATAGGGAAATTTTTTGAAGTTTTGAAGTTGCCTGTGTGGCTGACGATTTTTTGTGCGCTCTACAGTTTTTCGTGCGCTAAAGCGATTCGCGACGAAGCTGCCAATTGAAACTCTCTCTTTCGGTTTTCTCTCTGAGTGCGCTTTAATGGAGATTTTCGTCAGAGTTTTAAGATAAGTTTTATTTCTGTTTATTTACAATGATATTTTATTGAATTTTTCAGCAAGTACTCCTTGAAGAATATCGTAAACGTCGAAGAAAATCACGATGTGTTAAAAGGAGATAGATATCTTATAGACCTGGTAAGCCAGTGCTTTATTTAATACTGTTAGTAACTTTCTCTAACTCAAAAAAATATAAGAAAACACTCTGGAAAATGCAGTTGAACTAAAGGGAGACACAAAATATTTCAAGATTGGGGGGAATTGCATAGTGTCTCGTTCTTGCCTCTTAATACAACTCTCGAGCACCATTTTATCACACAATAAACTGCACCTTGTTTATGAACTGAAACAATTCTTTGTTTTTTTTCAGGAGCTCGATGTCGAAGGGAAAAGTAAGTAGTCAAAATATTGGTTAATGTTTGAGGTAACGGGATCACTGTAGTTTTCTATTCGATACTCTGGGCGATGATTTTGCCCTCGCGCATACGTAACACTCATCGTCTCAAGGTCTCCTTATATGAACCAGTAAACCGAGCTGGTTGGCCGAGCAGTGAGAACTGAAAGTTCAATCAGGCAAACTGCCTGAAGCGCGGGCAAACGCAAATGGCCTTGTCTCATTTCCTCGAACATTTAGATCTGATTGGTTAAGATGGTGGCGCGAATTTCTGGATCAATCGGAGAACTTATTGAAGTAAAACCAATGCAATCATAAACCGCTCTCAACATTGTATTTTAAATTGCTCCATAAACTTGAGGCCTCCTCATTAACTTTTTGCGGTTGTCTGTGTTTCGCAGATTCTTCAGTACGGTTGTCACAGTACGTCTATCAGAAAATTGGCAAGACGGATTTCTGTTTGCCGAAGGGATTTGTGCTGAATCAACATGCTACGGTACACATTATCATTCCAGGTTAGAAAATAACAATCTTTTTGTTTGAGACTTTTTTTCTAAACTTACGTCTAGCGGGAATAAATTCCCTGTATTGCGTGCATTTCTTTGGTTGGAAAGCCTATAATGTTAAAACAAAAAGTAAAACAGGCTTTCTATTACAAGATGACTTTAAATTGCAACGCAACTTAGCTTAAATGTTCAACAATACTGCGTGATAAACAATTGTATAGTTTCGTCAAGGCCTCCTTATCTTCCCTTTGTTTTCATTTGCCCCTGTACACTCTAAAATCAGTATGTATATTCCTCATACTGTTTTCCATACATTTCCCGTGGAGAATTCGTTTAACAATCAAGAGCTGCTTTAGATGGTAAACTTTTCCTTTAATCTCTCAAGTTTTATGCGTGATTCAGAGCTGATATTGTTGGGAGCATTAGATGCTGGTCGCTCTTATAAGTCAAAAGGATAAAGAGGTTAAGAGTTTTTGGGAAGGAAAGGGGGAGGGAGGCGAAGCTTCTTGGAGAAAAAGAGAGCTACTGCTGTAACCTACTAAGGAGCATGTGTTCAAAATCCTGGTTTTTATTGTTCCCGTTTGTACGTTTTTCAGTCAAGAATCAAGGCAAATGGGTGCAGCATTTTATTGATAACATGGTGGAGGTAAGAATGGATGTTTGTACCGCAAGTGAGCCGGCTTGCCACCAGAAGTAGGTGGTTCCAATAAAATTTGCTATGAATGTGAAGTTTAGAATGGCAGGGATGAAGTTCTGAGGGCCTGGAGAACCTTTTGTTCCCTAGGGAGGTCTAAGCTCCCCTCTGAAATTTTGAAGGCTTTTGTAGTTCTAGACTTGTTGACTTTCAATTTTCATTAAACCAGGACAAACTCGTTACTTCAGTATTGTTCCTTCGTCTCGTCTTGTCTTGTCTTATGCTCCGGGTTTCTTGAGGGTAGATGATGTTTTACCCTTGTAATTGTTGCGTATATTTTTCTTCAGCTGTACTTAGAGACAGGTGATCCTCATGTAAACATTATCATTGTGGACTTCAGTAGCACAGACATTGATGTGGAAGCTGCCCTAGAACGAAGCCAGTTGAAAAGGTGAATAGGAAGGTGTTAATCAGTTCTAAAAAGGATCGTAGCCGATCATGGATCCTGGTAATAATCAAGAAAATAAGAATAAACTTTGTTGAAGGGGCGTTTTTTTATTGAAGATGCACAAATTTTCACACTGGGTTAGCAGTATTAATTCGCCCTGCCTAAAGGTTGAGGAAAAGGTGAATGTTCGCATGAGAGACAGAGGGGGAGTTACGGTTATATGCAAAAATTCAGCTTATCAGTGATGTTCCACTTTTGAACCGAGAATGTCAGTATTGGCCAATCATGTGATATTGTTTCTAGTTTTGATTGGGTGAGGGGCATTTTTTACACTCCTTTTTTATTTGAAGTCTTATTATTTAATGTCCCTGTTTGGAAACTTACTGAGGTAATCTTCGTGTTTATCTTTTTCACTTTTAGATACCAAGTGAGAAAATTAAAAGGACCTTTTCAGAGAGCATACGGCATTCAAGCTGGAGCGGCGCTAGTTAAGGTTTGTTTAAGAAGTCAATCAATAATTGCATAAACTTTTAGACGATCGATCTGTGAAAGCAGATCGCTGGAGTATAAGGTTTTGAGGATCTTTCATCCCTAGCCATATGTTACGTACATTTTGGGGCTTGGACGAAAATCTTGTGTGAATATCGAGTTAGGAATATTTTTACAAGTGATCGAGAGAAGAAGTGTGGAGTCGTTTTCTTAAAGGTTTGTGTACCATCTTAAGAAATGTAGACATATGCGGTCCGCTCCGTTTTTTCTCCATCTTCAACAATCCTTGTTCCTTTTTCTTTTATTTAAATTGTGTTTTTGGTTTTGGCATCAGCAAATGGTTGTCTACTTGATAATCGGATGGAAAGAGCTGGTTGCTTTTTTGTTGGGTTTAATCTCAATTCCTATATACCACGGAGGTGAATAGTGCTTTTCTTGCGCTGATTGGCCAGCTCATATGTGATTAGCAGGCACTGTTATCGTCGGAGTAACCAAAAAGATAATATCGCGCGTCAAAAGTTTCACTTCCGACCATTTTGCAGTACATTGACAGAAATAAGAGAATACGTAATTGTTTCTCCGTTTAGTATATACTTTCCTAACTTGAGGCTTGACTTAGCTTTTTTGTGCTTTAGAATCCCCGTGATATAATTTTCATGTGTGATCTTCATCTTCAAATCCCAAGTAACATCGTCGACATTATTAGAAAGGTGAGTGACTTGTTCGATTATTAGTTTGGAAAAAGCTTGTCGTTTGCATTCTCTTCTCTTCGGAGAAGAGGTAGGACCCGCGAGTTCGTGGGAGATTTTGCTATGGGACAAGAATTAGCAGACGTTTCCTGACTGGGGAATGGAAATTTTAAATGTGCATTTGTGGGATCAGATAACAGTAAGGCGTTTGGCCTTTCTCGTCCAACTGTTTGCGAATTCCCCTTATGTAACTGGCATTGATGTCTCTGTATTTGAGTACGGAAAATTTGGTATTAAAAACCACCGTATTCGTAATTCTCTTCAGTTGCGTGAATGGTAGAAGAAGTCTGCTCGGTTTTTAAATGAGTATGAGGAGAGCAAAGGATGTTTGTGTTGTTTTCAGCACTGTGTTCAAGGAAAGATGGCATTTGCTCCGATAGTTGCGCGACTTCATTGTGGGTTTTCTCCTTCACTGCCCTTTGGTAAGATTGTTTTTTTTGATGATGTAATTAATAGTGAAAGTGAACAAGTTGCTCATTGCTGTATAAGCTAAGTTATGCGGTATCAGTTGGACTCAAAAGTCCATTGGTTCATATGGCAAACAGAATACTCGTTGGTGGAAGTTCTTCGGATGAGTTCTAAGTTTTACCTACAGAGGAGTAGAAAAGCATGGAAAAGGGAAAAGTATCAGATATATGTGAAGCCACATCCCTTTTATGCATTCTTGTGTATAATCCTTTAAACCCTTACATTGGTATCCATATTCTCCACTCTGTTCTCTGTACACCTCCTCTTGAACTGAAAAGGAACTGTGTGTAACAGTGAGGAGCTTCCTAAATCGGTAGTCATTTCCTTTATTCTCGTGATTTTTTCATTTGATTCAAGTGCTATACCGTATGGAGAAAGTATAAACCAGTCACCCAAGGGGTAAAATGGTTCAGCAGGGTAGGGGGGTGGGGCTGGGGGAGGCCTCTTTTGGGGGGAAGAAACCGTCCAGTGGCAGATAGATTTTTCTAACATGTTGATGTTGGCATTGACTATAAATATATGAAAATCGTGTATGTACACCACGGTTGAAGAAACGAATTTCATTGATCCTCGCAATGTGATGTTACTTCACTGATTATTTTGTTTCCGCTCACGAAAGGTTTTTGGGAGCTTCAAGGTTACGGTCTATTCGCCATGTACAAGTCAGATTTCACTCGAGTTGGTGGAATGAATTACAAGGAGTTTAGAACCACTTGGGGAGGAGAGGACTGGGAACTATTAGACAGGTGGGTGTTAATTCATGGTAGCAACACAGTTAGCAGAGGGAAGTATTTTACTACGAAGCAAAAATCAAACTGACACACATACTCAACCTGTTCAAATCACAGTAGTTTGCACGTCAAGGATTAACCCAATTTTATGTTAGAATATTTAGTGAGAGCCTCCACAGCAAGTGGCAAATTGGAATTTTCTTTCCACGTTGAGCTGTAGAGGAGGCTCGGTGGCTTAACGGTTGGTGCACTCCGGGTAAAGTGGTCTGGGTTGGGGTTTTGGGCAAGAAATTTTACCCCCGCTTGCTCTCCACCCAGGAGAATATATTGCTAGCGGCGAACTGCCATGGATGCCTAACGAAATGCTGTGGGGTAACATGTGTTGAATCCAGTGTAGCATCCCATCCCAGGGGGTTGGCAACACTCTCATTGGCCGGGTACTTCGGAGACCGGGATAAAACCCTAGCGCTTTATGGTCATCTTGGCTCGAGTGCAGATCAACTTTGCCTTTACTTAAACTTATGCTTTAATTACGTGGTTAAGTTTTTTTTCATCTGAATCGATTCAAAGAAAGGGAAAAGAAAGGCTTATTTATTGATGCCGGCTCTCGGCAGTCTTGACCCCGGCCAATTGGCTTAAACATCGCCTGTCTTAACAAAAATCTCCAAGCTTTGGAAATTTCATTTTCTAGTTATGTAGCTATTTTCGACTTCTGAGGGCTTCTGATTAGTGCAATGTTGTTTGAATTGTTACAGAGTTCTTCAGTACAAGATGGAAGTGGAGAGGTTACGTGTGCCCAAGTTTTATCATTATTTTCACTCAAAGAAAGGAATGTGGGGAACTAGGGACTTGTTTAATTCCTATAGGAGGGACATGTTCGATAGCCATGGTCACCAAGGCGACACTGAAGTCATCATCCTTTATGGCAGTAGAAAGGAAAGGGGAGAAGATCACCAGCGATACGTTGCTTCCGAAAAGAGCAACGTCAGATAACGTTTAGTTATATCTTCCTCAATTTGAAATGCTAGGTCCTTTATTAATACGCCTTTCGGGGAATATTGGAGAACAGGTGGCTTATCGGTGAGCCCGCGAGACTCTACATGAGGTTAATTCTTAGCCTGGCTCAGAGTATTGTTTTTGGGTAGGACAATTCAGTCCCAAAGTGCCTCTCCCCACCCGTGATAGATGGGTATGATTGGGTATGACTGCGTATGGAAAACCTGTGGAAATACTTGGAGGGTGGTTAACCTGTAACGGATTAGTACTCCATCCAAGGGAGGAAGCTACACCTCTTGCACCTCCAGTCGTGAAAACCGCAATAATCTCAGGAAGCTGTGTGAGTTAGTCACGTAGTAAGGTTTTGCGTTTTTACTTCTCTGATATAAAGCGTGAATTCATGGAAAACTTTTAAAATATTATTTAAACCTAGGTTGGTATGTCTTGCTGTTTGAACAAGTTAACTCATATGATGTGCCAATCAGGTAACTGACTTTAAAGGAAATGCAAGGCGCTTTTTAATAAGACCCAAAGAGTTTAGTTAAAATTAACCTGAGGATTGTGCTCTGTACACTATCTTTATTTAAAGTTACTATTCCAGCCCCTCCCTTCCCCCCTCGTCCCCGGACTCTTATTCAAAGATGACAATGGTGAACGTCGGCATCTTTCTAAGATACCTGTAGAACATAGCAGAATCTCCAATGATGTTCCCCTAAATTTTACAGTAACCGGTGGGGTTACGGAATATTTTGCCAAAAAATAATAATTTATAAAATTAATATAAGTATTTTAATAATTTTAACAATATTGACTGTGAAGTACAGGCAAGAAACAAAGATATTTTTAAAGTGACTTCAATTTAAAGAACAAGACGTGTGATGAAAATGAGAATGTAACAGAAAGCATTAAAATTATTATACAAGGTATACTAGATTTATTTACTTGGTTGTGAGAATTTTTACTAATTACGCAATGCGAGTTTTACTGAATAACTTCGCTTAATTACATGAAAGCACGTACGTTATATAGGAAATTTTAAATCGTCTTAATACAACCGTTGTTGCCTGAAAGGATTGGAAGAATTTTACTTATGCTTTATCACTTAATTTGTAATTAGTATGGTTTAACTAAAGATGAATAGTGAGTGACTGTTCTTGAAGTGCTTTTCGATTGGGTGTCGTAAACCAAAACCAAAGCAATCACAACAGCCAATCAGAAGAGAGCAAAATACCGTAAAGAGCCAACGAGTATTCAAAGTAAAAACAAGCAAATCGCCTTGAGCGCAGGAAAACGTAGGTGACGGTTGTAGTGTTACATCTGATTGGTAGCGACTTTTCCAGGACCAATCACAGAGCAAAGTAAAGCAAAATGGAATCCCGGATTACGATCGACACCCAATTGAAAATTGCTCCATAATGTTAGACGCACAGAGAGATTTCAAACTATACACACCAGGATTGTGAGCTAGATTATACAATCAATTATGGCTTTAGTTAGAAAATTTAATGTAATTGAAATTTACTTTTAATAAAAGCCGTGGTATTATTATTTGAGTGCTTTTGTTTTGAAGCGCCTTAAAAAGGCCTTTCTGTATCAATTCTTACTGTTCTGAGTCCACATGATGAATCGAACTAAAATAATTTCGCAATTCGTTTCTAAGTGCGATGATTTTCTTATAAAACCCTTCTTGTTATAAACGTTGTAATTTCCCGTTAGTTTGATTAACCCCGACATTATTATGCATATTCTTCATAGTGTTCTCCTCGCATCTCATAAGGTGCTGACAAGGAGAATTTGTTTAGCAATCAATAGTTTCTTTAGTTGTTGATCATTTCATTTTTTTCTGGTGACTTTCATATGAGATTCCTTGTATCTACGATCAAAGCAGTGACGGGTGTAAGTAATTGTTTGGACTGAGTGGAAATTAATACGGTAAGGAGTTAGACAACGCGCATTTATGCAATGTAGACCACTAAAATCGAGCACATGTGACGTTGCATGTCAGCCATATTGGAAAGACTGTTTTAGGATCAAGATACATTGGGGTGTTAACAAAACACAAAGATTATTAATTGAGAACAATGATTATTACATAATTTTCTTTGTTCCTGACTTTCACTTTTTGCCTAGCTCAGTTTTCGCGTCTTCACAGCCTTTGTTTATTAGTCATATATTACGTGGAAGACTTTTTCCCGATCCGATGAGGTATTCCTAGTAGAGTTTTAGAGTGTTTTTCCCGAAGGATATCTATGTCATTTTTTTTTCTGGTGTTTCGTCCGACCAGGCCATTGGTCAGTTATCACACACCCCTTATCTCTTACCTCTTAAACAAACCGTAAAATGGATGAATAGTGACTACGTAGTATACTAAGGCGATGTTGAATGCCCTTTGCCCCTTCTGACACATTCCTTTTTTTGTGCAAAAATTTTTAACCACTTGTGTCCAACAGTCTGTTATAGGTATCAAATTTCATAACCCTGACCAAAACAAAACAGTAACCAATCGCTGCTCAGATTCACGTTCACGTATATATTACTTAGGCAACAATGATATATTCAACATGTCGTCCGAAGCCCCCAAGTTTTTCAGCGCTCGTTTCGGTACGTTGCAACTATGTATCTATGCGAAAGAAAAAAGGTCACTTTCAGCGATACTGCTTCATCCCTAATGAATCGTCCAAATGACTAACGGTTTCAGCCCATGGGTGATAAGTAGGTTTATTTAGACCCAACATATTTTCCAGCTCTCAGTTGGCTTGTTAGCTCAGTTGATATAGCGCTGCACCGGTATCGCAGAGGTCATGGGTTCAAACCCCATTTTTTTTTTTTCAGGTCCTATTTTCAACTACTAGTTCAGTAGTGTTCTAAGCTGCGAGGATCTCTTAAATTCGTTTCTTCACCGCTGTGCAAATATATGAATTTCATACATCCAAAATCATTACCTTTTGCAATGTTTAAAATCATCTAGTTCAGAACATAAGAATAATTACATAAAACTACTTCGATCAAAGCCATCCAAGAAGATGTATTATTTTCGAATTAACAAATGGAGAACCTTGACTTTGCTCTGTTCTGTTATAAAGCACGCAGGAAGCGGCCAGAGCACGAAAGAAGAGTAGGGAGTTTCTGAGGCTTGCTTTACTGTGATAACCGGAGATCGCCATGATAAGCGAACCGCGATAAACTTCAGCATGATCATATTCGCTCAGACACCGTCATGATTAGTATGAATTTTAACAATTATGCTAGTTTGGTTATATTTTTCATAATTTCTGGTTTGTTCTGTTTTGTTCTTGGACACTGAACTTTATATGCTATACGAGTGTTAGCTGTGTTTGATTTTTACTACCGTTCTTAAGCTTGCAATCTAACTGAGCGTGAAAATCTTTAAAACTCGGAATGTTTATTTTGTTTTTCCTTTGAGGATTTTCGTATCTGCTCACGTTTTAATAACGTAAATTACGGCGCCTGGTATGTTTACAAACTTTTGTTTGATTCTTCTGTTGCTACTTGCCGGCTCGCTTCAGTTCCGAAATTTCACTTTCAGTTATCGGAACAAAGCTAAAAAGAAGTTCCGGAAAAGCTCCAACATAGTACAGTTGGCAGATGGCGGGACAGCTTTAGCTCAGCTCTATGCTCTAAACTCTCATAGAGCACGCTCTTTCAACCAATGACAGCGCGCGTTATATCCGAACTTTATTATAATAACAAATAAAGCGAAAGCGAGGAAGCAATTATGAAAATGGTCAGATTATTTCTTGCTTTCACAGCAAGAAACTAAAGTTTAAACCCATTACTTAGGTGAAATGAAGAACCATGTTAACACCCATGCAATGCCATAGTCAGAGCAGTAAAACAGTTTCGTGTAACAATAACAATGATGGGAACGATGAACCAAATATGCAGAGGGAAATGTACAGTGACTGAACTTCATGATCATGATATTCCACAATAAAGTTCCTGCTCAGTGTCCATATCCTGTTTGAGTTCTTAACGCACAATATTGAAGACAAAGAGAAAATTTTCTTTTTTATGGAGGAAACTTCCTTTAAAATTATTGAGCTTAATTTGAAGCGCACCCTTAACATCTTAGTCACAGACAAGCTGAATTTTTCTTCTCTGTTCTCTGGAGATTCCCTAATTCAGTTACATTCTTAGTGTCCTTCCCTTGAACTCCATCTTTTCCAGTTGTATACAAAGGTGTTATTTGAACCCCAGGTCTTGATTTTTATACTTCCATTATGTGTTCAAGGAGCACATCTTGTCTGTTTTCTTCAGTCCAAAGGTATTTGCTCTGAATTACGCTACGGAGGGAAAGGTGCTACGTGAGGTTTTCTGTGAAATATCGGAAAAGTATAGAAAATATAGGAATTCAAAGCGTATGCTCAATTTGTGGTAGTTTTGCTCATTTAGTTTATAGCTCCGTGGTTAGTCGGAGCTTCATTATGACAGAAAGTAATGTAGTTAACCGTTTTCGTGTCCCAAAAAGCGGTGAAGATGAAAGTGAACTGCTAAAGGAGTGTCTCCAAATCAACCGTTGGTGTAGTTTTTCTTGTTTGCATTTCATGCCATGCATAAATCTAGATATCTAATAAAAACGTATATCCAGATCACTGGATATGCGTTTTTATCGAATATCTAGATTCATGCATGTGACGAAATACTTTTCCCTCATTGGCAGATAACCTCATGAATAATTAATGAGTTCGAGAACGTAAGATCGTAGCCTGCTCGTTCTTAATTCCGAGAACAATACGATCACGGATCAAACTGTTCCATAAACAGTCGCAAAAATTAAATGTCTTGGCTAACATTTTCAATTCAACGACAAAACCATCGGTAAAATTTCCGCGCAGCCATATGCTATTGTAAAACAAATCTGTTGTCCCAATGGCAATGTATTGTTTTTGTCATTTTTTCTCTATCCAAGAACTGAATGCATAATGTGTATGGGGCTGTTGCGGAAATTTTACCCCCTCGCGTTATTACATGGGGGCAGCGGTAATTTTTTTTTCGCCGTAAATAGTTTTAAAAAATGGTCGCCATGTTGTGAAGTCACGTGGTTATCTAATCTGATATCCATCTAAGACTGGCCAATATTGCAAATACGACTTGCGTTTCAGAAACGTCTACGTTCAAATCATGCCATTTAGTGTTTCATTGAACTAAAAGGAATTTGTTATTTTAACTCATACACATCTCCAAATGAAGTCATCGAATGACTTTCATGGATACGCACGAATGCTGACAGATGCTAATGAAGTAAAAAAAAAAACAATACTGTATGTATATTATTTGCATAACTAATGTTGATTCTGGTCTGATTATTTCGGTATTGCGTTTCTTTACTTGAGTCCGAACGGTTTGTGCAGGTGAGCCACATTTTAACTTCATATATGTGCAAAGTTAAGAACAGGAATTCATGCAATTAACGGTGTCCACTCTTAGGGTCAAGGTAGGAGAAGTTTCTTCAGGTTTTTTTGGAGCATTTGACACCGAAAGTTGTAAGACTGGAGACCAGATACAAAGGTTCGATTTTCTGGACATAAACCGCTTCCAATTACTGAAATCCTCAGTTTTTGATAAGATAGTTTGTGTTCTTTACTATAAGAGGTACATTTTTGTCGAAAGCGACGTTTCGTGACGGGCTCCTTTGCTCGTTCTGGTTGACATCATTTGCATGTGGTTTGCCCAATACAAAAAAAAACTAAAAGCGGCTCGTGTTTACCGGGTTTCTTTCGAGAAAGTGGATAGCGAGTCATATTTTCAGACAAAGCATATAGACGCTACTACTACTATTACTAGCACTACCACTACGTACTATTGCTGCTGCTGCTACTGCTGCCACTACTACTTAACAAATAGAGAAGTCTTGACTGTGCTCTGTTCTGTTATAAAGCACGCAGGAAGCGGCTAGAGCACGAAAGAAGTGTAGGGAGAAAAAACCAATGACAGCGCGCGTTATATCCGAACTTTATTATAATAATATATAGATTTAGCCTAGCCTTAAAGAGGAGCTCTTGTTAGTCTGTTTTCCAGCCCTTCACTGTAATGAAAACTGTTATACACCTCTTCATCACTGGCTGTAGAAGAGTTTCTTCAAGGGGATGTTAATAGTAACCAGTCCGGGGAATGAGGAGGGGGGGGGGGGTGGAGGAGAATTGACGAGGTCTGCAACCTTGGAACGATGTTCTCACAACTTGCAAAGCGATCAACACGCATGCTAGTCAGTAGTACCTTCAAGGTCCAAGTTCAAGTTATTGTTCGTTATGTTTTGACCATTTTTCGAAGGTCGGGAATGTTTTCTTCTTCAGATGAAGTGCATGATGTCGGCATCAAGCTTCAGTTGAAATGATATTCTATTGAGCATGATTGATAATTTCGTTTTGGGAAAATGAGCTAAAATTGATGTGCTTGCCCCACCGTTTTTCCCTAACGTTTCAACATCCTCTGATAAAAAAAAGTCATTTTAAACTCGTGTTCGAACTTGTTATGTTTTTTTTAACTTTTTCTCTTTGGCTATTTTTTTTTCCATGATTATCCTCTGGCTGGAAATACACTGTGTCTTTTTGAGATTTTTCCTGTCATTTGATTCAGTAACCTCTGTTGTAACTGCATATAATGTAGGTGTCTTTAAGCCATCTTAAATTCATGATCTTAGTAACTCTGGCTACTAAATTCGAAATTTGTCTAACATGTTTCATGCGCTGCGAAAGTTTTATTTAAAGGAAGACAAGTTAGAACGAGAATATCATGATTAAAAACTTGAGGTGATAGCTGGATTCAATCCATAAGTAATTTTTTATAGCAGAAATCAATTCCAAACATCAGTCAAGTTTTCTCTTTAGTTTAAAAGTTGAGTTAATGTTATTATTGGCTATATTAATTAGGTTGAAAAGTTTTAGTTCGTATTTTTTCATGTTTGCAAATAACTGAATTTAGTGGGAGGTGGATTTGTTGCAACATGTTGACATGAAACACAACAATAAATTTTATTGATGTGTAAAAACTTTTCATTTGACTATCCACTGGAAGCTGGAATACTTTTATAGCCATCACGAAGCGATGCCACGTGTGAGTGTAATATGATAGCTTTTTCCACAAGGTAAATTTTCCGTTGTCGACTCGTCGCTTTTTCAAACCTAAAATTTCTTTGTTTTTCACAACAACGCAATACTAAGGAAACTTATGCACTGAAAAACAAAGGCACATCAGTCGCACATTTATTTCGACCGTGCGCGCAAAAAAATTGTATATGCACGTCTGATTACCCTACGTCTGAGCGTGTGAAATCCGTTTGCGCAGTTACCATATACACAAGCGGTACAGTAGTTCCTGTTGCCAATGTTGTGATGAGGTTGGGCTGTCAGGACAAAGGAACAGAGGATTTTACTGGGCAGTGAATTTTTTCAAACCTGGAAACTATCATCATGAAAAACCATACTTGTGCTTGGTAACTCATTCTTAGTCTGATAAACTAGTTTTAAGAAGGATGTAATATTTTATTACATAAATTTGATGCGTAGGCTGTGCACAAACTTTATTTTGAGTATACTTTCATAGCAAATAACAATCCATACACACAATAAGATGTTAGTAGGATCAGAAGAAAGTATAATGTGCCATGCATCTGCAAGATTTCACGTAATTATTTCATTTGCATGAATATTAACTGATACTAGGAGATCTAAGAATAATCAAAAGAGTATAAAATTTGGTTGCAAAACTAGAACTCAGCATGGGGCGGATAATCAAGATTGTTAGAAAAAGAAATGTTTACTCTTGAAAAAGCTAAGCAAACTGTTTTACAACACTTGCCTGTACCTTTTCGGCACGTAGTTAAGTCACTCGAAGTAGTCATAATCCTGGTTTTAATGTTAAAAACACATACACATAAATCTGTAGTTCAAGCTTGCGATGACTGCATAATTTTGATACACACCTCAAAAGGACAACAAATAAATTTCAAGTTTCTATTTATTCAGTTTAGGTTAGTGAGGTAAAGTTGAGTCAAACATTCATACGAAGACAGGTTTAAGAAATTTTCACAACTGAGTTATACACGACTTTCATAATGGCGGACATCGCGAGAGTCCTGGATCGAGTTGCATGAAAACGAGGTCAGAAAGGCCAAACTATCGCGTCGCGTCCCTCTTTGTTTGCTATGGCGAGTACTTCGAAAGTTTCAAAATCCGACATTTCTTACGGAAAACGATATACCTGGCGCTTCTCTTCTTGGAAGAAAACCTGAGGAGTTAAAAATCTCAGAGATTAAATTTTGGCTTAAATGTTGTGGAGACGCGGTGAAGTGAGTGCATAACTGCATACGAAACTTGGTTTCTAGGCCGAACAAGGGCAGAAGCTGCTTATTACTTTGAACATTTTATTAAGTTTGCTTAAGCAAAGCTTTTCAATTGAAATTGTCTGGCAAATAACAAAAGTGATTGTGAAGTCTTGTGAACAGCTACATCTGGTTGACCCTGTCATCTACAGTTTTCCTGCAAAAGCTATTTTATGACATCTCTGTTTTTTTCAACGGAATTGGTAATACCATGTTTCTACATTCAAATATTCTTAATTGTCGTGAATTTACTTGTTGACTGGGAATTAATACCTTAGATGAATAAATTCTTACTGTTTTGTAGCTTTAATTTGTTGTGGGTTGAAATTTTTCCAACCAGTTTGATTTTTGATCTCCTTTGTATGGAGACAAAGTATGCTAAAGAATACAAAGGAAAATTAAACTAAACTGGTTAAACATTTTGCACTAAAGATAATTTAAACACAACATAGGCAACATGGTCTTTACAGACAGAAAAGAAGTCGCTCAATTATGATGTAAACCTTACAATAAATAGTCAGAACAGAGGGGAAAATGTTGTCTTTATGTTAACGCCCAATTTGTAGCCCCTTACAATCTAGGGAGAGAAGAGATTTGTAGGCAATTTATGGGTTAAGTAATTCATTCATGCCTCACGTGAATGTGATATTCACACTAATATTATGTTAGGTTGTGCATTACAACAGAATGCACACACTGCCCACATCTGGTTTACAATTCCCATTTGATGTAGTGGAACAACTCTGTCCCAGATGTGAAAATTCTTAATCTTGTTAAAAGCAGGTTCAACATGTATCCGTAAACTTGCAATTTACCACATCTTCTAAAGCTATCTGAGAAGATGCTCCAAGAAAGGATGGCAAATTTAAACTGACTCCCAAAGGCAACAAATCCTAAACTATGAATCCCTTATCTGCCGTAATGGAGTCTTTGTTATCAAATGGTAGATTTAAGAATCCACTCCATCTCACAATTTCCTGATCGTAGATAGAACCTGCATACAGTTGACTTGAATGTCACTGCTCCACTGGGAGAAATACCAACCAAACCTTTCAAAGTTGTGTGATTTTTGTAAGCACTGAAAAGTTCTCAATTCAACTGCAAGCTGCTTGGCATTTGACATATAACCTCAATACAGTCAATTATGACTCTAGTAGATCTGTACCTTCCCTTAAAAGATTCGGGTATCGTATCAATTACTTTTCTGCTGGGCCAAATGCTTATTTGTCTAAACTTAAAGAACATAAAATTGACCCATGTGAAAAATATTCTACTTACTGTGGATGCTTATACATTAAATAATTGAGCTAGATGGTCCTCTGGGAACCCTTGCCTTGGTCTACACATGACTATTAAAAAATTAATCATGGGGCCTTAAAGATCTAGCTCTTCCCTTTTTTGTTAGTAGTCTGCCCTCACTGTTATCAGACTCAGTGATGTTGTCAGTTTTTGACCACCAGTAGGAAATAATAAAGATACTCAAAAACAGCCATTAAAGTGTCCCAGCTTTGAAAGCCAGTATAAAAAACAGCATTGGAATCTTTTGACTTACAGTTTTTAAAGTTAAACAATCTTTTATTAAGAGCATCACGTTGCCGCTGGGTATCTTGAAGTTGGCGCTTACGTTCCTCAATTTCCTGTTCGAGTTTATGAATCTTGTTGTTATTGTTGTCAATAATTTCTCTCAAGTAGGCCTCCTGGTCGGTAAAATCAGTTTGTGTTTCGTCTTCGACTTTTCAGCTACAATCTGGTAGATCTGGGACCATTTCGTTTGATAATTCGTTTGACGATTCATTTGATAATTTTTCAAGAACAGCAGCAGGGGTAGACAATTTTTGTGATGCACTTTTCGAAGCTGTCAGTTCCAAGTTTCTTTCCGCCGGCTCCTTTCCTTTGCGTGGCGATGTTCGAATCCATAAAAACACAGAAGGGACACCTCCATCTCTTAGTTCATTTTTGACCGCGAGACATTTCTAGTATAACCTTTCCTGAAATGCTGGGAGCGTATCTTTGTATTTTCAGTTACCTTGAAGTGCTTTCCCTCGTCTCTTCTTATCGCGTAGAGGCATTTCTTCTTAACGGGTTCTCGGTCGGAAATTAAAAATAAGACACTTTTGTCCCATCGTCTATCCGGTAGTATTTCTTCGTACATTCTGGAACACAACAATGAGTCGGCATTTTCTCTTCTTGTAAGTAATTCGACCGAATCGAGTCAAAACAGATCACCTATTCAACCTTAGTTGACTTTTTGTTTACAGTGTTGTCCTTGGGAGTGGCCTTTCTGACCTCGGTTTCATGTTTAATTAATTACCAGTCTCGCGCACCGCGGCCATTATGAAAGTCGTGTATAAGGTTAGCCTACCTAGAACAATAACCTTCTTGTAAAAATTAGACCAGGTTTGTACTGATAATGAGAAAAATCACTGTTTTACAAGAAATTAATGATCAAGAATTGGCATCAAACGAAAGCCCTGGGTCTGCCATAAATTTTAAACTTAAGAGATTACTTTAAAAATAGAAATATGCTCATGCGCAAAAGAACTATCTGTGGTACGAGGGCAAGCTTTCCTTTCTTCATATAAAAAATACTGAGGTTATCATCTTTCCGCAAGTTCAGTGGAAAGTGAGAGTGAATGAAACTGGTAGTGTCTATGTTATGAGTAAATATCCAGGGGAGGATAAAAAGTTAGATATGGTCTGCACAACTCTCTCTTATTTCATTTTTTTAACTTTTAAAGCTAAAGCATTTATATTCTTGCTTTTCGCATTACGTGATCACATATCTTGTGACCAATTCATTATATCAATATTTAGTTTGAGTGAGAGCATTGGTAAAAAACACTATGCACTATTGAAAGCTTGAGTATTTAACCCAATCTAAATAATGATATTATATGTTACAATGTGGTTAATTAAATATATATAATCACCATTCCAAACAAAGGAAGTCAAATTATAGACTCACCTGCTTCAACTTTTGAGGGCTTAAGATACAGAGAAATGGATGTGGAAAACAGTTGGGATTAATATAAAGTTGAAAGTTTGAAAGCTAAAAGATACACATTAGAATCATCAAAGCCTATGCATCTTAGCAAAATGAGAGTCAGTTACCACCACAACTTCTCCCAAACATTCATGCTTACAGGAAATCATTAATTTTTCTCATTAGATGGTACTGGACTTACCATAGTTCTACCAACACAAATGCCTTTTTTTGAAGTTATCTCATAGCATATGACTGTAACATTTTGATTTCCTCAGCAAAATTTAATCGTTAGAATTGCAAGCCAAGGTGTATTTACCAAGTTCTCAAGTTTCTAAATTAGTTATCTAATTGTTACAGTCAAGTTCACTCCTTTTTTTTCTCACATATTCAAATGATTACCTGAATCAAAAGTTATGGTTTTTTTAAGAACCTGCTTCCTCTAATTGTGCTTTGGATATAGTAATTAGCATTGAACAGAAAGGAAGAAAGTTCTTGAAAGATTCTATGTTAAATGAAACTTCGTTATGAATGATAACTGCGACGGCAACAAAAACATCTGTGAAGCTATGATAACAATTACCTTTCCATGTAAACAAACCAAAATGAAGCATGATATAAATAAATTAAATCTCACCCAGTTTGAATGTATAATCTAAAATCTAATTAACTTGCTGGTGAATGGGAAAAAACTTCAAAGTGTTTTTCCTGCTTTTATCATTCTGAATATCTCAAATCAATCACCACTTCGGTGTGACTTTTTTGACGTTGTGTACTTTTTCTTATGGTCATCTATTATTAGTACGTATCTTTTACCAGCTGACATCTGAGAAGAATCAAGTGCACTTTCAATTTTCTTTTCATTACTTGCAAACAGCTTATTTCTAGTTGCTTTGAAAACTTCTGTTGACATTACCCATGAAAATTAGTATTGCTTTAAAAACACTTATAATGGAGAAACAGGTTTTTCCATTGTAAGTGTTTCATAAGATAAGATTCTTATCACATTTTTTTGTTTCAAAGCCTAAGTATAATTTAATCATTACAGAAAGATAGCATATAAATGTAACATTTTATTCCAGTAAAGTGTTCTAATGTAGAATGAAGCTTCGAAGTAATTGAAATTAAGTTGACTTCATGATTCAGATTTTAGTTAAAGAAATGTGTGATACCTCTTTACAAGGATTAAAAGGGAATGCCATTTATGAATTTTAAAATGGTAAATGCCAAAAACTAAAAGATAGAGTTAAAAAAAAACAACTACTAAAATATAGCATATCTATGCACTGAGGTTTTATTCATTAGATAGCACACAAAGACATAAAAGAGACTTTGTGAAAAAACCAGGGCAATATAATTAAAGATTCAGGAAATGCATATGGAAAAGAGAACTCTTTAACACTTCCGTTTTATCTTCTCACACTTGAATTAAAACGTAAAATTCAATATTTGCAGGCAGTTTAGGAAGGAAATTAAAGGAATGGATATATGTTACATGAAAAGAAACCCGTCACGATAAAATAAAGCAGAGGCATATTACCTACATTTCTATGCTTCTAAATACAGCTAAATAGGTATTTTTTGAGCAATTACCTACATATGTAAACCGGGTGCAATGTACGGTCGTAAAAGTAATTTTATTTTAACCTTCCTCCTTGAAGAGTGCCTTGTGTATCAAATATATCAAGTTCAGTACCTCCAGAGTCATAAGGCGGGCTTTTGGGGAAACAAAATAATAAAATAGTCACCGAGGTATGCCAGGCCAATTTATCGAGAGTCAGTTAAGTATAGTTTCGCACGGAAAGTGCTGCACTTGTGCTACACATACGAATTTATGGTTCTTTATTACACCCATTTTGAAATCACTGGTGGTCCCTGTAATCTGATTGGCTGTAATTGGTGCGATTTATTCACGAGTTGCACCATTTTTTGCTTTAAATCGCATCATTTTCCCAGCCAATGAGGAGGCTACACTGAAAAAAAACAACCAATCAGATTTCAAGGCTTGTATAAAGTAACCAATCTAATCGTAGGAAAAAGAAAGGCAAAGGGTATCATGTGGCAAATTTTGCAAGCTTTGTTTCCAAAACTCTTGTTTTTCCCCCCCCAAAATGGATGAATTTAATTTCAAACTAGCTCAGTACTGCATCAATAAAATATTTGAATTGACCAAGTCCTGTATTTGGGCAATTTCAAAATGGATGTAATAAAGTGGTAATTAAACCTTGTGCCGTGCAATTTTGATCTGAAATCATACTTGTGATTTCGTTCGATTTTGAAATCACAAGAATGATTTCAGCCCAAATTGCACTCCACTCAGTTCAATTACCATAATTAATTACTGATGAAATTCTGAGGGTGTGACTCAATTAATTCAAAAGAAAAGGCCAAGCAGGTTACAGAAATGGTTGACGAATTATAAACTGATAAATGGGGTATCCAATCATGGCTGCGCATTACCTACTCCCTCGCCCTTAAATTAATAATGGCTGAGATATTGCCTCCAATGCAGTTAGCCGTGCATGCTAAAAGTAGCACCTTTTACGGTCGGTAGTACGTTCTCAGGTCCAAAATTTTCCGGCTTGATGGGTTTTTATTACTTCCTATCATTATGGGGTTACGCTGCGCGCACTGGTGGCTCCGCTACCACCACCACGACTGCCAATGTTAACAGCTGCATTGAATATTTTTTAAACAGACAGTGCATTCAAGGCTGACGTTGAGATGGATTTTCTGGGGATTAGAGGAACAAAAGGTTTTTGTGTTCCAGATTATTTCAACTTTGCTGACGTTATAGACGAGTGGGCACAAAAAGAAAAGGTAAGTAGAAATGTTTATAGAGAAGATAATTTTGTCGACACTCATTGAATAGCTTCAAAGAGAATTATTTTTCTCAGTTTATCATAGAACTGTAAATACTGACTAAATTCTTATTTTAACCAATGTTTGTCGTAGTCATATTGCAATGATTCTAAGTAATAAATGGTTTTTCACGAAACTTTCTACGTTGAAATCTGGTTTTTTAGTGTACCCATCTACACGAGTATGTATGAAAGTGTACATGTGTCGATGGCGTTATCTCTAAGCTTTTTTAGTTCAAGGGTTGTTATCAAGGTATCTGATAAACTAAAGATTCGTTTGTGTACGAGGAAGTGGCATTCAAATAACTTGTTACACTTCTTGAAATAATCGAAATTCATTCTCAGATTGAAAGAAATCGTCTAACCCACAATTTAAAGGTACTCTGTGTGGTGCATACGAACGCTCGAGAAAGCGCAGAGTCCTGTTGTTATGGTTTGTTATGTCCTCAAGTCCCAGACGTAGGATGATAATAGAAACTTGATGGATGATAAATTATTTATTTTTCGCTTCATGGGTATCTAAAAATGTTGCAAAAACAACAACGTAAAAAAAACAGGCAAACAAAAATTGCACAGATTCGAAAACTGAAAAGCGAAATGATGTTGGTCGAACCACGTGTGACAGACTAAAAATTATTGACATTGTCATTTCTTTTTTTCTGATGTCTGCTCATCATATTACCACATACAAAACCCGGTTGATAAAAAATCATAAGTTTCTATCCTTCAATCAGAGAGGCAGAACATTCTGAACAAAATAAGTTGACAGAATATTCATGTTTAGTTTCTTTTAAACGAGTTTCGTTTCAAATAACCTGTCTCGTACGTCTTCAAGGACAAAGCTTTGGCCCTCTGTCAATACACCAAATGAAAAAAAGATTTTTGATGATAATTGAAATAAAAATAAAGACAATAGTGATAATGACTATACACCTACTAATAATAATCATAGTAGCGATGAAAATAATATTTAATTTGATTTTGAATCTGCTTCTCTTGTCACTATGAGTGTTATACGATTCCTGTTTAGCCGTAGAAAGTTTCTCCAAACTGTGAGGATATAGACGTATATATGTTTTTAGATTCTGTAGGTTCGATTTCGGCCTCTCTCTGAGGTCCGGACAACGTTCCGTTTTAGGCTCATTTCTTAAACAGCGGATGGTTTCCCATATTACGCTCCTGAATTCGGGTATCTTTCATGTTCTTACAGGAGGGCAAAAAACAAAGTGATCATCCAGCTCTGTGGTGGATTGATGGTGCTGGTAACGAGGTTAAGTGGACTTTTGGAGATGTTGCTGTGAACTCTAAAAAGTAAGACACATCCTTCTGTATGCAATTTACAAAGAGCAGCCATAGTCTTAATTTGCAGAGACCTGTAAATACTTTCAAAAGAGTTGAGACAGCATCTATAATTGTCATTGAATAGAAAACGTAAAATCTTCAGTGCTATGTCTCATTCATCATAATTGATTAGGAGCCGGAATGACTAAGGCGTTAAAATAAATGTCAGTGAATGTATCAAGCTAATATTGCAAAATGGAAACAAGATGTGACTGAGGATCACTTCATTTTACATCTTCCTTGTTATGTTTTCAAAAAGGTTATATGCGTACACATTCCAAACTCGCTTCACTCTGATATTAATGAATAATTTTTCTCTTGTTTTGAGAGCTGCTAATCTTCTGTCTAATGAGGCTGACGTCAAACCAGGAGATCGTGTGATGGTGATATTACCCGCAATTCCAGAATATTGGCTGATACAGGCGGCCTGTTTGAGAACAGGTACTGAATAGAGCTTTTTCTTCAAAGATAGACACTTACATTGAAGTGGACCCGTTACTATTAATGGTTTAAGAGGAACAGACAAGTACATTGAAGTGGACCCATTACTATTAATGGTTTAAGAGGAACAGGGACACAAAATTGAAAAACGAGAGGAGGAGGGGTTATCTTCAGCGTTTTATTGAGGGAAGTTTTGAAAGGAGATACTCAGCCTAGTGGTTTACGGTCAAGTCGCCCGGAAGTTATCTCGCTCGTAGCCTGAGTCATGTCGCCCGAAATAAAAATCAAGTCGCCCAATTTTTTCATCACTTGTAAACACATCAAAGTTGCAAATTTTTAGAAATCGCTGAAGGAACCGATTGATCAAAACACCCTTTATTGTATTTTCTTACATTACCAATCCTTCAACAGTGAAATGTCACTGTAACAGCTGCCTCATTCAAACGTTCAGCATATATAACCAAAATAGACAAAGATTGTTTTTGTGACACTTTTTAGATTATACACTATAACGCAAACAAATTGGAGCTTAAACGTAATGCAGTTCAAAGTTAATGAATTTTATATTCATTTCCAGGTAGCGTATTCTTGGTAATGCCAACAAATGTTGGTCCAAAAGAGCTTCACCGAAGAATGTTAAAATCAAAACCAGTGTGTGTGGTGGCAGCTCCTTGTGATCAGGTCAATAACGAACTACTGGATGTGGTAGATGAGGTGCGTCATTCCTAATTCATTAAATTTTATTCTTTCGTTTCATCGTCGGTAAATATTTATTCATCCACGGGGGAAGCCACTGGAAAACTATTTTTCAGTGAAGTGACTCACGCCATTTAGATATAATTTCAGAGCTTCTGTTCTCCCTTTCCTTTCGGTGCAAAACAAAATGGCTGTCGGTAGCTCTCGAGGTTTCTTCACCAATATCTAACAAAGATATCCTCCTGGTGAGAATAAATATAATTTCAAATTTAACTAATGTATTTTCAAGAACTCTTGAAAAGTCTACTAGCTTCTTTCTTTGAACTAAAACTAATAATTTGATAGAGCTTTGGTTGACGATAGTGCGACTATAACTTCACTGAATTTTAATACCAGTTTAACCGAATTAAACTCCATCGATTATCGCTAGACATCTGTCAAAGCTCTTTGATATTATATTTTATATTATATAGGTAAAAATAAAATAATGATAAGAGAAGCGTTAGTAATCATATAATAGTAGAATCACAAACTACGCTTACTTGGTTCCCGTTAAGAAGAAAGCGAACCCTAATCTACTTCAGTTGAAGCAAATGAATGTCAAATTCTTACTTAAGGTCCTTTGGGATACAAATCAGTCTGCAATGTACACAGCAGCAGTCGGTTGAATCAGTACACATATTTTTGGCGTTAGGGTTATAGTCCTGAACAATAGATTTAAGTGAGTCGTCCACGATCGTGATAGAACACACATCCATGAAGACCGCGTCCTCTCTGAGTGTGCCAATCTCACACACTCCAGCTGAAATATTTCAACGCAAGAAAAGTTGTATTTTAACTTCAGACTTCTCCACTGTTCGACTTCGCCTCGGGAATCATTCGACAACATTTCTCTCACGACAAATAGCTAATGTATTTCAAATCTTTGCCTCAATATAACGTTATCCTCACGTATCACTAAACTGCGCTGCATCAGATATGTAATATTTTCCACATGATGTATTGTAACATTTTGGCACTGTGTTTTTTTAACGGATCTTGTATGTTTTCTAGCGCTAATTTTTCACGATAAGTGGCAACGTTAACCGTTGATCTGTTACTTCTTCTCTGTTCTAGGTTTTTTGCTCTGCGGAAGTCGATATACGAAGCAGGATTTTGGTCAACAGAATGAAATATGAAGAAAGGTAACCTCAAGTTTTTAAAAGATCTTTCAGTTCACTTCAAGAAATATCCTTATGAATTTCTATCAAAAGGATAACTCGTTGAAAAAAAAGACCTTTTTATTTTGCAGGCGAAGAGATTGGCTCTTATTTGAAGATCTCTTTCAAAAAGCAAGTGCTGATTATCACGTATGTGAATGATTCATACATGATTTTATCCCTGCTTTCAGCCAGTGACTTCAGTAGCAGTACGGTACCCTTCTGACTGATATAGCTCTGCGGGGCAAAGTAAGCTGCGGATGCTCTTTCAACAGGGGAACACACGACAGTGTTCTGGTTTGTCTCCCCTACTTCCCACCTAAAAAGGGCGCAGGGACAAGCCCTGACCTCGTAAATAACGCATTGAACCTCAGGTCGAGAGGTCCGAATTCGAGCCTGGCCGGCTCGTGGCGTTTAATTTTGCTCCCAGGCAAGAAATTTCATTCTAATCACCCTTCTCTACCATGGGGTATCGATGGGTACCTGCAAACTTTAAGGTAAACCACGCGAAATCCCAAGAGATAAGCTGCTTTGTCATGCCTTTCCTTTTTCATTAGTCCGTGAAGTCTCAAAGCTCAGATCCTGTAATTATATACCACACAAGCGGAACAACGGGGAATTCTAAGATGGTAGAACATTCACAAGCCAGCACAGGCCTGTGTAGTGGTGGAATGAGGAGGTACGTCGCTTGGTTGGTTGAGTTACTGATAAATTAAAATAGAAGAAAATGAACATGATTTGTCGATGGCCAATGTTTTTACATCTTTTTTGTAACCATGGTAAAAAGAAAAAATAATTGGAAAAGTGCAACCGCAAAGAATAAAGCAATTCTAAAAAGTATTTAAGCCACCAATCAATTGACAGTTTTTGGATCATAGCGATACCTGAGCAGTCGAATGCCTGTGGCATACTAAATTAATAAGTCGACAGCCTTAATCGTACACATTTACATATGGAGCAACAAATTTGCAATTGCGACTCACTCTAAAGAGCATTTTATTATTCGTAGTATATGCATCTTAGTTGCCACGCCTGACATGGAGATTCCCTGGTTATCATGAACACTGTTTTTGGTACTTGCATTCTGAGATGAAAATGAAGTTCTTCTCAAAACACGAATATCCCTTCAGTGCGTAACACTTTGAACACCTGAACGTCCTGTTATCTCCAAGGCAATTTCCCTTTTGCTAATAGTTTTGTTTGGAAGGTTTACGAGTCTGAAGCGGGCCTCAATTGTTATTTCGTTTTGTTTCAGGTCTCATTTCGTGGAATCTGACTTGATTTGGATTGCTTCCCCCACGGGTTGGCCAGTTCTCTCCAGCGTCAGTTTCTTCTCGACCTGGTCTGTTGGCGCTGGCACGTTTGTCCATTATGTTGCATTTGTGACCGCCCGTGAAGCTTTGGAGACCCTTCAAAAGCATCCGATTACTGACGCACAATTTAGCCATTCACTTTACTTGAAAGCCTTAGACGACGAGGATCTCAAGAGCCTTAGCTTCGCGAAATTAAAACGCTTTTTTGTGGCTGGAGAGCCAACGAGCAAGCATATGATTCGCAGATGGAAAGAGGAAACAGGGATAGAACTCTGGAATTACTATGGTCAAACGGAAACCGTACGAGTCTTGTAAATAAACAGAGGTTCATGGGTTTCCTGATCGAGAGAGAGACTCAGGGACTAGATACATTTTCTTATTCTACTTTTCGGTTTAGAACCTAGAAGACATTGTAATTATCGCCAACGGGTGCGTGATTTTATAAATGTTGGAAACAGAAAACTGACGAAATTCACCCTTCGTACTAGTGATTTAATTAGAATAAGTATGAAAATAATTTTAGAAAAAGATGTCTTTTCGTCTTGTCACGAGCGTGGGACAAAGAAAAAATTCTGATTCCCCATGAGGTATAGAACCTCAGACCTTCGGATTCCACGCTCCGATGCTCTACCACTGAGCCACAGAGACTCCACGGTGAGCGAGGTCTATTACAAAGTCCATATGACACGCGTTCTGCATACTGCTGGGATCAGCAGAATCTCTTATTTCTAGCGCTGGGATATATTTTAGTATCAACAATTATTGTAAATAGTGAACTGTATTTCTTTATGCAGGATATCTTGACTTTTCCAAGAGAACCTGGGGATGATTCCCGTCCCGATTCAGTCGGGAAACTTCTTAACGGTATCGATATGCTGGTAAGTTCTTAAAAATACATTTATTGAATGATTAGATTGCCCCCCCCCCCCTCTCTCTCCCTTTCCCTCCTTCCCCTTCTCTCCCTCCCTTTCTCTCTCTCATTTTTCTTGATGTTATTGCGTCTCAGATTGTCGATGATAAATACAATGAAGTAACCCCAGGTACACAGGGAAGAGTTGTTATTCGTGTGAAGCCTTATTGTCCCGTGGGAATGTTCACTCGTTATGTGGTAAGTTAGCCGCTAAACAACACAGTAAATCTCAACGGTACAACATCCAACACGCTTGCAATTTCTAGAAAAAGTAGCAGTAAGACTTTATGTGCCTTTTTGACCATGAATGTTCTCTTAAATGAATTTTTTTTGCAGGACGATCCAGAGAAAACTGAGTCATGTTTTTGCAGAGATTTCTTTATCACTGGTAAAAACAACGGAACTAAAGGGAACTAAAGAAAGATGGGACTTTTTCCTCCAAGAATTTGACGACTTATTCTCAATTGAATGTTCTAAAAGATTTTTTGGGAAATTGTTACAACTATTTTCAAAAAAAGTGGATGGTTGTACAGTTATAGCTATGAAGTGGAATTCTTTGCATATCCAGTGTTTCATTTGGATAGGGATGCGACTATCAGGAGATGTGGACGTCTAAATTGGCATGAGTTTGTTTAACAAGAAGTATCGACAAAGTATTTCACCATTCTACTCGGATCCAATTCGCTTTTACTCATATCTAATATGAAAACTACATATGATGCATGGAGTACTTCTTGATTTTTGGGTTTTTTTTTTAGATAATAGTATACTTAGCAAATTGGTCATATTTTTGTTGATAGGTGATTTGGGTCGAATGGACGAAGACGGTTATTTCTGGATCGTTGGAAGAACTGACGACGTTTTAATCATCGACGGGTAAGAGCAGGACAGTGCATGTGAAGGTGATTTTGCTTCACCAGCATTTTCCAATTCAGTCCAGTTACATTTGACAATTGTTTGTTCTAATTTCCTAACACTCGTCGTCCAGTTGACTAAGAGCAGGATAATGCGAGTGAAGGTGATTTTGCTTCACCAGCATTTTCCAATTCAGTCCAGTAACATTTGACAATTGTTAGTTCTAATTTCCTAACACTCGTCGTTCAGTTGACTATTTCTTTCATTCTCTCTTTTATTACGCAAGTTATTACAACGGGGACTAGCTCTGGTCTCTCTAGGAAAGTGTGGGTCACCGCTTATAAAGGTGACATTTACGGAGCTGTCAGTCTAACCTTCGTCATGCTTTTACACTTTACTGGCGAATCACCCTAAGCTATGAAGAGCGAATAATATTCGCATACCAAGTAGATACCTTCGCGGTGTTTAGGCTTTACGAAATGTCTTGCTAACTTAAATCTCCTGGTCTTACGTCAAGTTCGGGTAAAACAAAAACAAGATTGACAATATAAAAAATTATAATAAACTTACTAACATAATTAAAATCGGTATGAACTGCTTGGGTGTTACAATGGAATGTTAAAGATATCTAAATACTTAAAATCGAACTTTGATATTTGTTTGCATACACGCAAACGCGGCAAAAACTACTAAAACAATTTGCTCAAAAAAGATATCGCGCTCATTAGTGAGATCGATGACAGGCAAATGTCGCCTTCTTAGTTCTGTCGCCAGTTGTATCGCTGGCTGGTCGGGGAAAGCCGACGTTAACGTTTCATTTCAATCAAAATGTACGAGGTGTATCAGGTATAGTTGTCACGTTGTTCGACATCGAAGGCTGATTCGGTATCACTTTCCACAGATCTGCTTGTGGCAGCTTTCGGAGGTCGACCGTGACCTGATAAACATTCAACAATTATTATTAAGCACTCGTAGACATAACCAGATGTGTATCAATTACGTTATGAAGCTGAAAAGAAGCTAAGAAAATGACGGAAAATTTAGTTGAATCTTTTTATTTGTGCTGAAGACGATAGTTCACGGGGTGCTCCATAGTCACAGCTGTTTCCCAGCCGGAAACTTCCCTTTGGTGTTTTCACCCTCTGTATGCATGGAAGCGTAACTGACTTGCTCACTCTATTGATTTAACCCACATTCCAGATGTAAAATAATCCCTGGCGACGTAGAAAACTGTCTTAAAGAACATCCAGCCGTATTGAACTGCGTTGTGGTCAGCGTTTCTTATCTCAATAGACAGGTAGGTCATTTGAATACTCAATACTTAACGTTGGCTAAGGCTAAAAAGGCTGGATTTCGATAGTTGCTGTGAGCGAGAAATCTCGAAAGAAGCGCACAACCATAAGTTAATGGTAAAAAGACGAAAACGAGGAGGCGATATATAGAGAGACTTCATCATGTGTCTAAAGACTCAATAGTTCGTGAGGGTTTCGCCTCAATGCCACAGAGTTTCTTAGATTTTACTTGTGCTCTCTGTGAACTTAATTCTGGGGAAGGTGAGGTTAAGGCTGCAGTTACCAAAGAGGTTTCTCGGGTAATTGATATGAAACTTTTTACCATTCCCCTGAAATGTGCCCTTGTGAATTCACTTAGCCTTCACTTAGTCTGCACTTGCAACTCTCGCTCTTGTTCTCGTTCTTGAGAAGACTTCTTGTTCCAAAACTGGTAAATAGGTCTTTTGGGCTCACCTTCGGTGCAAGAACCTATTAAATTCACGAGTGAAGTAGGGAAAATGAAACAGAGAGGTTAAAAAAATGGAGCTTAAGAAAATGATAGTGACAAACCAAAAAAGAGCTCCACTCGGTCTTACACCATGGTAGAACCATTTTGATTAGGAGATATTTCAAGAAATATTTGCACTGTGTAGGAAAACTTGGAATAGTCTGAGAAGAACTTCAAGAAGAACTTCTTGACTATATAACTGACTGCAGTTATATATAGACCATATAAAGGCACTGAATCGTGACTTATTATTGATAAGACATTCTGCTTGCGTTTGCTTTAGATCATGAAAGCTTTCATTGTGTTATCTAGTGGCTTCAAAAATGAAAATCAAGACCATTTGATCAAAACGCTACAAGATCACGTGACATACAATAGTGCATCCTGGATGTCTCCAGAGAAGGTTGTATATATAATCCTATCCTATAAGTTTAATCAGAGAAATAGATAATACGAATTTGAAATGAAAATCTTGAAATATGCCCAAAATGAAACATAAGCGTAAGAGTTGAAGCTATGACAGCATATCTAATATACTGCTCGTGGATTTGATACTTTCAAGATAGAAACAAGGAAATTTTAACCCTTGCAAGGAATTTTTATGTAAAGAGGGAAAATAACTCATCAGGTCCCTCTTCCTTTACAGTAACGGCTACGTTTCAAAGAAATTTGACGTGCTTAATGTCTGTGCATAAAGAGTAATTTTACCTGTCATGAAGCTCGTCTTTTCGAAAATATCAAGGGATGTATTCTCTATAATACATTTTTAAGATATGTGCATAACAAACTACATTATAAATTTTATCCAATTTTACAGATGGAATTCATCGATGATCTTCCAAAGACTGTAACGGGCAAGGTTGACAGACGAAAACTGCAATGTGCTGATTTGTGAAAAACCATCCAAGGAAAAATTGCCGCAGCTTTAAGTGAGATTGCAGCTTAGGACTGTGACATTGCAACAAGAGAAACGTTTCTGTAGCAAATAGAATTTGCATTTCTGTTTATCTTTAGTAACTGCGAAATTGTTTTACTTTTTTTTTTCTTTCAATCGAACTACTACTGTGATGTTTTGTCTCTATTCAATTAAGTTCGCGTTTTTGCATGAGGTTGTGTAAGAATTACGTAACACTGGTAGTCTTTTCTTTCTCGCCAGTATAAGCGTTGTTTTCGTTAAACAATTTCCATTGCCAGTTGATTTCAGTCGTTTCGTTACGGTTTTTGCCAGCGCCATGTTACTTTTGTTTAAGATTTTTACTACCGGACCCGGTTACGCCACAAATTGTAAGTTCGTTTCTATTTCGTAGCTTTGTCGTTATTTTTGTTGTTGTTATATTTGTACTTAGATATTTGTATTAATTATTTATTTTCAGTCGAATCACATTTGCACATCTACACATCTTTACATCTAAATATTTGTCTATCTGAGGTTAGATTAAACTTGCATTCGTGTTGTGGCGTAAAACATGTAGTATTTAGCTACAGTTTCCATCAATGCATTCTTTACATTCTAGTATAGCATATATAATATTCTAAGGAGGCAGTGCAGCCGAGTATTTAGGAAGATGTGACATATGACTTCTTGTTTACGAATAAATGATAAATTTTCTTTCAGTTTTTCTTTGCCGAGGAAAATTCTTATTTTATGACATGCATAACTATAAAACATGATCTATTGATGGTTTTAAAGCGAAACTGTGGTTGGCTGGTAACGATCGATATGAGTGTGTTTTTTGTACGCTCCTTCGATAAAAGAAAGAGTGATTCCTAAGTATGACCGATGTAATGAAGTAATCAAGCTTAGAAGTGTAGTTTCCTATGTTCTCTTTTATCCTCGCAGGTCCGAACGGTGAAGTCAAGTACTTGTACTTTAAAAAAAAACCTGTTTTGTGAGATTTCGTTTTTATTTTACAGATGTTTTTAACTTTTACTTTAGGGGATCTTTCAGTTTCATGGGCAGCAAAACATTGTGTGAAGTGATCATGAGCCAAAACTATCTTTTCACTTAACGTTGTGTATAATGCACCAAGCGAAGTTTATAATGATGACAATCTCTATGTCCTTTCTTCCCTTGCTCAAAGATATTCGGTTTGGATCCAGTTAATATATTTGTAGCCATGATTGGGTTCCATTTTTCTAGACAAACAACAGTGCAATAAAGTGATGAATGGAAACATTACTTTTGTACAGTGCTGTGACATTTATACTTGGTTTTACAACTTTTCAGATGGTTGCGTTTATTTATTCTGTTTCCTTCGTTTTTGCCTCACTGTATAATAAAAAACACATACCAGCCAAAAGTGTATTTTTGTTAAAGAGAAATAACTACCAAGGTTAACTTTCGATTCACTTAAGGGAGGCGATAGCCACCAATTTGAAACACCTGTCTCAGGATTTTCTTGTCAACGGCTCCAGAATGTAGTGGGGTAAATAAGTACACCTTACACTTTCATGGAGCTATGCATAATATGGCAGGAAGATGCGGCCTGAGAATGACTTCGGGTGACCAAGGGCTATCTAGGACTTTCAACTTCAATTTGAGAATGAAGTTGCTGTAGTTGTTATGAAGGCAAAAACAAAAAATGACATCAACGTCTGTGCAAGCGTACGCATTTACCATTTACTAACCGAGTCAGTTATCTACATGTACGCAACCTGTAAGGTGTAGACAATTTTAAATTTTACGACATTGAAATAACACAAAAATCTTTATTTTGTGCTTAGCGATGGTTACACACAGTAAAGAAGTATATGAAAACAAACATGCAAACTGATTTGAACGAAAAATAACTGTTTAAATAACAAAAGAAAACTTAACACTCCTATTGTTATAGAGAGTGTTATTCAAAAATCAAACGTCAAGTAGCTCTATAATATCCACAGACAATTTAGCCACATCAAAAGGAATTGAATAAAAAACACTGTTGATGCCACAACATTCAAAAGGTACAACGCAAAAAAACAAAATAACAACAACAACAACAAAAACGACATACGCCAAGACAAATAATCAACTAAAGATAAAAAATGACAATAAATTCAATTCGGTCTCATCTTGTGGAAGGAACGACTTTTTTGACACAACAAAAGCAGCTTTCAAAACACATGTGACAGAATTCCTTGTTTATTTCATATCACTGCTTTGCTGACCTTAAAGTCGGGCTAAACAAAGGATAACAGCAGCGCAATCTGACCTTTCCCTTGACATTAAGAGATGCTGGTGCGTTTTTTCGCTGGTTTTGCTATTCAAGTTGATCATCGAGATCACTTGGCAAAATCTGATATTACCTTCAGCTCTCAGAGTGATGATCACAACATATTCCGACCATTTAAGCGCCATCTTTTTAAGAGAGAGCATAGAATTAGATGATAGAGCCCTTTGTTTACTTTCACCATACGCTACATTACTTCAAAATAGGTCTCATGAAATTAAACACCTTGAGGTGTCAACCACAAGAAACGTTACTTTATTGGTGCAGTTAGCTTCAAATTTTCTCAGTCATTCTCCAACTTAATTTTTCAAAGAGCTAAAATTTTGAGTGTTTGCTTTAACTGCTTGCAGTACGTATTATGATTGTAGTTTTTCTTCCACAGCAAAACTCGGTTGGGAGTTCAAATAATCAATCTATTGAAGAGAGTGTTGGCGAACCCATTTTAGTCATTTGCCGCTGATGCATTATAGCAGACAAAATGCACAGGATAAACTTAATTCTTTGTTCGAGAATGATATTTCCAAATCCAACAATAACAATAGTCCTCAACATGGTCCTGTCGTATCACTCTACGTATAACAGCCCGAGAAATCGGCCATTTCCAGACTATGTATCCTTTATTTCCTCGTAATTGCCCCCATTCAATAAACAATTAAAATTCAATACTTTTAGAAATAAAACCGCTTGTACAGGACTGTTATAAATAGAAAATGTGCGAAGGTCGCACAAAGCAATAGAGTTCAGAGGGGGAAAAATAAGGTAAGACTTCCGATAAAAAGGAATTCAGATTGTTATTCTGAATGGAAAATGGTTTCTCATGTCAAAAGGCGATGAAAGACACATATTGAAAGCGAAGAGGTGTATATTGGAAAATACAGAATATTGCATCTTGTATAGCAATTGTTCCTTTCCAACAAAGATTTTTTTGGTCAAATTTCACATGGCGAGGAATTTTACCCTGGCTTCCTTCTTTATTTGCCGCCTTTTACTTGAGTCGATCTTTGGCGAAAGAAAATTTCAGTTTGTTAAGAAAGTTAGTAGGCTGGAACAAACTGAAGTTACGATTTGTGCATTGAGCAGGATAATGTCGAAAAGAAAGAGTGAATTAAATACTGATGACAATTTCAAGGGTAAAGCTTTCGATCCATTTCATTACGTTGAATAGAATGAAAGTCGAACAAAGTATTGCCGAGGAGAAGAAGACGGTTTAAAGAATATTGCCAGAAAGTACAACAACAAAAATTTGAAGACAGAAGGAGGGGCGTAGGAACCACACTGATCATCAATTATGTAGTTTTTGTTTTGTTTTGTTTTTGTTTTTTTCCCTTTTTGCATATTTCTCAAAACTCATGATAGAAATGAACATCGTATTTCAAAGTAACATTCGAGTTATTCTTACTTGAAGGTAAAACAACCAGCTAGGAGACTTGTTGAATTTTTAGTTTTGATACACGCTGTCCATCTTTCGCCTGCTGTGCAAGATTTTTTCTAGAGTTTGTGAATTTGAAATACCCTTTTCTTTCATCACTAATTCTGCCCACAGAGATATAAGATGAAGAACATACCACTTCTTTCCACCACATCACTTCTACATATTTACGTTTTGATGTGGAAGGACAATTTTGGTGTCTTAGCAGAGGCAGACCCAGGGGAGGGGTTGAGGGGGTTGCAACCCCCCCTTTGAGGAGCATTTGTCTCTTGTTATTTGTTTTATTCTTCCTAAATTAATTATAAATAAAATTTTTTTAAAAAGTTTTCCACTTCCACCATTCGACTGCTTATCAAGTTATGAAAAGGTAATGTACATTTCGCGAAACGTGTATGCGTCAAAAATTAAGGAAACTAAGGACCTTCCTTTCACGATCATAGCTGATGAGAGTACTGATCCATACTCAAACCAGGAGATCTTATCTTTATGCTTGAGGTTTGTGGACCAGTCTTCGCCAAACGATCCTGTCAAAGAATGCCTGACTAATTTCATGCATTTGGAACGAACAAATGCCATCATGATTTCAAGAAAGATTTTGGAATCTCTTTGATCCATCTATTTCTCTGGATCCTAGCAACATCCGTGGTCAGGCATATGATGGAGCTTCCTTAATGTCAAGTGGAAAGGAAGGAGTGCAGGCCAAGATAAAAGAGATCAGTCTGTTAGCTCTTTTCACACATTGCTTTGCTTACTGCCTGAACCTCTCCATCGCAGCATCATGCAAACTGTCAGAAGTGCGAAATTTGATAGGTCTGATTAACGAGGCATATCTATTTTTAATAACAGCCCAAAGCGACAGCAGCTGTTTGAGTTGACTCTGAAAGAATGCCTGCCTGAGAATTCCCACAGTAAGCTTCCAGGTCTATGCAAGACACGCTGGGTGGAAAGACACACGTGCCTAGATCTTTTCCTGGAAATTTATGAGCTCCTAGTCACCTTTCTAGATGCTGTTATTTCCCCCCCACGAGTACCCAAACTTGAAATCGTCTACTGAAGCTGGAATTGGGACAAAGATAATATCACAAAAGTCCAGGGACTGAAAGCCTCTTTGTTATCATTCCAGACCGTAGTGGTTTTTATTGCGACCAAGCATATTCTTGATGAATTCAAAGCTCTTGCATCAAAGCTGCAGAAACGGGACCAAGATATCTTTGAAGCTTACATGATGGTTGGCGAAGTAATTGGAAACATCAAGTCCGTTAGAAAAAACATTGACAGCGACTTTCAAGTTTGGTACAAACAAATATTAGACCTTGCTGAGAAATTGGGAATTGTTGAAGCTAGTCCCAGAAAGACAAGCATACAGAGGAATCGCTCAAACATTCCTAGTTGTAGTCCAATTGATCATTACAAAAAATCTGTGGCTATTTGCCTTCCTGATTCTCTGATTATTCAATTGCAAGACCGATTTTCTGACGAAAATCGCCACGCCCGTCACTTGCTTTATCTAGTACCCTCTATCACAACTCATATCACCTTGGAGCTATCTGAAGCAACAGAGGGCATGTTGTTCTGGGAGAATGACCTTCCATTTCCCAAATCCCTTGGGAATGAGCTGCGAAGATGGCAAATTATGTGGCAATCAGCAGAGAAGGAACTTCCAAGTAATCTTCAATTAGCACTTGGCGCGTGTGACGAGGATGCTTTTCCAAACATCCATCGTCTTCTTCTCATTACATGCACCCTACCAATCAGTAGTGCGGAAGCTGAGCGGTCCTTTTCGCTCATGAAACGGATTAAGACGTGCACCAGATCAACGATGTGTGAAGAGTGCTTTTCAGATCTCGCTATTATTGCTGTGCATTACCCTGAGAGATTCGAGGTAGACGAGATATGCGAGGCCTTTGTAAAAGCTCATCCTGGGAGACTCTTTCAGGCCTCGTTGTTTGATTAACGAGGTATATAGAGAAACGACAAATAACTATTTTTGGTACTGCTCCCTTTCAATCATGCACTTTTCTTTTTGGGTTTCTTGTTGAGAAATAAGATAAACTTCAGATTTATATCATACCTTCGCAACGCTTTTCAAGTCTCGGGAATTCTGTAAATGGCGCTTTAGAGGGAAAAATCGGAAACTTTTTTTTTTTTGGGGGGAAGGAGCATGGCTCCGGACCCCCTAACACAGGACGAAATCACATGTTTCTGTATTTCTGAAATGTGGCGGAAACATGCAACTCCATGTTTCCGTTATGTTTACGTCTTACGTCTACGTAAACGTTGTATACGCAGCAACGGAAACGCGAGAAAACGTCACGAAACCGGTAACGGAAACACAGGTTATCCGTCGTGTTTCCGGAACGGTTTAACATGTTTCTGCCACGTTTCCGTTTACGGATTCTTGCAATTTCGTCCTGTGTAAGAGCTCGCGCCAGAGGCACTGGGCCGTCACTCGCCTTCCATACCATTGGCGTTAAGGTTACTACAAGAACATTAATGGGCCATCTTGCTATTCTTTCTCTTTAGTAGTCAAGACGAATATTTTTCCTGAAACCCGGAAAGAAGCTTTCAGACAATTTCCAAAATGCTATGATACGGTATTCATTCGGCGTGGCATTGATATTGGCGCTTCAGTCAATTCAGCCATATTTCGGTAAGAACAATTTGGCCATGAAGAGATAGCCGTTCTCCCACCGAAGCAATACTCTATTTCGTATGTGTGACATGATGATATCTTTGAGCGTACGGCTTTTTCTGCCGTGTCACTAGGATTTTTTTTGCCATGTTATGTTAAATAACTCGGGTTCGACGTTTGCGGACAAATAAAAGATAATTCGATAAAGGTCTGCGGGCTGAGTTTTAAGTCCATAGGGCATCAAGGAGAAGCAAAAACAACTGCAACAACAACCACAACAAATTAAGATTGGTATCTTTTACGCCGCAGAAAAACGGTTTATATTAATCATCATTTTTTCGTGTGTTAATGAAACGCAAGAAAAATCTATTCACTATACTGGGAGGAGAGACGATTGAACCAGATGCTGACTCTCTAAGTCCTGGGTGTGCAGCCACCTTGGTTAACAGTCCTGGTGAAAAGAAAATATTATGGAAATTATGAATGTGACAATAACTTTTATGACTGACTTGCGAATGTTCTCTGTGATAATCACAGGTAAATAAATATCTGATGATAACAAGTTTAAAACAACTCAGTCATAGGCTGCCTTTCAAACTGATATTTGTCCTCCATGAGCGTAGTACATCAGACTGAAGTTTGAGAAGGATTCAAGTACAGGCAGCAGAGGAAGCTGCGTTGATGTGTCCTGGCTGGTTGTTTTGATATTCACCTCTCTCTCCTCCCTTCCCAAAAATTATCACAAGGTTCAATCAATACACGAATATCTATCTTGATTCCAGACAATACTTTTCACAGCGACGTCGACTGCATGTCAGTAACAGCCTTAGCTTTAATGCGTCACACTATTAGTGTCATATCGCATTTAACAAAAAGTTTCACCAAATCCTTCAACCAAAATTAGCAATTTGAAGTTTTCTAAACAATGCCACAGTAGATTTTCATAATCCACTTGGCTAACCGAATATTCATAGCTTTCGGATTTTAACTATAAATGTATACAATTGCTCTTGAACTCTCCATTTAACACTGTTTTGAACGGCCGTCTATAAGGGGTATCGTGTAGATGAATAATTTTCCACTTTCTGTTCTTTCTTGTCTTCTCCTATACACACTTACTCTTATAGGTTGCAGACCGAGGTGTCTTTTCAGTCAAGAATATTTTCAGTGGACTCTTTCCTGCACCGAAATGTCAGCTATTCGCCTCAAGGACTGCGCTACAGCTACAACCGAAAATCGGTAACAAAGATTTTCAGCATTTTTTAGTTTTACTTCATGGCTATTCTTCTCAAATTGCAGGAACCAGTTTCTTGGTTTTTTTGACAACGTGGGTTGCCATTATCTTCTGTTTCCACTTCGAAGATCGCCATATATTGCTTTTACATTTTCTTTTTTCGGCTGAGTTATCTTATGTTTTCCCAGGAATTTTTCTTCAAACGTCGACATTTCCCTGTTAGAAGGATTATTTTCTAAGCTGACAAGGCTGGTGTACCTGTACGTAATGCTTTTAACACCTTGGTAAACAGAAATTAACTTTCTGCGCTTAGCAATAAGGAATCAAACAAATCAGATGCTATTTTCATGCTACTATGCATTCAGTTCTCAGTGCGATCTAGTTCAGGATGTAACGATGGATCTAATTTTCCTCTACTATGTAATTTCAAGAAAACACTTCGCAATAACCTGTGTTGCTGGGTTTAGCAAGCTCACAACAGGAAAATAAACAGACGGAGCAATGATAGGCGAACGTGACGAACGCACCTCAACACTCTCCGAGAATCAGATGTTCTCGGGCTATTTGCTGGTGCTTTTTGCTCTCTAGTGTTTCATTTCATCGAAAAAAATTAGTTGTTTGGTATCGTACCCCTATTACGTACCAAAGATACTCTTTCTCAAACGAATACCATCAGCCAAATCGCAATTTAAGACTAGGAAAATTTTCAGTGGCCGAATGCGTGGGATTATGTTGTTAACCTGTCCAATAATAAAAACGTTTTTATCAAAATTTAGGCTCAACATCCACTGAATATTTTTTACAGTGTTTTATCACTTTCTTTTAAAAGTTTCCACTTTCACTTACCTTTTGTCACACGATTAAGGGTTTATCATTTGTAAAGTCAACTACTGTTGCATGGCTTTACTGCGCCCCTATTGGTACATTTTGATATCTATTAGTATTCCAAATCAATGAACTTGACCTGGCTTCAAACAGGAAATTTTCCTGTTCCTTTAGCGTCCTCTGAAACTTCCCATATTAGTTCGGAGTTCACACACACACACACACACACACACACACACACACACACACACACACACACACACACACACACACACACACACACACACACACACACACACACACACACACCCTCACGGACCCACCCATGGACGACACTGTCTCAACTTCCCTTCTCGACAGGGTCTCAATATCGCATAACTATGACCTCAGTGTTCAGTTCGATTTGAAAACGGACTCCAGGCCTTGCACCTTCAGTATAACGTAGAACCACGATGGATTTGAACTCCCTGCAAGTTCTGTTGACGAGGAGAATATCCGTTCGAAAGTAGACCTGCTTTTAGGTGTTTTTTTCTCGATAGCCTACTGATAGTTTCGTCAATTATGGGATATTTAGCCTAGACATGTAGACACTTAACAACACCACGTTTTACCGATGAAGAATGATGTGGGTTATAGGTTAAGGTGGCTCCATAGAGTTTTTTGACCGCACGAGATCTAGGTGCCAACATAGCACGAGCTTTAAAAGTGTCAACATGCAAAACATACATGGCGGCTCGATACGATCGCACGATTGTTATCTGAAAAGGTGGTTGAAAAACAGTTTAAAATAATGTGATGGAATCTAGGGTTTCCAGAAACTGCACCCGTAATATTAATAGGCCCTCTCCGCCTGAAAAAGAGGTCAACCGAAAAGAAAACACCGTAGGAAAGATTGCTAAAAAGGCGACAGATTCGAAAGTCCATGCATGCTCAGATACCGGTCATGACGAATTCGATTGCATTACGTTATTCTTTGCTACAAAGAAAATAGGGATCTTTCGAGTAAGATTTTATCGCTTTTCCTCCAGTGAAACTTCCTAAGATTTGCTGGACCGTTACACATATTTGTGTCCTTCTTAGTGCTTGTTGATAAAAAAAATCATATGGCCAAAATTTGAGTTAAAGGAAGAAAACACAAAATTGCAATTAGAGCTAAAAAAAAGTGCCCCTGTAATCCCTATTCTTAAATAATCGGCTGGACAATTTTCACAAAATTGTGACAATTTTGAGAGATTTCACCGAAGAAAATTGAAGAAAATCATTTTCTTAATATCTACTACAGCAAACGATGGTCCGAACCTTGCTCACGGAAATTTGTTTTGAAAAACAATACGCTGACGCGAGTGCCAACATTGAGTAAATATCCTATGGAGCCACCTTTAGTATTGATCCGATTGGGCTTCCTACGTATACCCGTGATTATATGTCCTTTAGCGTTTTCGCTATTTACCGTCTAAGAAAAATACTTTTTATGTCGTTACCGCTGGTTTATCTATGGCTACTCCGTCCACTGGGTCTTTGCTGAAATGTATGTACGGACCACTTTCAATTTCGGCATTCTCATTTCAGCACGATAAGTGGTAGTATCTAAAACTCAGCTGACACGACCTTTGTAGTTGAAAGAATCAGAGTCGTTTTGTTAATGTTTTTCAAGGGATCTTTTCATTTCCTCTGTTATATCAGGCTTCGGTGGCTCATCCTGTTCGAGGATATTTAGAATCCCCTTTTCGTTCAATGTCCACTTTTTAGGGGACAACCTTCTTCAACGATAACTCAGCTTTAGTGATGATCTCAGTTACAGAAATGTTGTTTGGTGTTACCTTTAAATTGAAACCATTCCTAGGTAATGAAACCACCGCATTACCGAGGACCATGAGTTCTGCTTCAGGGCTATTTTTGCCTTTCTTTTTTACTTTTCAGTTAGAATATCAGGCTTCTTGATTACCTTATTAATTACACGCTTTATTGTTATTATCTGTCTCCTCTATAGAGTCCTGATAATAACAGAGTATTACTTTTTCCTTTGGCTGAAGTAGTTGATTTTTTACACAGGTATTTTTCTTCAAATGTTATTACCTCACTTCACGATGGATTGTTCCTGAAGCGGGTCAAGATTCGGTGTCTGTGAGGGAATTCAATATACTCAATTAACAAGCGTAGATACCAAAAATCATGTGAGTAGTATGAACAGTAGAAATGTTCTCCTCATGCCCTATCCAACGTTTACGTCGGAAACAGATGCAGAAAAACTTCGAATGTTCTTAAGCTGTGCCCATTTATTTTGGCGTGTCAGCTTCTTTACATCTTGCACATTGTGGTAGTTAGGTCCAGACTTTATCTTCCTGTCATTTTAGTGAAAAAGGTTAAGAGAGATGCACAAAATATGACATCGTAATACAATCAGATTTTCTAGTTTGACTGATTACAAGGAAGGAAGTACGAACGAAAACTTGGGAGACAAACAAACTAACAATTGTCGTTCGTGACGTTCGTTCATTCTTGCTAAGTTAGATGTTGCTTTAACAGGTATTTGTCTTCAAACAAAATCACTTCTCTAAAGGAAACGGTGTTTGCTAATCTAACCAACCTAATTTACCTGTGCGTATTTTGAAACACACTTACTTTATAAAATGTTCTCTGTAAACCATTATTTAAACTGATTGCTCAAGCTATATATAACAATTGTTTACATTCAATTACCTATTTCCTTTAATAAGTTTTAGATACTTCCTTCTTTCGGGAAAATTGAAATTGCCCTCTTACCAAAGAAACTCTTTCTCTATAAACCAAAGCGAATCTCATCAGCCAAAATGCTGAAGCATTTCTAAAAATGAAAACTGTAGTTTTACCTTGCCGTACTGTTAAGGAGAGATATCAGAGATATAAACATTTCTTCAGTTCTGTTGTTCGTTCTTTCATGCGCACCTCTCACTTCTTTCTTAGTTAGCAGTCTAAGTTTAAATGTTCTTTTCTTCCCTATTTTCCCCAATCTTTGTGACTAGGAAGCATTCATCATTCACCCGGTTGAATTATTTGATCTTTCCGCAGGGATTTGTCTTCAAACATTATCACCTCTCTTCCAGAAGGATTGCTTAACAGGCAAACGAGGCTTGAGTCCCTGTAAGTAAAATTTGATAAGCCCTGGCGTACCCTACAAAATTTCTGAACTTACTATGAAAAAGAAATTTTCTCTCCAAGTTGACTTAACTATGTTGGGACACCTCAGCCCTGAGCGTTTCATATAATTAAAAAAAAAAATTGGATACCCTTGGAATCGAATACAAAATATTATAGTTTCCTACCAAATAGGTATTTTCCCTTTTTTCGATAACCACGATTATGAAGCATCACTTTTAATTTCGTGAGGTAATTCGTTTGTTCCCACAGGGACTTTTCTTCAAACGCTATCGCTTCTGTTCCGGAAGGTTTCTTTGGCAAGCTAGCCAGGCTTGTAAACCTGTGCGTCCAATTCGATTCTTTATCCAATGCTAGACTCACCATAAATTACCTGATTTCTCGAACTCCAGAGACCCAAATGGCACCCGCACCTTGAAACGCTGGGACTTAAAAAGGAAAAAACAAGCAACTTTTACAGTTGGCCAACTTCTGCAGCCAAGGCCAACTCCAGCAGCAAGTTTCGTCATTATCGGTTGACTCACATTTCTATTCCACTACTGCAGAAACGTACACTCAATTATTTTTTTGTTTTTTTGTTAGATTCCTCCATAGGAACAATTTACAACGCATTCCGTACAGACTGTTCTTTGTCTTGAAACGACTACAGATAATGTGAGTATACACGAGCACACCAGTTTGGAGAAAATTGACCTGGAGAGTATGGTGAGGTTTCTTTTGGCTGACAAAATGCGCTTCATATTTGATAAAATTTAACGTATAGTAATAATTGATGTTGCAGTGGAATGTATGCGTCACTTCTGCCGTAAAATACTTATGCCTAAGAAACCATTTACCGACCACTGATGATGGCGAAAAAGAAACCAAACTGTTTGAAAAGTTTCCTTAAATGTATCCAATACAGGAGTTTTTGTTAACTCCCCTCCTAGTGGGGTGATCTGAGTAAATTTACAACACTATGCGGTGGACTTTAGGCAGACTGCATCGAGCAGTCTACAATTTTGAGGAAAATTTTTGCAATTGCCCCAATTTCGGAATCAAGGCCAAACCACAACTCTTTGCGAGAAGTGCATTGGTCTTTAACTGCTAACCAATACAGAAAAAATGTAGGAGACGGGACCTACGGTTTATCGTCCATCTCCGAGAAGACTAACCACTTGCAGATGTCATTGTTAAGGCAGCAGATTCTTCTGTTATTTGAAGACCCTGAGTGTTGGTCCGGCCTGGGACTTGAACCCTCGACCTCTCCTTCGACATTCCAGCACTCTATTACCTGAACCAACCAGGGGCGGTAAATATGCTTACAATAAGAGTTACGACTATATTAATGACGATAACGATCATGATAACGATGATATAATTCCTATCAATTTATCTTTTACTTTTAGAACACTATCCGATAATCCTATAAAAACAATCGAGCCCGGGGCCTTTAGCTTTGGTGTGTCTTCTAACACTAGGGTGTAAGTCATTTTAACCATCAGTCAGACTATTTACAAATGTTATACTATTCATTCTGTCCATTTTCATTTTCATTTTTTCACAATAATTCTATTTTATGGAAAAAACTCTCTTTGCCAGAGAAAGTGTTAACTCTCTAATGTTTAAATTTTCATATGAATAAAATTATTTTCAAAAAGTATAAAATCTACTCATATCATTCATTGTTTCATCTGATTGAGACGTCATCCTCATTCAGCATCTTCCTCGCTGTATGCAGTTATTCAAACATTTTTGGGTTTTTTTGGCAAAACTAATAGCTGTTTGTTACAGGTTTCTTATGCGAACAAACTTGAAAATATTCACCTCGGATTTCTTTACGGACTTCATCGCTGACAATCTTAAGCTGTAATGTACCAAATGAATGTCTAAGAGAATTAAATCAATTGACATTAACTAACTATTCCAGCTTATCTGACGGAAAAATGTTGACCGCCATCTCGGTATTTCGAACTGTATGTTATCAGACGTTTCAAGCCGGAATGTATCCAATGAATAAGACCAAATACTGTCACAATGTAATGCCGCTACAAGAAAACACCAATCGACAAAAACACATCATTGACAAGATAATGAAGAAAATGAAAGAGAACTCATGGTTTAAAGATCTTTGACCAAGAAGATGACCAACCATAGTGCTAGTGAGGAAGAATTAAGCCGAAAATTTCCGGTGACCCATAGTGTGAAAATAGAAAAACACAGGTCCCATATCAACCATAATTCTCGACGACAACGACCCGGAAACGAGTGAGGACGACAAATAATTTCATTAATCACTGACAAGCCAAAAATGTGCTATGAGTCAGCGGTAACCCCAAAATTCGCTTAAATTTTCTGCCTCGTGTAGTTCAAGCCCCTCATTGCACTACTTCAGCCACTGCAAAGTCACTTTCAATAGATCACCGAAACTAAGCGTCCTCTCGACTCTGAGTAACTTTTAAAACCTTCAGAGTAACTTTTCAAAGTTAAAAACACTTTGAAAATGGCATAACTTTTCCCAAAGTAATTTCATCGATAGGGAATGTTTTTAGGCAGGCCTGGTTTCACTGCATTGGTGTTGTTTTACAAAAATAGAATCTCACTCAGCTAATTCGTGTGTTTTTCAGTTTATTGACGCAAAATGAACACTGAAATGGCATCCTACAAAATTGCGCAACGGCGTGCGTTTTTGACCCTCTTAATAAAAAATAATTTTGCCCTCTGTATTATAAGGAAGTAATCGTATGTTGCCTCGTAAAATAAAGACTCAATATCACTTCTATTTTCACTCAACAAGTGAGGAGAAACATTCGACAACGTCTCGTGTTTCTCCCTAAACCTCTTTCGTGCTCTAGCCGCTTCCCGCTTGCTTTACAACAGCACATAGCACAGTCAAGCCTTCTCTGTTTGTTAATTGTCTATGATTAAACTCTTTAGCGAAGTATACGCCAAGAACCAGATAGTAGCAGGGGCGTAAAAAGAGGCTGTTAAAAACTAATTTTTAAAGATGAACTTACGAATAATTCTCAAAATAGCAGAGGCTTTTATTTTTTTAATGTACTGTGGGCTGCACTTGTGTTTCAGTAACTCGTGGCAAAGAATTCCTCGGATCATTTATTACTACAATTCGAACAGGACAACCATGGAAGTACATCTGTCAGTATAATGTGTATGGTCCAGATATATCGAACGATTCTTGGATCTTAATTGTTATTCGCCCTTAGCACCTCATGACAAACTAGTTGATTTTGGTAGTCAATACTTTTTTTTCCAGGAATCCACTCGATCCTCAAATAGAAGTTATCAAGTTCCATCGTGATGAAGCTTATTTGCTTCAAAATGCTATGCTACACATGGGTTTTACAATAAATCGTATTGGACTTTACGACGTACTTCAACCCTGTTCACTGGGAACGTTTTCAAAAGGAAATGGCAAATGCACAGAATGCCCTCCAGGTTTGTTTTAGTAGATTCACTGTAAGTAAGACATGCGACGTGTGATTAACCCTTTAAACCCTAAGAGTGACCAGCATTTAATTTCTCCTTTCATTAATGCCACTGCATCCTTCATTACGATCATGAGAACAAGAGAACAACTGAAATGTTCGCCAACTTACGAAGCTTTGATCATTTAATGAATTCTCCTTGCCAGTACCAAAGGAAATATATAGTGGAGAGTGTGGAATCTATGGACACTGTTCTCAGGGTGTAAAGGGTTAATTAACGATTAACTCGTTCAGCTTTGCTTCACATTTTGACAAATGTCTTCCTAAACTCAGGTACCAAGAATGAGTAAATAATATGATTAACGCACGAGTTACCATAATGTAAAAACTTTGCAAAATAAGCGATCTCGTTTGGCATTTTCTGGAAAGACATGCAGGAAAATGCTACAATGTTTATGACCTGAAATGGCATCCAGGTGACAACAAACACAACAGTTACTGCAGACAGTATTACAGCGAGTCGTTTGTCATGTTCACCGGACCGCTTATGTCCGCTGTCTCTCCTGGCGAAACGAAATTTCATTTTGAATTATATTATCACATAAGATATGCAAATTATCGAGAGGGTGACGGAAAAGGAAACCAGCATAAAGTATAAGAAAAACGGTAGTGAAAGGAGTTTTTCCTCAAAAAGGAATCGCAAACAAGAGACCAGAATAGACAACAGCCATATTAGGCCAGGAAGTCCATAATAGCTGTTGTTTCTGACGTGACGATGAACATGAGGCAACCAAACTGAGAATGCTCGCTCTAGGGCTATAGTAGTGAGGGTAAATGTGGAGGTACAGCCAACAAAAATATCAACCACCTTGTAAATCTTGTAACTATATTGTATCCAGACGCTGTAACCCTTTTTCCATGCCGCAATTAAGTGGTAAAGGTACATGGGCATAGCGAACGTACCAACTATCATATTCGCTAGTGCCAGATTTATCAGGAAGTAATTTGCACGCATGCCAAGAAGCTTTTTTTTTGTAGAGAAAACGGTGAGGGTAAGGACATTGCCAACAAGAATAACAACATCGACAAATCCATACGCAGAACTCCACGCCATTAATTCTGATAACTTCATGTTTGGTTCTTTCTCATTTCCCTGAGTGGAGATGGAGGAGTTGTTCATTTTGATGAATCTTGCTTTGTAGAAGAACTACAAATGACAACAATAAAAACAAATAAATAAACTCAAACAAAAATTGTGTGCGTGCGGAAATATCAAGGAACCATAAAATCTAGTCGCGAAACACAGCTTTTTATGATAAATTTAATTCCGAAAACAAAATTTTTATTAAGACGCCCTGCAATAGTAGCGTCCGTTATGACATTGAGTACGTGCAAAGCATGCTTGATAAGTAACTACTCCGTTGAATGATAAATTAATGTATATAAGCAAGTCCATATATCAGGATATCTTGATATTTTGTTTTCTGTGCCATTCACGGGATAAAGCTGCATTATTTTACTTTCTGTAAAATTCTGACTTTGGCGCACAACAGTAACATGGTATCACATATTACATACTTGTTAACCCTGTCTCCTCGAGGATTTTACTAGAGCAGAATTGAAGCTCTATTTAACTAGATTCATTTATTGACCCTGACTTAAGAAAAAAAAACATGTTAAGTTCTACATTGCACCCTTATGTGGAAAAAATATTTCAGTTTTCTTTGAGGTGATAACTTACCAGTTTCTAGGCCGCAAAAATTACAAGGAAAGGAAAAGTAGAACTTTACAGTACCATCCAAACAAGCAGTGGTGGCGATGGCACACAAACAAAGAACTAATGTTGTTGGAATCACTTTCTTGTGCAATCGAGACTGACGTAAAAGCAAGCCACTGAGAGAAAATGGTTTTAAATGAGAAAGTAGCGTGTAGGAATATTTAATTGTCTACGATTGTGTTTCTTAGACTATTTAAATTGCCTAACGTATTGTTTTAATTACTGCTTGGCAAAATGAAGGTAAAATTCTAAGTAATAGGACTTATTATAATCGTTAATATATTCAAAAACAAACAATCATTTTTAGCCAAGGAAACTTTGCGATGAAGTCAAGTTATCATGTACCTCCGGATGGAGACTTGAAGGAGAACACAGCTGATGAAGTACTAAATTTCTCTTGATTTTCTCTATCCTTCAGTAACTTGAAGAAACACTGAATTTTTTTTTTAAGTACAATTTGATATTCCATAGTTTACCACTGAAAGGGAAGAAGCTAAAAAATTCGTGAATGAAATCAATTACCGATTCGTTGCTCTGTTAACTACTGATTCTATGCATGACAACATTACCAGGTTCACTTTAAAGTCACGTTCGATTCGACGAAGTTTATTTTCATTTCTATGGTACGAAAAACAATCAAAAAAGCAGACAAGCATTCAAAAATTAATTGGATTTTTTGGCTTTTTTCGCCATGGCAATGTGACTCATTCTCATTTGGGTTGGTTATTAATGTTCCTATACCCACATCATTACTTCCAGTCACCCCTTGGTAAAACTCAGTAGCCTGGTTAATCATTGCCGTCCGATGGAAGTGTGAGTGGAAAGGAGACATTCTGACTGAAAAAAATTCGAATTACTTTGGTCCACATAGGAATGGAGTTGTTGCAGAGAATTACCTTGTGCAGTAATAACTTATTTCATTTCCTCAAACAAGCAAGAGTCATAGGATTGAAGCATTATTAGCGAAGTAAACATCTCTATCCAGAATTCACAGTATGACGCGCTGAAGAAAAAAATATTCCGAATATTTGTCGCTAACCACGAGCGAATACTTCTCTGTTTCACCTCCAAAATCAGTTACTTTTGTTTTTATACGAGGCGCATCCAAACTTACCCAGACTGGCTGTCGAATATTTTCCATTCGGCGCATATCTCATGAAAACTGTTTATTCTATAAATGTTTGGAATTACCCATTCACGGCTTGAATAATGGTGACGCGATTTCCGCAATTTCGTACGACTATACATCGCTGAATTTAAAATATGCAAAACAGTTATGACAGAGAAAAAAAGATAACATTGAGGGAAATAGTTAAGCAAACATTTTTCCATCCCAAAGTCTAAAGTTTGTCTTATAAAGCCATAAATTCAGTCATTGACCGCCTTAATTGCTAAATTGTTGACACTTACTTGAGTTCACTATTGTCTAATGACGGCATGATACGAGTTGATAAATGTGACTAACTGATCTATTAAAATAATGCCTTTTCGTCTACATAACGTGCAATTTTTTTTTGGATACGTCATGATTTATTGAAAAGTAAGAAAGCTGGCTATTTGCCCTCAAGCATTTTTCCAATGAAAACTTGGAAAACCGTAAACCATACCTTTCTTGAATTCTCCCAACCTCTTGTGTTCAGATTAGACAGTTTGTAAACACGAAAAAAGTCTTCTACTGCTGACATACATAAAAGTTCATCATTTTGATAATCTTGTTCTTCACTAAAGTCATTTCTCAATCTAGCCTAGCTTTGGACTTGCCTTTTTTTTTTCAAGGTGGTTTCTATTCTGACACTCTCGGGTATGTGGCTGAAAGCTGCAGGAGATGTCCTAACGGATCGTACGTTCCGTTCCACCAAACGCCAGGAAAGTCAATTCTAGATTGTAAGGCGTGCCCTTTGGGTAAGAAATTATTCTTATCACATAATTGTATTACTCTTGCTACTTACTGTTCATCAAAGCCTTACGTACGTCGGAATTAGAATACGGGTAGTATAAGTAGCTCAAAAAATGTCGGAATGTAATTTAAGGAGCGGTTCTAATCGGACCACGCTGTACGGGTTTTGACCATTTTATTTGTGATGGGTGGAGGTGGGAGATGCTTCAGGGGTCCTTTTCTATTATTTCCACAGCGCTAACCTGATTGCCGCCTGATTTATACAAAAAATGTATATGATGTCATTGTATAACCTAACTTTCGCAGTGAATGCGACGCCATCATAAATTCAGACATTTTTGTCTATTATCTGAAAATGTTTTAGCACTACGTACAATGAAATTACTTAAAAATTACTTTTTTACTTACTTTTAATAACAATGGCACTGTTATACATTTCAATAGGAACTGAAAGCGACTTTTTTGCCGGATATCGAGCTTGTCCATGTTTGGAAGGATTTTATCGAATCCATCGATTCGCTAAATGTCACAAATGCAAAGTAGGACGGTTATGCCAAGATGAATATGCCTCATTAAAATCTGGATTTTGGTGGCGGTGGCGTAACGAGTCATACAAACAGCGCTACCAGGATTTCATACAAAATCTTTTGGCGTCTTCACCAGCGCTGGATAATTCTTCCATACAATACCCACATGCGATCCCAACACCCTATAGATGTCAGGTAGAGGAAGCTCGCAGAGGGGGTTTGGATTCCACATGTGGAGAGGGGTACGATGGTCCACTTTGTGCAGTTTGTAGTTCAGGATATTACAAGCAACTGAAATCATGTGCAAAATGTCCTTCAAGAGCGTGGATTGCTACACAATTGACGATTATCGTCGTCGTTCTGTTTCTGATTATTGCGTTTATGATGTGGAAGAAAAAAACTAAATGGGAACAAGACCAGGGCCACTACCTGATAGACATGTTCTTTTCTAAGCTTAAAATACTGATTGGTTTTTATCAGGTCACTCACGGCTTACTACAGGTGTTCTCATACATCGATTGGCCGGATTCACTGCAAGCTGTCGCCACATACTCAGGAATACTCCAACTGAATCTGCTTCAGATCGCACCTATTCGCTGTCTATTTTCAGGATTACATGTAAATGCCTTTGGAGAATTGTTCCTGATGTTGACTTTGAATTTTAGTGTCATTGGCGCCTCAGGGTTTTGTTACGTTATCTATAGGTCAGTAACCTTGAAAAATGATGATCTTGAAGAGGAAGAGAAGTCGAGCAAAATTTCTCGAACAAAACAGCTGTTTTACAAAAATCTGTGTTTCTTCCTATATGTAACTTATCTGAGTACATTTTCCAAGACAGCAAGCGTTCTGCCATTTGCCTGCCGGAAACTCTGCAGAGATGACAAGGAAGAGCTGTGTGAAGAATACGCCAAAGCAGATTACAGTTTAAGATGCCAAGGACACATTTACAACTATTGGCTGATTTTGGCATACATTTCGACCGCCTATCTCTTTGCTTTACCTGCCACTTCGTTCATCGTACTTTGGAGGCATCGGAGAGAGATATCAACTATGAAAAAAGATAATAACGTTTCTGACAAGGAGATAATTGAGGGGCTGAAATTTCTTTCCGAAAACTATAAACCTTCTTCGTGGTATTGGGAACTAGTTGAAATGGCTCGTAAAGTTGTTCTTACCTCTGGTCTTATCCTTGTGGGACAAGAGAGCAGGTCCTACATTGGTTTGGCATGGGTTGTTGCCGGTATGTATGGAGTACTTTTCTCCTGGATGAAACCCGTACGGGAGGCCTCCGAAAACAGACTGATGACGACTTCCTTAGCTGTCACAGTTGTAAACATAGGCATTGGCGCTGTGAGCAGAATCCCAGGCGAGAATATATCAGACATGGAGGATAAGCAAAGAGAAGAAATCGCAATGAAACTACTTATACTGGGTGCCAATACCATGGTGATTGGTGTTCTTGTTGGTAAGAGAGTACAATGTATTTATAAGAATTGAAGGATCGAATTAAAGGCTAGTTTGGTCTCTCCCGTTGGTCGCTCTGTAAAGCACGAAGTAAATTTTCCACCGAAACTATTTCAACTTTCAATGAGCCACAAGCTTAGCTTTTCGCGTATGTATGATTTTTTACTTACAAAGTTTTTATTGTTCCCTTCACCTTAAAACAACTGAACTGATAATTATTGCAAAGTTTTCTATCATAAAGATAATGACTGGGGAGGAGCAGTATAATCTAAATAAGGGAAACAGCCATACAAACAAACAAACAAACCCGAACATAAGCAAGAATAGAATGGAATATCAATGGAACAACGAATATCGCCTAAAATGAAATTAAATTCGTCAATCAAAAAATTGTAAATGAGATATGTGATTCATATCTCTATTTCAGTTCAATACCTTGTGTTTTTGTACGAGTACCTCAAGGAGTGGCGCAAAAGCCCACAGTGGTCCTTTTCTTGCTGTTTGGCTTTGCTTCTTCCAGTCAATGACTTGCAAGGAGAAATTCGAGGAATGGTTGGTAAAAACTTGATGAAAACTCAGCTTGACAAAGGGATATTGAAGAAACCATCAATTGCTGCCTCTGCGCTTGAAAGCGGAGCTATGAGATTCACTCTTTGTCATGAGGAACTCCAAAGCGTGGATGAACGAGAGGAACAGTTCGTCAAGGACAACGCTAAAAAATGTCATCGTTGGACACAAACAGAGGGTCTTTTGCAAACTTTCTCCTTAAAGGTGGAGTCTGGATTAACGGACGGCACAAAGCAGACTACTGAGTGAGTGCTATGACAATTTAAAATTAAGTTAATGTGGAAAAACCTTTAGGCAGCATTTAGTCCACCTCGTCTGTAAAGTGAAAAGAAAGTGTAGAGGTCCACGCCAACCTATCCGACCCTGTGAAAAAACAAAAACAGACTGATTTGGGTAACAGACAATTAACTGCATCTTTTTTTCTTGGTAAAGTTACAAAAAACTTGGGAAAATAAACTCCATTTCGCCCACCCATGTGTCATCAATTCTCGTCGCATTGCATATTTCATTCAAAAACCTATAAATAGGAATACACGTTGTTGGTGTTGCAATGATTGCACATTGATTAGCCTATTTGGTAGCTCAAGTATTTGTTCTGGTATCATCTCTCTTTACTGCATCTCCTATAAAAGCACCATTACGGTCTTGATTTTAAGTACGTAATGGCTCTATTCCCCGTGAAGGTGTAGTAATGGAAAAATTGCGTCCAAGATTGTCCAAATGTAAGTTACGGATCGTAGGAAAATGTTACCAAATTACCATGTAAAGGAAAAAGAAACACAGAAAACAGAGGAAACATTCGTGGCATTAAAAAAATGCGAAACAACATTAATTTCACCAGAGCTATTGCCCTGAACTGAGGTAAAGAGACCATCCAAATACAGACATGATGGTAGACGTAAGGGCTTTCCTGCATACAGACTGGGTAGACCTTTTCAAGTGATAAGCTAGTACTGTTCTGTTCTTTTTCGGTTGTCGATTTCTCATGAACGACTGGGGTAATCATTGTGAGTAACGCCGAATATCGTCTGCCTAAGCTACGTTTCACTATTGAGGATGCAAGACATAAAAGGTAGGCTAGGCCTAAGTAAAGGTATTTTAATCCCTCTGAAATTTGTGCTGATTGTAACTCCGAATGTTTTTTTTTCGTAGACACCAGCCCTCTTTGTATCAAATGCCCGCAGTTGAAGCAGAATGCAATGCATCACCAAAGCTGAAAACATGCACGAAGAAAGAGGCAGACGGTACAGCATCATCAAAGCAGAAGAGAGACGTGAAAAAGAAGACATTTAGCGATGCGTCAGCAAAGCAGAAGGTAGACATGAAAAATGGAGCATACAATAAAGCACCAGCAAAGGAGGGGGAAGACATGGAGATTTTGACAGAGGGTAATGATGTATCACAAGGAACAGAAGATATTCATTCACAATAAAGCAGGAGTCAATCAGCTATCAATCAATTATTTCATTTTTCCCAATAGCATCGCCAGACTTTTCGGTAGAATCATCTATCAGCAAGTGTAGCAACAGTACTATAATCCTTCTTCGCATAGTTTGTTTTAGTGGTTGGTAAATAAAGCTTTGTTATATAAAGAAGCTCTCATGTTATAATCAAAACAACCAGGTAGCACTTAGTTAAATGTGTTCGTATCAGTCAAAGCTTATAATAAATTTTAATATCTGTATTACATTCTTTATCTACTACTATGAAAAACATTTTGCTTATTGACGTACGGAAGAGAGGTTACTAGTCGTGTTTAAATGCATGGAAGGGGTGGACACATTTTGAAGTTATGCGTGGTCAATTCAGCAGTATACAGAGAGTTAGAGTTAATTATTATTTTGTTATCCTATTCGGAGAGTCTCGTAACACAGGGAAATTGGTTATCATAGGTAAACTTATCTCGTCTAGTGAAAGCTGTTGCGAGATGCAGGCAGAACCCTGTTCGTACCAAAACTACCATCCCAGCATTTGGTTTTGATCACGGTAAAAATGAGGTCGGAGTAGTGAGTCCGTAAGATAAGAAATCCTTGAATTTTGCGACATGAAAGTATTCATATACAATAAAGCATGAATAAGTGGTCGTAATCGTTGCAGTTGCAAAAGTTAGGATAGAAGATGAAGGAGGTGAACCCCAGATACAAAGTATTTACATGGAATTCATAGCTCTGTCAATATCTTAGTAAATGTCATATCATCTTAATCTCGCGAAATTGCCCAGGTAGTACTGCAAGTAATACTGACCTGAAATTAGAAATGAGAACATTAGAAAATTCCTTTGCAATCGTGGATAAACTATGGAGATAAGGTAAGAAAGACTACATGATCTTGCTTGATATCCATTAAGCCTCACACTTATTTAACAAAAAAATCGATTAGACTCTATCAAAGTTACTTCGCTTTGTGCTTCATCGACTTTTGAATCTTCCGTCAAGTGACGGCTACAGAAGGTATCTCAGTTCTACAGAAACGATAAAGGGGGCTCTTTGAAGACTCTGGCGGCTCTTTTTGTAAATTGCGCACAGAAGGTTTTATCTTACTTTTTTAGAGTACAGAACGATATCTTGAAAAATCCCCTTAATCTCCTTGCCAACAGCATCAATCCACCACAAAGCTGGGTGATCACTTTTCCTTTCGCCTTCCTGTTTTGAAAATGAAAGATACTGAAATTCAAGTGGTGGTTATAGGTACTGGAGGCTTGGTAACCAGATAAGGCTCCGAAGTATTCAGACGGGACTAAAGAAAAATAAGTAAAGGGGTAAGTTTCTAAAGAAACTGTGATGCTGCGTCACTAGGAGAGTATAACAAAGTAATTTGGTATTATCAACTGAGTTGATAACGTAAGTTGCCCACCGTCAAGAGTTTCAAAGCTAACTTTTCAAGCGTTAGCCCTTCGTCAGAGCGAATGGAATATTTGTGAATTATGTGTGTGTTTATAGCAGAAAATGGAGCTACGCTATGGGTGGGAATAGGCCTAGGTGACGAGAAAACAAGAATATATTAGTTGAATCAAAAGCGCTCGTTAATACCGCGGGGAATAAAAATTCCGATTTGAAAAATAAACTTTTGTTCTATAGTATTTGCGACGGCCGGGATGAAGGGAAAGGCCGAAAAGTGCCATACTCTGCTTAGAATGATTAGGGGAATAAAAGTGTCTAGCGGCTGGTTCAGATGCGTTCTTGTAATTCCTTTGTACGCGGCGAAGGTGTTCTCAGAATTCGATACCTAGTCGTCTACCTCTTTCACCAATGAATACCTCTTTACAATAAGTGCAAGTTATGCAATAGATGGCGTTGGCTGAGGTGCACATGGAGTGATCAGTCAGGGACCGCGCAGCAAGTTTTCGAGTGGGGGGGCTAAAGAAGAATGAGTGAAGGAAAATTTTTTTGTTAAATTATTTTTTGTTTAATTTATTTTTATTCTTGCAAAAAAGTGGGGGGGCTTAACCCCCCCAGCCCCTCCCTCTGCGTGGTCCCTGTCAGTAATTGAGTAATTGAAGAAAGTGATCGAGCTTGTTTCATTTGATAGCCAGGGAAATTTCTCGTGCATAGTTGCAAGATATATGTTGAAAAGGCAAGCATAGTCTCAAAGATCTGATTAAAACCCACTTCTGCCGGGTAAGGACCGTTCATTATTTATCCCCTGAGGAGGTCGAGGATTTTTGTTGTGTCACCATAAAATTTACTTGATCTCCCATAAGGCTCTGTAGTGATGATCCCCCTTCATAGGTAGTCAATTTTCCATAGTCCCAACCCCCTTTCAAACTCTGTTAGAGACGATTCCCCCTCTGTTCCCTCTGAAAGCCATGCGATCCCTTCCAAAGTCCTCCTACCCCCCTCAAGCGATAATGATAATGTGAAGACTGGTCCCTATGGCCCGCTGAGATCATGCCATCAGTCTCTCACTACATTTATTGGCGCGAGGCGGATCGACAGACCTGTTCTCGAAGTCGGCGATGATATCTTCTGGCAAATGTTCTTACCCACGTAAGAGTAAGTTAGCGCAATAAAAAATTCTCTTGATCACAGGTAACTCGCTGATTGAGCACCGCTATTTACAACGTGAGATTTCGAGTCCCCTGCCATCGCATTTCGCACTCGAAATTAAAAGGTCCGCCTGATCGCAGGTTCTAAACAGCCTGTTTGACATAAAACTATTTCGATGATTCAGATAACGTTTTGACCAAACGAGAGTTTGTTAGTCGTCAAATAAAAATATCGCTGTACACGAGAATTGGCAAAACGCTTTCATAGCTGTGCGGCTCGCCTTTAATCAGTACGCTACCGTCAACTCTATCGCACCTTGGGATTTACTCCACGCATCCAACCGTTTGACAACATACCGAATATACTGCTCGTAGTAGGAGTAGTCTCGCAGATTTGAGCAATAGGGTTAAGCCCTATCGGACAGGGCCCATTTCAATTTCCATTTAAATGCGTGACTCAGAGAAGACCCCCGCACTGTGAGATTTTTCTTTTTTTCCTCCTCTCCCAGATATTTTTAGAACTCACTTTAACAGATCTTTCAGCCTAATCGACAGAAAAATATTATATTCAATGAGCTTCAACCCTCTCTTCTGAGCAGTATTCTCTTAACGCAAGATCTTGATCGAACCAAGCGTATTTATCGATGAGGACAGCCACCAAATCCTTTCCTTCCTAGCTTAAAGGTATTTGCTTTGAAGCCAGCTAATATGTTGTCGCGATAGGGTTCAACAGAGAGACTAAAGAAATACATGTATGTTATTTGCCGGCTGGGAGGTCTGTATGGTGAAAAACTGTAACCGAGGTCACAGTTTTTCACCATACGGATGAAGTGTGGACGTCTTGTACTCTGCAGCATCCACCTTTATTGATATCTGACGGGCTATACCAGTCACTAAACTACTCTCTACATCTAGTTACAAGCTCGGCTTTTATAGGTACGGTTGAGGATTTAGAACGTTCCGTAATATTACAACAGATTCTATTTACATATTGATTCATGGATGATTCAGCAAGACACAGCTACTTCTAGAACATTCTTGAAGGTCACACTACAACGGTTCGACCCTTAGCCGGTAAATAACATATTTATTTTTTTAAACTTAATGAAATTCTTTCCGAAAGAAAGCCAAGCCTGCCACCGTCATTTTGGATCTCAGCCTGGGTAGATTTAAGTCACGTGCTAGGCAACGTATAATCAATAACAAGATAGAATTTCATTTCAGGCCTATTTATCAATTTTGTGGTGTGTAACTTTCGCATTTTAGTACGTTGTATGTATGTTGAATCTTCAAATTGTCTTGAAACTTAAAAGAAAATTGTTCTTTAAAAATTCACTGAAAATCGGTAGCTAAAATTGTTTGTTTAGGTGTTATTTGATTTTCGTGTTAACTTGTTATTTCGTCAGTCGCCGGCATCTTTTGTTGCTTCACACAGGAAAAACACACGCGACGAAACGTAATGATCAATTTTGTCCTCAATCTCACGCTATAACAGAAAAAGCTTTGAACATCTGTAAACTCCGAGCGCTTAGCAGTAAGTGATATTTTCAATGAATCTTCGGATTGTTTTCAAGTTTAAGGATTGTAAATTACAATTTTATGAAAAACGAAGGTTGTTCTGTTATTTCAGTGTGAATCCTTGCATGCCTGCCAGTCGCTGGCGCCGCTTGTTAAAACTAAAACGAAAAAAAAAACTCTTTTAAGATTATCATTGGCTTCTTTTTCACCCCACCACTATTCTTAGCAACAAAGGTCGCCATTTCGTCTGTTTATTGCTTGCCAAAAACTATCAAATGCACTCAAAAGCCTAAAATCTAAAAAAAGTTTACATGAATCGACCAATCGAGCGAGCGAGCGAGCGAATGCCATTCCCCACATGGTATCTATAACTCGCTCTTGCGCATGCGCTCAATTCACGAGTTAAAAAGGCTTCCAAACAGCAACCTGTCAATTAGAGAGCGCGTAAGAAAAAAAGTGCAAGAACACATGAAAAACAACTGAAGTAGTTTTGCAAGGACTGTCCCGACAATGTTTTTTTAAAAACAGTCAATGATCTAACGGAAAGTGTTATTCACTCTCATCGACGATTCATTCATGTACGAAGATTTACCTCTGTTCATTAAGTAAACGGCGAGGAAAGTAATTGTGAGCAAATTCAAATTTTTTTATTTGAAGTTGTGAGAATTTGCTGGTTTGTTTGCTGCAATGGCGTGTGTGAATCTGATCTTTCCTCCAAAAAAACTAAATTCGAATGGCACACTCCAACGAGACACAAGGGGATTTAATGCGGCCTTTTCTCGATAAATTCCTTCAGTTTCTGTTGTGCAATTTACGGTACAAATGTCCAAATTGAACGGACCTAAAAAGACTCACCGAGAGCGTATATTTGTTGTAGAACTGATATTAAAACTTCGCTCGCTCTTTCACTACGCACAAATTGTTTAAGAAAATTCAGATATTAAATGAATGAAAGTTCCATCGTTCAGTTCAACTGTAACCAAATACCTCACGTTTTAACTTTCTAGGTACTTTTTGCGAACGATTAAAATTAATTGCAGACGGTATTTAGGCCGCTTGTCAACCAATGTAATGACTCTATTGTTTATATAAATTCATTCTGAAACCAATATTTCTCTGTCAAAGTGATTTGAGAGAAAGAAAAGAGAGGATTCATAAATTATTTATCGGCTTGAGGTAGTGACCAACGTGTTTGCTTAAAAATACTGCCCAGCTGGAAAAACGAGATATATTTATGAAAAATGGCAACGAAATTTGGGATGTACTCGGCGACTCACGAAAGCGTTACCGTGGCCCTTAGGCAGAGATAGGAAAATACTGACCGTTAAAAAACCAATCAGATTACAGGACTCGTTACCGTGCCCTCTGAAAAAAAAATAAAAAGCAATATCTTAATAAGTTTGAATATTTTTCCATTTTGTTTCGAGGATTACTCGCTCAGAAAATAATGTTAAACAGTCAGTCGATGAATAAAATTGCAAACGCGAATAGATTAGTTAGTAACATCTGTCGGTCAGATATCAAAAAGGTCAGCTGTTTTAAAACAATGGCTTACTTAAGGAACGAATCACAAGCTTTTATTTTGGTGTAGGAACATCGGAAACCGTTGCTGAAAATTGAATAACCATTAACATAATTGACTAATTTTCAAAACAACTTGTTTGCTTTTTCTGGACGTTCCAGAAACTGTTTGTTTCATCAACATCATTACCAACTGAAAATTGAGGTTGCTTTCCTACAGAGGTACATATAAACAATATATTTTAATACCTTTTATTTTTAAAGGTAGATTTAAAGAGATAAAGCAGCATAAGGAAATTTATTTATTTTTCCTTTAAGAGACATGTTTCGGAAGATATTTTTTATGATTCAGAACAATGGTCAAAATTTGGTAAAAAATCTTAGAACAAGTACAGCTTAACTAGTTACGAACTAATGCTGAAAGTGAGTATTAGGTTAACTTCTCAAAAAACGCATTTTTTTTATTTTTGCGGTAATTAACAACAACAGTTCAAAAGTGTCTTTGCCAGATCCGAAATTTACAATATAACAAATACTTTAATGTAAAATTTTACATTTCGTCTTATTTCTAAGCAAAGAAGCCTTTGTTACCAAATAATTACTTTTCGTTTGAGTACAGCTGACGCAAGACGAGACAACAGTTTTCCCCCTGTACTCTACTCGGTGTCATAAAAACGTTTTTAGACTCAGAGGACGGAGAAAAACATTTTAATACGTTTCAGTTTTACAACCCAGTCCTTTCAGAGACCAACCTTTTAGTTTTTATTTTTAACGACTTCCTTTTGGAATCCACACTAACTTATTCACAAACAATTAATTCTAATTAAATTCAGCCTTCTCTATTTATTCAAAATCAATTACATAGTTGAAATAAAGAGGATTTAGAAATAGTTACGTTTGACTTAGCACTCGTTTTATCCGAGACAGGAGCTTCTATAGGTTTTTGGGGAATTATGTCTCATTTCTCAAGGCGTAATAACGATATTTTAAAACCGTATAGTAAAATTATATGACAGATGTTTCTCGAATTGAAGTCAGAAATTTGCAAACCAATTTGCTAAACGCATGCACCTTTTTACTGACGTAGGGTAAAATAAACCAAGCACATTTACTCTCTTGTCTAAGAAAACAATCGCTATTATCTCTTGAAGATAATGAGAGAGGGGCAACGAGAGAAGTCAAGTATGATTACAGATGCGTATGCATCGGGTGAACGGGGGAGATCGAGATCGAGATCGAGTTGCGTTGAAGCCTATATGTCAACAAGGTGCAACCTGCCCCCTTAGGATAAATATGTACATAAGTTTCCGGGCTTTAATTTTTCAGCCTAAGAAACAGATTTTTGCGTGATGAAGAGAAAACTGAAACATTGGAAAAGACAGGAAATTCCTGCGCGACATTTACTTATGAAATTGAACACACAAGATACCAAAAAAACAACTTTTTGGCTCAGCCTTTGCAAGTGCATTTATTTTGTTGTGGTTACCAGATTTTATTCTGTACCGATTCGCTTTAGGCTATGCGGGGCTTAAGGTAGGACCATACACATCAATTTGTAAATGACAGAGGTGTCACAGCTACACAATATTTTTATATTAATTTCGTCAAATTGTTTTTACTTAGCTCTGACATGAGGAGCACAGGCGTCTATTCCACCTTGGGTATTCTCTGTGTTGTTTTGTCACTTAAACGTTGTAACGCTAACAAGACAGAGCTCATAATTGGATCGCTGGAAAGGAGCGAGGATAAAGACAGAGGGGCTCAACTTGGAATCACGCACGCCATCCACGTCGCTAAAAACTCTTCGAGTTTGAAAGAATTCCTCAAAAAGTATGAAATAAGGATCGTTTCTTATTATACCAGAGTAAGTTGTACAAATGTTCATATTTAGGAATAATTTACCATGCTGCTGCAGGAAATACAAGTTGCAAACACAGTTGTAACTTGAAATAGAAGTTGATACCATCTTCATAATTCAAATCTGTGCGATTGAAAACAACGGAGGTTAACTGCCGACTACTAAAGTCCTTCACAATATAACACTGAACACTTTTGTTGTTCAGCCTCGCTCCTGTTAATATTGTCAACTAGATATAAATAAAAACAAGATAGATGGAGTTCATTTAAAAAGTAAGGGAGGAAAATGGGCGGATAAAGATGCACAGATATAACCTAGGCAACCAAGTGAGAAGGAAAATGCTGACGAATATGATTAACAATACATTGATCTATCCTACACTCCTGGCAATCATCTTTCTATTTACTCTTTTACCAATAATTTACGCCACCTCCTGATTTAGATCTGTTACTGATCGGCATGAGAGCCCATGAAGTCATTCAAGCCGGCGGTTTCTTTTTCAAGTTGTTATATTTCTTTGTGAATAAACAAAGTCTCACAGCTTCCCTGACAAATACCAGGGATATAAAGGACAAAGTCTTCTGGCACTTTACACAGAAAGTGTTACATTTTCTCTAAGATTTGTCTAAAAAAATTCTCATTTACTTTCTTCTCGACAGGGAGATGTAACATCAAGTATTAATTCCGCCACTTATGCCTTAAGGTACAGGATGGGCGGATTCCCTTTGCTTCTGCTCGGACCTCAAACCTCTTCTGAAGCTTCCACGGTTCTTATGATCGCAAGATATTACCGAAAGTTAATGGTGAGGAGAGATAATGAACGATCGCTATATATATCTTAAACAGATGTATTCCATTGAGTTTGATTGCTTACCCGATGCAATGGTGATAAACAGATCATTTTAGAAATCTGTTTTATGAACTAGTCAGTTGTTTGATAAATGTTTGAATGGCTTTTTACCTCAATGATGACACCTTCTAAATGAACTTAATTGAAGGTTCATGATCTGAAAATATGCCATTTTCCTCACCGTTAGCGGGAGCCTTAATTAAACTCAGGATGAAATGAAATGATAAGTATAAAAGGTCAAATGCTGGAGCCCCGAAAAATTCTTATAAGCGATGATCATGAGCTTTTCTTCTCAAAAAAAAGGCGAAGCAGGATAAATTAATTGCGTACAAAATTAACAACGACTTATGTATGTATATGATATGAAAAATGAAGGATAAGCGAACAGAATGAAATTGCGTTCTTACTGTACGTTATACTGAATGCATGCATCTAGCTTCGGGCGACTCATTAATCCGTTAAGTGATCGTTCAATTGAGCTAAACGTTGTTTAAACTGGATTCTCTGAACCGATTTGAACCAAGTTACAAAATTAAAGCCGTTAACCGAGCTTGTTATTTAGTCGTAAGGCTTCATCTACGCTATGGAAATATCCTTCTGTTCGGCTCAGAAGTAACAAAATAAGTCACTATGGTCTTCTTCATTTTCCTCGTAATAGGTTACGTATCTGAAGACAACTAGCGATGACAGCGAGAGAAGGGATCCATACGGATTCACATTCGCTCCAACACAACTTACCTACATCAAAACTGTTTTAAAGATTATGAATCACTTTAAATGGAAAAGATTCGCGATTGTTTATGATTTCCTGGAGACGCAAGGTCTTTATGTTAAGGTATGGATCCATGTAATTCAGATGCCAATCAAAAAACGTCTTTCACAGATCTGAAGATAAATTCCTTCATCAGCACAATTAGGCAATCTATTCTTTATGCTGCCTCTTAGCAATATTAGCGTCTTCTCCTTGATGTTTGGACTTGTGGCAAATCTTCCAATGTCGATTTTCGTTCTCAGCCGCAAGAATACCTTCACCAACGCCATTGATTACGTAATCTTTGGGGTTTTTTTTTTCGTATTTTGGTTTTCTTCTCCTTCTGGGAAATGTTGAACTTCAATTTCTGTAAGCGATTCGAATTTTCAGTGTTTTAGCAGTCATTGTCAGAGAAAATCTCGACAAACGACCGTGCATTGAAAATGGCGAAAGCTTAGTTTATAAACCGTAGTTTATATGGTAAAAAGGGTTTTCAGGCGTATGTATAAACTTTGACTGAGTAATGTGCAATATCACCTATTCACATATGCATTTCCATGTAACTCAATTCGCCATAAAGTATGTCTTGCTTTTTAACAATTTTCATTTCAGAATGTTGAAAGCCTTATGATGAACACTGACTCTACGATAATTGGCCATGAAGCGATAAATACTGGTGAAGTTAATTTTAGAAGCAGAAACCAGGATACCCAAGACAAGCTTAGAAAACTAAAGGTGGTGGTAGTAAACCTTTACTAGACAACAACGTCTTTATTATTTTATCAACTCGTCTTGTAATTCACGATTAATGCTGGTGAAAACTGTACATTATGTATTTTCTCATTATTCTATCTTTAATCGCCCGTCTGAATAGCGGTTTGATCTCGCAAAATTTACAGCGATCTTCTTCCTGTTTACGTTTACATTTTAAATTCGAGTTTAAAAGTTATATTCATCAATGATGAATTGATTATTATTTTTAATTAAGGATTTAGATTCCAAAATATTCTATGGGGCATTCAGTAGCAGAGGAGCGTCGCTGATGTTTTGCGAGGTAAGGTGACATTGAATAGCTTGACTTGAAAAATTAGCTTGTATAGTTTATTAAGTGAAAATCGACAATGTTTGTCCCTCACAGTGATTCACAGAGAGTCTTAGTAGCACATCCATGTGCGAGTAATTTTCCACAAGGGCTTGACTTCATTCAAAGGACTTGCGAAAAAAAAGATCTGGATTTCTGCTTTTATGCTTGGTTGAGTCGATGTTTCGTTCATCGTATCCAGTTAGAGACCGAATATTTTCTTCAAAGGGTGGGGCTGCTAGGGAAGGGCATAGACCAACCCCTTTCCAGGAAGATGTATAAGTATTTTCTTTGAATGCATGATGCTGTTGCTCGTTAATTTAGTAATTCCTAACCATAGGTATTCAAAATGGGTTTGTTTGGACCAGACTTTGTTTGGATCTTGCATCCGAATGCTGGAAACGTCGATCAATGGGCTCTGTACGCCAATGTTGAAAGATTAAAGAACCGGTCTGGCCTTTGTACTAAAGAACAATACCAACGAGTGGCAGAGAGAATTTTGATACTAGATGAAAACATCATATATCGCAGTGATGAGAATACAACTACTGCCTCAGGTTTGGTAAGAGTCATAAAATAATATCTCGTGACAACGGAACATTACCAGAGTACTTTAAACTAAAGTGGCTTCATTGGTGAAAATAGCTTTGTTTGGTGCATTGAATGGATAATAAATTCCACTTTTTATCCACTTATTCATGGACAATGGACACACTTGTTTTAAATAGTAATTACCACATTGATTAATCGATTGTTTAAATTATTGATTGGTTGATTTATCGACAGACTGACTGATGATTGACTCTTTTTCATTCATTCATTCATCCCTTACATCGACATGCTCATTAGTTCAATCGAACATAGCCAATCAGTCAGTCACTCAGGCTGCCAGTCATTTGGCAATTATCTATTCTATCACACTTCTCTTTACTTTAATTCTTTCAGTACCTCGTGCATATGATATTGATCGTTTGAATACTAGATCAGTTATTCATTTTCAAATATTTGTTTATGCGTTTATTGACGTATTTATGTCTGTCTGAAGTGAGCATCATTTCACTCAAAACTTTATTTTCTTTCCTTTGGCAGACTTTAAGGCAAATATTCAATGCTTCAGATGTGGGAGCCTTGAGCAAATCACAGAAAATCAGAATGGCCATTGCGTTTGATACAATGTGGGGCGTTATGCTGGCTTTGAAAGAAAGCAGTAAGGAACTGCCTCTGAAACAGAATGTGAAAAATTTCTTGGGAAATGGAACAATAACGAAAACCATAAAACTCAAATTACGTAATGTCAGCTTTGAAGGACTCACGGTAATTTGCAGTACTTTACTTCTGCATGATCTTAACAATGTGTTAAAATGTGAAATATTGAAGATGCTACTTCACGGACTAGTGAAAAATTATTGAAGGTCACTTTAATAAATATTTTTAGGCTGTTAGGCATGCTTCGCAATTGCGAGCAAGCTGAGCTAATTTGCATCCTCGCCCTTTAAACGAATGAAGAAAGAATACGCTGTGAGCTCTGTTACTTTTTCTTTCTCGCATAGGGAGCTGTTTCATTTACTAAGAATGGGGAAAGAAGTGGAATCTTAATTATAAGGCAATATCAAGGTAAGAGTTCGCGCCAAAGAGCAAGCAAAAACTGGGGAACCAGACCAAATGAAAGAGCATAAAATGATATTCTTACGTTTTCGGAAAGTATGTTGTTTGATACCCTCAACGAAACATAAATAGCAGCAGATTTCAAGGTCTGATTTGTTGAAAGGTGGTATCTGTTTTAAGATTGGTGAAATAAGCTACTTCTCATTATAATGTTGTGGATACCGTAATAGAAAATTTTCCCTCGATGTATGCAATGGAATGTACTTGCAATACACTTGCAATGCTCTTGCAATGAACTTGCAATGTTCTTGCAATGCACTTGGAATGCGCTTTCAATGCACTTGTAATGCACTTGCAGTGCACTTGCAATGCACTTGTAATGCTTTCCAAAAAAAAGAGACGAGTCTGTAAACATTGGCGAAGGAAAAAAGAGAGGCGAGAGAGACATTTCGTAATGCACCTCGGGAAATTGTTGTTTAGTTATTTCTAACGTGTCATAAAATACAAAGGCTAACATTGTTGACGTGATTTGTGCATAGACTTCATTTTTAATTCCTCTGAGCTACGTCCTTCTTGTCTACGATCCTGACCACACTTATAAAAATATATATATTACTCATTTCGACAGCCGATAGAAGGGCGCTGGTTCCCATTGGTGAGTACCATATAATACAAGATAAATTCGTGGTATATGATGAAGTCAAAGACTCTTTGTGGAAAGGTAACGTTGAGTAGTAATTAAGCATTTACTTACTACCATTCGTGAAAGAAAACAAACGGAAAACGTTTTTTAGTATGAATTCATCACCGATAAGGGAGAAATTAAAACGAAAAAAAGATACTAATTGAATCTACACAGGAGAGGTATGCTCCAAAAGACAAAAGACATTTAAATGATATTCAATTGTTTTCAAATGAGTTAAAATTAAACGATGGACACCGCCATTTTGAATTTTATGTCGGCAACCGCCTTTATGATGGGACGAAATAAATTCTTGCTTTCCTTTTGTCTCTTGGTATTTTGTTTGAATAAATTTACGTGAACAGAAACAGTTTGACAGTGGCTATGAGCCGGTATACACGGAAAATGAAATATGAAAGTGTGAGATATCGTTGCTACAGACCTGAACTCTCGTTATATCTTTGGTTATGGCAACTCAAACTCCTTCTATTCGGTATAATTTCGGAATGCCCATCCAGTTTACTTCCTACATCGAGTTTATGCTACTTGGTGGGGGATTTTGTACGACCGAGGTTGTCTCAAAAGAAAGTTGGAAACTTTTTTTGTCGTGTCTCTTCTGAGTAACTCTGCTGATTACTGTCAACAGAGAAAGGTATGGCCTCGCTTGTATGTTTGCTATTTTTGAGCTTGCTTGATGCGGAAATAGCGCAGCGGTCCACTATTGTTTATATGTCATTTCCTATTATTATGCTTTGCAACTTAAGGGCCAAGGATGGAACTTCATCTTGGAAACGATAGTGAGATCGAATCCAAGTGGAAGCAATTTGTCTTGTTTCATTTGTTTATCTACTCAGTCTTCTCCGAAAGCATATGCTTTCTTATTTCGTTGTCAAAGTAACCATTTATTGTATAAAAGTCTGCACTAGAGAAAGCAATAACAGAAGTGTAGAGTGTTTGCTTCTCTTTTTCCTACCTCTTTGAAAAATAATAATGAAATAGATAAGGAGTTCTCGTTTCAGAACACAAATCACATTTCTTGAGTATTATGTTTTGCGGTGGTCGAGTATTTAATTTCGGCATCAAACGGAATTTATACACGGGGCCTTTGAATTCTGAAATGTAAGATAATTTCTTAACAAGCGCTCATTTGCGCTTTTCTCTATGACGTTATCCTATCACACTACTTTCAGATAACTATCAACCTATGGATCACTCACAGAGGGAACTAGAGTTCATGAAGATTCAATTGCCATTGATAGCAGCTATGTGGGGGTTTGCAGCTATTGGAATAGCCTGTTCATCAGGTTTTTTGTGTTTCAACATAAGAAACCGTAAAAAGAGGTAAGGCACGGAACGGAGGTTAATATTTTTCGTTTGCCACTCATGCATTTCAAACTTTGCTTGTTTGGATGTATGATCAAATAAAAGGCGACGAGATGGGATCATATTTTGGCATGGTCAGTGATGGAAGTTTTAAAAAAGTGTTAGCCGTTTGGATGGAAGTATGGAAATTCAAACTTTTCCATTCAGCTGAACCTGGCCTGAGGCTTGAATTGGCATGTTAGCCTCCGAACTGTAAATAAGTTATTATTGATAGTCCAACTTGAGATCTGAAACTCGCCAGAGCGGTTTAGAAATGGCTTTGATAGCGACAAAATAAGTCAAATGAGTCAGTTTTTGACGCGTAGTTGTAGAACACAACGCTTTAATCCAGATCATCTCACGCTTGTGCAGAACTTACAAAAACAGACATTTCCACCATTTGTGACATTTGTGTTGCCTCGAATTGATCTACGCCTACGGTAAAAGCTGAACAAAGAAAACCTTAATTAACACTACACTGGGTTGAAAGGAAATTGTAAACCTCATACTTACATCTTTTAGTAGTTTCGAAACTACTCTTAAACAAAACCATATGTACTAAGCCACGTGACCTAATCAATATCAGTTCGCATTTCGTTCATTCGGCCGCTAGTCGGCCCCAACACTGTGTTGAGGTAATATCGGTGTGAAGCTCGAACACTTTTGTACGGACCAAATTACCTTCAAGAACAAATTATTTTCGTTGTTGTTCACTAACTCGTCACGCGATGATTTCATTTTGTCTAGTGTTATCAAGATATCTTCACCAAACCTCAACAGCATCATCGCTATGGGTTGCATGATGTGTTACGCCGCAGTGATTTTGATTGGACTCGATGCGAGGTTCCTGTACTTGGAGGAATACACCTTCGTTTGTAATGTACTTCTGTGCAGTGTTGCTGATTGCGTGTGTCAAACAACCTTTAAAAACTAAAAATGCTACAAAAATTCTCATGTTTCAGGACAAAAGCCCATTTCAGTTTCCTTTCGCTTGACAAATTATGATTTCGGATTCCCAGTAGCGGATTAACGGAGGTGGGTGTGGGGGGGATCCAAAACTGTACCTTACAGACTCTTGGGTTTTTGACAACTTTTCCAACACCAGAATTCTTGTAACGACAGGATCCTGTATCACTTCTCAACAGGCTAATATCTTTTCTCTATTCAATTAATGACCCGTCAGAGAAAGAAACACACGAAACTAAGTTTCAGGTTCCATTGAGGTGGTACCCTAAAATGGTCCGCCGCTGCTTCTTCATGTAAAAAAGAAGCATTGACCAGCCTTTACATAAACTGGCGCTCGTCTCTCTCTTCTGGAAAAAGGCGACATAATGACTTGTGATGTGTCTCCGAGTGAAGGAGGGAGGGAACTGCCCTTGAACAATAATCTATCGTAATGGTTGTATCTGCTGTTACAGCCAGGAGATCGCCATTAAAGATAACATAAAAATTTGATCTTCGATGGCAGGCCCGAAGTGCAGTGTTGTGCATTGGATACTCTCTATCATTTGGCGCAATGTTCAGCAAAACCTGGAGAGTTCACAAAATATTCACGGCAGGGTTAAGTCGTGACAAAATGGTGAGAAATCATACCTTTTTTAATCTTTTTTTTTAATTTAAGTAATTCGTTCAGAATTCATTAGAGTGAAATTATTTCAAATGTTTAAACACGTCTGGGAGGGGCCGCTCTCTTAACACCATCTGCGTAACAGCAAGCCTGTAAATTCAAACTTTAAATCATATCCCTCACTTTCTTCATTTTAGGCAATCAAGGATAGCCATCTGCTAGTTACTATAGCTGCATTGCTGATGATCGATGTGGTGTTTTTGTCCTTCTGGATTTTAACAGATCCGCTCCAAGCTAAAATACTAACGTTTGAAGAGAGGGTGAGAGATTTCATTTTTAAAACGCGCATTAAAAAATCGACCAAGAAAGATGGCAAATTTTAATTTTAACCATGGAATGATGAAATATGTTATTCGTGTTTATTAAGAGTGAAGGGCAGAGAAAAATTTGAATTCGCTACGTGGAATATGAATCCCAGATTTACCCTCTGATGCTCTATCGAATGTTACCGAGGCCATACTTGTGTATAGCTTAGCTTTGCACTCCAGCTCTCCGTAACTCAGTGGTAGAGCGTCGAAGGACAATTCCAAAGGCTTTGTGTTTGTTTCTCCGATTTTTTTTCTTGTCCGACGCTTTTGACCAAAGGAACTGAAAAGGAAATATGCAATTTAAAAGACTGGTTCAAATCTGTTCTGTTTTATACATGAACAAGGTATTGAAACTTTAACAATGTTAACAAAATAAAACGACCAACACGGTGGGTATGTTCCTAATAGGATTCATCCAAGGGTCCTTTGTAAAAAAATTTTCCCAACCCGGCATTCTTTTTTCAAGATCACCTCCTAATAGTGGCCGCCTTGCATAACAGCCAAAGCTTTTACGTATTTCCTGAAATGAAAACTGTCTTCATTGGCACCACTCTACAATGAATACTTAATTCTATGCAAGGTGGTCTTATCAGAATATTTCGATTGCATAGGGATGATTTTCCAAATCTGAGTCGGGACGTACCGGTTTCACAAATGGAAGGTGGCGATTTTTATTAAACATTACTCTTGATTCATTGGGAAACTATTTTAGTTAATTTTCTAAATTAATTTAATTATTTGATTATTTATTCAGGCCAGCCTGGAAAACCACATTGTTACTATCCCAGCGTTGTATCAATGTACTTGCAGATACAAGACGTATTTCCTTGCGTTCGTGTTTACCTATAAAGGCTTGTTATTGTTATTTGGTATTTTTCTTGCCTGGGAGACACGCAATGTTGCTATTCCTGCTCTGAACGACTCCAAGCACATCGGGATGTCAGTTTATAACGTGTTCGTTTTGTCCATTATTGGTGCGTCTGTGTCTCTGGCTTTTGAAGGATCTGTGCACCACGAGGCTCCATATGCCATTTTATCAACGTGCCTTATCATGAGTACATCTGTCACTTTGCTTCTGGTGTTTGTGCCCAAGGTAAGAATCTTGAACGTTCAAAATTAAACCCTACCATGAACACCCTTGACTATGAGGATTCTAGAATTGACTTGATTTTGCTCATGTTAGATACATCAAAGCGTCGACATAAAGCAAATGCACCGGTAAACTATTCAGTTGAAATGGATCTTTATTCCCTCCTGCCATTCGCCAGTCCATATTAGCACTCCTGCTTGGCGAAAGGTATTGTAAAGTAAAAAACGCCATGTCCAAAACCTCCACGCAATGTTTCCTGGGTTGATTCCGGTATGGTCCTTTCGAAACAGAATTTCATTTTGCTTTTAAAGCCACTGGAAATTTCTATTTAGTTTTTAATGAAATATTAGGTTTGATGGAAGAGGCATGCAACGCCAGGTAAGAAATCTATGCAACAGTTGATGAGAAACTCAGTACCATTAAGATTTTTATTGTTTCATAGTGGAGTCGAAGAATGTGTCTCAAAGACCGATAAACCTACTATATTTATGTAACATAACTGTATTTATGTATTTATTTATGGCTACTGTATTTATGTAACATAAGAAACATTATGTTAATCGGACCCATAAGTTCACATCGTTTGTTTCAGATTTACCAGTTCCGCACTAAGGTAAATGAAGCGACCCAAAGCATCCGTGTCCGTGAATTGATGGAGGGGCAGATTTTTCATTCTATTTGTAGAGCAACACAAACAGACCTCGGCGTATCAGAACTTAAAGGTAAAAAAGCATTAAAAGTCCGTACTTGCATTGTGCCTTATTTTTCAACACTGCTCAAGAAAATTAGGCAAGATTCATTGAAAATTGCTCTCAGGATGCCTTCGTTAGACTTTTTCTACCGAAAACTGAAAGACGCTTCGCCTTTCTATCCCTTTTCCTAAAGGTGTGCATGACGATTTACCCTATCATTTGTAAACAGCTTAATTCCGCAAAAAAATGTTTTGCTACTTTCAAAAAGAGGTGCACATCTTGAAGTTTTCTCTTAGTCTCATTTTGGAAGGCTTGTTAAGATCTCTCTCTTTTATTACTTTCCCCTTTTAGACAGTATGTTTTGACAATGCACCTCACTTGACTTCAATAAAAGGAAATAATGAGATATGTTATGGTAGAGAAGGTACCAAGTGAACGCTCAGCCATTACAGAAAGAAAAACAGGAAACGGGGAGAAAAAGTGTGATTGTTTTTATTGTATTTTTTTTATTGACGCTTTTCAGTATTCCTCTTTGTGTTTTTCTCCTTATTAGCTGAAGCAAATGAAGCCTTTTCCTCGTCAGAGGAAATACCTCAAGAAGCGTCGGACGAAAAAAATGGCTGTGGCATTCAACCTGTAAAGTTGATATCAGAAAGGTCAACGGGCCAAAAGGATAAGGCAGCAAAGACTCCTGGGCCAGTCACAAGTCAGCACTGAATTTAAAAGGCAAAAGGTTTCATTCCACGTGGAAGCCTTTCCTCTTTTTTCCCCATTATTTCGACTATAAATTTTTTTTCGTTTATGGTTGTGACTTAATGTAACTTAAGGCTAAACTTTCGGTTTTCAAAGACCGCGTAATTGATATCCTTTATTCTCTCTGATTTTCATTAAGTTTTGTAAATTTAGGATAGTTGATTGCATAGTCAAGTTATCGCTAAGTTTATTGTTCTGAAACTTGTCGAGACACCAGAAAAAAGGGGACAAAGTAAAACCCGATGTCAAGCTTATAGCTATGTGATTTAAAGTGAATCTGACTATTGCGAGCAAATCATAAAGCGGATATAGCTTTTTATTTCTACTGCCTCAACTGTAATAGAATTCTTTAAAGACTGGAGGAGGTTCCACTTTAATCCGAAAGAATATGGCATAGGGTAAATAGCTTAAAATATGGACTGGACTATTTTTTTGGACCATTTTTTGGGCCATTTTTTGGACCATTAGTTCTCAGGGAGGGGCGGGAGGCAGAGTGTTATTATTCAGGGAAGGGTGAGAGACGGACTATTACTACGCAGGGAAGGGTGGGAGGCGGTTGTAATAGTAAACGCTACTGGTTAATGGAACTTTTACTCGATCGTACGAATTATTTTAATCGGTTTTTCGACTGACTTTTTTGTAGGTCAAAATTTTAGCGCCAGGCCGCGGCGTTTCCTAATTTTTTTGTCATGCGAAAGCGAAACTGCCACGTAAACACTGGACGTTAATTTTTATTGAAAATATTGCGTTTACGATCCTCCACTGTTGAGTTTGCGTGCGCCTTTTGAGTCAACTCGTGCACCATCAGTTGCTTCACGTTTTTCTTTGTGTATACAGTATGTAATTACTAAATTTATCTATCTTCCTTTTGTCATTGATCTTATCAAACGAGATCGCGGAATTTTCGTGATTTTTTGATAGACTTCATCCCACCCCTCCCTCAGTACCAATGGCGTGCTTTCTCCGCCTTTAAATTGGTCCAAAAAATGGTCCAAAAAATAGTCCAGTCTATATTTTACCTTATGCCTAAGAAATATCAATAGTTCTCTTGTTCTGTCTAATTAGTTCAGTGTCACATTGCATTAATGCTGATCTCATAATTGAATATGTCACTAAAAAGAGGAGGGCCACCTTTAGGTTAACTAATTGTACCACCCACTGCTATTGCCATCATGGAAGATGAGCAGAATAGGCCCACTTTCATATTCGGTGCGCCTTAACCATCCCTGTAATTCTGAGAAGTATTCACTTAACGCAAGATGTTGATCGCGCTAAGCGAAGTTGGCATAGATGACAGTCCTCAAGTTCCTGCCTCCCTTGATTAGAGATAATTGCTTTCGCGCAAGCTAATATGAAGTCATCACAGTGTTTTTTTTTCTGAGTGAAAAAGCGCTACAATAAAGTGATAATTGAAAAGTAATACTTTTGCACAGAACTGTGAATTTTGTATGGTTTTAAGACTTTCAGATGGTTGCATTGATGGTGTTCTGTTTTGTTCTGAGATGAAACCAAGTCTCAAGTTAGCCTAAATATGGATTTTTTTTTTATGGAGAAATGGAAACTTAGTTTAAGTCAAAATCCCCCGGATTAGCTTCAGCAACCTTCTTGAACTATACTAATCCCGGGATGTTCTGGTAAGCAGGTCCATCAGGATTTGCGAAATTATAGCTCAGTCAATAACTAACTTGAATACCGCTCCTGGCGCACTACTCCAGAGCTTTGCGTAATACGCAAATGTTGGTTCATAAACGCTTTTCTCTGGACTACCTCGAAAAACACAGGAATTAAAGAGATTAAGGCACTATCCGTGTGAATCTATTGAGGATAACTTTTGTTTTCAAAGATAGATAGATGGATGGATAGATTCATCAAGTGAAAAACAAAATGAAAATTGTTGATAGCCTCACTCAAACTTTGCCATATATTCCTCTAAAAGGAAATTGAATAAAAAGTTATAATACTCCCCTTAAAATTCATCACAACCCTTCTTTTCATGATATAAAAGCCCTCCCTTACGTAATTGGTAATCAAAAATGAATTGAGTCAGCGATAAAGATAACATCGACCACCGATTTTCTTTTACAGTCTCAGGATTTACTTAGCTCTTTGACCTTTACCAATGCTTAACTTTTTCTTTCTTTCTTGTTTCTTTCCTAATTATTTTTTTTTCTCATTAATTATGGATTTTTATCACTGTAATTGTATTTTTGAAGTAAATAGCTCCCTGAGATGAAAGCATGTTTATCTTACTTCAGATACACTGATACACAAATGATACACTGTGAACTCGAATTTAGATAAGCTATGTTAAGTGTACTTGACTTAAATGTTCACTTAGACAATTTCGCCTCCATTCTCCATCTCTTCCCCTTCGTCTCTGTAATTGTTTTCCTTAGATCCCTCCAGTTGTAAGCCTTCTACATATGCAGCTGTATGGGACCTATTTTATATATATTATACATATCTCGACCATATCATGTGATAGCTAACCATCTTCCCTCTGCTCATGGATATGCCGATGATACACAACTTTATCTGTCGTTTGGACCTAATGGCAGATCTTCGCAAGACCACGCCATAGCTTCTGTAGAGGCCTGCATCTCAGATGTCCGTGCATAGTTGATTTATTACCGTCTGTTAATCAACGATTCGAAAACTGAGTTCTTAGTTGGTGGTTCCCGCCATCAATTATCAAAAATCGCAATTGATTCCATCACCGTCGGTGATTCTACCATCCAGCCTCTCGACAGTGTTCGAAACTGGGGTTCCTGGTTTGACTCCAATATGTCTATGTCCATTCACATTGGTAAGATCTGCAGCAAGGCTTTTCATGGCTTGTATAAATTCGCCAAATTAAGAAATTCCTTAGTCCTGAGTCCACGAAGACTCTTATTCATGCATTTGCGACTTCACATTTGGACTACTGTAACTCTCTTCTCTTTGGCGTCCCCAAGTACCCCTCTGTTCCCTCTGAACACCATGTGATTATAAAAATAAAAGCTAAGTTTTTCGTTTGTCTCACGATGTCACGATCAATAAATTTTACTTCGTTTCAGAGTGGCTTGTGTCCGGTGTTGTGGGCATGCTCTGAAACAGGGACCCTTATTACTACAAGCGCAGGGTCAAAGAGGCAATTCACATAAGACTTCACCCTAACAACATCAGCAGGGATAGTAGAATAGAAATTTCAGAAGCGTGGATGCCCACAATCAAAAAACAAAACAACAGGAGAGCCGTGCGACAGCGGATCGCCGAGGGAGCAAATCCCTGATCAGCAAGGATCGAAATGCACCAATCAGAGCTGTTGAGAGAGAGACGTGAGAGTTCGAGTCCCCTGTCACCGCATTTCCCACTCGAAATTAACAGGTCCGCCTGATCGCAGGTTCTAAACCGCTTGTACGACATATTTAAAAATACAAACCCTAGCTCTTTAAGCGTGCTTCTGAACGTTGACATTCGCTGGTTTGCGCGAAGAAAAGAAATAACTTCTACAGCCCGCGCTTCATGTGACAAAGTTTCCCTTCTGAGCGACATTTCCCTTACCCCACCCCGAGAATTGTGATATTGTCAACATCTGGTAGTCAACGAATATTTTGAAGCTCGCCCTCGGAAATTGGCAAAGCGTCGGTTCTTTCAAACCTTTGTTCTAGAAACAATAGAGCCTCTAAGCTGTAAACAATTAAAATGCCCATAGAAGGAAGGTAATCCAGTGCCACTGTCTACCAAAAATTAAACACAAAGTTTGATATGTTTTAATTGTATTTTTTTATTGACGCTTGTCAATATTCCTCTTTGTGTTTTTCTCCTTATTAGCTGAAGCAGATGAAGCCTTTTCCTCGTCAGACGAAATACCTCAAGAAGCGTCGGACGAAAAAAATGGCTGTGGCATTCAACCTGTAAAGTTGATATCAGAAAGGTCAACGGGCCAAAAGGATAAGGCAGCAAAGACTCCTGGGCCAGTCACAAGTTAGCTCTGAATTTAAAAGGCAAAAACTTTCATTCCACGTGGAAGCCTTTCCTCTTTTTTCCCATTATGTCGACTATAAACCCTTCTTAGTTTATAATTATGACTTATTGTAACTTAAGGCTAAACTTTCGGATTTCAAAGACCGCGTTATTGATATCCTTTATTCTCTCTCTGATTTTCATTAGGTTTTGTAAATTTAGGATAGTTGACTGCATAGTAAAGTTATCGCTAAGTTTATTGTCCTGAAATTTGTCGAGACACCAGTAGAAAGGGGACAAAGTAAAACCTGATGCCAAGCTTACAGCTATGTATTGTAGAGTGAATCTGACTATTGGGAGCAAATCGTAAAGCGGGGTATAGTTTATTTATTTCTACCACCTCAACTGTAATAGAATTCTGAGATTGCTTTCGAGCAAGCTAATATGAAGTCATGACGGTGTTCTTTTTCAAGTGAAAATGCGCTACAATAAAGTGATGAATAAAAAATTATCCTATGCACAGAACTGTGATTTTATATTTGGTTTTAAGACCTTCAGGTAGTTGCGCTGATAATATTCTGTTTCCTTCATTGTTCAAGACCCCTATTCTGAGATAAATCAAGTCTCGAGTTAACCTAAATGTGGATTTTTGTCATGGAGAAATGAAAACTTAGTTCAATTCAAAATCCCCTGGATCAGCTTTAGCCACCTTTTTGAACTATAGTAGTCCCAGAATGTTCTGGTAAACAGGTCCATCCAGGATTTGCGAAATTATAGCTCAGTCAATAACTAACTTGAATACCGCTCCTGGCGCAAATTTCTAGAGCTTTGCGTAATACGCAAATGTTGGTTCATAAACATTTTTCTCTGGACTTACTAAAAAAAACACAGGAATTAAAGAGATTAAGGCACCGTCAATGTGAATCTATCGAGGATTACTTTTGTTTTCAAATACACTATTTACCAAAGAATGCAGACAAGAAGAAACGTCGTGGATAGATTCAATAAGTGATGAACAAAATGAAAATTGGCTGTGATTATATGAAAGTCATATATTTGAACTGCGGTAAAGACGTGAATAGGAAAGCGATCTTCGCAGTTATGAACACTTCTTAAGCAGTAGTGAAAAGAAGACCTGAAAAAAAAATCAGGCCTGTACGGTACGGGATTTGAACCTATGACCTCTGCGATGTAGTGCTCTACCAACCGAGCCAACAAACCAACTGGGAGCTGGCCATTGTGTTGGTTCGAAATAAACCCGTGGAGTGGTGAATAAACGGCTTTGAATATATGAAAGTCATATATTTGAACTGCAAATAAAGTGCGGATAAACTGTTATAACTGTGAAGATCGCTTTCGTATTCACGTCTTTATCTGCAGTTCAAATATATGACTTTCGTATATTCACAGCCGTTGTGAATATGTTAGCATGTTTATCTTACTTCAGATACACTGATACACAAATGATACACTGTGAACTCGAATTTAGATAAGCTATGTTAAGTGTACGTGACTTAAATGTTCACTTAGACAATTTCGCCTCCATTCTCCGTCTCTTTCCCTTCGTCTCTGTAATTTTTTTCCTTAGATCCCTCCAGTTGTAAGCCTTCTACATATGCAGCATTATGGGACCTATTTTATATATATTATACATATCTCGACCATATCATGTGATAGCTAACCATCTTCCCTCTGCTCATGGATATGCCGATGATACACAACTTTATCTGTCGTTTGAACCTAATGGCAGATCTTCGCAAGACCACGCCATAGCTCCTGTAGAGGCCTGCATCTCAGATGTCCGTGCATAGTTGATTTATTACCGTCTGTTAATCAACGATTCGAAAACTGAGTTCTTAGTTGGTGGTTCCCGCCATCAATTATCAAAAATCGCAATTGATTCCATCACCGTCGGTGATTCTACCATCCAGCCTCTCGACAGTGTTCAAAACTAGGGTTCCTGGTTTGACTCCAATATGTCTATGTACATTCACATTGGTAAGATCTGCAAGGCTTTTCATGGCTTGTATAAAATTCGCCAAATTAGGAAATTCCTTAGTCCTGAGTCCACGAAGACTCTTGTTCACGCATATGTGACTTGACATTTGAACTACTATAACTCTCTTCTCTTTGGTGTCCCCAAGTACCAGACAGATCGTCTTCAGAAGGTGTTTAACGCCGCTGCTCGATCAATCTTTAGGATTCCAAAGTTTGATCACATTTTGTCCGCCTTATCTCATCTTCACTGGCTTCCTGTGACTTATCGCGTTCATTTTTTAAAAGTTGTTACTCTTAGTTTATAAATCTCTCAACAGTCAAGGCCCACAATACATTCAACAATATCTGCAGCCACACTCCATTTCTGGTCATCACCCACGTTCCTGTGACCAGGGCCTTCTTAAGATCCTAAGAACTAATTTTAAGACCTTCGGTGATTACGCCTTTGCCCGTTCCGGGCCACTTCTGTGGAACAAACTGCCGCTTGAAATACGAAACAGTCAGAGTGTAGCCATTTTTAAGTCCAAGCTTAAGACACATCTGTTCAAGCTGGCTTATAACTTGTTTTAACATTTTTAATAGTTTTAGCATTTTAATATTGTTCATATTTTATCGTTTAATCGTTTTAATATTTTTATAGAATATTTTGTTAAGCGCTTTAGAATATTTTCATAATTTTAGCGCTTTAGAAATGTAAATTATTGTGATTATTATTATAATTTTTCTCACAATACTTTGTTCTCCTGTACCCTCTCCTTAAGAAATAGCAATAATAATAATAATAAAATTAATAAGTAAATTTTTAAATTTCTCAATATCAGCCTGTAATTCTTTATTGCTATATTAGCCTGGATAAATCTTACCTATTTCAATCAAAGTCAACGGATTTTTAAATACATTTTTTTCCTTAAAAAACATGTTAGTATTGTATTGACATTTAAAATTTTAATGTTATCGACATATGTAAAAAATAGAGAATTATTTTGATAGGTAAATAATAATTATAATTATAATAATTAAAATTTCACAAGCTCGCTAGCGGCCGAACAACAAGGGGTGGTCGCTAAGCCAAGTGTTGCTCATAGCATATGGCTGCGACACCGTTAGCAATAATGTGTGACTGTTTTCTTTAGCAGTGTTGTTTCTGAAGCAACAGTTTGCTTAAAATATTCCAAAAATTAGGAAGACTGTCCACCTAGTGACTGTCTGGTATGAGCTCCGATGAAATTCCTGCTACAAACTCGATATCTTCGCTTTCAAATTTGGTCGATACTCCGAACAATTCTGATGTCGATGGATTGGATCCTTTAGCGCTCGGGGCATCTGAAGAAGTCAACACTTCCACAAATGTTGAAACTATACAACCTGAAGCTTTAGGCCTGCAGAAGAAAACTCCTCTGAATTCTCCTTTCGTGTACAACGAAACCCCTAAAACGGTGACCGTAGAGAATTTGAATGGAGAACGTCACTTGAAAGATACAGAAAGAAACGATTATGCCAACTGCGATAGGGCCAATGGCAACGAAAATGGAACAAGCCCTAATGTGACTGATACAATTATTTCGACCACTGTAGTTTCCGAAGGGATTTCGCTCGACTCAGCTCGCGGAATTGTTGTCTTGGAACAAGTTGCTTTGGAACAAATGAATGAATTAATCGCCGGCGCATCTCGGATACAAGATGACAGCTCTACAAACAGTGAAACGTTCGAAGATTCTCGCTTTAGAACTCATTTTCGAAGTGATAGTCAGAATTCGGACGGTTCTTCGACAGAATTAGGCATCACCAGCAAAAGCACCCAACAAAAGTCATTAGATTTATCCGCCGACCCATCCTTCTCAGTAGAGTTCGACATGAGCAGATTTGAAGATCTTGATACTAAAAAAATTGCCGAAGCACTCACAAATGAACTAAAAAAGTACTCTATACCCCAAGCTGTTTTTGCACGCAAGGTTTTGAATCGCTCTCAAGGGACTTTGAGTGATGTTTTAAGAAAACCGAAACCTTGGAGCGAACTGCGAGGAGGCAGAGAAATATTCCGAAAAATGAAAGAATGGCTCGATTTACCAGAGGTGAAAAGAATTCCACAACTCAGGGCAGAAGGTAAGAAAGACACTGTGAGCGTTGGAACGATGTTTAGGGATGTAAAAGGGAAACTGAATACTCTATCAGAAGATAAATGTAGAGAAATTCATCCTCCAATGGCATACGGTTTTCCCTACTTCCGTGTTTTTGTGAAACGCTTTGTAAAGTAAATGTATCAATACGAACTTATTGTTGAAACAGAAAGGGGCCTGTTAACTAATTTACATTATATTGGCAGAATGAATTTTGAATGAAAAAATTCTCAATGCTTAGCATGACACAAAGTTCATGACTCTTGACATGTGTTTGAGGGCTTCTGCCCTCCAAATGACCAGCAGTCCTACACTTTTGATAAATAAATGTGACCACTCGAAGGAACCCCAACCAATTCAAAGGTGATTGGAAGTGCTATGGATTCTTTACTCTAAGCTCAGTGTAAACCAAGGAGTAGATTTAAGATTTAGAGCACTTTTTAACTGTTCATCAAAAGTGATCTTGAATGAATTGCTTAGCTGGTTTTGCTTTACTTTGCCCTGTGATTGGTCTAGAAAACTTTCACAACCATCTCAACCAACCAAATGCAAAACTAAACCCAATATCAACTTGGCCACATTTCTGTGAGTCATCATTGGTTAATTTACCCTTTAACTCCCATGATCTAATTGATAATTCTCCCCTTTAGCTGTAACACATTTCCTTGTAAATTAGTTATGAAAATTTGGTGTTTGATAAAGATAACAACTTCTGCCTGATAAGTTTTGGTATTCTCACCACCTTTTGTTGGATAACATTTGGATATGATAGGGAGAAATTACATGTTAATCACCCCTGGGAGGGAAAGACTTAAGGATGATGTTAACCTTTGTTCTATTTGGTACTTTTTGGTTTTGATAGTCAATTAAAGGTCCTCCATAAAGGTATCCAGGATTGCTTGGTGTCCAGTAATTGAGACGCATTTAGGATTGTTTTGATTGGCTGGGTTAATGTAATTTCTCAAATATACTAGAAGTGCAGGAATGTTGGTCATGAAGTGTTTTACATACCTAGACCAGTAGTTGCCCTAAACACACTTCAAATGTCACCAGCTGTGCTTTGCACTATGAGCCCACCACAAGCATTACAGTAAATCTTTGATCTAGAGGGGTATTCAGGATTGCTTAGCACTTGGTGTATGTAATTGACTTATGAAAGAAAGGGGCAAGTTTCTGAAGAAACTGTGGTGCTGTGTTGGTGGGAGAGTATATCAGGGTAATTTAGTATTGTCAACTGAGTTGATAATGTAAATTGCCACCATAAAGAGTTTCGAAGCTGACGTTTTTAGTGTTAGCCCTCAGATAAAGGGCTAGTGCTGGAAATGCTTAGGGTTAAAACCCATTATAGTGGCCAATTTTCATCATCAACTTAGTGGACAATACTAAATTACCCTGACCTATGAAAGGGTTGTCGTTAGAAAATGGTTGGCAACAGAAATCCACCAGCAGTCAAACCATTTTGTGCTGGCTAATTGAACTGTGATCAAAGACAGAAAATAATTATTTTTAACTAATTCTAACATCAATGTCTGGCAAAAAAGTTACTCGAGTATGTCCCATAATGCTGGAAATTGCATCTCATAGAGAGTATCAAATTTCAAATCTTTCCAAGGGAGCATGCCCCCACACCTTCTTTGAAGGGTGTGCTGCTTTGCAACATGCCTATTTAGCTGCCTACTAAGTTCAGATGATACATCTACCACATTGCAATGAAAACCCTGCTTATGATTTTTTGAACTGGCTAGGTTACTTTGATTTGTCAAATATACCAGCAGGGTAAGACTGTCAGTCAGCTAGTGTGTTGAAAACCTTGACCTGCCATTTACCATGGTTCATTCAAGCACAGTATATTTGTTGTACACCTACAGAAGGTGATATTAGATCAAGATGAAAAATTTTGCTTGACAAGTTTGAGTAATTTCATTACCTGTTTGCTGGATAATGTACAGTGTATAGATATTATAGGGACAAGGTGCAGGTGTATTTTAAAGGGTTGATTTCCAATAAGTTACCAAGAGAGAATCTCATCTTACAATATGGATACAATATCATGCAGACTAGTGATGAGAGCAGAGAAAACTATCACTTAGGGATTATAAGTTGATCCAATATCAAATTCTCAAAAGTAACATCATAAGAATTGTATGGAAGAGAGTAAGGAGAATTACTAAAGAGATCTTGGAAGTGAAAAGGTTCACAATCCTAAGATTTGATTTGTTATTCTCCCTTAGCCTTCTGAAGTCAGTTACTTAAGAGAATTTGGTGTTGTACATAGAGAGAGATGCATTTTACATCTGGTCTCTTAATGATGAGTTTGTTTATTCTCACAAGTTACGGACTGAATACTGAAGTGACAATATCAGGAGAAGTTACACATGCTGCTATTGTCTTTGCAGCTGCTTTGGAACTTGATGCTAAAGCCAGGAGGGAAGAAGACACTGGTCCACCAAAAAAGAAAACAAGGTTGTATTTTACAGACTCTCAGAAAAGAGCACTCTTTGCTATTTTTAAAGAAACTAAAAAGCCTTCAAAAGAGATGCAGAATGCTCTTGCAGAAGAACTTGGGCTTGAGAGAGACACAGTTGCAAACTTCTTTATGAATGCCAGACGTCGACATCCAGAATTGTAGAGGTAAACTGGTAATGACTGTGTTCATTGACCTCTTGTTAATATTCCAAGGAGAAAAGTAAGATTTTAGTTTATTTGGTAAAAAGTTTTCTCATGCATTAAGCTTGAAATTCAGGGTCTTTGGCACAAATGTGCTGACTTTATACACTCTATCATTTCCTTACCTTTTACTTCCTTCAAAATTTTTGCCTGGGTCACGTGGTTTGTATAGTTGTATACTATTTCAGCCTCACCACGCTTCTCTATGCCCCAGGCAAGCTTTACAATGTACATGAAGGTCATTGTTGACAAGCAAAACACCAGCATGGAGGGGGGAATTTGCTCAGTTGCAGAAGTGCCCCAGTAGTTTTCCATCATTCCACGGCATGCACATAGACAACCTCCAAGCAATATTTGCTGTGACTTTGCTCATTTCCATCGACCAAGAACCCAGTGGTGGGTGATGTGATTAAAGACAAGGTGTTACTGTACTAGTGATGTCTTACTAGCAGTCAATACTGCAGCCTGTCACTGTGACTCAGAATGGAAAGTTAAATGAAAGACTCTTGTAAATCTCTGTGCTTGCTTGACCTTTAATAGTACTAAGTTTAATATTGTACATGAATAAATTACACACTTATGTTCAGCTGAAAACGAGTGCATTCTCATTAAACACAGGTGCAAAGTTGTAACATGTGCACAAACTACTCTTGATTTTCTGTAATGTTTTTTTGATGTACATTATCAGCAAGTAATAACATGATGTCTCATGCAATTTGGTATAACAAGCACTTGTAAATTTTTCAAAGGCTATAAACTGTACTTGTTCTGTGGGCTTGTACAATTTTGCTGTCTTTGAAAAATTTAGCTGTGCTTATCAACACCAAATTGCACTCAAAATCATTTTATTACCTTTTCAAATATACTTTTTTCTTTTTTAGGTTTCTGAATAAGAATTCTCAGCTAAGTCATATGTGTACTAGAACTGAAATGGTGGAGAATCCAGCTTTGTACTGTAAATGGTGGCTGCAACAACCTGTTGGTACTGCATCACACGTGTGTGTTCCACTCTTTGGCTGTGTGAGATACATTTTAAAAAAAACGTATCAATATGCCAGTGGACATAGAACTGCAATTGGAGTGGATAGTTCATCAGAATTTAACAAAGAAAGAAAGAAAGATAAAATGAAAGAAAAAAGTACACTTTAGTTTTGATTTCACTACATGTATAACTAGAGAGAAAATAACAGTGTAGTTACATGTGCAATGTTTCTCATTGAAAAATGGGAAAATTTGTAATTGAAAAAAACATGCTTGTCAGACTAGCCAGGAGCTTATCCTAACCTTTCCATGGGTGAAACAATATTACATGGTTTTGCATCTAATTCACTTAATATAGTAAACTCTCTTTTAAACCTTGTACATGTACCTCCCAAGAGTTAAATGATAATTCAATACTATTTTATTTGAGAATTTGGTGTGAGATCAAATGGAATCTCTTGCTGCTGTGATTGGGTGAGTCGCACATTCATAGACTTCCCTTTGGCCCTTCAAGACAGTGAAAGGTTTACTGAGTGCCCAGGAGACAGTATTCATTTTAAATATTCAGAGAGCTATTTCTTTCTCTTACTTAACTCTATACAAAAGACAGTGGAAAGGTTTATGAGTGATCCCAGAGAAAGTTGATTATACAGTATTCAGGTTTTCTGGAAATATTTCACTGTCTGTTTTTGTCATTAAGTAAGAATATTCTACAAAAAATAAGACTTTTGTTAACCCTTTAACTCCTATTAGTGACCAAGACAGAATTTCTCCTTACAATATCAATACGATATCAACCAGACAAGTGTTGAGAATTAAGAAAAATATCAATTTGGGGATAATATTCAATACGAAATTCTCTGAAATAACATTGTAAGAATTGCATGGTTGATAGTAAGGAGAATTACAAATTTGATCTTGGAGTTAAAGGGTTAAATGTTCCTCAGACGCCGTTTGAATTTCACTCTCAAGTCGTAATTGTTGAATCTCCTTTTCTGATTGTCAAACAATTTCCTTTATTGTGTTTGTAAGGATTTGAAATGATATCAAGACGATACCCTGTCGTCAAGTACTTCCTCTTTTCCTACCACCCGGCAGCCAGTTACAATATCAATATTTTGGTGAGAAATTATCATTCATTCCTCTGGGTAAAAACACTTTAAGTAAGGGCTTAAGTTTTATTAGGTTCTGAAGCTGTATAACACAGTTTCTCACACTTAATTATTTTTTAATCCCTTCCTGGTCAGACCCATACAAGAAATTACATGATAAGACCACTGTAAACATAGTTTGAAAGGGTGAGGAACTAGCTCGTTATCCTGAATGAAAAATGAAGAGTTACCACGACAGCAAGAAATGCAAAGCACGCAGCAAAAGCGAAAAGAAACATATGGGAATAAACAAAATGCAAAATTCTGCGTAGAAAAGAAAATATTCGCACAAAGGAATACAATCCACCAGAATTAAGACCTTTAAGCTGATTATCAATAAAGACGCAAAGAATTTAGTTCGTTATTCTGCGTGAAGATGAGTTGTTCTGTCAAAGAGCAACGCGAAAAACGAAACAAAATCGAAAAGGTAGTGACAGTGTGACCGACTAAGGCTGGAGAATAACATTTTTTTATTTCTGAAAGTTAATGAAACGCTTTCCGAAACTGATAGAATCGGAAATGATTCAGATTGATAGCAACATATCCATCGCAGAGGCACTCTGTTCTAACAAACTAAGTTCCATCATTAGGTGTGTGTCGTATCGAATAAAATTCTCCATAGATGGCAAAAATTAAGCTCGCAAAAGACCTGAAATATCTCATGAACGAGGTTTTCCTCTGAGTTCAATATGTTTCTTAAATGAACCTATGGTACGTCGATTTCGTCTGGTCTACTAATTTCAGTCCAAAAAAAAAGGAAAAATTCTACTACTTAACAAAAAAAAAAACCTTAATACTTCTTTTTCTTAGAGTGTTACCTTGTTTTTTACCTTGCTATTTTTTTTGATGAGGTTGTCAAGTTAGAACGAATCAACAGAAGAATACGTTGCTCCGCAGCCACAGATTGCTTCTTTTCCCCTTCTTTTCTCGCAAGCCTTTGTGAGAGCACCTAGCAGTCAAAGGATGGTCGTTTTGCAATCAGCTAACCACCTGCTTCAAACCATTCTTGAGTAATTCCAAGCATAACCTGTATTTTACCTTCATCCTGTCTTAACTTTCTCGTCTTTAATCAATAAATAAGAATAGATCGGAAATTAATAGCGATATACTTTCACGGATATCAGTAAAACATTTCGGATTAATGTCGGACTTTCCTCGTATTTTTATGACTTACCTTTCAGCCTTTTCAACTTTTTCCTCTGGATTCGATCAGGCTCAAAACTTAAAATAATTGACCTTTTTTCACACGCAACAAGGGCGAATTGATCTGTCTTCTAAGATACGCCTTCCCAACGTTAAAATTTAGATGCCTATTTAATGGTAAAGTCACGACTTCACGCCAGGTATTGACAAAAAATCCAGTTCAGTGCAGCACTCTTTATTTTTTTGTCTTTCCCACAATGTCTTTTAGCGGTTAATAAAGGCCCAATTGCTAATTCATTAGAGAAGGACAAGAAAACACGCTCATGTCATATAACATAATCTTAAAATTTTTGGCCTAAAGCATTAATGGAAAGAGCTTGAAAGGAAGATGTCAGAGATTGTAATACGATCTAAACTAAGCGTCTGAGGAATAAGCATTTCTGCATTTTTTACTCGAACGATAGTCTGACCAATTTGTTTCGAAGGAAAACTTCCATCGAATAGTTTTTCCGATGAATGGACAGCAGAGTAAAATTAACACCCATGGAATAACGCAATACATCACTATTCATTTGTGTTCCTGTTGCCTTGACAATAGCCAATAACAGTAAATATTTCGTAATTTATCTACTTCGGAGACAGCCTGTGTAAACTACGGCGGGGAATATTGCTTTTATTAGGTGGGCGAATAAGTCAATACGTTTATTTCGCCGACGTAAACTCGTTGTTGATCTCGTTGGAAAAAAGGAAGAATTTACCACAACATCTTCCGGATTGCATCAAATGAGGTAAGTACGTAGAGCCCAAAAAAACGGCTTAAAAATTTGCTGCAAATGGTATTTTCTCACTGCTCTCAGCTTGATAAAAAGATTTTAAATGAGTTATGTCCCCGAGTGCAGTCATTGAAACAATCAACAACGCGAAGTAACGTGTTTTAAGAGTCGTTTTTAACTGTTCGAACTCTCCTCGCAAAAATGGAAAACGACCGGAGAAGTCGTTGATTTCGTTCATTTGAAGAAAAAAATTGAAACTGCTACTCACAGAGTAAAACAAAGGAGATCTGAATTCCGTTCAGACTGAGGAAGTGAAATACAAAGTTTTGATCTCGCAATCAAAGGTAGTAATGCTGAATGAATTGAATTGGTGAAAAAAAAAATCAACACAACACGACAGTGTATTCGAAAATTAATTTTTCCACCAGCAAGCAAAATTTGTAGAGCGTTAGTGTTCAGGAAAGCGGTTTTTTCTTTCCCTACTATTGTTTGATTTGAACGCCGGTATATAAAGATTTTATTACAATCTCCGAATTAAAAGGAGATTTAGTTCGGGTATTTAAGTTACAACTCAAATGACCTGTGGATATTATTCGTATTGAATCAAACAAACTAAAAATGAAATCATCAAATGCACAGCTCGAAATAATACAATTACTTTATATGTGATTTGACCGGGGCCACAGTGAATATTCCTTCCGGGATTACGCAAGATTTCATAAATCTGAACAAATCGGTTTGAAGACACCATGAGACATGAAGAGACAACACACAGGTGTCTGACAACTTGAAAATGGGGTCCGTTTGCATAAATATATGGCAATTAGCCTCTTGTTCTCCTTGACAATTACTGTTGTTTCGTTAGGAATCGAGGCATTGTAAATTCTATAAAACAGTAATGATTTTGAATCAGGCGAAAAAACCCGAATTGATTATGCTTGATTATAGTTCATATGACATGTCGTTCAATGGCTAAGTTAAAACAAAAACCTTTTTACTTGTAACTGCATGATCACGATAATCATAAAAAGTATTTCAGTTTTTTTTCTACTCCTTGTGAGGCTGAAATGCATAGAACCTTTTTCTTTTTCTATCTGTTGGTTTTTGAATGCTTTTCAGAAGTAGACATGAATGACCATAAATCCCCAAGTGAACGAAATAAAACTTCGAATTTGCAGGATTGAATTTGAAAACGTTTCTCAGTTTGTTATCTGATGCTTTATACTTTGTCCACTTCTGTGCTCAACTATTACAATTATATAAAGTAGAAATTAGCGGGGGAGCCTGGGAGCGAGTTAGCTGACGAAAACATTTCGAAATGATGTTATATATCTTTTACGTCATCAATGACGTAAGAAATGTATCGAAATCGACACCTTGCTCGCAGAAGAGCTGCCTCAAAAGTAAATCATCCTACTAAAAATCCGGCGTTCATTAGCTTATTCCGTACCCCTTCCAGTAAAGACGGCACCTCTCTGAGTATTTTCAGTCAGACTACTAAACCAGCAGAACCAGTTTACTTTCAAGGTTAAAAAATTGAGAAGAGCAAAGGTATGCAATTTTAAACTTTTTGTCGTTTCTTTGATCCCATTCCTGAATCTAGGATAAGAAAGAATATGCCTTGAATTTTACGCTTGGTCATCGAACAAAGAAGATTGTTATTCGTTTTTTCAAACGCGTGAGGCGTAGAAAAATGGAGCCGCAGACCATCTGATTTGGCGGTCTATTTCTGTTGTATTCCAGGTGTTGCGGACAGAGCTGAATAATGTCTGCGCATGCGCTAAACTTTCGCGCGGAATACAGATTTTGAGTCGTTTGCATGTTTGATTTTCCATTCTGTTGTTTCTAGGTATTGTTTCCCTTACCGCTTTTCCTTTAACAGAACAACCTTCAAAAACATTGTACACCCCTAAATATTTTTAAAAATTACTTTTCTCCCTAAAAACACTGGAAATAGGACAACGCCTTCGACAACAACAAAATGCCTCGGTTTCAAATACCAGCCCCTTTTTTCTACTCAAATTTCGCCAAATTTAAAACTCCGTGCGCTTGAGCCGCTTTATTGACCGCATAAATGTGACGTAGCATTTCGTTATTCAGCTCTGCCTGTGTTGCGTCAAATTCATCGGCGAGTAAAGCGGTTTAAGTGAATCAAGTGAGTTGTGAAAAGGAATCTTCATACTGGTCAAACCACCATTGTTTACCATCTTCGCTTTTCTACTTAAACAAACGGTACTTTCAATGTTGCTGATGTGGCTGGCCTTATGTACATTATGCAATCAGTAGCAACCAAACATTTTTCATTCACAGTCAGAGTTCTGACATCAGATCTAGGTTGTACTTCTGGGCATACCTCTACTATACTGAGCTGAAAACACTCCAACTCTGACCTGAAAAAAATACCTGAACTTCTTCGAGTTAAAACTTGAACCAATGAGCAACTAGTCCGAAAATGAAATGGTTTACAAAATGTTCCTAAAATATTGCTACCTTCTAGGCGGAACGATTACTAGCAATGGTTACATCCGAACCCATCGAATTCTACCAAATGAAGCTCAAACATACAGAGAACTGTGAAGGTTGTGAATTACACGACCAAATGCGCAGTTACCTTGTAATAACCCACAGTTTTCTGCTGACTGTGTGAGCTACAGTCAAAGCTTATGCTAGCAATATGCAGGATCTCATAATAGTTCGTGTACGGGATCGTTTTCTTGTTTACAGACATTACTGATGTGACGGCTTCTTTAAAGAAACTGGTTTGTTGCTCTCAAAACGATTACTTTATTAGCAGTTAAGGATAAACCTTCCTTTTCTTAGTATTTAAGAATGAGTCGGGTATTGTCCACACTAAATCTCTCTAAGTCTATCAGCATTTCCCCTGTAAGACCAGTAATTAACAATTACTGGATGAATAAAGGGGTAAGTTGCGGTGCTGCGTCGGTGGGGGAGTATAACAGGGTGATTTATTATTATCTGGAGAGTTGACAACGTAAATTGGCTACCGTAAAGAGTTTAAAAGCGGACGTTTCGAGCGTTAGCCCTTTTTCAGAGCGATTGGAGGAATTGTGGGTAGCGTGTGTGTTTCTATGCTGAAAATGGAGCTACGCTATTGGTGGAAATATGGTGACGAGAAAACAAGAGAGTGAAAAGCGCTCGTTGATACCGTGGAGATTAAGAGTACCGATTTGAAAGAAAAATTTTTGCTCTAAAGTTTTGCGACTTTCCTAACAACCTAGATATAGGCAAATGCCACAAACTGCCATACGCTGCTAAGAATAATTAGGGAGGTTAAAGCGTCTAACGACTAGTTTGGATGCATCATTGTCATTTCTTTTTACGTCGCGAAGTTGTTCTCCGAATCGGCCACCTAGTCATCTTCCTGTGTTACCGATGTATAACTTTCTGTTATAAGAGCAAGTTATACAGAAGTCGGCATTGGCGGAGGTACACGTGAAGTGATCAGTGATATTGGTGGATCTCTTGGATTCCGAAATTTTTTCTGGTTTGAAATAGACTTGTGACCAAAAATTTGCCTAAGTTTGTGTTGCGTTTGAATGAAATTAGTGGAGGTTGCCAAAAGATAGTACCAGTCTTGGGATCGTTTAGAAGTAATTCAATTTTCTAAGAATGAAAGATTTAATTGCGGTAGCAATATGTGATCCTAATGCACGGTTTCAAATTACATTACATTTCCAAGCTTCACTGTCGCTATCTGATTTTCCTCGAGATGAAGCTAGTGCTAGATTCTTCGGGTGTCTCCTTTTTATTGTGCACTGTGCATCCTCTCCTGACTGAATCAAAAGCGATAAATTCATGGTTTTTGTTGCTTTGAGGCCGCTTGCCCCTTGATTAGCCCACATGGTGTTAGCGACTGATGTTTGCCGGTCAAACCATAGCTACAGGAAAGCCACGTTTTACATTGTGTGGATTTCGATTTCCTCAGGCATTGCCGCAAGAAATATTAATGTTTTTACTTTGAAATGAAAGTTGTGAAGAATAATTCATGTGGTAACCTTTTGGACTTTAAGTGTTAGGCCTCGAATTTACTTCTCTAAAATATCATTAATAATAAGAAATAAATAACTAATAGTACTTCAAAAGGAGAGGAAGTTTCAGACGTCTGTAAACACAAAAAGAGCCAAACGTGAAAAAATATTTTAAAATTTTGAGATTAAAACAAGATGTGACTAATAAAAACTGCGTGAATGACCAACAATTACTTTTGAATTAAAATAAAAATAGAGAACGAAAGGAAAGTTGTTCTAAAAATAAAAGCCAGTTTTTTTTTACTAATAGCAAGTCCGATAAAGAACATTCTTAACGTCATACTTTGTAACCTAGGAAGTTGAGAAATTTATATATAAAAACAACTGCAAAGTTTCCAATATATATTTTAATTTCTCCAGAAGTAAGGAAAGAAAATAAAAATCAATCCATGGTAACTTCCTAGTTCGTGAAAGTAATAATCAATATCTGAACGTAACCTTATCAACAACATACTTCTCGGAAGCATCGAAATAACATTATTTTCTTTCTTTTTTCACTTTCAAATTGCCCTACTATATATTTATGGAAAGCCCCAGGATAAACCACTGTGTGATATTTTGACTTATTATTCACGAAATGTCGCCGGCTTCATGATTAACGAAGTGCGACAAGAGATCACGTTGCACAGTTGGAAATAATATTTCAAATTTCCTGGCGTCATTTAAAATAAAATAAAACTAAAATTGAGACGATTTATATATTAAAACATAAGGCCTTCCTTTGTGTTCTTTCTTATGCTAGCTATGGTAGACGTAGTTCAATGAAAATCAATCAAGCATTTTAAAAGGTGGCGTCAAGATGAAAAATTTTTTCCCTATTTTGATAAGATCAAAATGAAAATAGCGCTCATTATTTTTTGCATTCAAACGGAGCACAAAGTTATACAAATTTCTAAACAATCCATTTTCAATATCCTGGACTCATTTTGTCAGCAGCAGCTCTAGGACTATAATTTTCTAGAAATACCCAGGAAAGGGTAAATATCATCATTTATTTACAAAGCTGGGCGAATAACAAGATGTGCAGCTCATCGTAGAGTAAACAAATCGGTAATTTCATGATAGCTTCTTCGTAATGTCCTTCATTAGTTCTTTAAAACGAGGAAGTCTCGAAATAGAAACTTAATAGAAAAAAGACATTGATTAATTGTAACCTGAGTTGGTGTTTGGGTAAATTTGTTGATTGCGCTTTAAATGTAAGTCTGTGTTACGCACGTAGACGCCAAAATATTAAAATTCAAATCAGGTGTTACAGTGATGCAATAGATTAACGTGAAAAGTGACACATGCAATTAGAATTCACATGCACTATTAGAGAGAGAACGTAAAGATTTCAAATCACGTTTCTGTTCTGTCGTCAGGTTAAAAGAAAGCGATTGCATACAGCAACAAGAATTAGCAGAAGACCAAGGAAGGTGTAAAACAGAAAAAGAACTGCTACAACGAAAGAAACTCCAAGTACAATAAACAAGCTTGCGGCGGCCATAACATCATGGGAAATGACATTTCAAATTTACGTGTCCCTATCACGGTTAAAAACAAAACAACAAAGGCGATTCCTGCGAAAGGTAGATGCTGTAAATTTTCTTATTTGCTGTATTTTAGAAATTGTAATGAGACCTTACCTGTAAATTTTAAAAATGTATCACAAGTTAAAATCCCATTTTGATTTAACTTAGGCCGGAAAGACGTCGAAATCATAACAGATTGCAAGCTAAAGAAAAGGGGTGTGATATTTAGACTTGCCCACTGTCCACTTAGTACCGGGAAGTCCAACAAAGTTGATCCTAGTTCGTTCTACTAAACGTGTTTCCTGTTACAGTTCAAAAAGTTTCCGAATCATTTCCGAGGGGCACTAATATCGAAACAGATACATTAAATTTATTTCAAAACACGTTTGTCCTCTGAGCATGTGAGAAATGGCCAATCACTTTCTTTAAGAGAGTTGCAGTTCACGAAAGACAATCTTAGGCTAAACACTGACAGGTTTTGCAAAAACATATACGAGTTGCATCTGATCAGGGACCTTAGAAGAGTCATCTGCATGGATTAGATCATGTTTTACGATGTTTCGTGAAAGCAAACGATTCCATCTAGGCTCTTACATAACTGTCATAACTTGGCTGGAAGATTTTTCAGCATGAAATACGACAAAGGAAACAGCCGTAGCTGTTAATGTGCATCACAGATATTTCTGAAGTAGATTAGGGTAAATGAAAAAGGGTGCAAAACGTTTATCTAAAAAATAAACGTATTTTTAAATGTTAAGAGGCACTTCATTGGGCATTAGTTATTACGAGAACAAGTTCTCGAAGATAATGATTCTAACAAACGAGCTGGTCGTGCTGACGTAACTTCGATGTTTTGAGGGATTTTTTGTCATAGCGACAGCAGATATACTTAGAAAATGCAAACGGTTCAATAGTAGTGTTGTTTGGTACATCTACTTTTTTTGTTATTCTTCCATGGTTGTTCTGTGTTCACGTTGATAAGTTTAAAGCGGCAACTGTACTGTATACCATGAAACATTTTGCTCAAAAGCGTTGACAAAAAAGGAAATAAGTTGATCCCGGTGTGCTCACGATTTTTTGTTTATTTTTCGCTTTAAAATAGGATAATTATTTGAAAAATCCAAAATGTGTAAATATGCCAACCTCCTCTTTAAGAATAATTGAACGGAATCGTGCCAGAGAAGTGTTGCATTCTGCTTGGGACAAAAGGGAATTCTGATTTTCAACTTTAATTTCCGAAAAAGTAGAAAAAAAAATAACGTTCCGAACACAAAAGAAATAAAATAAATTGTGCATGAAAACAGATCATACTTTTTATTTTTCATCTTTACATAAACAAATCCAACACACTAAAGAAATGAATAATTATTTTACCTTCCAGAGATAACGAAGATTCGTTATCTCTGGTTACAATCATTTTTTATGGCTTGCAGATAGGAAGAGATATCCAACGCTTGTGAAGTAAATTGGATCATTATTTATTCCAGGAGAAGCATATGACTTGGGATTAGCTATTTCGACTATATCTCGACCAACCTCCCGCCAGCCTCTTCTTTTTCGGAAAAGCGCAGTTTAACCTTTTCTTTTTCAAGCGAAATACCTCATTTTGTATTTTCTAGGTCCATGTGAGTTTGAAATTCCCAAGCGCTACGACCCAAATGAAAGGCGAGACTCCAACATTTCCAACAACAAAATCACCGTTCAGGAGATCGATATGGCTATTTATTCTAACCCTGAAATAAATGAACACATGGCAGCACCAGCTCCCGCCCCTCCCCCGCTTGGGACGTTACTGTTCGAGATTCGCTACGACACCTACGAGGAACAACTGAATATTCATTTGATTGGCGCCCGAAGGCTCCCGGTCAGGCACTTAGTAACCGAGCCAGGCGTAGCCTCGCATGGCGGCGTCATTAAAAGTGACCCAATGGTGGAAATTTGTCTACTTCCTGAAGAGAAACCTGTCATTGAAAGTTATACTCACTTCGGTATTCAGGATCCACAGTTCAATGAACATGTTTCCTTTAAGCTCACCTCTGCCGAACTGAACGAGAAAACTTTGCGCTTCACTGTATTTGACAACAAACGGCGACACAGACTTACGCCAATAGGTCACACGCTGTACTCTCTGAAGGGACAGGAGTTGGATGGAGCTATGATAATCGAGAGAAATCTTAAACTTAACTCACAGGTATGATGATTGTTCAGTGAGAGCGAGTCACAGGGAGCTAATAGCTACAGTAAAAATAGTCAACAAACAGCCAGTTTCTTTATTTACAGAAATTCCATACAATCGGCCATTTCACTGTTTCCAAACCGTCTCAGATTTTGCTGGTATATTGAGAGATCGAAAGACTTTTTTCTTGATGTATTACGGACGCTATTCGATTTGTGACTCAGGGGCATTGGAGCCAAGCAATAAGAGGATTGGTAGAAATCTAAAATCATCACCGACTTACCCGATTGTAAAAATGGAGGTGCGTCGGGAAAATGGAGCCCTTCCGAATATCCCGATTTGTCATTGGCCATCCCAGATAATCGGGGATGTCTATAAAGGCCAGTTTTCATTAGTCAGAAAACTCTGGGACGGTCGGGAAATAGTGAAATCCCCCACCATCGAGAAGTTTCCCGGCGCATATGAAAACCAGCCTTAAAATCAGATAGATAGGTTATATGCTGAGACCAAAATATACAGGAATAACGAAAGGCTTAGGTAAACGGACACAGAAACCCCCCCCCCCCATGTAACTTTTGGACCTTTTTAGAACTGTTTTCTGTGGTTTAACGAGAGTGCTATCAAATCTATCTCGCGTTTTGCTTAAATATCTTGATGGAGAACATACAGACCCCATGTTAGTTATAAATTATGTCATAGAATTGGCCCATCCTAAAAATAAATGTGTTCTAGAAATAATCTATGGAGGGTTCTGAATTTTGCGCCCTAATTTTTTTTTTTACAATATTTCTATTTATATATCGCCACATTCATTTCTGTTTTTAGTATATATTTGCTCGATCGCTAAATTACTTATTTTGCTTGTGTTTTTTCATTTTTCCATATTTCTCCAGCCCTATGGCCACACTCGAGGCGAAATTTTATTGTCACTAAACTATAACCCGGGAATGAACACAATCACGGTGGGAATCACAAAAGCTCGAAACCTGATACACTTTGATGCACATTCAAACAGAGGTGAGAGGCATAAGAGTGCATTTGTCATTAAGACCAGTTTTCAATTGAGTGTTTTTAAACCAAACCAAAGTGATCCCAGCTGCCGACCAATCAGAACAAAGGTTACATCATTGGCAGCCAATGAGAACTCATAGTGAAAACAAGCAAGCTGCTTGAATGGCGGGAAAACGCAAATGACCAAGTTACGTTATTTCTTAGTTTTGCATCTGATTGGTTGAGATAACGGCGCGAGTTTTCTAAACCAATCACAAAGTAAAGTAAGGTAAAACCAAAAGGACCCGGATTACCCTCGACGCTCGATATAAATTGCTGTACTATTCGTTAGGGATAAATTAAGGTCCATGACAAAACAACACCATTAGGAAAATATGGTAATGTAATAGGCTGAAACTCGTTTATGTAACAATTTAAAGTATAAATTTCGAGAAACAAGGAGCCCATGAGCTCCTGAAGACACTTAGACGACATCCAAAAGAATTTTCCCGAAAAAGTCAAGGAAAAAATCGCGAGAGAAAAAAAATTCATCCAAGCAATGTCCACGTTAAAATAACGTTTTCCATTTTAATCTCCCTCACAAATGAAATGGTCCTTCTCAGTGTCGTATCTTTCTCCTGTCCTGTCTTGTAGGACTTCTGGAGGGGTACTACCTCCGCGAGAAAGATATTACTTAACTTTAAAGGAGTTTGTTAGAGACTTTTTATCGCCAAGACACGTACCCGTGATGGAAAAGTAACCAATGATTAAGTTGAACGCAAAGCTCGATTTGTGATTTGCGTATGAAAGAAGGAAAATTATTAAAAAGTTTCTCCTTCATCATTTTGCAGAATATCTGGTTAAAATCACAGAAGTCTTCTCAGGACATAAAGTAAAAACGAAACGTACTCCCGCCGCAGACGGAGAGAAACACCCAATTTTCCATAGCACCCTCTCGTTCCAGGTCCCTATCCAGCGTCTCAGCCACACAAGCCTGGTGCTGACTCTCATGGGACGTGGAAAAATGAGAAGCAACAAGACAGTTGGCCGCGCTATCCTGGGGCCTGGTATATATGAGTGCGATAGCGAAAGAAGTCACTGGGGGCGAATGATCATATCACCGCTGAAAAAGGTCGAACAATGGCATGCTTTGTATCTATAACATTAGAAAGTGTACGATGCGTTATTGTATATAATTACTTTTTACACATAAATCAGGTACTTATCCAACCAAGGGATGTTACCACAGTTTCGTAAGCAAAGCAGCATTCATTTTCAAAACTGTCACAGCAGTAAGAGCGCCAATTGACGGTGATTTAGAGCAAGGAGTCTGAGTGTTTTAGGCATGAAACTTACGGCATACGGTAAACGGAAAAAATTTATTTTTATTTTTCTCACTTTTCCTCCAATCTATGGATGAAAAAAGTACAACAACGAATCAAATTTCTCGTTCATAGTAAACTCAATTTATACTTTTAAGTGTACAAAAGCCCAATAGCGGACGAGGAAAAGATCGATTTTTGCCGTTCACTGTACACCGTTTGCAATGTTGCCTTGCGTATGAAACGTCATGTCGTTTTGAAATTTTTATATTTATTTATTACGTTTTTTATAGCTGTTTGTACGTTATCTTGACCTTCCATTTTCTAGCCACAGACACAGGTTTGAACCTTTTTGGGAGGGAGGGGTGGGGGGAGGAAGAGGTCGAATGGGACTGAAAATTAAATTTCTCATCACCCACCAGAAAACTTTTTATTCTTAATGAAAGGGGTGTAAGATCGCTCTCTTTTCAAGATTTTTGCTGAAAAAGCGAAATAAAACATGCATTCATAGCTACCTCAGAACCTCCATGACTGAGATGTCGAAATAATAAGTTTTTAGAAAAAAAAAACCCAAGCATATCTTTCCATGGCTTTATCTCCTTCGCAGCGGATGTTTTGCTTCGCCACGCAACGGAAAGAAGTTGATTAAGACTGGTTCCGTGACAAGGTCAAATTGAGGGTAGGAAACGAACACCTAAAGCTAAGAGGCGCCTGAGAGTTAAGTTGACGAGTAACACTGAGTATTTATATATATGCGTATGCATAGGAATTTTCTCAACTGATTCTTGAAAGTGAACTAGGTTTGCGCTGGTTTTGGTTCATTCTGATCTGTGGCCCAGAAATCTCGCGGAACCCTCTAGACCAATCAGATGCTATTAAAAAGGAACTGTCCCACGCTTACTTATGTTTTCCCGCGCTTAAATCATTTATATGCAGTCCCGTTGATTTTGACCTTTATTCTGATTGGCTGACGTAATTTTCTTTGGTTTGCTTAGCACTCAGTTACTTTGACTGGGGCACCAGGACTTTAGGACAATCCCAAAAAATTTTGTTTCCTAATCGAAGATAACTAAATTTTTGCAGAAAATGTACACAAATTTTTGAAGGAATTGGGTAATTCGTGAAATCCTCATAAAAACCAAGGTAGAATTCCTAAAACACTTCCCAAATGTTGTATGCTGATTAATTTCAAAATGTGACTGACGGCTGAGGAAGTTATAACGCTGTTTTGAAGGGCTGCAATGCTAATGCTTTCTCGGTCAGTATCTCGGGCATCTCTAAGATCTCTAACTGACTCTGAAGTCAGTTCATCCATGTAATTAACACTATAGTCGCCTTTCAATGCGATCCATATTTTTACGTCGTCTTTGTCAAAACCAGGAAAACAGTCATTGCACTGTATTGTATTGTATTTACCTATAAAGTTTTCATGATGAATTCTGAGAGCAAATAAAATGTACATAACGTCTACGCGGATTATTTGAAAATCTGTTAAGTTAAAAAAGGTTACGCAGTTTTTTAAAATCAGACTTCTACCCGCTGGTTGGTACAAATACAAATTTATCCTGTACAAGTTAACATCAAGAATAAAATATTGTTGGAGCTCCATTAGTTTTGGTTCTTAGTGTTACTGACATTTGTGAGTTTCAACGAACAAGGAAAGGAGAAACTTCTCTTAAAATTGTGCTTATTGAGGGAAACCAAGCTTCTCCCATAAGTATCTCGCGCGCGGAAAAGACCGCCACAATTTTGCAGCTCGTGTGTCGAAAAGCTTTGCGCAGAGTTGCGTAACACGGCAGGCCCGTTTTTTTTCAGGAGGGTCTTAGTGGGTTTAACCCATAGCCGAAAAACGGCCGAAATTTTTAGCCATATGACGTACGAATTGAGAAATTAAAATCGATAGTCATTAAAAAAGTCGGATCAATATCAGTATCTGGGCAACTGCCCACTTACCCCTCCCCTAACTTAACAACAGTCAATTGATAACAAGTTAGGGTTAATGTTGGGTTGGGGGAGGGGCTGGTGGGCTGTTGCTTAGATACTGATATTGATCCAAAAAGTCAACCGTAAAAACAAATTTTAGTGACAACAATGGGATGATGCTAACGATTAGCCGTAAAATGGCCAAACTTTTAACCGTTAGCCGTAAAAGCCGTCATCTCATTGAGAACTTCTGCCAAGAGGTGTTATGCGCCGGTATTTTATAATCACTGATCTCATTTCAAGAGAATAAAACTGTGCACGCAGCAAAATTGCGCACAAGTCTCAGTGCGTAACACGCCCTCAAGACCGAGTGAAAGTTGGAATCATTGTCAGTATCTATGCACCCACCCCTCCCGTAACCTAATGATAACCTTAAGTTATCATCGGTTGATTGTTGTTGGGTTAGGGAAGGGGTAGGTGCGCGAATACATTGATCCGAACGTCCACAAGCTCGAAAGGAAATTGCACTCTCGTGTAAAGAATAAAGAGGATTTTATTCTACGAGCTATTTTTCAGAAAAACAACTGAATTTTATTTTCGTTTCAAGTACGCAAGACATTCTACGAGAAGGATGAACAAACATACATCACCATTCACATTATGGATAAACCTGATAATTCCTGAATTAGTCGATATCAGAGTCGTATCCATTGATGAAGTTTGTTGCCTCTTCCTTGCTAATTTCTGGTCTTGAAACTGTAAAGAAAAGGAAAATGTCGCCTAGTCAACAAACCCAGACGGCCCAAAAGAGAGTCCATTTTTCTTGCTGAAGTGATTTTAGTAAATATTGGACTAGAACATGACCCTACTTCAGATACTGTTGTTTTAAAAGCTATACATATGACATTGCAAATGAACTTCCACCTTTCTCCCCCACCCCGCCATTCCCATCCAAAAAAAATTATATCCCTCCTTCTCCACTACTCTGCGCCACGAGGCGAAAAAAGTCACTTTTAAAAATCAATTCCGTGCCCAGACTCTAACGATCATTCACACAAGTTAATGATTAGAGCTCAGTCCATTTTCCAAAGTCGTTGACAGAGTAGTGGATTTTTTTCTTCATGAGTTTTGCGGGCAATCCCATTCATCGTGAGCTTGGTGCGAGAAACAGCCTGTTACATGACATGACCATCAAGTCATACAACGCCTGCAACGAAAGTTGTATCCGCCGCAATCGGGAAATAAAATCGCTCAAAGCGTCATAGGTTTAAAAACCTTACCCTGAAGACTTCGTCTCCGTCTCCACCCAACAACCACCCCTTTTCCCTCTTCTTTTCTCTCTTCTCTTCTTTCTGACCGCTCTTCCATTTTCTCCTTTATCCTTTCTCTGTATTTTGATCCAAGGGCGTGGCCCAACAGAAGGCACATCAAAAGGAGGGAGAGGAAAAAACACCCTGCTCTTCCCATATCTAGAAGCAATTATTATTGAAGTCAGAATTTAAGACAATGTCCACAGGGTTTCAAGAAGTTAATATATCACAAGCGAAAAAAAAAAAGATTTGAAAATAGTTGAACAGAACAATTGTTCCGGATGGGTAAAGTGTTGGGGTGACGGCCTTTTGACTTTCCTTTGGCTCAAGATTGACATGGGATCAAACGATCATCCTAGGAATACATCCTGCTCTGAAAGATTATTGCAACAAATTAAATTTTTCCTGAGGACTTTTGTCCTCTTTGTACACTGGTCTGTGACACTAGAGGTCAATTTTTAGATGATATCCACAGCGCTAACAACCTTCACTTTTTCGATGTATTTATTTGTGAATGATATCAGTTTTAATCTTAATGGATCTTTGGAATATTCCCCCGCAGTCTTGGCTTAACATAACCTCATTTATTCAGCTGCTTCAAGGTGTCATGTTACTCAAAGTGGCCTTTCATAAAGCTTTGACGCTATCACCAAGACTGTTGATGGAAAATGGCCTCTATTTGGTTAATCTTTTCTCACTTTATCCTCTTGAGAGTATATTCGCCAATAAGTCGAAAAGTGCAAAAACTATTATAATATTTACAATTTTTATTCTTTTGACGAAGGACCCGAATTTCAAGCCCCAAAAGTCCCACGCGCGGAGTCTTTGTAGCCCGCAGAACTATGTTTACCTACAAAAGAACAGCCAGTTGTATGTAAATTTAGCAGTTTCACCCAGTTTGGACTGAGAAAACAGGGTTTCTTTCAATTCCATCCACTTTTTATGTATCGAGGATTATTTTACCATACAAAATCAACAGAAAATCACCACAAGATTTTACTTTTCTCTAAAATCGTTTTTTTCGTGATGGTACTAGATAAAGGTTTCTCATCATCTCTCGATTGATATATATATATATATATATATATATATATATATATATATATATATATATATGTGGAGTAGAGTCTACCTTGGCATAAAGTGTTCGATGCTGTGGTAGCAGAACTGGGTATATATAAGTGAAAGAATCAAAGGGGACGCATCGATTCTCTGTTACTCTGTCTGACAAGCGCTTAGGCGCGAAACTCAGAGTAACAGAGAATCGATGCGTCCCCTTTGATTCTTTCACTTATATATATACATATATATATATATATATATAAATTTTGCCACAAATTATTTAACGCACCACGAACTTAAAGCTTTTATCACAAAAATTTTGATTAAAAGACATTTTAGAAGTGCGTGAAGTAACTTCTTCCTCCGATGTATTCTTCACTAGTCAACAACTGACTGGTTACGAACGCTTTCTATCAGTTTAGAATCAGATTTCGTATGACAAACAACACAAAATACCAGAGTAACCAAAAAAAAAAAAAACGCACACTGTTATATGCATTTTCTTTCGTTTCTAACTTAAAATCTTAACGATTACTTACCTTCAATTAATTTTTACAGTGATAGAAACCTTCTCAGATCGCGTAATAAAACGATTAACGCTTCAGTTTTCGAGTCACACGGATTTTTCACAAAAAGATCACGGCGGATCTTTGATACCCAGTATTTCTTTAAGTGCGTACTAGCGTGATTTATTAAAACTTGGCAGCCACTATCGATTTAATTGCTCAGTATTTGACCAGTTTTGGCTTTAGAATTTGCTCATTTTGAACATCGGATGAATGCTAATCACCTCACTCCTGTTTCTATAGAGTGCCACTTTGGGCCGCTTGCTACAATAGAAATGTGTTTTTGTTTAACTAGGGTTAATTTGACCTATGCATGCTCTCTAACCGATATGAAATAAAGATTTTGAATGTTCAATGTTGCTTAAAACCTCTTTCTTGGATTGTCTAGAAAATTTCCTTGACTCATAATCTGATAATTTAGCTGGAAATATTTTAATAACAGCTAAATAAAGAAAACCAGTTTTATTAAAAACAGCTTAATTGATATGAATTGAACTTGACATTTCAATATAGAAGTTAAAATGAAAAATAAAAAATGAATTAACAATACGTTTACGAGCAAGGTTGATTGTTGTGAAAGGAGAACCAAAGGAAAGTGTCTAAAGCGCGGGAAAACGTGTGTGATCAAGTGGCGGTCGGTTTTTGTTTTGCATGTGATTGGTAAAGATGGTGACAAGAGGTCATCAATCACTGCGCCTGAGGAATAAAAGATAATCTCGCATTTCTGTTGATGTTCAATTGAAGATTGGTTTAGAGAGGGGGAGATTAGTTTTCTAGACCAATCATGGTGCGAAGAAAAGCAAAACCAAAGCAACATTATACCCATGGTTTACCACGACGCGGTGTCTTTTCCTTGTTCATCTGATTGCTTGAGAGGGTGGCGTGCGCTTTTTGGACCAAACACAGGGTGCAGAAACGAAATATCAATGCAGCTCAGGATCTTTTGCAGTATTCGATTTAAAACTTCTTTACACTGTTTTGCTATGCTACTTGCATAGTAAAACCCGGACGAGCTTACATCACCTAGAATTTAAGAAACGACATTGAGATAGTTTGCTTGGTAACCAAACAACAGTGCCGAACCCGCCAACGAGTTAAAAGCTACTGCGGTTTTACCTTATTTCAAAGGTCTGTCCGAACAGCTTCGCCGTTTCCTACAGTAACAAGGCGTACGCGCTGTTTTCAAGTCGGAGACTGCGCTAAAATCTCAGTTAGTACGACCAAAAGACGCTGTCGACCCGGCTAAACAAGGTGGCGTAGTTTACAGGATTCCCTATGAATGCTGCAAGGTGTACAACGGAGAGACTGGAAGACCTATGCAAGACAGAGTTAAGGAGCACGATCGAGACATCCGACTCGTCCGTACCGAGACCTCCGCCGTTTCAGAGCATGCTCACAACACCGGACACAAGCCACTTTGGAACGAAGTAAAGTTTATTGATCGTGACCCTTATTACTACACGCGCAGAGTCAAAGAGGCAATTCATATAAGACTTCACCCTAACAACATCAACAGGGATAGTGGAATAGAAATTCCAGAAGCGTGGATGCCCACGATCAAAAAAACACAACAACAGGAGAGCCGTGCGACTGCGGACCACCGAGGGAGCAAATCACTGAGTGAAACTGCAAGGATCGAAATGCACCAATCAGAGCTGTTCAAAAACAACTAATCACAGCAGAGCATCATGCTTATAAGATCACGCATGACCAGTCGACCCCATCGCCTAAAGAAGACTAGCAGTATGCAGTCGAAACGTCGTGATCTACATCACTAGTGATTACACCGTGAGACAAACGAAAAAACTTAGCTTTTATCACCTAGAATGCTATTTTTAACCATATAACCAATCGAAACAACAGGCAGGCCGTACATGCACATCTTAATGAAGCAACAAAAACATTGATCCACCCTTCTTTCCTTCTCTCACAGATTTGTGTGCACTATCTGAATGTCTTCTTTTAAATTCCACTTTATTTACACCCAAATTATGTACATCTCTCAAAAATATATTAGGCAAACGGAAACTTTCTACTAATCATTTACTTAGAAAAAAAAGGTCTTGGAGATTTATGGTAAAGCCCCATCAAAACGATAACTGGCAACGTGCGACTAATCAAATGGTAACTGATTATTTAACAAATTCAAAAACAGGAAAAACAACTTTCACATTTTTCCACTTGTAAAAACAATAATAATAATAATAATAATAATAAGAGCAATAGATTAGAACAATTTATTTATAAAGAATAAACTTTCATGTGATGTTCCTTGGCTAATAAAAATTTTCCACATTACAGTATCATGCTGAAAACTATCAACACCAAAGAAATCTGTGTGGGACATTCTTGTCACGTGTTTGAAGGAAAAGGCTAATCAGATACCATAAAACTATACTACAAACAACAACAGTATTTGGTTTGTGGTTTTGAAGTTTGCTTGCACTGCTGAAATTTATTACAACTGTTCAGTACACAAATGCCCTGAAGGTGTTCACAGTTTTCTGAGTTTCACAAGAAGCATATGAAAATAAAGAATTCCCAAGAAAAAAAGACAAATAAGGGCCACTAGTTACTCAGTTCAAGTGATGCGCTCATTAAATGAAGTTAATCTACTGGTAGTTATTCATATAAATGAACCCCTCTTAACACAGAGTCCTTGATGTAACAACTAAACTCAAGCAAAACAACTTTGTGTTCATATTAAATAATTTAACAGTTTTCTACACATTGGTCTCATGCACAGGAAACCATTGGAACCCTCAGAGCTGTGCAAAAATGATCTTCAGCATGTCTATGCCTGTAAAGAGTAAAAACACAGTTGTTAGTTTTATGACCACTTAAGAGAAAATAATTAAATATTCTTGATATTTGGCGCAAATTAGTGATTGAATAATTCACCAGAAAAAAATATCAAAGAAAAGGCACAGTTGTACACAGCCTTCCTAAAAATATTTACATATAACATTTTTTGACAAATCCTTGCTTAGATGTCTCGTATGGTTGGAAAATTGCTTCCAATAAACAAATGCATTTGACCATCTCACAAACTTTTCATTTGATCCTGAAATCTTGTCAGCCTTTGATATGAATATCAATGTCTCATGTATTATGAATTTACATTCGTAATAATAACATGATTGTGCAGCTAAGGTTATTCAGCCACAGTCTAAAATTTTCAAGTAAGTGCTTAATGAATCACTGCAGGCCAGGCATTTTTAAATTCACTACCCTTGTAACTTCCTTAAAATCAAAATGAGGAAAAGACTAAAAAACATGATTAACTTAAAATTGTATGGTAAAATATATGATTTCATATCCACATACTGTTTCCAAGGTGAACTCGAATCATGGACAACATTGTTTATACATGTTGAATTATCAATGCAATATTTTTTAGAGTACTGTGAAACTTTTTTGGGTATTTACATGTACCCCTTTCATGTACCCCCTTTCCCAAGTCAAAATTTTCTATCTCAGTTAAGGTTACACAATAAAATTTGGATCTGTTTATAAACAGAGCTGAACTAGGGGAGCAGGGGTAAGGAATGTTCTAGAAATTTATGCTTTGTGAGATTGGTCAATGTAGTAGGCCATATTTCACTGCATGGCTCAATAAGTTCAAAAGTTTTCCTTTTAAATTGAAATCTACCCTTTCTATTTGAACCCAGAGGAGTAATAAATACATGTATCTTACCAACTTCATTTTCTTAGCCTGTACTGTAAATTAAAGATTCTTGTTTTTTTTTTTTTCATGCTGATTTATGGCTTGCACACTTTGCCATTGGGCCATAAATCCAATTGGAAAAAAGTTGGTCTAAAAAATTACAGTACAAACCTAAAACTCGGCCAGTAAGAGGTACTTTTTCCAAGATTGCACCCCCTTGAAAAACCTTTAACCCTTTAACTGTGATTAACATGTAACTTCTCCCTATGATAACCATACATTATCCAGCAGACTGGTGATGAGAATACTTAAAGTTATCACGAAGAAGTTGTTATCTTGATCTAAAACCAAATTCTCAAAACTAAATTACAAGGAAATGTGTAACAACTAGAGTGGATCATTGACAATCAGATCTTGGGAGTTAAAGGGTTATGAATTATCAAATGGCAACAAAATTTTACATGGTTGAGTGAAGGAACAACAAAAGAACACTTTTGTTACTCCAAGATTGGTTGGCAAGTGCTTACCTTATGCAGTGATTCTTATTACATTCTTGACACACAAATGGCATCAGTCCATGTTGACGACAAGTCTTCAAAGAACACTTATTACTTTTCTTTGGTTTTCCCACAACAAGGCTCTTACAGCCACTGAGGATATGTCTTTCAACCTATTAAGGCAAATAACAGTATTAAGAATAAATATACTAACAGATGGGTACACTGTATCATGAAATCACCCTGTTAACACCAAGACCTCCATGAGTGACACATGTCAATCACCTCCTAGATGAGGGGTTTTCAAGAGACCAAAGTTGTTGATGTGATTAATTTTCAATACTGAAGACTAGTAGCTGTTTCTACGAAAACACATCTTCTCTGTGAAGAGACTTGAAGTTTAAAATATCTCATGGCTATAAAATATAATATATTGGGGAACTGGATGGCCAGTGACTTGCATCAACATGTACCAGAAGAGGTAAAAATTAACATTAGGTTCTACAATCTAACATATCCTACAACCTGGATTTTAAAATGAAACAATATATTAAAATTCTGGGCTCCAAATATATTTATCAACAACATTATGATTCAATAATCGCATTGTTTTTAAATAACTATTCCAGTCATTGAGAACTTAATGACAAGACAAGCTTGTGCTTTTGATTTTTTCTATTTTGTTAACAACCACTCAATGTTAAGCTACTTGCTGCACTCACCCTCAATTAACAAAGTGATAACAAGGCAATCAGATTGCTGCATTCATGATAGAATGCTAATGATTATATCAAAATATAATATACCTAAATACAACCTCAGAGAGAAGCTAGACATATACATGAAATGTAACAAACTGACCTGTTGATTAACATCTTCATTTAGGGACTTCTTTACAATTTGATTACAGATTGGGCAAACAGGAACATGAACCTTAAGGAAAAAAGAAACAAAATTGACAGAAACAAAAAAAGTTTGTAAAGGTCACTCACAACTTTTTTTAACCAATTAAAACCTAAAATCAATATTTTTTAATCTTCTTTCAGTTATAAGTAAATTATCTTGTTTTTTCTGAGTTAAAATCTTAGTTTAAAAATTAGTTTAAAATCAGGCAAGATCCTCTTTCCGAGCAATCTGAGAGAAGACGGTTGCGAACGTTTCAAGGATACTTTTTTGGCAATTATTATGTTTATTGATTCCTATACATAATTGTCAACAACTGCTGGTGAAAATTGCTCATAAATTGCAAATTCATCAATACTCTGCATATTTATTTTTGATCATGCTGAGTAAATCATATAGAAACATTGTAATTCTCAACAATGGTTTTGCAGAATTGTGTCATTAATATCCCTGATTCAACTCCTGAAATTTCTCAAACTGACTGCAAAAGTTGATACTTACATCTGATAAGCTAAAATTCGAACACTTGTGCTCTTCTGGGCTTCGATGTTCTAAACTAAAACAAGCAAAAGATACGAAAATAATCATTGAACTAAGAACGTTCAAGACTCACTTCTAATTTCAACTTCTCAAAGTTTCAGTCGTCGATCCAAACGAAGAAAAGTATCAAAACCTGGCCGGAGAAAAAAACCGTCGAAAAACTTCCACGATTCCCTGATCCCATTTTCCATCTCAGTTTTAATTTTTAGTATAATCCGACTTTTCAAAGGGAAAAATAACACGGTAAGAAGTAAACGTACCAGAAAATTTCTTTGCAGTGAGAACACTGAAATGGCAAGAAATCAAGTCGTTTGCACGACGCTAAACTACAATGTTTTCCGATGGAAAGAAGATCGGCTTCCTCCGCCATGATAAAGCTTTATTCCAAATGTCCTTACTCGTCATTCTCGCCTGGTCTTTTATACCCTTCCCTTTTATTTTGTCGAGTCACGCTGGTTCAGACCTATTTCTGCCCACGAAAGATTCGAGAAAACGCCACATAATTTTGGTCACGCGAGTTTCCGCTGACTAGTAATTCCCAGTCTCCCTATTAAAACGAATAGGGCGTAAGCCGAGCCCACCAGGAGCCTGGAACTCTAGGACTTTTTGTTTAGGAGGTTATTTCTCTTTTTTGTTTCCATCTTTCTCCTTCTTTTTACTCATTGTAAACCCTCACGCGAAGAAGCTTTAATAAGGTAATTATTTAAAGGACTGGGTCGAGGGCATCAGAGGATTTTGGGGGATCACATGGTTTTCAGGGGGCACGGATCAGTCCGTCGACAGAAAATAAAGAAAGGACGTAGGACCTCCTTCCTTAGGCGATAAATAATGACTAGCTCTCACCAAACACACTGTATCTACAGACATGATGAATGAACAACGGCGAAGAAAATATAGCGACTATAATATCAGAAGCAGGTGTTTGTTTAAGAAAATAAAACTACTGAACAAGGTGTGTTGACTGAAAGACAAGGTGATCGTTCACCTATCATTTTATATCAAACTCTATAGTCCCCTCAGTTATAGCTTAAGTTCTCACCGTGCTCAGTGCACTGGAGAAATTTGAAAACGCAAAATTTCCTTTCAAAATGGCATACTATCTAAACTAGTCCAAAGTTTTGTTAGTCCTTTAAACTCTAACATAAGAATCCGGACTCTTAATTCGCTTCTCTATATATTTCCTTTGGTGTTGACAAGGAGAACTTCTTTAACCATCGAAGCTTCTTAGATAAGTGATCATTTCTCTTACGATCTTGATATATTATTCAGCAGTATTAATGTAAGGTGAAATAAACACCTTTTGCTGCTAATCACGAGAAAATACGCATTCACATTTCTTACAAGGCGATTAATTGCGTAAGTTACATTCATTAGCGATATAAAACGACCATTTGCGCCTAAATCAGATTCAATACCGACCTTTTCATCTTAATAAGCATTCAATTACATTTTTGGGCATTATTATGAGTCATTCGTCAAACAAAAGAAAAAATTTTACTTTCATTTGCGCTAGCCTGCAGGTCATTAACATCACCATGAAAGTCAATAGAAACAATACAGAAACACTGTAACGCAGAAACCATTTATTACCATTTTCATCGCACTGTTCGCAATTCAACAGCATTCCTGCACGGCGTTTTTATGATTACAAAATATGAGCACAAACTATTGAGCGGTTTTCACATTCAGTGTTCAAATATCGAATTCTAATTGAATTATAGCTTTCCCAAAATTATTTTGGTCTGAATTTTAGTTTACCCTTCAATAATCTCTATTCAAATGTCTGGACAGATAGGTCTGCAAAACATGATACCATTGTGCACTTTTTGCTGCAGTCGATGTTTCTGTCGGTGCTTCTGTGCAGAGCTTCAAGCAGTTTTGTCTTTAAAACTCCCCCAGTGAGATTCCACTGGTTCTGACCTCATTTCTGTTATCCATGCGTCTTTCAATTTCTAAACGTGACATGTCGGCCTTGATCGCCGCTTTCAAACAGCTGTCGATGTTGAGGAAAGGACTGTTGGGGGAGAGCGTTTTAAGTTCGGGTTTCGGTGGGCCGGCCCTCCGTCATACACGAAGATCACCCCCTCGTCGGGATCCAAATTTGTCCTCGCCTGTGCGAGGAAGTTGTCGAAACGCGCAGCATTCATTCCGGCAACAGCTTCTGAGGAAGACACATGCGAGTCAATTGATGAGCGATATTACCATGGTCACAGTCAAGTGTCGTCACACTTGACGGTATGCCCTCTCTCTCTGCCGCGCTCTACTGTGACCTCTGGCCGTCCAAACGTTGTAGCCCCATTCGTCAGGACGAACACAGGTGCCCTATACGGCATGGTCCATAAACCAGGTTGTGTAATCGGCTCGCTTGTTCAGCACATCAAGTCTGGTTCTATCAGCAGGGAGGGGCCTTGCCAGTTTTACTCTAATCAGCATCCCGTACAATGTCCTTGCGAGTTTGAGTGGTAGCCGTCTCCTCCGTTCACTGTTACTCGAGAAAGTGTGAGTAGGCAGCTTTGACTGATGATTTCATCTAGCAATCTCTCATCTCATCATCCACGCGCACGTTGTTTCCACCACCTCGTGGTCTTTCCTGGGTCCTGCCCTCTCTAATACAGCGCGCCAAAATGCCTTTTGCCGTAAATCGGTTCACCCCGTACGTGTGTGCGACCATAAGATAGTCTTCCTCCTCGTCTTCCCTTCCTCCTCGAATCCTCTTATGATGCAGCATGATTTTTGTGTGTTGTCTCTATTGACATTCAAGGTGGTGCTAATGACTTGAAGGCTAGCGCATATGAAAGTGTTCTGTTCTCTTTTGTATGATAAATGACGCATAAGAATGCTCAAAATCGATATTGAATACTCATTAAAATGAAAAAATCGTTATTGAATCTGAATTACGCACAAAGGATCTTTTTATGTCGTGAATGTATCTTCACGCAGTTGTTCGCTTTTTCACGCAAATAAATGCATATTTTCTCGTAAAGGGTTGAAAGCGATGGCAGTTTTTTTTTAAAACGGTGACATCAGTGCTCTCAGGTATTTTGATATAGTTGTTCTTATCGTTGTTGCTGTTAACGATTTTTTTGTTAAACTTTCCTAATCTTAATCGCACTTTTTTTTCCGGTCGGTGACCGTTTTTGTATGAACTAACGACACTTTCTCAGTTTTCTGATGTGGACGGAACAATCATGTTTCGTTTTCAGAAAGAAAACACCGTTTTCTGATAAGTTATCACCATACAAAGAAAAAAGTCGTGTATCAAGGAACCTCTGATAGGTGTTAAATTGGTTGCTACGGGATTCAGAGGGAACAGAAAAAACCGCAGCTTTGTGAACTGTTGATATATTTTAACACGTTGAAAGGAAAGACGTTTCAAAAAGATAAATAAGCAGGTTCGAAACTGTTCAAAGAAGATCATCTTTCTTCAAAGCAAAATCTCTTGGATGTTATTAATTTCATTGGTTTTATAGTGTCATACAACGCACGACGAAACGGTGAACAGCTGATGAAAGCGAGCGAGGGTTCCAAGTGGAGGTAACTCAAAAAATAATATAATTAATTCTTACCAACGTTTATTGTTATCTTAAAGCTGTTGTTTCTGTTTTCCGTCTCTATCATTTCTGTTTTCTGCTAAGTTTGAAATTTTAAAAAAGTTTAAAATCTAAGCTCGTAGCTTGACACCAAAAGGTAGCCTGCTGAGATTGAAAATCTGCGCCAGAAGAAGTATAAAATATGGAGTTAAATTTGGATATAAGCTTGAAATTGCAAATTAGACTCTTCGGAGTTTCATTAAAATAACGACGGAAATCTTTAAAATCTAAGCTTAGCTTGACATACAAAGGTAATTTGCCAAAATGCGTAAGTTTGCAGTCCAGCGGAAGGTAATATGAGTAACTGAGAAACTATTTAATCTTGAAAAGTAAGCAATGGAGCATCATTCGTCATTTTCTTCCGTATGCAGTTTAGAGATATTTTTAATTATGTAATAATTCAAGGATGGAATAGATTAAAATCAAACTTCTTTTTTATCTATTTAGCATAGATATTTGTTTCCGTAGTATGCGAAGGGCTTTCCTCTATGGGTCACGCACTGATTACACAGTTTTCATTTAGAACGCCAAAAGAACGCGTTTTCTACGCGTCCAAACGCGAAATGCGACGTATGCGTTCTCTTCCTTCAGCTAACCAAAGTCTGTTTTCTTTACGCTTCCACTTTTTTAGACTTATTACATCGCACCGGTCATAAGGTATTTCATACACAATGGAATTCGATATCTTATCTAGAACCTGTTTTAAAAGGGTCGAAAACAATTTTCAGTCGTTGAAACATCTATTTAAATACTTGCCCTTATCGAACGATCCTCTGAGCAATATTAGATAACAATATGCCAAGCAATATCCCTTATTCTGCCAACTGAATCGTTGAGGGTTGAATGAAATTGAAAAATGAAATAAAAAATTTCTTTAAGATTAAAACTTTCAGCGGTCTTAAGGTCTTCTTCACCGGGTTGACTCAGCTTACCTCAAAACTTTCTGCCATTCAATAGTTTAATTAACTTGACCTTATGATAAGGTGGGCTGGCCCCGAGAAATCTCAATTGCCGACCTGAAAAATTCCCACATGAACCCACCAGTCTACTTTACGGGACAAAAGATCTCGACTTGATTATCAGGGTAATCAAACTGAGCTTTGTCTCATGAAACCCTGTGAAACGCGATCGAGCTGAAATCTCACCTAACTAACCAGTCTAACCAGCACCCATCCTCAGAGGCCGAAAAAAATCGATTTTCCTTTTATTTGACTAAATTTAACTCAAACAGTTAACCTAACGTTCGCATAAAAAAATTTCCGAAATCTTTAAAAGCACCTGAGTTATTTAGAAAAACGTACTTTCGAATAAAAGTTAAGAAATCAAGAAGCTGTCATAATCTCGGACCCAGGCAAATGCCCTAGGGGAATTTTCGCGGCAACCGCTCATCTTGGGGCTCGTTTTTCGTGTCATTTCTTAATCGCGCACTTGACAAAATTCACAGGTAGAAGCTCTTTGCTCATGGAAAAATCAAAAGCGGAAGAGAGCCCTAAGTAAAAAAAAAAGAGAATCAAAAAAAGGTCCAAAGAAGAAAGGAGGAGTACCATTCTGTCAAGAAAAAAAAAAAAAAGTCCTTTGTGAAAGCGAGCAGTATCGGCGGAGCTCCACGCTGGCATCCAGATTTCGAACAAAGAAGTCGCCGTCGAACCAAACTTTGCCGCATATAATGTTAAAAACGAGGTTCTCCTTTTATTTATGCAAGTGCCAGCCTTGACACAGGTTTTTCCTTTGCCTAAGGCAACTTTGCCCATTATTGTGTCGTCCTTCTCAACGCTCCACTGAGTGATCAAGATTAAAGAAAAAAAGTGTCTCCAATTGGTTACTTTTCGCGGGAAATCTTGATCCATCGTTATTTACGCCAGGAGGTCCCCTTGTCCCATTGGCTTGCGGTTTCCGGGGATGAAATAATCTCCTGGCGTGGCGCGAGTTAGGGGGGAATACAACCACTTTGAGTGATTTCATAGAGTGTATAGATTTGACCGATTTTCGTTAAATTTCGCCAAAACATTCAAGGTTAATGACAAACGAAAGGATGTTGGGAAATTTCGATATTTGAAATATTTGTCCCGTGGCGTCCATTTACACAACACGCTTCGCATATTTTTAGCCACTCCAACTTTATACGCCGATATCTAGACAACCAATCAGAATATCGAAAAAGCCTGACACACCTTTGTTTACTAATGCCTTGTGAATCATTTTGCTCGTGCTGCGGTTTCAGATACCCAATAAATTCAATAGAAGAACCCTCGGTCGTTTCACACCTTACCGGCTCCTGACACTTCCTTAAAGGAAAAGTCGCTTAAATTATATTTTCATCGTAAACTGCACTTAGTAAGCTTTCTTCTAACGTATAGTTTGTTAGGATTTTAGTGAAACAAGCGCGCCTATGAATTTTTTTTTCCCGAAGGACACCCACGAAGGTGGGAAGTAACCTTAAGTTTTCCCTATGAACAGATGGACGAAAGTTACCGCTTACCCGACCAGACAAATTTTCCGCGGGCCTCCCAACCAAATCAGCCGATAAAACTTGGCATTTGTCATTCATTCGGCCGCCACCTCGGAGTTACCGTTCAAAATTCATTTTTATTATCAATTTAGAAGATATTTAGTCAAAAATATAACAGAGTTACGCGAAACCGTGTTATTGAAATTGTATTTCGATTCATCCGAAGTAAGTTTCTGCTATTCTGAAACTTCTTTTGATTTGTTCAAACTCACAGACTCATTGTCAATTAAAGCTTGTCTGAGGAGACACTCAAATTGGTAAACCTCATTTTTATTCATTTACGGAACCATTCTTGTTGACAAAATTGGGCAATTCAAAATCCTTATTAATTATGCCGCCATTGTTGTTTATATTTTTCTGATTTTTCAAGTTTTACATCATTTGGTCTCGCCAAAAACAGTAAAGAGTATTTTAACCAATTTTTGTAATGCATTTAAAGCGACACTTCAATTTATCCTGCTTCAAATAAATATTTGCTTCATCTAAAAATGAGATTGCTGGAGTATTTCACAATGAAATAATGATTTTCAAAGGTTAAGTTAGAATACTTGTGAATGTTTTCCTTCAACCGAGCAGATTAATTGTAATGACTTTTATTCCTTGTATTAAATTTCAAATATATATAGATGTATTCGCGGCATGATGCAAAATGATTGTTTCATCATGATGACGAGCGCGGGTGAAAATTTTACATGAATAAAACGGCCAAACGAAATCTGTTAGCATATCTTTAAGGCGGATGATAAGGGCCATTTATAAAAAATGTTTATAATAAGAAGAATTTATCATGTACCAGCACAAAGCCATTAAAGACACCGACTGAATAAAACAGACAATTTCAGATCAACTGGAGGAAGTTTTAACCATGAAGCAGCTGCAACGTGGAGAAAGAAAATTTAAATTGCAAATACATGATGTGAATATAATTAGTGGTCTAACAACTGTTTCAGTGAAAGGTTTCCCACAGACTGTAAATTGGTTAAATTGTTTTGTGAGCGTGTCAGGACGCGAATGCTGGTCGAAGGCGTCCCAGAGTTTTTTTTCCCTAAGTTTCATCTCCCACTAAAATGGTAAGGGGATTTGAAACGGGAGGAAATCAATTATCGGATAATATTACATTGCTCGATACGAGTACGGCTTCGGAAAAGCGCCATTCGACGGACTCAAATTGTAAGTATTTATGTATTATCGCTGACTATAAGTTTTATTATAAATTTCCTAAAGTGAACTTGAGGTGGTTTACAACGGGAATCACCTTCGTAAATTTTAACCCTCGAGATCGATTGGAAATAGATATTTATTTCTATAGCACAAACCTCATGTTGTTATTAACACTAGAGAGTAGACCATGGCTTGCCAGACTCTACTGCGACAAATTTATGATTGATTGAGCAACAAGACTCAACTAAAAATGCCTTCCACAATTCGTTTTATAACTTCAATTAAATCTATCGGCGATGTTACCTCCAGACAGCAACTACAGCCAAAGCATGGTTATTTTATTGATGTAACCCATCTATTTCAGCAAATGATTAGATAATTTTTAGTTTTTAACTGAAAAAAATCATGAAAAATATATTTAGTTAGAACTAAGTGAATCAGCTGAACAGATCGAAAGTTCAATGATCGTTACACGAGTCGCACTAGAAAAATTGCTTTGGTTTCGTAGCGTTCTATTTGCTTTATTTACCAAAATAAGATTCAACTCCTTAAACGATTTCCTTTGTTCCGAAGAAAATAAATGAAGATCTACAGTTATTCAAGATTAAAGCATGAGTGTTAAAATTCGCTTTCTGAGGCAATCGCTTCCTAAGGGTTTCTGAAGTCGTTAGATTTTGTTAATACCGCACAAACATGACTCTCTATAATTACAATCATTATTATTGTGGTTAAGGAACTCAAATTTGAAAGTAAGATTCATCGAATCTGCGCTATTGTCAACAGAATTTAGACTATTTAAGATTACGAATAAACTGATTTGTTTAAGCTAGGCTGTCTAGTTTTAAAGCCATAAGTTCTCGTTTATTTTTAAAACAAAATTCAAAATGACAATTAATGTTTTTAATTCTAGTTGTACAGAGACAACGATTGTTTACAAGAACGTGAAATTAAGATAGCGCATGTTGATGCAATGTCTTGCAAATGACACAAGTACGTTTTCCGTAGCAATTTCATCAGTTCAAGGTAAAATATGTTCACTCTTTATTCAGCTGAGGGAGACTAGCAGCGACATTTGTCTGTGAAACTTGCTTGACGAGAGTTTCATTTAGACTCTTCAGCTATTTCCTCAACAAATAACCATATCAAGACGTAAATTTCGTCTTTGAGAAGTTTCTGAGTCCATGTCGAGTCACCTTATTCAAAATCTGACATGTCCGTCTTTGCAGACTTTCAACGAATGTAGCTTGAATGAGTGGTAACGAATGAAGAAGCTGGAAATCACCGAGTCTTGCGCGCCGCGCCCAGAGTTAAACATCTTAACACCAAATTCAACGGCCAATCAAATGAATGGATAATATAAAGAGCAGCCCATTGGGATTCTAACTGAAAACAAGCAAACTGTTTCAAGGGCGGGAAAATAAGAGTGACTACGACGCGATTGTTTTCAGTTTTGAATCTGATTGGTTAAGAAAGTGGTGCGAGTTTTCTTGACCAATCACATAGAGAAGAAGACAGAAACCTGTTTGCGAAAATATGAAGTTTTATTTTAGCACTACAATCCATGGGATAAAATTCTTAGTTCTTCCTATCTGTCTGCTGGACATTGTATTAAGATTGTTGGGTGAATCATCAAAAGATCACTGTTGAAAATGAAAGGGTTAAACCGGGAACAAGAAAGCCCTGTTTCTCTTTGTTTGTTTGCACCCATGGAATCTTAGCACTTTCATTTTCCTCACCGATAAGGAAAACACTGCACTGTTTCCTGTAGCTTGAACACACTAGAGTTTAAAGGTAACGAAAGTTTTCTAGTCCAGTGTACAACGTTTGAAGCATTTTATGAATAGAAGTCACAAACAAGGACGATTAGCATAGTAAACAAACGCTACTTGTATTGTATTCCTAATCAAGCGATGGCTAAAGAACATAGATGAACGTAAAGTATTACACCAGAATCCGGAGATGATGGCCAAAGGGCCAGTGAGTACATGACCTTGAAGGTGATAAAACCGAGTAAAGGGAAGGATGTGATTTGAGTTTGTTGCGTGTGTTTCTAGAACACCCCACGCTGCAAGACGTGACTACCACAGGCGGCGTCACGATCAACTGACATTTACCTTGATTTGTTGAAAATTGTCCTTAATGCGAAGGAGGAAATGAAGCTATAGTTTGGCAGAGCAGACACACACCAAAAATTGAGTCTGAAAGGAAAAGCATAGAAAATTCCAGCCAAACTTTAATTTTGAAAACGCACTATGAATGACGTATTAAACCGCACTTCAAGCAGAATACCCCACGTACGAAACAATCTCGGATGACACCTCTCGATTGACGGGGTCTCTTTCCGATCCAATTTAAGTTAAATCTATCCGAATTAGGGCCGACACTCTCCATTGTTCAAAATGATCGAAATTTCTCTTACATCCAGGATTTAATTTTAAAGGACAAGATCCACACGTTTTTCACCGTAATTTTCTTTCAAGTATAACTTTCAATTTCCTCTACAGAATGTAATCGTTGACATTTCTGAGGAATTTAGTTTTCCCGCCGGAAATAGAAAGGTCTCAACTGCGAGCTTAGTGTTACTTGCAGAATTAGCGGAGTATTTCGACATATAATCCAACCTCGTATTTTCTAGAAACAAGGTCTACCTATGATACTAAGAATAAAGGCAAAGAAATTAATTGCTCTCAATCAACACCCTTTTAATTGAAACATATCTTGGATACACGCGACTCGTTTCATGAAAAGAAAGTATTCCGGCAGCGAATACCGAAATAATGGATTGTACAAAGATCCAGTTAAATTCTTCAAACTTAAGTGTTAATCCATGAGATTTCTTAGTCTAACTTTCCCTAAATCTTATACCGCTGTCACGTTTGCCTCTTGTTCTCTCACGTTTTTTGTTATGTTTTTTTTTGTTTTCACAACACGTTTGACGATTTTTAGACACATAAAATCTTCTTGCTCTTAAGACTTTGTTCGTGACCCGGACTCAATAAAATTTTTGGAGGGAATTGGAAACATAAGCTTTCAAATGAAAAGAACTACATGTCGCGGGAGTGGAGGTCAGATAAGACCGTGCGTGAGCTTTGAACTTCCGGTATCTGCAGTCATAACATGAAAAGTTTATCTCTTGTTTTATTGATCTCAGATATATATATTTTTTGTGTCCAGTCCCAGTATTACCTGTGGCAATAACAGTCATTGTTAGCTCAATCATCGTTACAGTCCTGGTGACGTTGTATCTTGTGAGAAGACAGCGCCAAGCAGAAAAATATAAACAGTATTCCCAGATAGCCGAGACTGCTGTTCAACCGCCGCAATTTTCCGTGAAAACGACTCAACAACCTTTTCCAGCGAAGAAAAAGTTGTGTCGAACGAAAGAAAAAATTATTTCCTCTGAAGAGTCTCTTTCACCGATGTCGAGCGAGGAAATGTTTTTTGACGCACAGGAACGGCTTGAAGGGAAAGCATCTCGTTCAATTTCCAGTCGTGAGGCGAGCCCGGCAAGTGCGTTGGAAGAGGAAGAAAAAGAAGAAGACGAGGTGTACCCCGTCGACCATCTTGGACGAATTTGGTTAAATTTAGAATACGATAAATCAGCCGAAAGTTTAGCTGTGACATTGGTCAAAGCACGAAATCTTTCTACGCGCGGCAAAGCTTCCAAAACGTGCGATCCGTTCGTAAAACTGCGCATTCTTGGTCCAGAGGAAAAGGAGAGGAACGTGTCCCAGAGCAAGAATAAAAGAAAAACATGTCGGCCAAACTTTGACGAAATGTTTTATTTTAACATGCCTGTTTCAGAGCTCAAGAGGTGCACACTTCGTTTATCTGTATATGATGGCTTTAGAGCAAGCCAGCAGAGTGTGATCGGAGAAGTCTTGTTTCCTTTGAGTGAATTGGACACAGATCAGAAACTTGAGTTATGGAGGGATCTTGCCGCTAATGAAGAGGTGAGTTAATTCTCCTGTTGGCAGTCAGTCATGATACGTAGAATTTAACAAGCGCGTCAGTCAATATACGCGTTTGCTATTTGCTAATTATCATTCCTACAAGTGGTCATAAGTGCATAAACAAACACAGTTTCTAATATCCTAGATCACTCCTTTCAAATCAATCACAAATTTCTAGAGGCGTGTTTCTGGCACGATCTCTTTCCCAATTTTAAACCACTCACAAACGCCAATGATTCTATGTTTGAAAACTTTTTGACATGATTAAAAGCATTATTGAGCAACGTTTGAAGACAGCTTAGCTCTCTTTATTTATCGCCGGGCTTTCTGATTTCATCTCCAAAATGAAATACGAAAAAAGAAATTCAATCAAAATTTTGATTGACAGCGGGGAATCCAATTCAGTGCATTTAAAGCTATCAGTATTTGACAACTGCTTTCGAATCTCAATAATTCCTTAGGCTCGAAATTCTCCGCATATTCTAAGAACATTAGTCACGCGAAAAAAAAACGTGGACGCAAAACACAAACCGTCAATTGTTACTTATCTGTAGCCAAGAATTGAAACGATACACGTAAAAAATGCTGACATTTTTCGATACGTTTTTACAAATAAGTACCCGAGGTCGAATAAACAATGTAGAATGTATTCCGATACCAATAAATGAGAGGAAATTGTTGATGGAAGGAAAAGACACTAAATGAAGATGACTGCTTGCTATCACGACCTCAATCAGGGGATTCACTCATCGGCCTCTGAGCTCATCTGGCGGTTGTGAGCGCTTTGAACTGATGATTGAAAAAAACCACGAGAGGCTACCACTTATTCCGTCCCAACCCTTTCGCAGCTCCGCCGCTGAACGCTTCCAAACGCTCACAAAACCGCTGGCTACGAAGGTTACAGAAAATTACAGAAAAAACATGCCACTAGCAACTCCATCAAAATCCTTTCATGATCAAGTTCAAACACAGAACTTTCTTAACATTATCTTCATAACACACATGTTGCGAACTCATTATTTTCTCCTGTCTTCACATGTTGAGTTTTTTATTAGAACACATTTGTTTATTTTGTTTGTTTCACATTTCAGAGCCCATCCGAACTCGGCGAAATTCATATCTCAATGTCTTACTACCCCACTCTAGACAGGCTGACGATTATCGTCCTTAGAGCGTCCAACCTCAAGAAAATGGAGCCCCATGGCACAGGTGACCGGGAATAATTGTTTACTTTGGTAACGCAGGCCTCCGCATCACTTTGTTTTGAATTATTTGAAATAGGCCTGATAGCCTGAAAAAAAACATTTCTATCATCATTCGCCAAGATATTTTGATGGGAGGTTTCTGACCAACTTAAAAGTAGGTCCAAATGTAACATTGTAGGATAATTGAAAGGGCATCTTGCTAGCATTTATAAGAACACAGAGTATATTTTTTTAATCTCTTCTCTTTCTCGGAGGATATGGACACGACCATTCCTTTGGAGTCGAAATTGTTGTGTGACATTTTTTGTCTACGACGATTTATTGTTTTGGACGATAGGTACTCTGTGAAAAGTGTCGACATTCCTTTCCCTTGAAACCAAGAGAGGATAATCCGCTCTTGCTCAAAACAGATCGGTAGGAAGAATTCTATAAAGCTCGACTAGCCCTTGACTTTATTAGTGAGTTTAAAGGAGCAAATAGTTGCCGATATTAAACCTGACCCGTTCTCGTGCTTCAAATCCTGAAGTAAATTCGATAAATATGTTCTTACTCACTTTCGTGCAAACCGAGCCAAGGGCAGTTAAATCCTCATTCCTTGAACCAATGGCCTTTTGTCTTATGTCATAGCTGTATCATTTCACTGATGCTTACGTTTCATTTCCTTTTTTCCAGATTCCTACCCTAAAGTGACTTTCTCTATTGGAAACAAAATAATCAAGACTAAAAAAGGACCTCTTCACCATGGATCACGTGACCCGTTGTATAACGAGTCCTTCAACTTCTCTGTGTCCGGAGATGACCTGGGCTCTGGTACTTTACTGGTGTCAATTATGCACTCAAGAGGAGGGGGTAAGGAGGACCAGTTAGTCGGCAGAGTCCTTCTTGGGGGAATGATGTACGCGAGGGGGACTGAGTGCGAGCACTGGACTGAAATGATGACGAATCCGCGAAACATGATAAAATATTGGCATAAGTTGACAAGTTAAACACAGCAATATCTTAAGTCTTTTGAAGGTTACACTGATTTATTCGTGTGGTACTATCCGAGGTAATTTACGACGAAAATTTGAATTTCACCCAAGGGTTTGGAGCAGACAGAACGGCTTGAAAGTTCGAAAAACATTCGAAGTTGAGCAAAGATACATTAACTTTAAATAATGGTCCTTCAATACGTGACATCTTATTTTTTCGAAAAGTTCTCAAGATTGCTTTACTTTTCTTTTCCTCGCTTTTCTTCAATCGAATGAGATCCATCACAAAAAACCGACGGTGCCTCAGTTATTCTAATTTCTGTTTCAAGTGGTTTATCTTTTAATACTTTGAACTGTTATTGGCTTTTTATAGTTTTCTTCGTTCTGATTGGTTTATGTTGTTCCTTTGCATGGTTTTAACTGTATAAAACGCATCGTTCCAAAATACCGAAATAGTGTTTATTTTTTATTTAATCATTTCTTACACCCATTTTGAAATCACTGGTGGTCCCTGTAATCTGATTGGCTCCAATTGGTGTGATTTATTCACGAATCGCATCATTTTTTGCTATAAATCGCATCATTTTCCCAGCCAATGAGGAGGCTACACTAAAAACAAAACAACCAATCAGATTTCAAGGCTTGTTTAAAGTAACCAATGTAATTGTAGGAAAATGAAAGACAACGAGTATCATGTGGCAAATTTTGCAACCTTTGTTTCCAAAACTCTTGGTTTTTCCCCCCAAAAAATGGATGAATTTAATTTCAAACTAGCTCAGTACTGCATCAATAAAATATTTGAACTGACCAAGCCCTGTACCTGGGTGATTTCAAAATGGATGTAATAAAGTGGTAATTGAACCTTGTACCGTGCAATTTTGGTCTGAAATCACACGAATGATTTCAGCCCAAATTGCGCTCCACTCAGTTCAATTATCATTATGAATTCAATGGTATTTTTGAACTGAATAATCAAAATCGAGGTTAAATTTAACTTTATAAAACATAAGAAATAAAATGTAATTTTAATAAAAACAACGCGAAGGAAAAGTATTGCTGAATTTTCAGCTCTGGATTTTCGAACACCATGACAATTTGACCCAAGAAAATTTTAGAACCGAGTAAAATGATAGGCAGTTTTGAAGGTAACCTGCAATGGACTAACGTTCTATTCAGAATGAGCCGTTATGTGACGTGGTTTGATGCTACCTCTGGTTTAAAAGATTTCATGAATGTAACATTTCCACTCTCCTGTTTAGTGCCTTCATTAGGGGTGATCCGATCGATGCAACAAGAGGGGGTTTCAAATAGTCACTAATCAGCTGGTCTTTTTTCTGACGAGCTGTAAATAGGCGTCAAGTAGTAAGCCGCCATTATCACCATTTAAAGGAGTATGTGTGGAGTTAATTTGCCAGGCTTCCAAAAAATGGCTGGTGGTAACGTCGATTAATGGTGATAATCTTAGACTTATGGGTCTGTCCGATATACCAATGATCACAGTCATTGCTCGGAACAGAATAAATAGCGTCCGTTCGTTGTTGATTAGTAAGCATTTAAAAGGACCTCTTGTTGCAGCGAGGTATGTAGGGCGTTTTCAGGCTGTCAGAGCCTAGTTTTCTTACAAGTGTTATAAATAACCACTCAAGCCAGTAACCATGGTGTTTGCACGGGAAATTGTGCACGGCCAGCCTTGTTTGCGCGCATGCCCAACGTTTGACCGCTGCGTTTGTTTCGAATCGCTTTATGCCGCCGGAACGGCGAGCAATCCGGTGGGCCACCGATGCGACTCGTTTAGAAGTAGATATTTTCTGCAATTTCTCTAACTTTTTCCAAACATTTTTGTTGCAAGAAAGTAGATGAGAAAGCTATTTGAGACTGTAATTATTTGCGCGGGAATTGGAGCGCACGGACCACGATGAGTGCGCCTGGGTAGAATTGATCCACCTGCGCATGCCTAACTTTTGACCGCTATGCTTCGTTTGCGCTGATATTGCAGCGAAACCTGACTTTCATTTTTTTCACTTGCCATATGCGAAATTTTCACTAGTTTAGCTTAAATTTTGATGACTGGAATCGGTAATTTTCAAAAAAGAAAACTTTAACTACCTTGAAGGAACAAAGATCACATAGCTTCGTGGAGATACCAAACTTTTTTTCTTCCCAGTTTCCTTAACACGCAAAGCCAACATTTGCATTACCCTTCAGCCATGCAAAACAATTAACACAACTTTTATCGACTTCTAATCCTAAAGAAACGAATTGCATGGAAATAACTGATCAATATAAGCACCTACATCGGGAATAAGCTAAAGGCAGAGATTTTTTTCACTGCCCTAAACTTCCTTGTCGTTGATACGGCTTCTTAGGCAATCTATACCTATTGAAAGAATTGAGGTCTATTGTTGACACAGCCAATGTTTTCTTTCTCTGATGCACCTTCTAAATTCAGTCGGAAAAAATCTAGATTAAATGTTTTATGACTGACAGGTTGAAATAAAGCGATAATATGAAGTAATTAGGAATAAAAAATTGCAAATTAGAAAACCATTGAAGCATGATATTAGAATGTCGAACGATCGACGAGCTTGAAATGATGAAAGCTTGTTAAAGTCTGCCGATAAACGTTTGCATTCAATTTGCTGTTGATTGACGGAGCTTGAAATTTAAAAAGGATTTTTGAGTAGGATATGCAAACACCTAGTAAAACGCTTTTAAATAAAAAAAAATGCAGCTCTGTAGAACCTTAAAAAAAGCAATAACGTGATTTTCGGGTTACACCGTGAGATCATTTTTCTTGACATCCTAAAACATGAAAGTGGATTCTCTTTAATCGGTTAATGAATTTATTCCGTAGGGTGACTGACCACATAGAAAATATTTTTACACTTGCGGGATGCAGAATGTCGAGTGCAAAGGTTTTCCGTAAATCAAACAAAAACAGACACTAATCCATGTATACGCTTTTGTAAATAGGTGATGGAATTCAGTGATTATAAATCACTCTAATTGAAGTTGGAAGTTTAAACAACGAACACTTATCTGCAAGTTGCCAGATAAACCAAGAATTTTAAAAATACTACGAAAGGTGTTATGACAACTTTTGACGGAAAGGCAACAAAACCGCAGACTTAGCGAAGTTCCAAAGTTTTCAGAAAACTAAATTGGCAATATAAGCCTTAACTTAACTTCAAATTTTTTGCCGCAAAATTAATAATTTTTTTCCGTGCTGTTCATTAAAATACAGCGCGAGATCAACTCGTTAATTAGTTTTGTAAACTTTGCAGTAAGCCTTTTTCCCATGGGGTTCACTTCAATGGTTGCCAAACCTATTAACATTCGTTATAAGAGTTGTTGTGACCGATATTTTGTGGTTACAGCATCGACTTTTAAGAAGTGTTTGTGAGTACTTAAACAAATCTATGTATCAGTCGCAAGTAGTGCAGAAGGAGAGCTTCGTTTCATTTGCGCAATGAACACCGGGCAGAAGGGAAAGTCGTTGGACAGATTGGACCGCGATGGCGTCGCTCAACATCGAAACGTAATGCACGAAATAGCCATGAAGAAACAAATATCAATGTACCAAAGAGAAGAGAAAATACTTGAGAGAGAACTTCGAGAGATTTCTAAAGTCAAAGAAACTCTCTTGCAAATAAGGGCACCGTTAAGGCGAAGGGTTCAAGCGGCCGCCATTGAGGACAACTTGGAGGAAAGTTCAGGAACTGAGAGAAGTTTGAGAAAAACATCTGTTGCTACGCGCAAAACAAGTGTGTCTACATCAGGTGCTCAGGAAAAATGCACGAATGAAAAGGACATGGCTGGTGTTTGCGCCTCGAAACTTCAAACGTTTCCTGGAAGGCCCTCGCTTCAAGTGGCTGCCCCTTCACCAAATCCGCGACAACGCAAAATAAGTATGCAAGTGAGAACACACCAAAATACTCCGCAGGGAATATCAGCTTTGCCACAGCGAAAGATTTCGGCGCCGACGTTTGGCTCTAAAAAGAACGAAGTATCCGAGGATTGTGGCAAAAGTGGATCATTTTTGCCAGTCATCAAAACACCGAACCCTCCAGCCGATTGCAGCCCTTCGATTAAAAGAAAATCGCCATTAATTGACAGGCCTTTGAGTGGAGAAAAAAACAACGAATCGGCCGATAATCGCAATCGACCTCGTTCGCCAGCTTTGTTGACCCCAATAGCCCCAAGTAGAGCCGATACCATGCGCGCGCGCTCTGTACCCTGTGATCTACCTTCACATCTGGCCAAAACACCGCGTTCCCGAAAACCGGTTGACGCCGACGAATGCGCTTCGCTAACCATGGAAGAGACCCTCCGAATCAAAGGAAAATTTCGGCAAATTGGCCATTCTGTCATTGCGACTGCTTTGCTCAAAGGGTTGAAGCAGAAGGGACAGCTTTCGTCCGAAGCTATTCACAACATGCACAAACCTATTTCTTTAGACGAGGCAAATGAGGCTAAAGTTGAGGTAAATGAAGAAACTGATGTAGCAGCAGCCGAATTGAAAGACGATGAAAAAGATAAGGTGAAGCCCACAGGGCAAGGAGGAAAATCGTTTAAAAATCTCGCTCGTAAAACGATCAATGTGAACAGAATGATAGGTACAACTGGCCGGCGACGGGCACAGTCGGACCCTGTGCCCGAGATGTCTGGCTCGGTTAATAAGCCTTCTTTGCGGCCCAAAACGAGTGGATTGTCAGTTGTGAGACACTCTGATAAAGTGCTTGTTCAAGAAAAGGCAGAAACTACAAGTGCGCAGCAAAGACGGAAAGATAGCAACGAAACCCAAAAAGATTTCAATACACAAGGAGACGAAAGCGAAAACAGTTCACAGAATCAACAAATGTACAAGAAACATAGTACAGAGGTTGATCCCTTGAGACCCTTAATGAATCCGCGCACGGCGCATGCGCGCAGGAGGAAGGTCACTGTGACTGGAGATGCGAGGGACTACAGCGAGCAGGCCGACAATATGGCGAAAGATACAAGGCCACAGTCAGCTCAGTTAGATCAATCAACCACCGCAAATAAATCTGTGCGCTTCGCTTCGGATGCTTGGACGTAAAAAGATTAACGCTTTAATCTTTTGCTGCGTGTAAAAATCATACAACCGTCTCAGATTAAAGATAATAATATTCAAAATAAAAAATAATAATAATAGCAATGATAACAATGAGACATTTATCTATGCGAGGTCGAGGATGTCGATATTCCCGTGTTATAAAATAATTTTGGCGTCAAAGCCAGTCAGTTTTTTCGTTTGATAGATGTTTGCCGTGGTTTTTTTAAGACGTATCAGATTCCACACAAGTGACGTCACTAAAAACATGGTTGAACAACGTGACAAATATTACCAGAGCCGTGGCAGAAAAAGGAAGCTTCTTTCAGGTCACGTGTCGAATGAAAGCCTTGAATTTGATTAAAAGCAAAATTGCAGGGAACAAATATGAACATTGAGCTTCTCTAAATGAGAAAATACTGTATCAAAATCTTCTTTTTTTTATCTAACGGGCGAGGGTGTTAATGCTTATATGTCTTGAAGGAGAGGTATGCTCCAGAACCAGCAACTATTCAAAAGTATTTATGAAAATTTCAAACCTCTTACCACGTTTTGAGATTCTAATGGAAAGAACTGCTCTTAAGTCCGCAATTCTGAAGACAACTTAGTAACCTGGCCGCAAACGCAGAACCTCAAAGAGCGGTTTGAAAACAGTCGCTGTCGTGGTAATTTGGGGAAAAAACCGCTATTCTGGTCATGAAGGCCCTTTTCTTTCCAGTGCCTCCTTCTTCAAACAGATCTCCTAGAAATAGTGAAAACAAGTATGAAACTCAATTTCGACACAGTCAGAGTGCTAGGTAAAATTCCAAGTGGCGGCTTCTACTCTGGTCATGAAGGCCCTTTTCTTTCCAGCACCTCATTCTTCAAACAGATCTCCAAGAAATAGTGAAAACAAGTATGAAACTCAATTTCGACACAGTCAGAGTGCTGGGTAAAATTCCAAGTGGCGGCGTCTCAACTACAATTTTTGGCATATTTCAGGTCAACTTTTGAGAGTTCACGTTACTTTTCGAAAATTTAAACCACCACCGGTGACAAAAGATTGTGAGATTGAAAAGAATTAGCAGGAGGAATGGACCTTGAGTTCGGGCAAATCTTCCTGCTTCAAATTGTACTTTCCCCCTGAACATGGTTTGCAATCACGGCTGAGGTTTACCAAACACAAGGAAAAACGGTTCGAGAACAACAAAAATTCTTTGAAGTATAAATTTATTCTGGAAATAACAGATACATTGAAAATTAGATCTCTGTTTACAAGGTGAAAAATCACTTCTGCAAATGTTGACAAGCTCGCATTACAAAGTACATTTTAATATTTTAGACCACAACTAAAAATATCATTGCATATAAAAAAAGGCATGATGTACGCGTACCGTAGCGCGTTCACAACGGCAACACCCACATAAAAAGGACGATGAAATGGTAACTTAGGGAACCCGCTATACGATCGCACCACCCCACTAATACGAACATGCCGTTTTAATAACTACTTTTATGCGTCACAAATGAACCGCGTGCGGAATGGCTTTCTCTCCCAGCACTCCTCAATCGTTAATAATCCAATTACTTAGTCCCATGCAACCACATCTTTTTTACGGAATGAATGCATTTTCAAGCAATCTGCACCGAGGAGTTCTAACTGTCACTTTGTTACACTTATAATTCTACTAACGACACACAACCTACGGTGAGAGTCCATTAATTATAATAAAACAGTTCATTCTAGAGCAAGTGGTGGTGATCGTATTATGACAGTTCTATCGTATGGTGAGGCCACAAACGCATGCGTAACAGGTATTCATGGTAACGCTAGAACCAGAAAATTCGTAATTTTTTCTCTAATAAGAGGACAGCCTCACTACCATTTCTTTACAATTTCATCGTTCCTGTTTGCACAATTCACATTTCAACGGCCTAATAGCATGTTACCTTTCGCAGGCACTGTTCCTAATAATTATTACCTTGGCAAGTTTAACTAAACTTACAAATAGCGGACCTCGCTCTAGAAGCAAAAGAAAAATTGCAAAATATAGCAACAAAAAAATTATAAAAAAAAGTCTTTCACATACGGTCAACTGGTTTATTATCAAAGCTATATCTTTACTTAAATGATACTACTGAGGCCACATCCCAACACCATTTATTTTTTTTGGCATGCTTTCCAACGAAAAAATAAATTACGAATCAGAGTGAATCAATATTCCGTTTGAGATGGTTCTTTCCCAAAGACCAACTTGTTTCACAGGTAACACAACATAAAAGCTACAAAATCTCTCAGTTTCACAGTTCTACTGTTTATAAAATTTGTCCAAGACGAAGCCGGCATGATTTCTTTTCTCATCCTTTTCTTTTCGTTTTTTTTTCCTTTCTCAAAATCATTTTTTTTAAGGTGGGAAGGGAAGGGGGAGTAACTCCGAGACAATTTCCTTTGTCGCCGTGTTTTCATCTAATTGAGAAATGAAGACAAATCCTTGCAGGTTTCCTCTCAAGTTCAGACCAGTGAAACGTATTCCATTAATTCCAAATAGTAAGACCGTTTCTCTACCGTTTTGAATTTTAGAACTCTAAAATAATACAAACAAAATTACCAAAAATCCCAGACCAAATAACTTCAAGATGGATAGCCATTCAGTTTACATCAAGAAGACCGATGAAGAAAGCAAAGATGTTCAGTTCTTGTCTTTCATATTTACAAATTACTTGATTCAACAAGCAAAAAAATTCTCTCAAGCCAAATTCTAACCCAAAGGCACGCGTACAATTCACTTCCACGGCCAAGATAAAGACGAGAAAAAGAAAACCTGGAAAATAAATTTCTTTAAATATTTAAAAATAGCCATAATATATGATCAGGTTAATTCGCCTCGCTTTGGTGATTTCTCACGATTTGTCACTCAGTCTGCTTGCTTACCGAGAAAGAACGTGACTTCATGGAAAAATACTTAGATACCACCTCGTTACTTCTTCATCAAGATCTTATAAATTCAATTATGATCCAGACACGAAAAGTAACGTGAAAAACCACTAAATAACTCTAAATCTAATTGGTTTCACATCTAGCCTCTGGTTTAGAAAGCAGCAACACTACAGGTTACCCTTTACTAGGGTTATGTAATAAAATACGCAAAGAATAGAAAGACGTCATTGTTCCGACCAATGAAAATTTGGAAAGACCTCACTGCATCAAACATGACGTCATCTAACGCAAGAATAGATACCTCATGTCACCTAGCAACACCACAAACCAACTAGTTTGCGAGCTCCCTCACTACACGAAGAATCCATTTGGACAGGAATTACCAAGAAATCCTCCAACCAAAAAGAAAAATAATGATCTAAAACTAAAAGACAACAAAACCCAGAAAAAAATGGTAACTTGATTGTTGCTTCCTTCAACTCCCTACTAACGTCACATATTTTTTTATTATTTTATAGCCCCCCCTGATTTGAAAATGAGCGGTAGTTTGAAAAGTAATCTTATCTATTATTTAAACGTAATCTTTGCAATCATAGATCTGCCTGGTAAACCAAAGTCTACTTAAATTACAAAAGCTGCCATAATTATCTCCACCAATAACGTTTTACCGGTAGAAGACTGGAACAGAATGTTACCCATTCTTCATTGTTTTATCGATGGGTAGTTTTATGGGGCACCATGGAGTACGCAGTAGGGTTTGCCACCATATTGATAAAATTGATTTCCTTCTAAATGTTTAATGCAACCTGGGTGCTGTTGGTGGTAGAATAGAAGAAAAAGGAAAAACAAATTAGTCACAGAATGTCAAAAAAACTGTACCATTTATGTTTTAACCGCAGCCAATTCTAGTATGGATACAGCTCTCCGTGAAATATGAACTTTGTTGCAGTTACAATGGCTAGACTTATTTAAGACACCATCCACTAGATCACCGCGCACATTCTTTTCTGTACTAAAGCAAGAGGACCATCCAGACGAAACTTATCCTGTGGTATAAAGTGACTAAGAGTGTTGCTTCTCTCCCTGGATAGAATGGTGGTGACCCTCCACCATTTTGTCAGACCCGCCCGGGTCTCGAGCCCAGACCTCTTGACCCGGAGTAAAGCGCGCTAAACATCCTTCACTTGGGCAAACCCCGAATGATTGCTTACCTGACACTTGAAGCAGGAAGCATGCCACGGTTCTCCCAATGCTTCTACCCATCGTTCGCCTCCACCGATCGGCCGCCTACACAGTGCACATTTTACGCAAAACAATTTCTTATAATCGTCCTCACAATATGGTTTTCCCCGATCAACATTGAAGCCCTCGGATCCGATTTGCTTTCCGCAATGACTGCAGATGAAGTGCTCCGGATGGAATGTCTTCCCCACAGCTTGAACACAAGGCTGTCAAAACGAAGTCATTGGAAAAGATACGTCACTCAGCTTTGGCTTCATTCGAACGTGACTGTTACATAAGCTAATTTCTTAGTACTTCAGACACGTCGCTTTTGCTTCGACAGCTCTGTAAAACTCTAAGATCTGTCTGTAGGTACTATCAATTTAGCGTCTGTAAGGGTGTCATAGTCAGACCTTCTTGATTCAAAAACGTTGTGAAAAATAATTTAAGAAAAAACACCAGTGGGGGGGGGGGGGGCAACCAGAGCAACCCGATTTAAGGTGGTAAAGAAATATTAATACATGTGCCGTTCGAAGGTGTACTCAAAGCCTCGATGTTGAGTTATGGATTGCCATCAAGCACATCAGAAAATTACAGGGTAACAGCATCATGAAGCACCGCACAAACGCGTTACTTTTCTTCTGTAAAGCAGGAGTACAGGAGTCTTCTGTTACATAGACGGACACCTCCTCGAGAGGAAGAACGTAATCCATCACTGACCAAGTTTTACTCGATTTCTCTCCATTGAAACGTTATTTATCGATGTGCATTTTGAAAACATTTGGCCACATCCTTTTTAAATCTTCTCCATCCTTAGTCATCCCTGTTCCAACGACTGAAAAAATCGGAAAATTGCTGCTGTTGCTATTCAGGACCACAGGTGAGAAAATCGTCACCAAAATTGTTAGAAATAATGACTTAAACCAACCTCCTGAGATGTCCGAAAATGATCCGACAATTCACGCTGATTACCGAAGAACTGCCACCACCGCATTAAGTCAACTGCACAATATCTTAGGCACCGAGTTATTTCGAAAAGCTAAATTTAATGACTAAATTCAGGAGATGAACTTAAAAAAAAACATCAGAAAGTTAATTTCAAAACTATAAAATAAATATCTTGTTAAGTAAATATAATTACTTTAAAAAATATATTATTCCTTGTGTTTGAAAATACGTTTTTCTTAGAAAAGTGTGTATCTTACTGGCATCAACAATATACTCCTGTTGAGCAATTAAGGAGTGTGTTATCATAAGCAGGCAAATTAACGGGAGAAAAATAACCTTTCTGCCTCCATTTAGATCTCTAGCTTTCCGAATTAGGTCTGCCTACACATGAGTACAAAAATAGCACTGCCTTTGATCAACATGAACCTACACTTTGTATATATTCATACACACTACACCAGAACTTAATGTTTTTCAAACTCTTCCATACTGTACAAAACAAACAAGCGTTTCTAAAACTATTCATGTAAGTATAAAAGTATAAAAGTATGAGGTACGTTTTTACTTTCTACGTTAGACTCGAAAGATTCGATGGATTCTACGAATTTTGAGTAGCCACCATAGGATAGACACTAATTCATCAGTTCACTTCAAAGAAAATAATGATTAAATGTAACTTCCACTCTACTAACTAAATACGACTCGTATGACTTGTGCTGGAACCAACGCGTCTGTTCAGATCGCTAGCACAGCAAACCAGTGTTAATAAGAATTTCTACGCTGCCTTACAATTTTTGTAAGAACACTCTCCATGTATAAAAAATGAAGGCACCAAATGATATTCCCGTCAGCAACCTTAACCCACTTTGATGATTACAGGTCAAGCTAACTGGGCCTTGGAAATTGCACTCTGTTCCCCTTACCCCTCCTCGGTTGAACAGTTAGGGTTAGGAGACTGCAGAACACAAAAGTGGGATACCTCTAGTTCGGCCCCAAAGTACGAGACTAGAAACAGAAGAAACAAGCACAACATCCCTTACTACTTTGGTTCTCAACCACTTTGGTTCTTCAACCACTAAATCAACGTAACTACAGTGCTTTTAAATGCTTACTAAAGGGGACTAAACATGAGAAAGAAAAAATCTCTGAAAAACTGGGCGCAATAGTCACTTCAGCAATACCAGAGACAGAAGCAACAACCACAAAGGAACTCTACTCCGCTTGTATCGTTGTTTTCTTAAAGCTAGTTTGTTCTACAGACGAACACTCGCTCGATTGGAACGTTATTTATCAAACGGATAGTAAGTGTATTTTCGTCCTTTCAGCCGCTGTTGACAGTTGGCCAGAAGGTAACTTGCATGGCGGGTTTCGTTTCGCGCCTGGTCGATGGAATCATGTAGTTGATTGATGTAGATCTTCAGAGGTAGCAGCCTTCTCTCTGCCCGACCAAAGCGTTCGTTGCTATCTGCTATGTAATCCTCCATCAGCTTCATCTGTAGGAATTTGTTTTCTACAGTGGCGCCTTTCTCTTGGTACGTGTTCTTCAAATCTTTCATTCGCTTGCGGTACATTTCCAACATGTCCTGCAACGTGCGTTTGCGCGAGTAAAGCTCGCGCTTTCGGTCTTCCGCGTTTTGAAGCGCGGACTGGATGACAACGGCGCGGCGCGACGCCTCGCGAGCGCGCAGCATAGAAGCCTCCCTTGCTGCTTTCACCTCCGTCAGTTCATACTCGATGTTTCTAATGTTCCTCAAGTCGTCTGATTTCTGGCGCTCGATCTTATGGTTTACCTGCCAGTTCTCATTCAGAGATCTGTATTTACTATCTAATCTTCTTTGTTGATCCTGAATACGATCTTCTAGCTTAGCCACCTTATCCTCGGCTATGAATCTCTTGCGCTCAAGTTTTGCCAGTAAAATTTTCGCTTCTTTAAAGCGTTTTACAGCGGGAGGTATTCCTTCTCTGGCTTTAGCTTCTCGTTCAGTAGCGCTACGAACAGCTTCCTTTAAGGACACGACTTTCTCCCGTATGGACCCCACCCCAGGTTCTACGCGAGTATTGTCTGAAGTTCCAACCCTGGCTGCATTTGAAACTCCCGAGGAAGCCGGCAAATTGTTCTTACTCTCAAACGAGGTTCTTTTCTGAAGATAGCTTATTCCATATCCGGATGAAGGATAATTGGACTGATGGCCATTCATCCATTCAGCCTGGTTTTCCTCTGGTTCTTTCTTTAAAGTTAACGCACTGTTAAATCTTTTGTTTTTCGCTTTTGCGGCGACTTCTGTAGGATTTTTGGAATTCATGGAACCCTCGCGTATTGCCTTAAGCATTGCACTTGACGGTGGAGGCACCGCTGGTGGGCATGAATGCAGACTCTTTGGCTGCAAATTTAGGAAAATAAATACATCGCGTCACAAAGACCATGTTAGAATGATCAATTTTCACTCCGAAGTCTGGCCGAGCAATCCATGAAAGAACTTGAACATGAAAGAACAACGAATCTTATTGAATTTTTTTTTCGACAAAACAGTGCAGTGCAGGTGAGCAGCAGGTTACTTAGTTGTAATAAGTTATTTCTTTTTTGATTTAAGTGCTTGCAGTTGTTACACAGCATTTAAAGCATTACCCTCGTTACACTGTTACTTGAGACCCTCACTCGCTCTCATTCAGCACAAATCCCGTTCGGATGACGATGTGAAGGGTTTCCCATTTTTTTTTTTTTTTTTTTTTAAGTTGGTTTTTTTTTTCGAGAGGAAAACACGCAGAGACAAACGTCACCCAAAAACGGCTCCACAAAGACGTCACTGATCTACCTTCGAGGAAAGAAGTTTAGCGTGTTTACTATGGCAGTTATTTGTGGAAATGGAAAGTATTTAAAATGCAACGAGTTACGTGCATGGTTATAAAGAATTACTATGAGAGATCACTGAACTATGCTATCTCTAAGTGCTTTCTACTAACAGTTTGTTATAGCAGTGAAAATAGAAGTTTATACAATGGTGTGGCACAGCTTTTGCTTGGACTAGCTACGTCTTGAAAAGTTGGGCTTTTACATAAGGCAGTGCGCATGGCTCCTTTCCCTCGACACAACTAGAAATTTCGTACACCAAGTAGACATTTCAAAACCTCTTGCCATGTGACTCTCACGTGATGTACACGCCTTGAAACAGCCGGCAGTTCTTATTGTGCCAAGCACGAGAGATGGTCAGTCTATCCTCCACTTTTCCTCCTCGAGAGCAAACAGATGAATCTCATAGGTCACGTTAAAAGCGGTATTTTTGGAACACAACCAAAGTAGCGGTCTGTTCACTGTTCCTCTCGTAGTATCATCTCCTTCTCAGCCAGAGAAATTCAGGCAACTCCATTCCACTTTAATGTGATCGAAGTGGGTTTCCTTAAGGCCAGTGAAGGGTTGTAACTACACGCTAGTTTACTGTCAATCAATTCTAACAGCAAGGCCGGTGTTAAAAGAAAAACTGAACGGCTGGCTAAAGCAATAAATTTACACACACCAGATCAACCATTTTGGTAGAGACAGTGCAAAAGTTTGCTTAGTTTCGGTTGTCGGCGTGCCGCATTCTCTTGTCAGATTATTTAGTAATTTCGCTTCTTTTCTACAAATACCGCTTCCCTTCCTATTTTTACATGTAAATGTTTGTCTTAAACATGAAGACACGCGTGCAAAAAATCACTGCCTAACTAAACTTCTGACAAGTTCAAAATTTTTAAGTACTTAACCAGAGCTTCGCACAGTCACCCAAAAAACTCAGTTTAAACTTTTATGCAAAACAGGAATTCCCCTCTTTCGACTTTTTGCATATTTGTTCCCGTGAAATCACTACCTTTAGAGCTACTTTACAATTGCCCGAGCCGGTCACGTGACTGTAACAGTAATTTTAAGACAGCACTTAGGCTTCAGTAGGACAAGTGCAAAACTAAAAATATAATTTATTTCATGGCCATAACAAAACTAACTTTCTTGAAGAGTTAGGAATGCTTTTAGAAAAAAATTTTTTTTTGTTTTACATACAAGAAAAACTATTCATTCTATCATTTTGAATTTGAATGTAAAACATTAGATTTTTTTATAATTAATTAATTCAACTGAAAATTCAAACCCAAACACGTAAACCTCAATCTCTTTGAGCTATAGCCAAATTGCAAATTCTCTCAATGTAAAGTGCACAATATATATTATTTACGAGAAAAAATGGCTTACGTTCAGTAATATACAGACACTAAGATAAGTGATCAATGTGTAATGTGCTTTATAGGCTGAGGAACAAATTTTCAAGTCTAGATTCAAACCATTTTCTTTTTTTTAATTTTGTGCTTGATGACATTCCATTTCAAAATTTGAAGGACCAAGAAGGGAGAAACTTTCATAGCATTCTTTCAATCGATATCTCTCGGCCAAACTTAGGAGACACATGTTTATGTATGGACAAGGCAAAATCAGAAATGACAGTCTACAAGTGTTAACTCCTTCTTTTAGTGTGCAAAAGGGTAAGGATTTCCAGATAGTTATGAAAAATGCTCCACAGAATTCTGAATTTATCCTAAGGTTCTGAGCATGTCTCAAAGCAGACAGAAACATTGGCATTCTAAGTTATCACAGAACACTTGTCAGTAGTCAGAGAACTGCTTTACTGACCGTTTCAAAGTCTGATGTAAGTTCCATCCAAAAAAACATACTTCAGACAAAGTTTAAGAGGAGTAAATTAAGACCACAATTCTGATAAAAATATATGCATTATCTAATTGTTATTTCCAGTTGAAAATGTGTGTGTTCTCCTGTTAAACTTACCTTGCAGTAGCAACACACCAATTCATAGACTAATTGTTAAACATAAATAACCCCATGAACATATCACACAACTTACTAAAAGCTCTTCCCCGTAAGAGAGAGAGACTCACTCTTAATGCCTATTTCCTTTTATAAACAATGGAAAAATTCTATCATCAATAGCATTTCAACCATTTTTTCTGTCTGGGGAGCACTCTTACATAACACAATACATAGTAACTATTAATTTGAGTGAAGTTATGACACCTTAATTTGTGTGCATGATGAACTTTTTAGGAAGGGTGCACAAATTCTCTCACATAACTGGCAGATCTCTCTCTCACAGAACAACTAAATAAATGTAAAACTTTGTCTATTCATTTCTTTCCCTTCCATGAGTGATGCATCCTTCAAAAGTCACTCTACTTCTCAAGGCAGATTGCTCCTCTACAGAGGGATGTTGCCCCATTACAGGTTACCTATCAGCAAATCATCAGGCCTCCTAAACAGTTTGCTGTTTACCAAGTTTACCCTTGGTTGAAAGAGTAATGTGAAAGTAAAGTGTCTTTCCCAAGCACACAACACAAAGACTCAATAAGGGCTGAAAACAGGACTTGTTCCTAAAATTTTGAGCCTTCAAGATACGTACACTACATGTAGGTCTGATTAACCAGTTCCAAGAAAGATAATCGGTGGAAAAGGAAAAGGATTAAACTGAAACCTGTGTTTTTCAAACAGATAAAAAAATACTAAGATGAAGAAATCCCTGAAACTATTTCAATCAAGCATTGCTACTCATTACTTTCCAACTAATAGATAATTTGTTTTTAACAAATCCTAATAAATTGCCTAAAGAAAACTGCTTTTGGATTACCCCTAACATTTTTGCCAATGATCTTTCTTTTAACTGGTAAATAAGACCTATGAATAACAATAATCTTTATGGCTTTATCTTATCGTCATTGCCTACAAACGCATACATGTAAATAACCAAAATGATGTACTCACCCCAACTATAGGCTGCTTACAAGTTTCACAATGAGGAGCAAAGTACTTATTAAAGTCCTTCTCACAGTACAGTTTTCCACCCTCCTCAATAAAGCCCTGGTTCTGTAATGATTCACCACATCCATCACATACAAAATGATGTGGATGCCATGCCTTACCAATTGCACTCACAAAAGGTCCACTATTTTACAACAAAAGAACAAAAAACATTAGTGATGTCAGACAACTAGAACTGAAGGGCCAAGTGAAACACTTGCAGCAAGGTTACAAGGTTGTAAGGTTGTTTTCAGTTCTCTCCCTTAAATGTGATGATTCCTTTGACTTACAACATCTGAATAATAACTCTATCATGGTTGCCACAGTCATAAGTTTTTGGAATTCCTTGACTTTTTCCTGACTTTATCATGACAAACATAAAGTTTCCCTAACCTGAATTAACAATTACATATCAAACAAATCCTAATCTAGGCCTTGAACCTCCCCTTACAGCCATACTCTACAGCCATACTCTACAGCCATATAAAACAATGAACATCAATTGAAAATTTTCCTTGTGGTACCATGGAAAAAGGATCCAATTTACATCATTTACATCAAAGAATTTGAAAAGTTAGAAAACACTGAAAATAGAAGAAAAGGAAAATTTGTGATTCCATTCGTAAACCAACTTAAATTTATTCTTTCCTGACTTTTTCCTGAGCTGTGGAACCATGTCTATACATCCCACAAACAGAGGAATATAAATTATTCACAGGCCCAATCAGAAATCAAAGTAAGAATAACATCATGCACAGCAAAACATGTTGAACCAATCATATCTGGTTTTAGTTTTCCATTCAATTCATCAACAGAATGACCCAATTGTTACAAACTTCAGGCACTGCATAGAAATAAACTCCTCCACAGAAAACTTTTAGAGGCTTGTCTGAATTATCTTAGCCACAAAAAACTTACAAAACTTCCTCTCCACAAGCATCACAAAAAGGAGTTCTGGTCTCCTCTACGGAGTGTGCAGAAGGGGGCTTTGAAGGTGTCCTCTTCCATTCAGGCTGCCCAGGGGATGATGTAGGAGACAATGCCGCAGGAGAGGCAGATGATGGTAGTTTCTGTGTTGGATGCCGCACTGGCTCAGACGGCTGGTTCATCTGAACCATCCCTGGTAATGCAACAGGGGCAGGCTGGCCTGGCCTGGCCATGACTGGCGCAGGTGGAGCCACCGGCATATCCCGAGCAGGTTTGATAACAGGTGGATTGGGTCTGTACATTTTGGGTAGCGGAGTATTGGAAGGCTTAGAGCGATCTGCCTTCTGCCTGTCAAAGACACTCCCTGGAGCATCTATAAAAAGAAGTTGTTCAACACTCAAAAAATATTTATATCCTTCATTTCAAGATGTTATTTCTCTCAAAACCCTTTGCCACAGATAATAAATTAAAGGTAACATATACTAGAAAGAAGATATCACAGGAAATTTGATAAAAAGGTTCACTGAACTCAGCTGAACATGACAAAATATAAAAGAACAACTTGTATAAAAAGAAGTAATCTTATCCCAAAAATTGTCTTTTAGGAGCATAAGATTAAATGTGTTGACTTTTCAGGTTTTCTGGTATGGCTTCACTGACAACATAGCACATCCGTCTTGAATTAAATTTCAAACAAAGGCATTCATAGTGATGGGCATAACAGGATTAAACACTTGGTAATATCATTAACCCTTTGACCCCTAAGAGTCACTAGAATCTAATTTCTCCCTATAATATCGCCCCTGAATCACACACGAAGGTCACTTGAAAAAAGGAAATGATCACCAAGCAGAGAAACTCTTGACTGTTAAACAAATGCTCCTTGTCAGCATCTTAAGAAATATATAGAGAGCAGTATGGAGAATGTGCATACTGAAGTTAAGAAGTTATGGGTTAAGAGTTTCCTCTTCCTCTGAAGATGATTAGCCATACCAGTTATTTTCACAAATTGCATGAAAACAAAAATACATGTACATGTAATACATCAATTGCCCTCTCCTAATAAATCAACACTAGAACACAATTCAACATTTTTTTCCAGCCTTATAGGTTGCATATTTAAGTCTTTCTAGAGACTAGAAGATGAAGATATCTTGAGAAAACTTTAATTTTTAGTGAAAGCCTTAAAGTCATCTCTAAATATTGATGTACTGTATTAGTTGGGAGTATTGTTGGGGGCATGTCAATGATTGGAATTTAATCTTATCACCAGCCTTTGGTTGAATCATTTTTTTAATGAACTTATTCAGATCTGCAGTGAAGAACAACCAAAAATCTACAAGCTTCTTTTTCTGTACATCTATAAAAGGTGGTAAGTTTCTAAAGAAACTGTGGTGCCAAGTTAGTGGTCAGTATTACTAGAAATTTGGTTTGATCAACTGAGTTGACAAAGTTAGTTGGCTATATTGTAAGGAAATTCTAAAGCTGAAAAGTTTATTGTTAGTCCTTCATTGGAAAAAATTGATTTTCACACTGACCAAGGTCTATCCCTCAAAACATCATCCTTCATAATATTTTTGCAGTGGCCAATTCACAAAATCAAATCAGTCAATAAAATCAAATAATTTTTTTTCTGCAATTTGCAGTTCACCTGTGTGAATAAGTACTTTATTTGTTATCATCAGCAGACACAAATGCACTGCTCTAGTTTTATTTGCTTGATTCATTTGTGACTCTATGTATCAAAAAATATCCATGTAAATTAGACAGAAAAAATATCATATCAACCTCCTCCTTCCACAGCATCCTGAAGCATTTTAAAAGTTCTTGATTGCACTTGCTTATCTGCATCCTCCTCAGGTTCATTATAAGCCTCAGGGGGAGGTGGAGGTAAATCTGTCAAAAGGAACAAAAACAGTAAACAGATTTTGCATCACTACTAACTTATGTATACCGGCTTTTAAGTCTTTGTTCAAAACCAGAGTAGGCCCAGGCTTAAATACATGTAATAGAAAGCCAGAGCACTTTCAGTGGTTTATGACCAAAACCAAAGATGTCATGATGGCCAATCAGAGCAAAGGAAAATATTAAGATGAGCCATGAAAATTCAAGATAACAACCAGAAAACTGTTCCAAGTACTGAAAAAAGGGGGGCACCCCAGTCATGATTGATTTCACTTTTGCTTCTAATTGGTTGAGAGGGTGCATTATTTCTCCCAACCAATAATAGAGCAAAGTAGTATAAACCCAATGCAAACCTAAGATAACTTTTATTAATCAAGAAAAAGTTGCTTCAATAATAGATCAATTCAAATAACTGTAGGAGAGCCTGGCCTCACTCTTTCTTGAGAGGGTGGCACTTTTGAATTTAAAGGTAATATGAAGAATTCAAGCACTTTATACATACCATCCTCATCTGCTTCCTGCAGATGTTTCTGAAGTCTCTTAAAAGACTTGGACTGGACTTTGGGATCTGGTGGATGACCCCAAGTTGGTGGCTCATCAGCAAAGCCCACTAATTGGAAAAAACAACAACATGTTAACGAAAAGAGCTTTTGGTACTTGTCACTAAATGGTTGTTTCTCTGTTAAAAAAAGAAACCTTCTGGCTTTTTTGACATAGCATTTTGTCCCTGCCAAAAGACTCTTAGAGATCTTTTGAAATTTACAGGTAAATTTGCCTATTAGACATGAGAAAACAAAACAAAAATAATTCTATTTTGGGTTTGATATTTGCGCGTCATGAACTTTATTGGGCTTAATTGGCACACAACTGACCTATCAGCATCAAATAAAAGTGTTCATAGATTCCCACGTCTTTTAGTAAGGAGTCCCTGACGCACAATTCCACAGTGCCCCCTTCACATCCTCACATCCATGCCTATTCTCTACAATGGTCTCTACACATTTCCTAAGGTGTTGACTATGAGAATTTGTTTAACAATCAAGAGCTTTTTAGTCAATTATCATTTCCTTCACTATTTTGATTCTTGGGGTGATATTGTACAGAGAAATTAGATGCTGGTCACTCTTAGAGGTCAATACTCTGTTGCTACTTGTACCATAAGAAATCATTCTCTCACCATCTCCATCATCACTGATATCAAGTTTAAAATGTTGAGCAAGATCTCTGTCATCATAGCTTGGTCTTGAAACTCCACTGTCTGGGTGATCAGCGCTTCCTCTAAAACAAAAAGTCCAACCACAAAATTAATAGAAAATTTGATTTGGTGTACCTGGTTTCTTTGCCAATACTAACCAAAGATTACCAAAAAGGTTCTCTGTTGCTCCAATAACAGAGCATCTGACTCAAAAAATCAGACAAAGAACTGGCTGAGGTTTGAATTCTCCTTTGTACACATTGTGGTCAAAATTACACCATCATCACCTGGCATAAGTAGCTGGATTTGGGGGCGGTGGAGGAGTTGGGGGACCTGACAATCCTGCTGGTCCAGTTTTTGCAACAGGAGCACGTTGAGCCTGGAATGTTGGCGGCTGCCAGGATGTGTTACCTGCTGGAGATGAGTGGACAGCAACTGGAACTGATGGCTGCGGGGTCTGAGTTGGAGGTGATGATGCACCAAAGGGTTTTGCCCTTGCATTAAATTTGTGATCCACCTTTGCAGAGTGTACAGTTTCTGTTACTGTAACTGTTTTAGTCCCCTCTTTCCTGACAAACACCGAATAGAAAACATTACTTTTAACTCTGGCGCTGAGATCAGTCTTTAATTAGGAAATTATTGATACCTTTTTGCAGTATTTCTTGCATTCCTATTACATCTCAACATTCTCCATACTTTTCTATACATTTCAAGAGTGAAAGAGTGAGTCTAGTTTGAGTCAGGAGTAACTTCAATATTTCCCCTCTTGGCAAAATATGAAGTTATTCACCTTTTACTTCAGTTGAAGCAGCTTATTTCCTCTGTATCAATTTTGCCACAGACAAGAATTTCTGCATTCTAAATTGTTGCTAAGTGCTCTCAGACCTTTTAAGTGTTACAGAATTGTCGCAAAATTTACAAAACATTTAAAAGGCTGTTATTGTTCGTTAAGACACATAAAACCCCTGTAATAACCACAACTGATGCTCTAACTAAGAAAAAAATTTGTCTTGTTAATTATCAATTTCTTCTTATGCATACAACACTATGTATATCATGCTTTAGATATTCCACACATCCTGTAACAATGTCTCCAAAACTTGGTGATGCTTCAAAACTTTTTAACAAGGGAAACTTATAAATCAAACAAACATTTTCCAGAGGAATAATAACTTTTTCCAAACTTTTGGCCAAGGAGAAAATGAGATAGCTTGAAGTGTTACTCTTCTACATGTATGGGATCCCAGTGGAAGCAAGATGGCAGTCGAGTGCAAGAAATCAGTACCAAGTTTTTTTTTTTAAATACTCTGAGTCAGTTAAGACAGTTTGTCATTGAAATAGAACTTCTGTCTTAGGTATGTAATCAAAAGAAATTGGAATCCTTGGGGAAAACTTGTCGATACCTTGGAATGTTTACTTCTTTGAACACTGCTGTGAAGCAGTACAGAATCAACCCTTACAAATGGCCACAAAAACAATTTAAGTGTGGAACAAGGTGTTCTTGTTTCCTTGATACATCATTTTGACAGAGAAATCAAAACAAAGCTAAACAGAAAACAAGAAGATTAAAAGCAAAAAAAAGGGAAAAATTGAAGTTGACTGAAACTTGACTCGTGACTTGAACTTGACTTGGGCTCGAGCTTGACTCATGACCCAGTATACATTATATTTTTCAGAAGTTTCCCATATACTTAGAGGCCCTTTCAGAGGTGTTTCCACAAACCACCATTAATTTCCACTAACTGCCTCCATAAGTTTGTTTCAATATACTTTACATGAATGTTAACAAAGCTACCAGTTTCATATTACCAACCATCAGTTATGCTCACTTGTATTGATGGAATAACTAAGAAGCTGTCAAAGAGGGTGACAAACCGCCTTTCTCATAGGTGGGCATTTTTCTTTCCAGATGCAGTTTTAACACTCATCACTAGGCCCACACAAACCTCTGCAGTGCTGATAGGATTGCAAGCTATGCAGGCTATGAAAAAGCATCACAAGCCAACTCACTTTCTTGGGTAATACATAAAAGAGACATTCACGCGAGTCATTCCATGTGCAAGGCAAACCAGTCAAGGCTTGGAAGCTATCCAACCAAATGTGGCTCATCATCAGGTAACTTAATCTATTATTAGTCTGTACTAATTATAAATAATAAAGAAAGCTTGTATTTCTTAGTAAAAAAGTTGTATTTCTTAGTAAAAAGATTAGGTGTTGAACCAACATTTATTTCTTGCTTCAAACCAAGACATCTAAATATGACAACGTAATTCCTGATTTCAATACAATTTTCCAATTCTTCAGAAGAACTCAAGATTTAAAACAAAGGGATTTTATCTATGGATGACTCACTCACATAAATTAACAAAGAGATAAGGTTCCTGCGGCGAAATGAAATTTGCTCATGTAATAAATTGTTACATGTTTCTCTAAGAAACAAAAGTATTTTTAGAACACATTTCACATCATTGTTTAGGTCTTCTCAAAATATCACATTCTTTTGACACGAGAATACCAAACAAGGAATAGACATGTTCTAGAATCACTAATCGAAGATATTCATGAGATAAAATTAATCTTCACATTCGAACCGGCAATTTTTGCCGAAGAATTACCCGCTGACAGTAACAGGATAATTAATCGTCAAAGACTACCAAAGATTGTTTATAAAACGCTAAAAAACCTTTCGAACATACTAAAATAGACTCTGCAAAGTCAGATTTAATCGGATCGAACTCTGCCAAAATCTTACTAATCGAGGCACAATAAAATTTACATGAACTTTTGTATTTATAATAAACAAGTACTGCCCACGGAAAAAGTTATTCACTGATTTTAACATACACCTCGCTTTGAATCTGTCGGGTGCAGCAAATTCTGGAGTGCAGGAAAATCAATGTGTTTTGAAAATATGCGCAAGAAACTGCAACAAAAAGTGCTTCATACTGTATATCACTTTCTATCACTTTCTCCTCGATTGATCGTACACTGCTTTTACAAAGAACAACAAGCGAAAATAATCACTCGAGAGCTTTTTACCAACAGCCCCGGAGAGATAGATGTTCAGAACGAACAAAGACGTTAGTTTGGCAAACATTTTCAAGAATCTTTAATCAACAGTCAACCTTGGCGTCCACTATCTGCGGAAAGCTTCATCACGATCGAATTACATTACACCCACAAGAATTGTTGCTCATTTCACTAGCCAATTCCTTTTCCCCAACGTAACTGTTCTGAAGGAATATTTCCATCTATGGTCATCACGAAGAGAAAACGTTTCTCCTCCATGGAAAGCGTTTGTTACTCGCCAAGTATATGCAAATAAGTTCTTTTTATTGTCCCCTGGTGTGAATTTATCCAAATAGACAAACGACACGAAATTATGGAAGGTTGTTCATTTCACCGCAGAACACTCGATATACCGCAATTTGAAGAACGCATATTTCAGAGCTAAAAGCCGGTCATAATTTTACGTAGACCTGAAAGCTATTAAAGCTGTGGGAAATTCATTCAGTTTGGCATATTATCTTACCTTTCAAGCAGTAAGTCGAGATTCTGCCCAGCCCTCCTGACACAATCCTGAGCTTCGAAATGACTCATGTTCTCCGTGGTGTCACCATTTACCTCGCGAATATAATCCCCTGATTTTATTCCAACAAGATCGGCTTTAGAACCTGGTGTCACCTATAAAGAAGAGCGTCGAAATCGCGTGCAAATCAGTCAGGTTTAGCTAAACACACAATTACATTGCACCCCAGTCATTCGAACTACCCTATGAATTAGAAAACTACATCGAGTGATACCTTCGAAATCGCCAAAGGACTGCCAAAATCTTTGCCACCTTGCAGTCGAAAACCCCACGGGCCACCTCCTCGAAGTGAAGCCGTGTAAGAAGTACCCGCCATTTCTCAATATTTGGAAACAGCTTCCAAATATTACGTCCACAGAACACCTCACACGACACTAATTTACAAACATTACAGTCATCCAACGCACAGAGAACCGAGTCGCGGGTGGAACGACATTCTGATTGGCTCGTACACGATGGATTGATAGTTATGGAACATGATTGGCTTCGAGACACACCTTCGGAACTGGAGTATTCTTTTCCATCCATTCTAGCTCGCTAACTCTTCATAACATTTGTTTTCCATGCTTGAGAGAACAAAATTTTTAAATGAAAGATGGGGTTTGGTATTGAGAAAAGAACTTATTCGTGATATTTAAGTTAGAACCCAAACTGACCCTTAAAGGCGACTACATCGATGTCACACGTCTACATTCCTGGCGTATTTTGAGGGGGAAGTTGTCGCTGATTAGAGAAAGCCAATAGAGGAGGGAGGCAATACAGAGAAATAGCTCACATAACAAACGAGGAATCATTCCAATTTTCCTTGGTAACATCACCAATACATTTTTTTTTTTAATTTTTTTTTTAACACACCCCTGTTAAAATATCGCAAACATTTACCCCCACAAATCAAAGGACCATTTTAGAACAAAGTTTACCGATGTTACTGATTTTAGACCGACGCGTATTTATTCAGGTATTTCCTACTAGACGGGCCATATCGTTTGATGGTGTCTATCCTTAAATGAACTCTATCATCTGATCATGGCAATCAATTTAAACCAATCAGGATCACAGAAAAAACCGGCCCAAGGCTGCCATGTAAATAGAAACATGTTTACGCAAGTTCGTCAAATCCTCGTCAAATCCGTCAAATCCTCGATCAATAGGGGACAATACTCAGTATGATATTTCCAAATTCAGAAAAGAATATTCAAATTAGATTAAAGAGGTGATCTATATAAGTGTCTATATAAGTGTCTAAATTTTAACATTTTTTCGCAAATCGTGGATACATCCTTTTGATCCTTTGCAAGTTCGTCTTTGGTATCTTGTTCAATCGCTAACAAAAAGAAAATACTCAAAACGAAGGACAATCAATCAAATAAGGTTGGAGTTCTGAACGTAAACATTACCCGAAAGAATGACACTAGTTACCAGGCCCTTAGAACGCGGTCACATTGATTGGATGCAGCCGAAACGGCAAATTTGAATTCTAATTTCGGGGCGAAAACGTGGTAGAATCGGAAATCTGTTTTGGATTAGTTGTTTACATAAACACGTCAACTTTCACAAATATTAAGGCTTTATATGATCTCGGTTCCAAATAAATGCATATGAAGCAACTATTGGCAGGAGAACAACTGCCGATCAGGCACTTAACTCGTTTCCATCAAATCAACTTTCTCCACCCCTAGACAAGAGAAAGTTCATCCAACATTCTTGCAGACCTAAGATATGGGGGAAACGGGGTAACCAAAGGGTTCACACGCTTGACCCTCAAGTAAAACGGCTCTGGGATCAGACCAGGATGGGTCTCATGACGTTGTCGTGAATATATAACAGAGAGAGTATACTTCTCTGACCTTTGTACTGCGAGCTTTTGCTTTCACGCTTTAATTCGTCACTGTGTCGTATAAAACCCACATTTTGTGAACATTGTTGGCATCCAACAAAGTTGATAAAATTTGCTCAAATGTGACTTGACCACAAATCAAAGCATGACAGTATTATTCCTGGTACCATATAGGACGCATTACACCGTTCTTCCGACTAAGACATTTTTGTACATTATTTTAGATTTATGTCCATTGGATGGCCCGTTAGTCCAGAAACCACATAATCATTATTTTACACGTAAACTAAAAGAAGCAACTTGACTTGAGTGTTCTAAAACTTCTACTCTGGACGCTGCCATTTTGAAAACCTGGCCGTAACCACAGCCTTGGTTATTGCGAAAATTAAGCCAATATTTCCGACAAAAATGCCTTTTTGTGTAGTTCTACATCGCTAAAAGAGATCCTAAAGAGACGGAAAAAAGAGGGTCGAAATTTTGTTTCGTCACGGGTAAGCGGTCACTACCCAGTTGTATAAAGGTCGAATGACGCTATCCAACGGATAAATCGCTATCCGGTCAATAAGTGATAGCAAAGCATATAGTGTTAACCATCGTTTAGAGGTTATCTAGTGGATAACGTTATCTAACCTTTGAACAACCGAGGCCAGGCTGATAAGCAAGATGGCTTAGTCGTCTCACACATTCGACGACATCTTCAAACGGTTAGGATACTCGTTGAAATCTGAAATGGGAGTTCTATAATAACATATTTTCTTTGAAATGGTGTAGATAGAAATTGTATGTTTTCTGAACATAATTCGCCTTGAACATCTGTTACTGTTCCATGCGTCTGGTCAATAGAACAGACCCCAGATCCCAGATGACGTCAAAATGTGGGAAGAACAAAATATTGGCACACGAGGTGCAGCTGAGTGTGTTAAAGAAATGAAAAACGTGCCGAGTGCATTGTTGAGTTATATAAGCACGCGGGAATTTTTAAGAACACGAGAGAAGTGCGAAGAAGCACGAGCCGAGGGTAAGTGATTCTCGAACTTCTCGAGTGTTCTTAAAAATCCCCAAGTGCTTATATAATTCAACAATGCTCGAGGAACAAGTTTTTATTTCTTTTATAAAACTAATCAAAACTATAACAAAATTCTCGAACGTGATTGGTCATCAACAGCCCGATTTGAGCACTGATAGGACAGTATGAGCGTCATACTTGTAATTGCCGGACAGTGTAATAGGACAGTTAACACGTCATGCCTGTGTAAGTGGATAGAACGCGTCATGCGCGCACGCTGTTGTCCCGCATTCCGTCGAGTTAACTGTTGTTGTTGCTTTTCTTTAAAATGAAAACGCATAACCGATGTCTAGTTTCTTTCTCAAATTTTGTCACTCGTATGATTACTGACCGAATTGGACTCCACTCGGTTTTATTACCATTATGTATCGTAAATTGTGCGCGCTCGTACCGATGACGTAGGCTGCGTGCATTATATCTCAACAGTGCACTAGTGTGACATATGGCGCGTGCTTTATGGAAATGTAATAAACCCGTTCTGACCAATCACGTCGCACACATTTCTCTAAACATTTATAACGAGTTTTATGAAATGTTCAGCACTTCTCCGCACTTCTCTTGTGCTCTTAAAAATTCCCGCGCGCTTATATAACTCAACAATGCACTCGGCGCGTTTCTATTTCTTTAATAATGCACTTATAACGTTTTGACGTCTAGAACTATGATATATGACTGTGTATACCTGTGGCAACATGGAATCTATTAGCTTTACATGGTTAAAAAAGCAAAATAATGTTAACCAATAGATCATCAGTGAGAACCAGTAAAAACGCGTATAAGGTCAGAATATCATATGAATCTCGAAGGAGAAAAAAAAAAAAATCCTGAAAAAACACAATGATGATATCCATAACGCACGCATATATATCATGTTTATATTGTAATATTTCCATGACTCGCAGCTAACCTCCCACCTGTACCATAACTGTGGCGATGAATCTGACTGGAATACGGAAACGTAATGTATTACCCAGACCTCCCACGGCCAAATGGTGTAACGCTTTGGTATCCTTCGAATATTAGTACCCCTACGCAGGATTACCCATTGTTCTTCGCCCACCATGTAATCCTGTCATCGGCTATGCCAGGGCCCTCGAATATTCCTGATTCCAGAAGATAAATAAATGTTGCTAAAACTCCAGGAAGACAGATTTCCATTTCCTTCGCATAGAATTCTTGAAACTCGACAGACATTTTTGACTTGTTGGACTCAATAGCGAAATAGCATTATTCACGCGACGTGGAGATCTACAGACATTGTAAGGAAAGCTAGAAAAAGTGGTGAGATTCGTTCCCTTAAGAAGACAAATGTACAAATATCGTTTGTGCGTTGTAGATGTTTCTCTCCAACAGGAAAAAAGAAATATTTTTTTCCTGTTGTCTAAAAAATTCTGTCTATTCTGTTTCTTTGTCTGAGTCGCTTACTTCAGAACTTTGCCACCTTATTTGCGTCAATCTACTCTATTGGAGAGAAATGTTCCCCTCAACTGGTGACGATTGAAGAAGTGTTAAAATTTTTAGCATGATTTGTATTTTCTCTGTTTTAATATATCCTCTTTCACAGTCTCACGTGATTAGCCGCGACTATAGTCAGGAGCCCATCAAAGTGATGGGCTCCTGCTAAGGTACATTTGAGCCACACAAGTACGCATTGCAGACCTTTTGTGTTAAAAAAGTGTGTTCGAAAATAATCACGAAGAGCTAACTGTAGGGAGGGGGGTTCAATTTAATACTTTGGGAAAACACTAGAAGAATGTCAGGGAGAGTGAGTACTGAGAAAAGGTGAATTTCGCGGTACAAAGGAGAGATTTTGGATAAGTGGAAAAAGCCCCTCTCCCTCATTTCATTGAAGTCCACTCGATAGAGGCAAGAAGTACTGTCCAAAATAAAACAGAAAGGGACAGGACATGATTTACCACCCTGGTGGAGGGGGAGGTGGGGGTTTGAGGATTTTGCTTTACCTGATCCACCCCCTCACTGGCAGTCAATTTTCAATTTTCCTTCATACTTTGATGACAACGACTGACCTCCACTCCGTTCCCCCTGAAAACCATGTGATACTTCCCCCCCTCACCCTGAGGCGATAATAATGGCTGGTGCCCTATCATTGTATTTCACGATTGATAACTACAACCATGTTGACGAAAGTTCCCACAAGTTTATTAAACAGTTTTTCCACCAAATAATAACATAATATTTTCTCACTTGTTTTTTTTTTGGTCTAAATTGTGCCTCGTCGTTGACAAAAGAAGCAAATAACACTAAATTCTCCTCAGTTGCCCTAGCGTACGCAATAATTGACAATATATCTCCGAGTTTCTCTTGATGATCTCTTATATCAACACACTATCACTCTACACTATAACGTGTATAGTATTAATTAAAAACTTTATCAGAACGCTTTCAAATGACCTAGAAGTATATTGTAAAGATATAATAAGTAACATTTTCGAAATCTCTGTGCTTCTTTGTTTAAAATAGTAGCCAGTTAAGCGCGAGGTAAGAAGCAGATGTTGATTTTTCCGTCCCATTCGCCGATTGCGAATGTAACTCGAGAATTTTATAATAATGCATGCTTTCCTCTGCTTTAAAAGAGCTCTTTACGATTGAGTGTCGTAAACCCAAAACCAAAGTAATCGCAACGGCCAATCAGATGAAAGGAAAGTACTTTTAAGAGCCAATGAGAATTCAAAGCAAAAACAGTCATGCTACCCAAAGCGTGGGAAAACGCGGGCCATCCTGTTGTTAGTTTTGCTCCTAATTGGTTGAGAGGATGGTGCGGGTTTTCTGAACCAATCATAGAGAGGGAAAGAGGAACCTATGAGGTCCTGGATTCTTTTCGACACCCCATTGAAAACTTCTCTAATGGAAAACCATTGAAAAATTCCTCTGTATTTCATACTCATAAAGGCAAACGAAACCCTTTAAACTATAACTAATTTTAAATGTACATACTCAGCATAAAAGCCAATGGTATCTTTTGAGAGAAATACAATAACATTTCTGCAAAAAACCTGATATCCGGAATTAACGATTACTTACAATCACAGCAATATCAACAAAACCACTTGAATCTAAAGATAATTTTTTATGTAGAAAATATTACTCCCTCGGTGTAAATGCAATAAATGAATACAACTCCAGTTCGTCATATCTTTCATTTGTTTGAAAATAAATTTCTGAGTAGCTGAAAATAACCTCGCAAAATAGTTTTCATCTATTATTCTTTATATAGAAATAAAACAAACATTTTGTTGTGTTGGTAAAGTATATACCAAAATTCCAATTTCCTTTAAATTTCCTGGCATTAAAAAAAAAACGATTTTGTGTTTGATTGGAACATGTCAAACGTTCACTCGGCCAGCCAAAAAAAAAAACCTAAATCTGACGCGTCGTAAAGTAGAACACTAAATAGAATTTTTTTCTTTATCTAACTATTTTCCTTATTAAAATACTGTATTCTGACGACATTGTACAAAACTCTTCGCGACCATAAAATAAGTATGTGTAAACAGTACTATAGAGTAAGACTTCGTCCCAGTTCAAACCAAGCAAGCGAAATAATTTACAATGATTTAGATAAGTTAAAAAAGGATCTCATTTACTGCAATTTGGTCTCCCTTTCAAGTGGAGTAGATGTCGACAATATTTTCAAAATTAAGGCGCGTATGATTTCAATGAGAACAGAGAGATCACATCAAATGATGTAATACTCCCGGTTCATCAGAGATAATCACAGCTACATGGCAGCTGGTGATGTGGTCTTCACAGAAGACAATCTAAAAAGGCTATCAAAATCACTCGTTTTCAAAATACTACCTACCCCCACCCCTGAGTAAATCCAAAATTGCCGAGTTTGCCAGTGTTCCTTGAACTTAGGCATCACTAAGAGGGTCTAATTTTCTTAACTCTGTTGAGCCCGGCGACAATAGTAACCGAGGCCCTTGCATTTTTCACAGAGATCTTGAGGATGTTCCTTGGTCTGATCGGATACGTCGAGACCGTCAGGCTTGTCCAGCGGTCTTTGCTTATGCGGATACACATTTATGTAGCACTTAATACACTGTTGCCCAGTATTCGCCCAGCTGTTACCACTCATCCACTTTCGCTTGCACAGAGGACATTTGAATTCTCCAAAACATCGTTTCTTCCCTTGGTATGGAGTGAGGCCCTCTCCCTTTGGTCTAGCCTGAAATTTTTTTAAAAGAGATTTTGAAAAATTAAACCAATAGGCAAAATGATAGAGTTGACGCTTATCTGAATACTCCGAAGAGTTGTGCTGCATTATACAACAAATCTATTCACGACTTGACATGTTTTGATATCATTCCTACATTTGTAAATTTATATGAAATCACTCTTATGCGTGAACCGGCAATCTGCTTTAGTTACAGTGCCCTTGCTGCTTTCAGGGTTACTGAGAACAACATAATCACGTTAAAGGAAACGATAATTACTTTAACGAAGTTCATTTTTTGCCATTTAGTGGAACGAACCAAAACAAATATTATGACAGAAAATACAGATGGAATTCATTGTGCTATTTCCTTTTTGGCTTTTCTCTAATTTCATTCAGAAACGTAAACAATTTTTGAACAATTTAATATCTGGAGAATACACCTTCATGTTTCCAAGTGTTACTGATTACGTTTTGTGTTTAAACGCCCGCTTGTCATCAAATCCAAAAAGTTATGTAGTCCTAAATCAAGGAGGGGAAATAAAACAAGTGTAACATCCGCAAAACGTTGTCTTTGAAGTTAGACTTCTGAAAAGCTTGTTTTAATTTCTTTCACTTTTGTTTAGGTAGAAGTAACAAATTGCAAAACACCACCATTAGATTAAAATTCCAAGCATCGTTACGTTTTACGAGAGTCAAATATTGTACGTCTCCAGATGTAAGAAAAATAGACCTGTGTAACAACGATGAAATTTACCTAAGAATTTAAGGCTTGATATATGTTATTTGTAAATGATAACGAGACGAAATGATCGTGAAACTCAAAGGTTAGTTTGCTGGATCTTTCAGTGTTTACAACGACAGAAAAGTTGACAAGAACAAAACATCCAGAACTGCACTGAAAATTTGATGGGTTTTCCATTCAGAAAAAAACCGTATGAATGTGGCATTTATGCTCCCATATATCATCAAGTCAAAGTGACCGGTCAGTTTAGTCTTGCTATGTATACTCCAATAATTTCAAAAGTTCTGAGAAGCTGGTTTACTGTTTAGTAAATTTGAGCTGCAAAAAGAGCGCCCATATAGTAAGCCCATATAACTGAATTGACTGTCGCCGGATAACGAAGATTGAAGTTAGAATACTTCAGAGTCGAATTAACAACGACATCACTTTAGGGTTTGCATCATACTTTAGCAAGCTTCCAACTAAGACTCATAAGATATTTTCACCCAAAAAGAACAATATATTCCGACTTAACAAAGCCAAAAAAAGAAATTCTTTCAACCGCCTGGAATTATAAAGTATGAAATCACCTTCGCTTGCAAAGAGTTAACAAGGCTTGACTTCCCAAGAATTGCTCTCGTGAGAATTCAACGTTGACCTTACGAAAACGCAACGGAAATTGTTATTTAATCCAAACACAGTTTTCTTACGGAGAAGCCACACAGATACACATAGTTTTTTCAACTTCAAGCTGAGAAAGCCACAAGGAGCCGGACAAAACAATGTATTTTGATGAATGCAACGTTATACACGCAGGAAAAGGAAATATGCATGGTTTCATTTCACAGCAGTCTAATCTATTTTAACAACTCAAAATAAGTGAAAATTAAAAATACTCAAAGCTGCCGAGTTACAGTGGTTTGGACGTATCAAGCTTCAAACTTCGCAAAGTGTTAAAATTCTCTAAGGAATTGCGTCAGAAATGCTTCATTTTCATCTTCGCAAAACACTTTTCGGAAGTTTGTTTGTTTACAAAACTAAACATACGCTGTACTCGGCGAATATATAGTACCAGCAACTGGCTTTTCTGAAAAAAGTATCCGGCGCCATTTTACAAAGTCTACTAAACTGCTTTTTGTGTTCTTTGAAAAGAATGCAGAAAATAATTGAAAAGAAACATTCAATGACTCGTTCCAAAGGTTAAATGAATACATTCAGCTATTTCTAAGAACTGATCGCCAGGTCAATTTGAAAAAGGATCTTTCACCAAAGGTATGCATTTCATCTTCTATGACGAAGTCGGAGTTTACAACAACAACTCCAAACTGCCACCCAAGACGTAGAAGAAAAGCCTTCGCTCTCCACAAACTTTAAACTAAAAATACTTATGCTACGCTTAAAAGATTGCAGAATACCTAGACGAGAATGTCTCACGTAATTAATAACTTCAAAAGACACGTGATATCGCCGACTAAACTCAGACAAAGTAGAGTTTGACAACAAATTGATATGATTTGAAATTTGCCCCGTGGACTACTTAATCGGCTTATACAGAAGAACTACTGTTGTTTTCGCTTGTCAGGCTGAGTTTTGTAATGGGAAACATATTGTTTTTACAAAGGATTACACAGAAGCAAAGTTCATCAATGAGTAAGGTTTGGCGACAGTGCAGTTGACACCGCTGCATTTCAACACACTTTTCATACTTTCTGACTAAAATTGCTTATAACTCAAAACTTCATAGAAACTTATAAGTATCGTAAAATAAAGAAACTCGTAAGTAAACCTACTGTTGAAAGATTGAAAGTGAAAAAAAAGTAAGGACCTCGAAACATTACACTGATATACCAGCAGAATACAACCGATGCGAGCAACTGACGAAAGGAGATAGTAACTTGAGAAATCTTCCCAGTCAAAGAACGACTATTTATAGTTAACACACTATAAAAGAAAGAGAAATAGATAAGCTTATTCAACGCTTTGTCTAATCCGGAAACTCAGTGCATTCTAAGAGCAAACGGCTACAAGGGCAAACCGTGAACTCAAGACAAAAGTCGATTTGTTGACAAAAAAAATCTGACCTGAACTCTCTAAATTTTGATATAAAAGCGTACGTAAAAATATAATTGAAAATTTGCCAACCTGAGGACAGTCTTTGATATAATGACCCTTGCAGAAGCAAAGGTGACATAGATATCCCTCTGGTGGTCGTTTTGGTCTCTTCTTTTGCCTCTGAAGGAGTAGCGTGTTCTGTAAGCTCACAGCAAGACTTGAAATCTCGTCCTCATCGTCTAAAGACCAAGCTTGTTGCTCGTCGATGTACAAAGGTGAGTCGAGATCGTCGAGATGTTGGTAGAAATCCTCGGACAATATGTCTAGGTCATAATCTTCAACCTTGGCTGATTTGTAGAAATTCTAGAAACGAAAAAACGTGATATTTTCTTAAGGAGATCTGTAAGCACAAATATTTCCGGTGAAACGGGACTTGAAAAACCTCTTTATGTAAAGTTCGCAAATCAAATAATGGTAAAAGAGGGAATTAGAGGAATATAGCAGTACCGCCCAGACGAGAGGAGCCAATTTCCGCGAATTATAATGGTTTCTCACGCAAGATTATCAGGAAAGATAAAAAGTCTTAAACATTAGTAACAGGCATAGCATTCAAATTGGCCCTCCTCGTAAATATATCCATCAATTTTTTTGTCTCAGTGTGTTTAGGATCTATTTTTAGACCGATTTGTTCAAGCTGCAACATGTGTTGGCAACCGCGGCGGAAGGTATTCTTAGAGGAAAGTGCAACAGCAAGATGATTTATCGGCATTTCACATGGCTTTAAAGGAACAAGACCGTTGTATCTGTCTGCGGCTAAGATAAACCACGTGACATTCAATGACAGTTGTACGCAGAATTGTACAAGCCTAAAGGGCAAGGAATGCAAAAAATTTTACTTAAAAGTAAACCGAGCCGAAGGCGTCTAGCGAATTAAGTCTAAGTACTCTTGATTGTAATGAAACTTTGAACCGAGATCGTTCCGTGAAAAGTAAATTGGCGTGTACATAAGTGCCATGACGCGTATGAAAACAATGAAATGACAATCTTAACACGGAGAATCTGACAAGATCTTTATTATGACTTCCATCAGATGTGTATGTGTATTCATGGAAAAATAGGCAGTAGGCATGGAGGTCGAAGGAGGTCAAAATCATTTCACGAAACGCACTCAGACAGTGAGATCTGAAATCAATCAGACGTCGAAATAGTGAGGTTCGTTGTTCGATCGATGATTATAATAAAACGAAAAAACCGCAAGCTCGGAAAAGTGATACGCGTAGGAATCAACGAGTTATCGTACGAAACGTAGTGTCATAAGCTGAATTTCAAGAGCATCTGGCGAATGAAGACTTTTATGTCGATTGTGTTGTAATGAAATGATGAGTCACATCGCAAAAAATCTACAGGGTGCTAAGATCAAAGCGGGCATGCACCTCATGTTCTAGTCTGAATTAATCTTTGTTTATACGCCAACGCAATCTAACTATAGCTAAACTAAAGAAGATTGTGTGAAGAGCAAGTAAAACAACTGTTGTCGAATAGAAGGAGTTATAATTCGAACGGTAAATGATAAGCTTACCTTTTCGTTCTCGACGTTCGTGAGAAAGTAGTTTTGAAAGCTACTGGCTGGATGTGAAAAGAACGATGATGAAAGTAAAGTCGACATCCTCGGCGAATATTCTTCTTTGGGACAGGAAGGTCATTTACGCAATTGCAATAGCGGTTCGTGCAGTTAGACTATGAAATAATTTGCCTGACTTTTATACCCAATCGGTCGGGTTCCCCTGAGGCGGCACTTCCGGTAACTTCAGCCAATGAATTGGAGTGTTGTCTGTTTGAGATGTCATCAACACGCGCGCTCACTTACACCAGGAGACACCAAACAGTGCACTGTGAGTCCTCAGCTGGAATTTCAAAGCACAAGCTCGACAAACAAAAGCAACCACACAACCACAAATAAAACACTTCGCCGTAAAAGTCCAACGGAAATCCCTCAAAAGTTGTTGTCAAAAGACCTTACGGAGACCCAAAGTTTTCAGCGCGAAGATTCCATGAGGGCAGTCCATTTCAGTTTGTGCTGATCTCGTTTGAAAGTCGTTAATTGAATTAAAATCTGATAAATTTAACAGATCGTGTGTTTAACAGGGCCATGTCACGTTTCATTTGACTGAAGCATTTGTCGAATTGTTCTGCATTCATTTCAAACGTCTAGTCTTGAGCAATTATTTGCATTGCAAGTATGATATGCGATATTGGTAACCTTGCATGAATACCCGGGGCAAAACAATTCGATTTTCTTAACAGTGGGGGATATTCACAATCCGCTCTTGCAAGATTCTCACTTTATCGCAGAATTAACAGAGGCAAATCAACTAGAAAAGGAAGAACGAACAAAAAGTACTTGTTTTAATAATTTCCTTCCTGAGTATTACTGAAGAAGCTTTGTTTACCTTGCAAGAAGTCTTGCTGTTAAAAGAAAACATAAATTGCATGCAAAATTTTAATGGTACACTCCTTCATGATTAGTCTAGCTCAGCTTCTCAAATTGCACATATTTAGACAGCCATTTAAAGACAAAAAAATCACCCAGACGCAATTCTGCAAATCGACTTAACGTTAACTACAGTAGTTTTGAATTGCAATGGATTGCCTTCAAGAACCGTGCGATTTGCGGAAACGTTTCAAACTGATGACCTGAATTTTCTCGTTATAAAATGGATTAGTTTTAGTAAAAATGATTTCGGAGAAAGCGCAACAATTCGACGAGTGAAAATACACTGATTATAACACAGCTTTCACGGAAATGAGCTTTGCATGGGTCCTTGGAAAATACAACTCTGTTATCAGTCAAAACTGCGGCTTTGCTTGGTTAAACAAATCTTTCCCGCGATTAAATACGGTCAGAAACAGCAGATTACTTAGGAAGCACTGCCAGAGGAGAGAAATATTTCTTCAATCTTCCAATCTTTGTAAGCATAATACACGATAAGATGAAAAGGAAAAGAAACTCTCAGGTTTGATCTTGTTTTTATAGATTCGCCTTTTTCATGGTCAAGGCTATTGGCAACCCCGTTTTGGTTCCACGCTAACCGCAAAACCATATGAATTTTCAGTCAATCATTTTCCATTTAAAAACCTGTCTGCCTGGTTTTGGTTTCGATTTGAATCTCATGCCACTCTCGCCGACATTAGAGGAAATCCCCACAGGGTGGTAGTGTTAGACTGCTTTGTCACGTGCGTTATTTTTAGAGCGAAAATTTGAAGAAAATTTAATTTAAATATGGCTTGACCCAGTGCCAAAGAACACCCAACCAGAATGAATTACACGATACAATCCCGGAAATTCCCGGAAATTTTTAAACCATGTGATTCTCGGACTACTTAGAAGCATTCATCGGCTTTTTGACTTAAGCATATCATAAGGAATACAAGATTATCTGGCCCAAGACAAATGTTTTCCGCTATTGAGGGGTTGTTCAAACAGTGACATGAGCTAGCTTTGATTGGCGGAGAATCCCGTTTGGATGAACTGAAGAAAAAACAAAAATAAAGTGAAGATAGTCATTTGGAAAATAATAACATGAACATAGGGTCTTCGATGAAATCAATGGCAGCGTTGACAACTGATGATGCCCACAGATTTGTTGCGGTCGAGCTTCTATTTGAGTTTCATCTCCTCGCCATTTTCAACGAGACGAGAATACCTGGACACAGTTTTTCTTAAAACGCTCAAGTCTCAAAATTCCACCACCATCGAAGTCGTTCATTTCGCGTGAGTTTTTTGTTCGCAGAAATATTGATGTTTTCTTGCTGAGAGCCTCCTTGGAAATTTTGAGGTCTTCTGCTACCAAACTTCCGGAAGAAAACTCAGAACGAAGGGCAAGTGCAAACATCTTTTTTTTTTCTTTACGATTCAACAGATGTTAAATCGGATCCTTCTCTACCACAAAAAAAATTAATCTCGTAAAGTTTATGTTAAATAGGGAGACATTTGTTTGCTCCATCAGAGAGTTGATAAAATTAAAAGCCAAAATACTAAAGAACAATGATTTTCAAGAGGAATAAAAAAATCTCATTGGTGAGGATTTTTGAGCACTCATGCACAGGTAGCCGGGTAAACTTACAAACTAGCGATCATTTCTTAAATTCTGGAGCACAAATGGGGAGAACTTATGCTTGCATTTGATCCAAACGCTTTGAACTCTTCGATGACCCGAAAACCTTGACTTTTATAAAGCCATTTGCGACATATTTCGTAAAAAAAAAGATTCAAAATTTGGCTCAGAACTGAATTTCCAGAGGTTACGATGCACTTGACCTTGACCTTGAGATTTTTTCCTTTTGTTTTTAAGAATATCACAGAAAAACATCTGAGATAGCTTATAGAATTTGGGTTAGTTAAGGATATAGCCTCGAAAATTTATCCTTTATATAGAAAAGAAGACACAACTGAATTGCAACAAATTTGACCTTACACTGTTCGAATAATTCATGGCTTGTTTATTATACCTTGCGAAACAATGACGAAGGGCTTAAGCTCGAAACTTCAGCTTTGAAACTCTTTATTGGGGCCAACCTACGTCATCGACCGAGTTGATAATACCGGATTACCTTGTTATACTCTCCCAACGACGCAGCACCACAGTTTCTTTAGAAACCTGCCCCACTTTGTTCATTTGGCATTAGCAAGTCTGTTTCCTATTTTAGTAATCCTTTCCATTTTTGACCCAAGATATGGTTTTCTTTTTCAGACAGATGAAAAAATTCGTGTTAATTTAACCTTGCTGTTAAAGCTACGGATGGCGGGCACATGTTTTGGGCCTGCAAATAATTTGCCACCCAATAATCAAATTTAGCATTGATTAAAAACGTTTCTGTCTTGTATAATGGCCGCTTTCGCGCTATGTAGAGTTATACATAACAGTGTTTTTTTTTCTTATCCGCTACACGCATTCACCGGAATACTGCCAATGATTCGTGTTGTTGTTGTTGTTTTTGTTGTTGTTAGATTTTGACACTCAAATAATATGTGCGCGCTCCTCCCGTCGCTGTGCCATGGTCATGAAAAGCGGCTACAGGTCGGAATAAGACGGATTTCCTGCGATCTACAACACCTTGCCCAGCAGCTGAAATCGTTTAATAATCTAATAACCTCTGTTTGCGCTCAACTGATAAGCTATCATGCACAATTTTGCGATGGAGGAGGGGGAAGCGTCATACTTTGCGCTCTATGTTCTTTTAGTGGGGTAGGGAGAGGGTGTATTTTCTCCAAACCCCTTAGGTTAACCGTAACCAACCTTTTCCACACTCGTGATTTATCAAAAAATCTATTGCCTCGTAACTAACCTCAAAAGGTTGGCTCAAAAAATCATGTCTTAAATGTTGAACAGAATGAATAATTGTTAGAAACCTTTTTTTGAAAGCCTTTGCGAGTTAAAAATTGTATGAGTTGACAAACTTATATATTATTTGCTTTCGAGACTAAAGTGATTAAAAACCATGCCTTAGAGTACAAGTCATTTTTCTTTCCTTAAATAAACTGTCGCCCGATCGCAAGTCAGTCGCGAGTCAGAGGAAATTGATGCGTGGGAGAAAATATTTCCTGCTCGAACTCGGATGAGCGAGACGCACGAAAGGCCCACGGTTTTTTCTCTCTATTTTTTTTTTTTTAACTCAATCAACCCGCACGTACGTTTTTTTTCACTCAATCAACTCGCACGATAGATTACGTAAGGAAGAAGGAATCGCTCTAAGTCCAACAGAAGCTTTCTTTTAAAAAAGTTAAAACGCAAGCTGTCATTCAAGCGCAGAAAGCGACCGTGTGTAGATATTTTGCAGGGTTTACAAAACGCCAAAGGCAAAGGATGTGGTGTTTAATATCTTCTTGAGTGTGAGCCAAATCTGTCAAATCTGGTTAGTCGCGTCAACAGTGACTCGGCAAATCTATTTTTAACAAATGCCTTCTCCATAAAATGTTTCGATCCCCATCACCCTCCCGAAAAGAAAAGGAGAGGGAAAAATGAATTATCTCGGAAAGCGCAAGGAAAAGGAAACGCCGAGGGGGTGCGCTTTCCCTATTTTGGTATTATCTTCTTAACAGAACACATCCGATAAAACAGACAGGCTATAAAATCAGATACAAAAACTTCTTATTCAAATGAAAGTGTTTATCATCTGCCCTTGACACTATTAAGAATATGAACTTCTTTAGAGTTAAATGGTGAACGAAAAAAAACGAAACATTTTATGGGAATAGCCAAAAACGTCTTAACAGTACTACAAAGTTCGAGTATTTCCTGTCACTGTGCAACAGGTTAATTTAAATACAAGTCTAAGTAAAGTAATCAAGCAAAGAATGGCGTAAAGATTTAACATACTTACATTATTGTTTACCAGTGGAAAGATGCGTCTCACATGCATAGCACTGATTGTTCACTCCAATTCTTCACATTTTTGGACAACAAAACTGACAAAATTACCGGAACAGGTTTGACTTTAATTTTACAAATTATTGCCATAACTTGGCCAGTGGTTAAAAAACATCCACAACAACTTCTTTCAAGGTACTATGTGCGTCAGAGACTACTTTGTTACTCGACTAAACGGCATTCTTACCTCAGAGGGGTATAGCGGCTCCTGGAGAGGGGATGGAAGGGCACAGAGTCGACATCTCCCGGAAAGTTCTTCAAGAAAAAACTTGGCAAGTTTATCGAATTTATTACGTGTTATAATCTGTGAACCATTAATACGCAATGACAAACATTCAGGACAGATCAAGATGCCCTCATTAAGGTCAGAAAGATCTCTGTTTCCGATCATTTGGATCTCCGGTTCCTCCCAGTTACTGGCTTTAACCACGCATCGTATACAAACTAATTGCAATTGGCCTCTTATCTATCATGTAACATATTTCTTCCACATCGCTTGTCAGAGTAGTCATTCAGACCCATATCTTCACGCCAGAACAAGGCAGTGTTCATTGCTTACATGATAACATAATATTACTGGGTATATGTCTTTGTCATCACCACACGTACGAACTAACAATCTGTTATTTTTAGGAAGTACTTAAGGCAATTAAAAATGTAAACAGTCAAATCATAATACAAGTATTTTTTTGCGTATCTCCTCGCGTGACGCATGTAAAATCAGTGATACATCCGTTCATACCTCCCAAGAGATATCTGCCCGGTTCTCAAACTTCGTGCGCAGTTTCCGACCACCTGGAAGTTTTAACAGTGAGTTATTTGACGGAAATATTTACAGCTTGTTCAACTCCACCATAATCGTCAACAATTAGCTTTGTATCTCGAAAGAGGACGCTGTTTAAATCGCCATTTCTATTCGTAGAAGGAAACAAATGTGCAAGGATTCTCAACAACTGATCAGCGCAGGCAAAATGTTTTCCCGACTTAGCTCGAGAGTGCGCCCCATTTGCCTAAAGGTCACTACTCTGTTTTGCGAAAAGTAAACGTTCGGATCGAGTAAGAAGAGAGCGGGAGATTTTTACTCACTGCCAAACTCTTGTCGTTTCGTATAATGTTGTCAGAAAAGACAGCTAGGCAAAAGAATGGCATCTATAGCACTCAATGTTGTAAAATTAAGTTGCAACGATAAAAGGGACTTGACATCTATGCTTTTAAGACACGGTACAAGAGATAAAATGAAATAGTACGATTAAACTGTCTTGGACCTTTCCACGTTTTCTAGATTGGTCGTAATTATTACACAAGATTATTTTGGCTCACTTTCAATTATTACACAAGATTACATTGGCTCACTTCTTACCGGAAGTGGTCTAAATCTACATGATCTTTCCCCTTTCACCGGAGTTGTCAACAGTAACTACAAACAGTACGTGTGTGATTTAAATGGTACGACTTATCGTTTAGTTCACTGACCCGGTGACCGAGCAATCCAAATTCCATCTCCGGTTGGGGTCACCGTGTTGAGTAAAACGTAGTCAACACATCAAGTGTAGCTTGTGCCCAACCCACTGCCCCCGGTTATTTAATTAACAAATATATTTTATTTTGCTGTCTGTTCTGCAAATTAATCATAGGTACTTCGAACTCTATGACTGAGTTGTTGATCCACCAAAGTACAAACGCCTGACTAACATTACAAGCCTTGCTTTCCATGCTGACGTCTCCGCATTCATATTCTCCACACCGTTCTCTTTAAATGTTTTAAGGGTCCTAACAAACATTTTTTTTTGTTACAATCAGGAGCTTCACTAAATGGTGATCATTTCCTTTACGTCATAAACTTAACAGTTGGTTCAAAGGTGATACGGACAATATAGGAGCCAGACACTCATGTGGTTTCTTAGTTCTTTCTATATACAAAAACCTTGAATAATGTTTGCAGAACTCTTCTGCATCGGGTGAAGGTACGAAGAACAGAACTTATCGAAAAAAATTAAGGTGGCTCTCAACCTACACTAAAAAGAAACGCAATTTATTTTGACTTGCAAATAAAGCAATAAAAAAAACACACGGACATGTAATTGTAACCGTAAGACGTAATGGAGAAAGCTCCTAAATTCATTCATTTTGCCTTTCCGTTCAAAGCCGATGACATGATTTAATATTTATATTGTTTTTACAGAATCAATAATTGTAAGACTCTGACAAAAGCAGTGACACACTCGCTCCTGACTAGTACCTCACTTATTTATTCCCATCACAAACTTTTTTGCATAAACATTACCAAGCCTAAAATGGATGGTAATAGATAACAAACAACTACCCTAAAGCTTTCACTAAGGAGAAGAGAGAAGACCTCCACAAGGAAGGCATTATAGAAAGGGAGGAATTATACAGCATAGGGACTCACCAAACTGTCCACAGTATCTATTACCCCTTTACACCCATACATCAGCATACATATTCTCCATACAGGTCTCTAGACATTTACCATGGTGCTGACAAGAATAATTTTTTTTTTTAACAATCACAAGTTTCTTTAAATGGTGCTCATTTCCTTTATTCTTGTGTCCTTGATGTGTGATTCAGGAGCACTATTTTAAGAAGAAAAATTAGATACTAGTACTCTTGGCAGTCAAAGGTTAAAACAGCACACACAATAGTTTCTTTTAATTTTCTAATTGGTGAATTTACAAATGAAATCTAAAACAGTCATATACTTTCAAGTAGTTCATCTAAAAAAATCTTACAAAGCAACACCAGCTGGTGTACCAAAGAGTCACTTCTCTCTCTTTTCAAATGTACATAAAATTACATTCTATTTTCTGCTGATAGTCTTGCCTGTGTACGCATCCTCCCAACCATTAACAACTCTATTCCTATTTCACATTTTCTTTCAGGTAATTGAAAGTGCACAGGCCAACAAAATCTCACTGAATTGTTATTTAGTATTTTATAACTCTGAGGAGTCATCATTTACACACTTTAATTCAAACCAAGATAAGGTAATTTAATTATTTTCAGAGGGTAGTACATCTCTGCACACTCCATGCAAAAGGTTTAAGATTTTTTAAATTCCATTCAGTCTTTTGCTCTGTTTTTTTTTTTTCAAAAAGAGTGTATAGCAAAACTAGATGTGTAACCTACTGCGTTTGTGCCATTCCAAGAAAAAAAAATGTCTTTTTGCATCAAAGGTGAATTGAGAGAAAAAATGGGGTTTGTGTGCTATACTTAAGTGGAAAGTGAATATTTAAAAAAACCTTGCCAAAATTTCTTTAACAAGACTGACACAATTGCTTAATTTCCAACCCTCTCATGGGAAGCTGTTAATTGTTCCTAAGACAGTAACTTTATTAGGAGGTTTTATAATAAAACCCCATCATTCCTTGAGTAAGAGAGGTGGATCTCAATACAAGTAGTATCTGAGTAAGACACTTAAAAATTGTACAAAACACTAACTTACCTCTTAGTCTAACATCTCTGATTGTGTTGGTTGAACTATGAGGTAGTGTTCATTGACAAGTAAAATAAATTATATATTGCACTAAAATGCCTTGAAATTACAGTGATTTATCTTAATATTCAAATTATGCCAGCAAGAATCATGAAAAGTATTATCACTGATTTTGCTGTGGCTTGTATGACAAGATACTGCGAATCACTGACTGCTGTGACTTGATGGACTGGTGACTAGGAGGCCTGATGGCAGCAGGTTCCAGGCACTCAGCAGGTGGAACATACACACTCTGCTGAGACTGGGGCCGAGCAGAGTGTCGTGATGCTGAGGCTCTCTGATGTGTAAACACTCGAGGTGAGGAGCGGGACTGGAGCCGACTTCGAATCTCTTAAAAAAAAAAGACATTTCTTGTGAGTAAGTGAGTCTCATGGTAGAATTGAAAACTGACAACAGAAATAACTAGAGAGATCTGATAGCTATATATAACTAGATAACTAGATCTGTGTGTTATTGTCCTGAACTAATGAGCTTTTCTACCTTCAATTTCTGCTTCTGCTGTCCCAGGCCTTGGTTTGCTCTGTTCAATCAATGCTTCTTTCTTCTTCTCCGTGGCAATAAAGGGTGAGCTGGGTTTACATCCAGGACTTGTCCATTGATATTGAGTATAGCCCTGGGAGCCTGCTGACCGGGGTGTCCTAGGAAAATTATCATAATTTAGCACAGGAGTTGATCATGGCAGAGAGAGAAGTCAACTGAATGACTTTCATTACAGTGGTATAAGAGCACTAAGTGGTAAAAAGTATGAGTTAGGATGATTAAGCATAGAATTTGATTACAAGGAATGAAAATGAGAGTGAAAAGTAGTACTTTGTGGCTAAAAAGGAGGTGCAGTTCTGATGGACTTCTTGTCTTACTGGGCGATATGGTCATAGTTAATAATCTCTGCACTGTGAATGTACATGTATGAATCACTTTAAATGTTTCTAGGAAAAGAAAAAAGTGAAGAGAGAGAGGTGAAGTGAAATTTTCTTTCTTTAATTCTTTAGTGATGTCCACATGGATAACCACACTTCTAGGATAAATAAACTTCCTCAAAAATTTTCAGAATGAGGACAATAGAAACAGTTAATAAAGAACTTGAGTGTTGGAAAAGTATTTCCCAGAATTAGCTTGCATCAGGACAGAAGATAAACAAAAAAAGAGGAATAGAAAAACCTTTTGTTGCCAAAGAAAAGCCCTGTAGAGTCAAAGAGAAGCTTTGGGCCACTGGGTAAGAAATAGATGGAACCCAAAATCTGTGACAGAATAGAAAAACAGAAAAAAAGGTTTATGAAACAAGCAGTGAGACTGACAGACTGAAGTAAGAAGTGGGCACACAGTTAACACTTTGACACCTTACAGTGACTAGCATTTAGTTTCTCCCTACAATATCAGCCCTGAGTCAAATGTGAAGGTCATGAGAATAAAAGACATGATCTAAAGATTCCCTTGATTATTCAAAAAATTCTCCTTGTCAGCACCTCAGGAAATGTACAGATAACAGTATGGAGAATGTGCATACTGATGTTAGGGTGTAAAGGGTTAAATTAAAAGGCTGCAGTCAGGGAGGAGAGTAAATTCATATGGCCAGAAAACAGTAATGTCTTACACTTGCAAAGCTGCTCAGGCACTCCTTTTGGTTTTTAAATCTGATATGTCAATAAAAAAAAGTTCAAAATCTCAAGATCAGAGTGCCTTTCATTTAAAGCAAAAACAGGTATATTTCCCATAAGACTCAAACTGTACATTTAAAGATAACACTGAGACCCATGAATGTCCATAGAAATTATACCACATGTTGACTGCCTCTAAGACACCAATTCATAGAAATGATAAAAAAAAAAGGTAAAGGCCTATATATATGCACACTTGAAGAAATGAAAACCAGACTGAATGGTTCATATCATGTCTGAGAAACAAAGGATCATTAATGGCAAGCATGCCTACAGCAGTTGTTACTAATATACTTGATCTAGTCATTCCCTCCCTCCCCCCTCCCCCTCCACCATTAATAAATGGTATAAAACATCCTAGCATGGTCCTAAATACCATTTTGATGCAGTTGGTGTTAAATCTCCAGCTGAAAAAATCCTGGATAACTAACTGACAGTCAAAAACTAGAGATTTAATTATTTACACTATACTGTGCAGGTCCTTTAAAGTTCGGGTGGAAAGACAACAATGATCTGTTACCTTGGTTTCTCTGCTTCTTCTTTCTCTTGTTTCTTCCTCTCCAGCTCTTCTCTCTCCTTTCTTTTAGTTTCATTATACTTCTGAATCTCATCCAAATCAAGGCTGGACTCATGTTGTAGCAGCTGATCATCATACATTACAGACTTAATTGTTTCATTAAATCCTTCTCTGTACTCATTATCAGATGTGCACACTGCACGGATCATGTCCAGAACAATTTCTTTTTCTGTGTGATCACAAAGCAAAGGAAACTTTAGTCATCACTTAGATACATGTAAGATAGGAAAGAGCAATTCTGCAAATGCAACATTGGAGTAAATCTAAAGTTAGTGTTTAACCCTTTAACTCCCATGAATGACCAAGAGAGAATTTCTCCTTACAAAGTCTATTAAATTTCAAGCAGAAGAGAGATGAGAATAAAGAAAAATATCAATTAGGGGATTATCACTTGATCCGATATCAAATTCTCAGAACTAACACTAAAAGAATTGTATGGTAAACAGTACGGATAATCACTAATGTAATTGTGGGAGTGAAAGGGTTGATAAAAGCATAATTAAATCACATGATAAATCACATGTTTTTTGAAGACAAGTAAAACTTTGTATCAGACACCCTGTTTGCCTGACAGCACTATTTAAAGCCACCTTAACAAAATCCTATATTCAAAACCCTTTTCCAGATAAGGGGCTTGACAGCAAGATACAAGATGCAGTCAACTTGCAGCAGACTAATCTAAGATCTTTTTCAAGCATCTGGGCTAACCATGAAAATTTGAGCTTTGATCAATCCAGCCTCTTAGCTTATAAAGGTAGACAAAATTTAAAAACTTGATCTTTTAATCTATTCTATCTGAGCAGAGTGTTTTTTGGGGCTAACACCAATTCAGTTTGAATTACCAAATTTACATACAATTCAAAACACCCCATAGCTAACATGTTAGAGTAAATTTTAATTAGTATTGTAGCTTTTACTGACAGTTTCATAGCTAATAATTCCTTGCCTTCAATTTTTTAACTTAAAGATTAAAATGCACATTTAAGGTCAACAGTGAATCAAGGAGTCTGTGAGACACCTTATGGATGAATTTGTATTGACTAGACTCAAATTGACTATAGCGCTCATGCTCTGGACAAAACTAAAGACTTAATTTGTCTAACTACCATTGCAGTGATCATAAACTTAAACCAAGGACACTATGATAGTTTACGATCATGAGAATAAGGTTAAATTCCCATGTCTTAACCCTTTAACAGCCTCTCCATGAAAAGTATGCCACCCCACTTTGAAAATTTGTTATGGTCATACCTCTTTCAGGAGCATGGACTAACCATGATTTTATATCATCAGGATGGGTTGGTCGGAGAATGTTAACCAACATGTTGTACATCTAAAAAGACATAAAAAAGAAAAGACATACATTGTGAATATTTCAGCAATATTCAAATGCTTTCCATCCATTATACTTTGTAGTAATCCTTGGAGTAGAGATGGAACTGCAAAGGGGAGAATTGTCCAGCTATTCAGACTTCTCACCCCATTAGATTTGTGGGGTTTTTATTTCTTGTCTGACATCAAGACTCTTGGAACAACAAGATGGCATGCTGATGCTCAATATCAAGTACTAAAAATTACATTTTCTATACTAAACATTTCTCTGCCTTCTTACAGTACAACTAAGATTTAACCAAACACGTGTAATAAGCACATAAAAATGGATAAATAAAAATGTTTAAATTTCTATTTGCATGATATTAATGATAAATTGTCTCCACTAAGCTCTATGTATTGCTTTATTCTATGCCAATTTTCATAACCAAAAGTACATGAGAGTTTTTTTTTACCATGATTCCCTTATAACCTTAAAGATAACTTCACAGCTACAAGGAATATATAAAGGAAAAACATTTTGCACATGCTAAACACCCTAAATGAGATCAAATAGTTTGACAGCTCACAGAATAATTCTGTGAGCTGCAAACTTCAAGCCTGGTCACAAGCCTCTCTGCCAATTTGTATGGGAGAGGTACATTCAACCTTCCCACCTACATTGGAAACGAGAGAATTGATAGGGAATGCTTTTAGTCACTTCCACTATGTCTTGCATGTATTAGGAAAACTAGTGAGATCATCTATACTTGATTACACCCTTGTGTACCCTGAGTGTGACATAAAGATCATAAACCCAATAAATCCATTTCAGTACAATATTGCACTGGTTATATAGAGATGCATCACTTTGATTGACATTCACCATGACTTCTGCACATAATTTTTGAATAATACTTACAGTCAGATCACTATCAGTATCTGCAGCAATGTGCTGCAAGGGAAGTTCTGTTCGCAGTACAGATGGCCTGCCTCCCTGTCTGGACTCTCCCAACCTCGATGGTGGCTTCTCGCCATTACGTGACGGGGGAATTTCCCCATTTCTTGATGGTGGTTTCTCTCCATTCCTTGATGGAGGAGGAAGCATACCACCTCTTGATGGTGGAGGTCTCTCCCCTAGTCTTGATCCCTGCCTCGATGGAGGCACTTGATAACTTGCAATGTTGGTGTAGCGGCTTTTGCTTTTAAGGCCAGAAGCTTCTGTAAGTTTCCTCAACTCCTCTCGCCAGGTTTCTGTTATTGGAACTGCAGAGTAACAATCATCATAATTGTTAGTGGGGTTTTATGGTCATTACCTTGAAGTTTAATGCATGGTAATATGACCTGGTGGAGTCCTAATCAGTCTGTCTGTGATAAACAAACTTGGACTGCAATGAAGTTAAAGGTTATTTGTTAATTACAACTAAGATTGAAGACAGAGTTTGACAATAAAAAGCCCCGTTACTGATCATTTAAAAATACATGTAATAAAACTTTGGAAAAACAAAATCCTGATCTGTCAATCATGTCCATAAAAACAAACATAGCAGTTGACTTTTTTCCTTCAGAAAATAAGCCCAGTAGTCTATCATACAGTTCACTCAAATGACGCCTTCCATAGAATTTCACAAGCAAGACACATGGATTGACTTCCAAGCTCTTTGGAGTAATACCACAAGGCTTGGGAGAGGGGGAGAGGAAAAGTAGGGAAGGAGGGGGAATATAAAAAAAAGCCTTGTCAGATTGAGGGATTAATTACTAACCCACAAGGAGCCAGGGAGAGAGACATATCTTAATCTGAACTGTCATGAAGCTTGATAACTATTTAAAACTAGCATCCTTGTTTTGGCTGAAACTCTTCAATATTTAAAAATTATAGGAAATAAACAAGGCTTTCTGATGCAAATTGTCTAATCAAAATATAAATGCATCACCCAAATTAAAGGATAACTACAAAATATTGTAGGATAACCATTTGTATAGTATTTACTATTTCGCCCTAATTTTGGTTAGCAGTTTCATTTAGGTGAAGAGAATGGAGAAGAAACAAACAAGAAACTAAACACTCTTGACAGGGGGGAGAGGGGGGCAAGGGGAAATTCAAGAGACCTAAACTTTAAACAAGGATCTCCTTGAAAACTTATCAATCTAGACAGGGTTTACTAACAGAGGAGGGCCTTAAAACTTGAATCTTTACTCAGTTAGGGAAGAGGCTCTCTAGAAACTTGAAACACTGGAGGGAAGTTGTTTAAGAGGAAGGTGCATCTAATTCTGGAATCTCTATATGGGGGTTGATAGGAAAAAGGAAAAGCCTGACTGTGAGCCCCTTGTAGCAAAGTAGTGTCAAAGTTCTAGGCCTGCACATAAGATGGGATCTAAAGTGGAATATAAGCATACAGAAAAGGCCTCTAATAAAGAGAGGGATTGTTAAAAACTTGAAACTCTAGACGGGAGCTTAAAAAAGAGTAAGGCTTAATAGAGACTTGACACTCTTTAAGAGTACATTCTCTGAAACTTAAAACATAAGACAGTGGGGCCTCTAAGAGAAAAGACTAGTTATAAACTTGACATTTTACACAGGGTTGTTAAAGAAAGAACAAATTAGAAAATTGAAACACTGGACAGGGGGCCTCTAAGAGAAGGGGCTTAATATAAACTTGACATTTTACACAGGGTTGTTAAAGAAAGAACAAATTAGAAAATTGAAACACTGGACAGGGGGCCTCTAAGAGAAGGGGCTTAATATAAACTTGACATTTTACACAGGGTTGTTAAAGGAAGAACAAATTAGAAAATTGAAACACTGGACAGGGGGCCTCTAAGAGAATGGGCTTAATATTAACTTGACATTTTACACAGGGTTGTTAGAGAAAGGACAAATTAGAAACTTGAAACACTGGACAGGGGGGCCTCTAAGAGAAGGGGCTTAATATAAACTTGACATTTTACACAGGGTTGTTAGAGAAAGGACAAATTAGAAACTTGAAACACTGGACAGGGGGCCCCTAAGAGAAGGGGCTTAATATAAACTTGACATTTTACACAGGGTTGTTAGAGAAAGGACAAATTAGAAACTTGAAACACTGGACAGGGGGCCTCTAAGAGAAGGGGCTTAATATAAACTTGACATTTTACACAGGGTTGTTAGAGAAAGGACAAATTAGAAACTTGAAACACTGGACAGGGGGCCCCTAAGAGAAGGGGCTTAATATAAACTTGACATTTTACACAGGGTTGTTAGAGAAAGGACAAATTAGAAACTTGAAACTCTAGACAGGGGTTGTCAGAGAGAGATTATTAGAAACTAGAAATGCCACATGAGGGCTGTCAGAGAAAGGCTTATTAAAAACTTGCAACTGTATTGATAGGGGTTATTACAGGAAGGAATTCTCTTTAGGAACTTGAGGCTTTAGACAAGGACACCAGCTAAAATGTAACGGAAGGAAATATAACTTTTTTGTGATGTTTAATTCAATTCTGTAACAATCTTGAACATTTCTGTCGTTTTTAACATTTGCAGTGCTGGTCAATTGAAGTCAATGATTATATACCTTTAGAACAGAATCTAATTAGATTAGAACAGAATTAAAAATATACGTTTGGGATGGTCAAGTTAAAACGGATAATCTTTGCGATTTACATAAAGGTTTTGGTTAATTCTGCAAACATTTTTAAAAAATGCTATAAAACGTGTACTTAAGAGTTAAAATGAAAAGATAGGGTATTTGTAGGAAAAAAAGTTGTTTTTTTTCTCCTAGCTTAACTAAAATTGAAATTTATTTCAAACAAGAAAACGAAATCATTAATAGTAATGAATTAAAGTCCACAGAGTGGCAACTGGTTTGTTTTTATAATTCCGAAGTTATTAAAACTCAGTACATTATGACGAAGATATAGATAGAAATGCAAATAATTAAAAAAACACAAAATAATGGTAAAGATTAAAACTGTTTGTTCTATGTGCTTATGCTGGACAGAGTATTTTAATTAAAACTTCCACGGCTATTAGCAAATTAAAAGTTAGAATTGGCATTGACAGCAACCTTGACGATTGACGTGCAATTTTGTCGAACGAGAGTTTCCATGATGACACGAATTTGCGAAGCAAAGAAAGACTCAAACAAAGCAATAAAAGCACTTAATTCTATTTGCCTTTCGTGATTTAGCGGATGCATTTTCAACACAATAGCATTTTAGCTATTTCTCTACCTGAATTTAACACAACCGTTCGTTCCCAGAACAACAAAGAAATTGCACCTGAGGAATTATCAATTATCATCTGATCCAAAGTGGCTCAAAACAATTTATCGTTGCTAAGTGCGATTACAACATCATTATCATGGGTTAAAAGTAAAAAAGGTGGAATGAAAGGCAGTAAAAAATCTTACCTAAACCAACGGATGGGACGGCCTTTTCTTTCACACTGTCTAGATTGATTGGTAAGTGCAAACCATGGCTGGATTTCAAAGGTCTCTGCCGCATTTGGTCGATGGTTGGTGTCCCAACGGTAGGTGTACAAACTGTATAATCGATCACAGTGCAAATTGGGACATCTAAAAGTCCTTTAAGATGCCTCACTCTCTGTGGATGAGGGTTATGCCTCGCAAAAAATGGATTTTTGCTGTTTCTGTTTGGAAAGCTACTTGTGCTTAGCGACGATTCCGACCTACGAGGCCATGCGTATCGACTTGTAAGAGGCATTTTGTCGTCGAAATTTTCTTGAATTGTTCCCCGCACAAGAAGTTGCTGGCCTCCGCTTGGTGTAAACGTAGGCATAGCTTCCATTCCTTGATTAAAACGGGGTTATACAAGTTTTTTGGCTGGATTCAGGAACCAAAATGCCTTCGACGTGTTTTCAGTGAAATGAAGTTCGTATCAGATAACAAGTAACACGGTGTAATCATTCCAGGAGTTCTAATTGGCTGTCACGTCGCTATGGATACGTAAGTTAAACGCCACATTGGCGCCATTTTGTTCAATCAAATTTTCCTTAATTCACATTTTCTCGGCTAAAAGCACCTGGCGCCTGGTGCCTGGCGCCTGGTGCCTGGCGCCTGGCAAAATGAAACAGAAGAGGTGATATTAAAAATGAAAGGGTGCTTTTCTAGAGCAAATATAAATTTCCTGTGTATTTCAAAATTCTAGGGCTTAATTTTCAGCACAAAGTTTTAGAAGGTCTGTGACTGTTAATTTACAACAAAAGAGAATGTCTTTTGTCTTCCATGACAGAGAACTCATTAACAGGTTGCGTAATCGCTCCAACTGGAGTCAACAGAAATCGGCGGAACCATTATTATCTCCGCGCAATGTGAATTCTGGAGGAAGAGGCGCGCGAAATTGTTGTTTTTGTTAAATTTTTCCGCATTCAGAATTTATTCAAGATTTTCTATTTGTGAAGAAAGGTACCAGCTCAGCAGAAATGAACAAACTCGTATTTTGCATTGGTGAGGAGTGTTCAGTAACTAATAATTCTTCTTATTAGTTACTGAACACTCCTCGCCTATGCAAAATACGAGTAAAATAACTTGACAAGCTCCACCCTGTAAATTATATTAGTAAACACTGGTTAAACGTCATCTGATGGCAATAACTACCCGAAGTTACCTTAACATGTTTTCCGTGAAAATAATGCACGTGAATTCATGATCTGATGAAGACACTTGCCCGGGAGACTCTGGCTGAGAACACGGGAGAAGGGAGACGATCTGCATCTTAATAGCACTCTAGCACTCTTTTGCTCCATCCTTGACAGGCAAAACGAGAAAAAAACATACAAGTCCTTGATGAACTATATTACAGCTGGAGAACATTAACTTCGGTTTCTTATCAGACGGTTCGAGAGGTACTCATTCTCAGAGAAGTCAAGAACTTCCTGGGAGGAATCTTCTTCGTATTTCAGATAATATTTCATCGAATGTTGTTGTTTTGTTTTGCTTTCTCTGTTTATATGCGATATTCCATTAGTCAAGTAACTTCTTTCCTCAGAACCCAAAAGCAGCCAGTTTAGCAGTTATCTGTAGCGTTTGTCAATTATAATGTTAAATTTTATGTCTGAGATGAAGACATACCTGAGGCAAGTTAACGGCGAACTTCGGAAGCACCTGCAGTCGTACTCTCTTGACATTTTTTTAGGAGTTTAATAAAACCACGATGGCAACGGGGACGTCACCAAACAAAAGGTTTAATGAGTATAAAAATGGCTGTGCACGTGCGTTAAAAATTTTTGTAGATTTCTCTGCGTCCTCTGCAAATGACCAAACTTTGCGTCGTCTGGAGAACGTGAACAACACTGGCTAATTTTTTATATTTCTATTAGTAATTTAACGCTGTGTTCCTTATTCAGTTTCGAGACAGTTTTGACCGTGAAAAACAAACTAAACTACTCCATAGAGTATCGCGAGATTCGTAGGTAAAATGAAGGTTCACTTTTTAACCGACGTTGTCCACGGCGTCGCCGTCGTTGCTTCTTCTACCCCTTATTAGCGTTCGGCAGACTCCTGAGCCCTTGCGCCATACTCTGATTGGATAAAACGAAAGTCAGAAACTTCGAAGAGAAATTGACCAAACATTTTCAACCACTCTTATAGATAAGCCCCTCTTTCACCTGTGGCATTATGAGATAATTACGAACGACTCTAAATGATTTCTACCTCCAGCTGAATGCCATTAGCTAATAAAAACCTTTCCGCTGTATTCATAAATTTCCTCTTGCGCACTGAGGGGTTTTCTATATTATTTTCATGCTGCTTTTTTGTCGCTGAGGAAAGCGCTTAGCTCTATTTACATTGGTTGAATTAACGTTCGATCGCTAAGTACCCACTTAATACATTACGAATAACGTAACTAGAATTGCTTTACCAGAATCATATGCACAATTTTTAAGTTTTATCAACTAAATTATTCATAGTCGTTGGTTTTTCGTTTTTTCTTTACATTAATTTTTTTGCCTTGTTTTGTTTTTTCACTTTTTATGACCACTATGGTAATTTTTCCGAATTTTCCTGGCAACATTCAACGCCAAATTTCACGAAACATTCTAGTGGAAGAAACTAAAAAATGATTGACGCAATAAAGCTTTGTTTTTGCTACAAAACAGCTTTCAGGTTAATCAAGCGAGCCTTTTGTTAAAAAAAGGATTTTGGTCTACCTCAAAGACAATCTAAATTAAACTATTGTGGGTTAGTGAAGTGTTAATGGTACCCAGTGAATACGTTTTCAGAAAGCTTCGCGAACAAGGAACTCGCACAAAACACAAAAGTCTTATGAAAGGGTTACTCCTGGAACAACCTTATTTAACATCAATCGGTTCAATAGAATTCAGAACTTTTTTTCTCCAAGGTGAAAATTTCACCTAACTGAACTGTAAATAACTAAGCTAAATTGGATAATTTTCCTTAAGGTAGCATTTTTTACGGTATACTTAAGGAAAGCACAAGATGAATTGTTCGGTTGCGGTATAAATTTTGATAAGTCGGACAGTATCATCTGATTTTGACATGATCAGTTACACACACGATCTGTTGCATAAGAAGAGCACATCACTTATTTTCGAGTGCTCCATCTTCAACTTGTCAAATTTCAATTTCGTTTTTTTACCAATTAGCAACAACTATTTCATAATTGCCCGAATGATAATTCGCCTCTGTGACCGGTTCGTCCGATATTTCTATGGTGTTTGATTCTATGGAACAGCCGATCACGAGAGAACTCTAAACACAAATATATCTTGCATTATTTGCGCGAAGCACAAGAAAAACAGACTTTAGGCTGGTTGACTGAGCATACTTAAGCCTTAAATTGCAAAAGGTGGCAAAGTTATGAATCGTGCAACGGTTATAATATTTTAAACAGACGCTATTGGCGTTTGATGCGACAATCAATCAATTACTAGAAAAGGATTTAGCCTTCACTGAATTGGAAATGAATAATGTATTTCTATGTTTGCCTGACAACTTTCTTTGCCTTGCAGATGGTGAGATTGCAAGAAGGCCTTTGACGGGTAAAGAAATAATTTCTTAAATGGAATGTTTTTAATGCAGTGATCCTAGATTGATGGATGAAGTCCCTAAATTCTTATCATCACGTTTGGAATCCAGGTTTTTATCAATCAGTTGGCCAATTGATGAACAAAAGTACGTGGCCATATGTTTCACGACATGTATAATTTCTCTTTTTAAAGTGAGACGAAAACTGTTTGATTCAAGAAACGCTGTGGAAATCACGTAATTTTGTGCGCATCTGAGACAAACTTTGTCTTTCTTGTCCTTCGGGAAAAATCACCACAGCTCCGTAAAAATGACGGCGACATTGAAGTTTCAGCACACAAGACAGTCGTTCAGGTTGTTTATTTTGTTACTTATTTTGGTACTGTACACATGTGTTTGTGCCGTCGTCTTTAACTCTCTTGAAGTAGCTAACGACAAACTTCAGTACGAGATATATCAAGGAAAGAAAAAGCACTACAAACAGAAGTATAACATGAGCGAAGAAGATTTCATTGAGTTTATCACCGACGCTAATGTTCTTGTCAAGCGTGGATATGCTAAAAGCTACAAAAATTACTGGAATTTTTATCACGCGTTTTGGTTCACGACTACGGTGGTAACTACCATGGGTAAGTATTATGTATTGCGAATAACATTTATTAAATAGACTGTCACTGTCAAAAGGAAGGTTGAAGGCTAGGAGAGATAACAGAAAGGAGAGGATGTTTGGATCGGCTAAAGTCTTGACAGATTTTTATTTTTCGTTTCGTCAAAGTCAGACTTAATATTTTGAAGCACTTTCCCACACTGTGCGTCTAGTTTTGCTGTATCTTATGCGTACACCGCAAGGGAAACGAGGTTTTCCCTATATTCCTCAGAGATTTTACTGCTATTACTGTTTTCATAACAATTTGGCAAACGTACGAGAAAAAGTGTTCATCTGCCTTCGTAGAAATATCAAACAAAGAAGTGGCAACGTCGGCAGCCAAAAGCTATTCGAGGGGTTCGCGAGGTCGAAAACCTTTCGTTAAACAGCTAACACGCTGGTTTTTAGCGCAAAGTGAATAAACACATTTTATAATGATATTATGCAATTTAAAACGATGCTTCTTCGACTGTTAGGTGCCGATACAGCTTAATCCATCAAATATTACAATTGCAACTTGGAGTTTGTAATGATCGAAAACCAGTTATTAGCTTTTCCTTCATGGCTAAAAAACTGACCGTAAAACAAACAGATTGTTATGAACACGCTTTGACATTATAAGTGATTTTGTGAAAATCACAAGATAACAGTCTCGATTCTTTACTTTTAGCGGCTTCTTCAGTGAATGAATCGGTTTACTTTGAAGTGAGTTTGACACAATTGATTGCTGTCCATTTTCTGTTGCCAGAGCTTCACTATTCTTTTCAGCATTTCGGTTACACCCAGTTCTAAGAAACATCACCATTTGAATTACAAAAGTTTCACATTTCCAGAAGCTCATATATTCACATATGAATCGCACATGTTTCGATGAAAGATATAACAAAATATTAATTGCCGATCAATTTTTCATCCGTTCTTTGTTTTTGTTTTTTTTCTTTAACCTCAGGCGAAATAATAAATGCTGTCGCATTTTCAGATCGTTTCATCGGATAAAACCTTCCCAGGTTTACATTAGACTTAAAATTACCTAATGAACGATTTAAACTTAAAGTTTGACCGATTCGAAAGATCTGTCTTCACAACACACTTAATTCGATACACGAACGAATGAAAGGCACAACCAAAATTTGGCACTTTGCTGCTTGTCATAATTTTGAATATTGTTAAAGTTATATTTTTTCTTGTTTAAACTTATTTACCTTTATCTATGGTTCATTATCATCGCTGCCGACCCATATCACCATAAATGGCTGCAGACAATCCTTAATCAATTACACAAACTTTATTTAGTCATTCCTCTGGTGGGTCATCGCTCGAGCAGAGAGATTCTACACTTGGAAAATTCCCATCACCCGTCATGAGCTTCAGGAAACAAAGAAAGAGTGCTAAGGACTGGCGAGAATTCATTTTTTTGTTGTTGTTAATCTTGCCACGAGTTAAATAGATTATACGTTTTTGCGCTCCTTTCACATATAGAGAAAGTTGCATTTATTTCATACGCACTGAGATTCACGCCGTGAATTGGACGAGCGATGTCTTTCAGTTTCACAGTCGTTCGCTTCCAATCTTTGAAATTTGTCGGTCATTAGGAAAAAATTCTCAGTGTTTATGAAATATAAACATCATACTATGGAAAGCGCGCACGAACGATTTTAATTCACTAAAAAATCTCCCTCGTTCGCTGCGCTTACCAGTTCGTTTTTTTTGATGCATCGCAACTCGATCGTGAATAAAAACCTCTATATCATCGAGGGTTGAAAGATTGCTCGTTGCACATGCAATAGATAACGCAAAACACAATAACGCCGAAGAGTTATCTCTTTCTTCAGCATGAGCTAGGAAACGCCAAGATACTTTCCTTCTATTGTCAGAAATTGTGACCTTTTGAATGATGTCGCACTCGAGTCAAGTACTTATTTTTGGGAAAGCCTTAGATCAAGTTACGTCGCTTTGCTCTTAGTGTTCGATACTATAGTTGGCAACGGATACAACTGGCATCTCCTCTCTTTTGTTGAAACAAAAGACTGCTAAGCTTTTTCCGTCCACACAATTTGCGACGCTTTGCTCTAAGTGCTCGTCACTACAGTTGGCGACGGATCGAACGGGCATTTTTCTTTTCGTTGAAACACGAGATTGCTAAGCTTTTTCCCTCCACCCAATTTGCGACGAAAATACCTCTGGCAAGTGCTACCCTCAAAGAAAACCCAAACATAACTAAACGCTGAAGGCTACGCGAACCACCGACCAATTAGATTCAAAACTATAAAAACAAGCCCGACTTGCTCATACACGTTTGTTGTTTGAACTTTTGAGACAATTTCGGCGAGCTCTCATAAAATTTCGTATTGAATGCTTTTTATTTAATTTACAGCTTTTCAGCTACTTGTAATTGAAAAAAAAATTGGAGATGTTTGAGAAAAGGGGAGGAACGAGAGGCTTTTAGAGTTTAACTGAAACCAAGGTGTTTGTTTTTGTGAGTGCACGTATAGTCAAACTTGTATTTAGCGATCACCCAGGGGCGTGGCGGGGTGACCGCTTGGTTGACCGCTTAATACAAGATAGGAGTCAGACGCGTTAAAAAAAAAAACAACGACAACAAGAGCAACAAAAACAAAAACAAAAAACAAACTAAAAAACAAGCCAAAAATAGACCCCTATTTTCTCCCAACAGTCCCCAAAAAAAGATTATCTGCAATGCGTTGAGGACATTTCAACTCAAAGTCACAGTAACATTGATTTCAGGAGATAAAATGGAATAAATTGACTTGAGAAATTATCTTAAGTTTTATTAAAGTGGATCGGCCTTAGTGACCGTTCAATACAGGTGGAGGATATTACAAACAGGACGTTGGGACTCAGTCAAAGGTGACCACGACCGCTTTATAGAGGTGAAAATTATAGTACTTAAGGGAAAAATTACGAGACTCTGTCAATCGACCGCTTAATACAGGGTGACTGCTTCATACGGGTTCCACTGAAATGTCTTCCATGTCCTCGTCTCTGTTCCATGTCCCCAGCACAAAAGCAACAAAGTGCTTGATCAATAGTCTGATTCGATTTTTGAATTTATAACAGCACGATAAGAAAATCGGTTCAAGTTGCGGGTTGAATGTCACTGCAATATCAGGGCGAAAATTTCGAACACATAAATGATGCATTGAAATCTTCACGCGCAAACTACAATCAACGAAGATAGCGCTACTGTCTGGCTGTATCACAACCACTCATTGTAAGTCCTTCGCCGATTCGCAAAGTTATCGCAAGAAATATTATTGGGTAAGAACCAATCACAACATAGCACTTCTATCTAGCCTCAACAACTTAAACAACTTCTATATAGGAAACCGATCAGTTTTCGTTTTCTTCCTTACATATCTTTTTCCTTGTTTACAGGTTTTGGACATATTGTTCCTCTTACATTTGGTGGCCGGCTTTTTTGCATATTCTGTGCCTTGCTTGGGATTCCTCTAAATCTGGTCGTGCTTAAGACAGTCGGTGAACGAATTAATCAATACATCTACAACACTATAAAACATGTCGAGAAAAAATACCGCAAACGGAGGCACCCCTCCCATGTGGGGATCAAAGCTGCGGTGGTTTCGTTCCTAATGATGGTAGCAGTCCTTCTTGTGGGTGGAGCTTCTGACATGATCTTTGACGGTTGGACATTTTTTGATGGGGTTTATTTCAATTTCATCGCCTACAGCACAATTGGGTTTGGTGATCTTTTTCCTCGGGTGGAGGAGTCGTCGAAACTGGACAAACTTGGTCTGGGTGAAAACGGCAAGCGTTTGTTTGCTTCTTTTGTAATGATGACATTTACGATCTTGGGATTATCAGTGACTTCAACTGTCATTTGCTCAATCTTGAACGCGATTGACGAAATGTCACACGTGCCCGCGACCTGGAGGACTAAATCTACAGACTCCAATAAGGATCCTGGCTCAGTCAAGTTAAGAAGCTTAAATAAGAAAATAAGCAAAGAGAAGATGGAGATAGATAAACAAGAACTGAACGAAAAGAGCGACAAAGATCTACCACATGAACAATCTGGTGAAGTAAGCCACTTTCCAAAGAGTTTTTGTTGAGAGTTAACGTTTAGAAGAGTGGATTTCAAGTGAGTCAGGCTTGGAGCAGTCCCTCCTTATCGACGAAGTCTGTTGCGCATGGAAAATAAAATCAGTTAAAAGAGACATTGATGCTAGCGCGCCACGTGGAGCTCTGGGTAGGAGGCGCACGAAAAGTAGGCCTAACTCTCAGAGTTCTGCCCGGCGCGCCGACATAATTGTCTTTTTCCACTCATTTTTTGCACTCGCACGACGTATTTAACCGAAAAGGGAGTACTACTCTTCGTCTACAAGCTATGAAAATAACTCAAGTTATCCAGGATTTTTACCACTCAAAAGTTCCTTTACATACAGGAAATTTCTACACCAGTGAGCAGGGTCTAAAAAACCGTTCAAGTAACAGAATTAGTTTTCATTGGAGAGAAGTGTTTGGGCTGTGCCCGGTATAACGGTTTTCATTTAGTCTTGTACTTTGCCTTCAAATACTGAAGTTATAAAACGTTTTAACTGATATTTAATAGTTTAGTTTTCAAGAAAAATATCTGATTGTATTCAAAAACTGCGGACAGAGGTGTTATAAGCCTGCGTAAAGAAACAATTTTCGCAAGTCTTGGAATAAGGAAACTTAAGCAGAGACATTTTTAAACAAGGTCAGAGACTAGAGCAGGAGAAAGCTACAGCAGCTTGTGCACCTTGTCAACAGTGAATGACCAGTAAACTGGAGGGGCTTTTTTTTTAGCATAACGTCCTAAATGAAACATATGTGGCACATTCCGAAAATAGGAGCTTCGTCCCTTCCTCTGCCGCACGTATACATCTCACTCTCCAGAATGTAATCTAGCACTGCACTGGAGCGCAATTAAAATCTGGAGATAATGATATAACCGCGAGGATTGCTGGATGTGCTTTTCAGGATGGCCTGGGGGCAAGTTGGAGGAAAGCCATCGTGGTCATTACTCTCAGTTTACAGTGATATAAACCAACAGTTATCGCTCCAGAACAGCAAGTTTTGGGTTTTGTTTGTTTTGCGCTCGATAACCAACTGCTAGTCAGAAAATGAGTTGACGCACCTCTCGCGGGGAATAAAGAACGAACTGGAGAGACCGACTCTCAAAACAAGCGTAATGTTGTTTGCCTTTTTACGAAAAGCGCAAGGTAAAGAAGAGGGCAAGGTGCGCGCGTGGAAAGTTTGCGCGTCTCTCGTCATTCGTGTACTCCTCGCGATCATTTCGCCCGCCTAAAAAACGTAAAAAGGCGCTTGTGTATCGCAACTGGAGTCTATGTTTACATATGACAATAATGGACACCAGACATAGACACATAAGCCGGATGTGTTGATTAATTTTTTGTTGATGAGTGCTACGGGTCCGGACTTTGAATTACAATATCTACAACACTTAAACTAACAACTTTTTAGCGCCAAAAAGTATCAATGCAAATAATGATTCTAAGATGTACACGTATCATGTACATTTGGCCAGAGTTGAATTAGGTAGCTGTTATTAAAGGATATAATATTAAATCTACTACAAGATTTTAGTCCCAGCTTTTCGGCGAAGTCCGTCGCGCAAGTCAAATAAAGTCTGTGAAAAAGAAAAACAAATTGAAGTGCGCTGCAAGGAACTCTGGAAGTGAGGCACACAAAAAGGAAGTGCGTCTCACTTCGTGCGGCGCGCTACCATTTTTTTCTTACATCTACGTGCAGACTTCGCCGAAAGAACCGCTCGTAGTCTAACAGGACTAAAAATGAAAAATGAAATACGCCCACCGAAAAAAAAAACCCCTAGCTTTCCGAATTAAAAGGTAATGTGGTACTATCAAGCGAGTTGATCACGTAAATTGGCCTCCTAAAGAGTTTCGAGCGACAAAGGGCGAACGCTCGAAACATCAGCTTTGAAATGATTTACGGTGGCCAATTTACGCTATCAACTCAGTCGATGACCCTAAATTACCTCATTATACTCTCTCACCGACGCAGCACCACATTTTCTTTAGAAACTTACCCCCTTTTTCCGAATTACATTTCGTGGGAAAAAAGAAAACATATGACAGTGGTTGGGGATGAATGAGATGAACTCACTCACACATGAAAAGAAACCAATTGAGCAACATCCTCTTTGGTCATATTTCTACGTCAGTTCGACTAAAGCGAGTTTAATTTTTCTTGTGCGCTGCAGCCTTCTTAGGAAATGGGCCCAATTTTATGAGCATCTAATTTGGTTCTAATCTCCCGAACACACAGCACCCTAAACAGTCCTCAGAGCGGGAATAATTGTGGAAGGAAAGATGGCACATTTGCAGTTATAACATAGCTACATTCGTACACGCACTCTGATTGGCTAATATTTTATGAAAAAGAAATGGATGGCTCATAGAGATGGTTCAGGCTGACGTCATAGCAATCTTATCAGTTCAGATAGAGCAACTTTTCAGCGTGAAAAATGTTTCGCTATGTTATAAAAGCAATGGACAATGTCTAGGCAATCAGAGTGCAATATCTAGCTCATCCAATTCGGGATGTACGCGGATAGTTGGGAGAACATGAAGGTAGCATAAGATATGCTCAAGACGCCGCTACCTTCATGCTCTTCCAACTATCCGCGTGCATTCCGAATTGGATGAACGCACGCTAGACATTGTCCATTCCTTACTTAAAAAATTCTGCTCAATTGCTGCTCTGTTTTCTTCCGCTCATCCTGTAAATGGCTTTGCTCCAAGGTCACTGAAAGTACCTCTTTAGGCTTGGCTTATATGGAGAATATTCTTTGAGCAATTTCAGTTGTTCTACACTATTTTCTTTGCAGTTCCTCTTAACAGAAACACCGAAGCACCCAAGATGAGTACTAAAGCGTTCAATTTAAATATATAGTCCCATCTGTGACCAACTTCTAAAAGGTAACCTGTGAGAAGGGGGCCAACAATTCCTGTAAAAAATAAACAAAACTTAACAGAGAAGAATAGGATAATTGAAGGCAGAGACAGAAGCACATCGAATTACCCAATTATAATGTCTTGTGCTTGTTTTGTTTAAGGTCCGAATGGAACACAATACTCCACCCAAAAAGCTTGAGACATTAAGGTAAAGACCAAGTCACAAACGATTTCAGCCTTACATGCAAGGCTGAATTATAGCAATGTAAATATTAAAATCAGAAAGTTAAGGGTTTGAATGTGTAATATAATGCAACATGATGACGATGATCTAGTGTGAAAAACAACTGAGGCAAAGATCATGAAAAAGAAAGGTCTTGGAAAGAGGAAGTTCACAGCAAACACATACACCCTTTGGACCTGAAGATAGTGCCTGGTCAGGTTCTAGCAGGATTCAGTCCCATAACATTCTTGTGTCATTGGTGTTTTTTGTTTGGGGTCAAATCAACAGAGGTAATTTAGCAAATTTCTGTCCACGCAACCCACCTGAAAATGCACCTGCTGAGTTCATTATTCCTAGAGATAAAAAAGAAAAAGCAAAAAAGTGAACAAAAAGATTTAAAGAATTCATGATCACATTTCTCTTGGGTGTAGAGCTTTGGAACTAACAACAATTCCTCTGACCCCACTGCAGGAAACCAGTCATATTTCTCCCCTAAGAGGACTTGTGTCCTTTTCCTTTTCGTTTCCCTCACAAAATTTATAAGTTTAACTTCACTAAATTTAGCATCACTTCATTCAATTGGAATTTTAAAAATCTAAATTCAATTTGTTTATCAAGCATACTTTGAGAATACAAATTAGACTTCGGTCAAAGAAACAAAGTTGTTCAAATAAACATTTTCTTTCACCAATTATCATTGGCATTACATTATTACATAAAAATAGCCCTACATTTGCCAAAATTCCTTCCAACAATTTTCAGTGACCGGCTGTTATTTCCAGTACTGTCTTGCCTTTAGTGTTTGGTTTCAAAAGTTTTGAACCCTTTAACCTTTTAACCCCCAAGAGTGATTAACATGTAACTTCTCCCTATAATATCCATTCCATATCCAGCACAGAGATGATGAGAATTCTCAAACTTATCAGATACAGGTTGTTGTCTTGATCTAACACCAAATTCTCATAACTAAGTTACAGGGAAATGTGTTGCAGCTAGAAGGAAAATTAACAATCAGATCTTGGGAGTTAAAGGGTTAAAACTGAAATCGATCAATAACCTATTCCTCTTGAAAATGGGATACAAAGATACATGCTCGTGATTGTTATTGGTGTAACCCATAAAGCAGAGAGTACAAGGCAGGATCCTTCCACTGCTGAATAAAAAATAGGCAACTTAAATTTAACTAAAAAAATTCTCCCATCTCTGACACCCAGCAAACAAAGCTACTTACCAAAGAGTGTCCCAGCAAACTTGGGAGACATATCTTGGGGTGCGACAGGAGTGCCTGCATTACCTAATGCATTCATACTCATGGCCATCATCATGCAAAAAACAGCCTGACTAAAGTTGGATGACTTGGTAATAAGAATCATGAAAAGTGCCCCACCACACATTGAAAGAGTCTGTAAAAAAAAGCATTAAAATTGCACTTCAGCAAAAATAAATAAATAAGTAAAAGGAGAAATAACAAACCTCACAATAATATATATATATGAAGAATCACTTTAATAATAATGATCCAATGCTCTATCTGGTGCCACGCACATAAGGCCAGTTAGACACTCAGTCTGTGGACAGCTTTTGAACAACTTTTGACCATTTGATTTGAATTTCTTTTAACATAACGATAATAATGATGACAAAAATTATAGAAGTTAGTGTAATGGAAGCACAGATGGAATCTGTGCAAATGACCAGTATATCATATTACAGAACCAAGATTGCAATAATGAAAATAAATAACATATAGTTTTCTTCACTCTTGTACTTTTCAGTGAATAGCTTTTATTAAGAACATTAAAAAACAGAAAACATTAAAAATAGAAAATTACCTGAAAGAATTTCCTGACAAAAGTAACTGATGATCCTGCAGAATTGACAAAGCAGGAATAGTAAGAAGATAGAGGATCGAATTAATTGCAATGCTTCTGCCGTGTTCTTTGAAAAAGACTGCTAAAACCTTGCTACACAGTACGCTAACTGATCATCTTTCACACGATGGAATATTTCAGCCATCATCTGCTAATTAAAGAGTAGGTGAAGAGGGTTCAGGGGAAAAAATTCTAATTGACGTGAGATAGAAGGCACCACTCTCCAACCAAATTCTCCTTTATCCCCTTATGAAACAAAGGAAGAAGGATGGAGTAGATCTTGCACAAGAAACAAATCACTTACAGTAATCAACTCCATGCTGCCTTTCAAATGCAAACTTTAAGGGGAAAGCCTATATCACATAGGGTGTGTATCTAAACTAACTCCCATCCAAGAAAAGATCTGAGATTGCAAACCCCTGCTCTCCAGTTGGTTAACATTGATTTCGAAAGCTTTACCTTAGTAGGTTGTTGACTGGTGAAACTTTGTTAGGGAAGTAGATGCCAAATTCACATGAAATTTTGAAGGCTGGTTAAGGAACATTTATCAACAATCTATGCATCCAATTACAATTTTGAGCCATAAAAGGAATGAACTGGAAAGTTCTGAATTTGTTCAAGGATCAATCATGGGAGTGAAAGGTTCAACAGGAAGTATTCTGCAGATAACACAATTTTTGTCTTTACCATTGAAATTATATATTAAAATTTATTAGTACTTATGTTTTAAGCTTCTCAACAAAACTATAATTAAAAATTATCTTTGATGCTAGTAATCCAGCTGTGGATACCACAATTTATGACACAGGTAAATTACATGGCTACGCACACAAAACCACCATAAATAGTTCATAAACAGCTGTTGTTCTGTTTCTAACAAAAACAACAACAAAAAAATGAATGCCCTTTCCCATAGTCCCTGATTCAAACACATCACCTTGAGATAAACAGAGAGGATGAGGCATTTGGAAACTTAAGAACTGTGTGGAAACTTTCATTAAACAGAACAACACATAAAATGCTTCTGCTAAGTACTATATGGCATTAACCAAAGGATTTCATAATAGTTCAATGAGTGATTTAATAACTAACCTTTTCTAATCATGCTATCTGCTACATGTCCAACAAACAGAGCCACTGGGAAGTATAGCAACCATGGAAGGACATTAAATATCCATTTCTACAGGAGGGATCAGCAACAGATTTATAGTTATTGTTTGTACATCAATTTCCTTCAAGGGACCTACGGCACCCAATTCCACCATCTGTCTCAGTTGGCAGAAGGGACCTTAAGCAGTCAGGAGGGCAACATCAAGGAAAACAGCAATTCAAATTAAATTTTTAATTTTAGTAAGAATTTTTGAAAATGACTGGATCTCTTTATCACCTCTGGCAGTGCCACACCTCAAATTTAGCACATCATTACACCACATGTGATTAATGTTGAATTCTAAATAGGAACTTGAATAATTTGCCATCAGGGTTTCTGTTCTCAGGCCATGAAAATTTTGGTGATTTTGTGTTGTTGTTTTGTAGAGGACAGCTGATAAATGTACAAAAGTTTAAAAAGCATCTGCTGAGCTATTGTTCTGGCCATTACATCTATTATTTTTTTACATCCTTGCTGCAGTCACTGTCATGTTTCATTTAAAGTCCCTTATGGTGACTGACTAATATTTGGGAGGCAGCAGTTTAAAAAATTTATTGTTTGACATACATTATTTCTTATATCTTCACTTCGTGGGTTTATTATGAACCAACAGTATGACCAACTCTCAGTTGGCTTGTTACCTCAGTTGGCAGAGCACTGCACCAGTATCGCAGAGGTCATGGGGTCAAATCCTGTACAGACCTGAATTTTTTCAGGTCTTATTTTCTCTTCCACTTAAGTAGTGTTCATTAATGCTAAGATTGCTTTCAAATTCATTATTTTTCATCTAAGGTACCCACTGTACATGCAGTACAGGACAGTTGTCACAGACAAGATATGGTGTGACTCACAAGGTTAAAAACTCACAAATAACCAAGTTTTTCCTCAACTGCTTTTTTTTAAGGGGGATGGAGAGGTAAAATTAAGTGAAGATACCTCATTTCCAGGAAAACGCTCCTCAAAAAACATGGGAAGCCATGCAAACACATTCCAGAATGCACAGCCTTGACAGAAATGTGAAACAACCAGAGCCCTGAAAAGAAAAATTGGTAAAAGGGTAACAGGTAAGAGAGAATTTGCAACCTCATATTTGTTAGGTCTGCAAGTAATTTATGAGTTCATGTTAGTACATAAAAAAAAGGAATAAGTAGAAAGAAAGACATGTAAACAATTAAAACTAGAAAGAAATGTTAATACTGACAATAAAAAAAGGTTAACAATGAAATCACAACAATAACAACAACAAAAACACCAACATTCCAATAATAATGAAAGATAAAGAAAATTGAGCCTGAGAGTAACATTGGATCATGTTGTCTGATCAACAATCTGATGATGACTTTCACTACGGTTGTTGAAACATTTGGCACCACAACTGATAACAGTCCTTCTCAAGCTACACACACATGGACAAATAAACCACACAATCATATAATCATGATGATGACAACGATAATGAGAATGATGACACTGATGATAGTGACAGCATACAAACCAGACAGCTGGATGTCTTCCAAATGTCTCCCATGGAACATTGAGTAGGTGTGCCCGTTCAGAACTGCTTGGTTCAACCATTTTGATGTTTCCAAGTTCAAATTCTGGTAAAACTAAATAATATCTCCAAAGACAGGCCCATAACAATGCCATTAGACCATGAAAAATAAACACGCTATGCCAACCCATGTAAGAGAGGAATAATGAACCAACACTGCCCATGAACAATGTGCTATGGAAAAAAAGAACATGAAACATCATTATCCCTTTCCATTTCACAATATAGTTTTGGGTTGAAACTTAAAGGGAAGGAAAACACCAGTTGTACATCTATCACCTTACTCAGTAGTAATTCTCTTCCATTTGCAACAAAAATGCTCATTTGTCATTTGAACTAAGGCAGAGGGAATTCTTAGATCTACCATGCCCTTTTTATAACATAGAAAGTACCCTGTCCTAGGCTTTGCAAGGCTACCAGTACCGGTAGTTGTTGGAACAGATTGCAAAGAGGAGTCAAAAATAATTATAACATAGCTAGTAAATTTGTCAAATTAAATTCAATTGCATGAGCATGCTTCATATCCCTATTGTGCACGCTCATGACATCAGCAAACAAATCCCTCAAGAAAAAAAATTTTCTACGCAATTTTTTACTTTGGGATTTTACTACAAAAAAACTGGTTAAGACTTTGGCAGCAATTTAAGCTAAACATGGAAAGTTGTGAGCCAGTTGATGAGGAAGAACTGCCTACTTTTTCTCTGGGAATGGAGTTTTTAACCCCCCCAAAAAAAATGAAAAGAAAAAGAAAACAAACAACAAGCATGGCTGGTGTCATCCCATTTTGCAACTCTGAGTGAGTCCAAGTTGGAAAATATAAATATAAATGTTATAAAACAATTGGTTCATACGTCAGCTGTGCATTCATGGAGATATGAAGCACTTGGGAAGTTTGTAGAGCACTCAAGAAGTAGCCTCAAGCAACTCTTATGCATTTTTGTTCTCTCCAAACTTCCTGCGTGCTTCATATCTCGATGAACATATGCTGACATATGAACCAATTGTTAAGTGGTAAGATTTTTGTAATAACTCAGGTAAGCAGGTTGATAAACAGTCTTAAAAGTGGCAGTATTGAAGGTGATTTCCAAACATCTTAAATACTGTTTAGCATCTTGAAACCTGATCAAAGTCATGCTTTCATATCATATTTTACTGGAGGAAATAAAATTATGCTTCTCCTTCAACCCTTTCAAGTGACCAGCATTAAATTTCTCCTCACAATATCACACCTGAATCAAACATTCTGGTCATGAGAACAAAGGTAATGATCACCAACAAGAGGAAGTCTTGATTGTTAAACAAATTCTCCTTGTCAGCACCATAGAAAATGTTTAGAGAACAGTATGGAGAATATGTATACTGATGTTATATATTAGGGGGTGATAATATTTTCAAGATTAACTACAGTTTAAAATGATTTAAAATTAAAACAACTTCAGCCTAATTTGATCTGTATTTTCTTTAGTATTTCCTTGTCAAATAATCTTATTTCTGTACCTCAAGAGAAGGAGATATATAAGTCAAATGAATTTGTCTACATTCTTATCTTAAAATTAATTTTTTTTGTTGAGTATGTATAGCATATTTCTTAACTTACCCTACAGGTCCACCAGCAAATATTGTACTTGTTAAAAATGTTCTGTCCTTTACTGGAATTCTCTTAGCAATTATGTTTGTTAGTGAGGGATAATGTAAACCTAAAATTGAAAGAAAGATATTTAAGAATGGTAAGAATCAGCAACTATCAATCTGTGTCATTTTCATGTAAACACAGTCAACTCTCTTGTAGGTGGAAACCCTTGGGGATTGGAAAAAGGACCTGTTAGTGGAACTGTCCACCTATAAGAATTATTCCTATGTTCATATACCACAGAAAAATAGGGTGTATGTCTGCTTACAGGAGAGTGTTATGTTGGACTCTTGTTGGTTTCCTGCTGACAAAAGGATATTTGACAAAACTGATCCCTGTTGCTGTGTCAAAGGTTTTATATTTGTTGATTCACAAATTCAAAAGAAATTTTATGGCAAACCATCAACAAAATCTTGGAAATATCTTCAGATTCCGTGCTCTGATGCTCTACCACCGAGCCACAGAGAGTGTGGTCTTTTATGAAGTTCATATGACATGCATCCTGCATACTGCTAGGATCAGCAATGTTGATAGCATAATGTTTGTAGATAGAAATAAGAGAGATGGTGAGTTTTGTGCTCGGTAAAGAGATAGAGAAAGATGTTTTTTTGTCTTGTCATGAGCATAGGACAAAGAAAAAATTCTGTTTCCCTATGGATTCTTCACTAATTAATTAAGTCAACTTTTCTTGTCAGTAAGGACCTACAGTTGGGTGTTTACATAATAAACAAATAATACATGGCCGCTTGTAGATGTGGAATTTCTATTTTGTGTTTGCTATGCTCATTCATGCGATATTGTGTTGAATGCTTGAAGAAAAATTCCCTATCTATATACCACCCACCCATATACTACTCTCTACTTATTATATTATTATCAAGATTCAAGATTCAATACAATTTCATCACAAACCTTGGGATAAACCAGTGCACATTCTAGCAGCAAATATAATCACGGTAGGAGAGAAGAAAAGTATTGGCGACACTGTTATAAAAGGAACAGCCAATGTTAATAAAGACCAGACAATTGCAGCAACTCCTAATATTACTTCTCCACCATATTTGTCACTTAAATATCCGCCAATGATCTGTGCAGGCATGTATCCCCAAAAGAAGGCAGACATAACTGCTCCCTGGAAAAGAAATAAAATAACTGAATGTTTCAGGCATAAAGAAAAAGATTGGTTGCACAGAAAGTTGAAGTTTCTGTCTAAACCTTCCTGTATGCACAGCTCCTCATTTCTACATGACATCAGAACAGAACTAAGGGCCCATACTCACTGACAAAAATTTGATTACTTAGCAAAAATGTTGGTTGTTTGTAAATAGCAGTGATTATTTTGGTCATGCTAAATCTTATCAAAGCTCTTCAAACTTGAAATACTCCATAGTCATACCAAAAACTTCAAAACTGTAAGGAGCAGAGATTTATTGAGAAAAATATTGCTGACTTCCTAAGAACCCAGTCACACTAGTACAAATTCAAATGTTTCCAATTTTTTCACAAGGGAAAAATTGACACAACTTTTGCAATTTTCAAATTTTACTCCTGGTTCATCACACTGATATTTCTCAAGCTAAACCCTACTAATGGGTTAGTAAGTTGATCACAAACCCATCTTGCTCTATAGATAAACAAAAAATCTTGTGAGAATTGTTAGGCAAGAGTATAATGTTAACATGTTTTCTAATCTTTGTGGTCTTTTTTTTTTGAATCTCAGAAAACTACATAGACTTGATGGTACACTATTTGCTGGCTTTCTGCTTGAAGCATTTTTTGTGAACAGGGGGTCACACCTACTTAAGGCTACTTGTTGAAAGATTTACATCAAACACAAACAAAATAAGCCCTAAGGTAACCAGGCACTTAAGGTTGTCAAAAATTTGCTCTTGCCAAGGGTAAATCAAAGGCAATGATTAATGTGTTACACAGAAAATTTACACAGAGAATAGTTCGAGTAAGGCTGGGCAAACAAAAACTTGCGTTTAAATAGATGTAAGGAATATACAAGACATCAATAACAAAATAAAAGTTGAGGTTGACTTTCAGTCGGATGCGACTTTTTCCATCTTCTTTTCTGTAAGATTCAAGCCGTTTCGGGCCATCAACTGTTGAGATTTCTCCCTACTGTTTTTCGGTAAACAAATTAAACGAGAAACTAATAATTTGCTTAAATTAAATAACAGCCACTTCAATACACACAGTTCTACTCATGGACACGGCAGGACTTACATCGATCTCTTTGTCCCACTTTAATTCAGAGCTCATGGCTGCCATACACAAAGGTACAGCTGATCTGGCAGCGTACAGTAATAGTGTACCACAAAACATGGCCACAATCCAGTACTTTCGCTGTTCCTCCGGCCACTGGAAACCCGCATCTCCTTTAGATTTTTCGTTCATGTCGATTTTCAACCGTATTGGCTCTGAGGTAGTCATTCGTTAAATTAAATTTCCTTGGGATAACTAGTAAATATCACCTCCTTTCGATATCTGTGGATGAACTACAAGTCTGGGTGTGTTAATGTGACAGTCTTAGGCGATCAATGAAATTTTGCTGAAGGAGCGAGGCTGTATATCCACCTTCGAGCCACACACGAATTTTTTCCAACCGTTACGACATTGCTTGTTTCATGGTTGCTCTCGCTGAGTAGACTCGTCTTGTTGTAGTTAATGAGCCCAACTACCATGTAAGTGAAAAGCTTGATAATCAACCCGAGTATCTTAAGGCTACCAAAAATACCAAATTGTCACAAATTCATCCGGTAAACTATGCTAGACGCCACGTTTTATGCCGCTACGGGAGTCTAAAAGACGCATGTAACCAGGCCTGGTATATGGTTACAGCAGTTCGTGAATTAGTTCGTTCTCAACTTAAAAAATATGCTGCAACACCTGCTGATGATTAGAATTTCTGTCGTTTGTCATCTCTGAGGGCCCTCTAAATAATATATGACACATTGACTTCATTTCACAACGTTTACTACTTTTCATCAGAAAGAGAGAGAGATCTAGAGGTGGTGAGGTGGTGGGGGGGGGAGGGCATTCCGTCTCAACTCCTACAACAAAAAAGTCAAGAAAGACAGAGGTAATATAACCTGGTCATAAAGTCACACCAGAGGAGGCTTCGAACTACCTAGATACATCAATATATCATACAAAAAATATTTTGTTCTTTAAGGCCGTTCTATTGGATCTCACAAGACGACCTGCCACTTCCAAAACCTGGAGTTGCGCGACATCGTATAGAGCGGGAGCTAACAGGTTGCGAATTTTCGTATTCTTTTTTTTTAAGTTTTTATATTATTGGCTTCTTGCGAGGCTTTCGATTTTTTTTAAACTAAGTTTTGCTTATCCCTAGTTTCATTTTTCTGTGAAAAACCGCCGTATCAATATAGGCTCAGTCGCAGTCTTTGACGGGTCTCCGGCCCTCGTTGTTTCGTTGCGCCCGCAGACTTGTCCAAAAACGTGCTGCAGCTAGTTCTCGGCTGGAGACTGAACCAAATGGCGACTTTTTCTGTTTCTTCAAGACTCACAGCAGTCCCCTTTTGTTCCGCAATTAACTTCAAGCCGCTTAAAGCAGACAGGTGTCACATAATTATCGTTAACCTTTCATACATGCCATTGTAACCCCTTCGATTAAAAGGCTTTTACGCCATCACATCCCCAACTTACAACATAGTTATTGTGGAAAATGTCATTTCTTTCTGCGGCTTTGCTCGTTTTGATTGTTGTGACCACCGCTATCAATCACCTCTTAGATCGAGGGTAAGTTACAAGACCACTCTTCTTCACATGTTTAATTCAAACATTTTTTGCTAGAAAAAGTTATTTGAGATTAGTAACTAACGCAAGGATACTGAATTTAAAAAAATGTAGACTAAGAAGTTTCCAAAGTTATAATCAGATGACGCTTCTGAAAACAAGAATGTCAATTCTCGACTGGGTCGTCAATTTCATTTCGTCACTTCCCATTATCGGTCTCTTAAAAAATTTTACACTTGCGACGGGAAGAAGATAGTCCATAGAGACTGTGTCGTCGAAATATTCGGTTGGTCGCGGGAAAAAAACAATTAATTTTAAAGATACATCGCATCGCACCAGTAGCTTTCCTTCCTAGAAGAAAAAAAAACGTACATAAATGGTCGAAAAAAGGCCTACAAAAATGTTCCTTCTGCGCTTTAATATTCGTCATTAACACGGCCGGGATATAGCTGTAAACCGATGTAGTCAAATATGACGGAATTAAAGATAGTCGGTATAAAAAGAAAACTTTGTTAAAGGTACTGTAAAATTCTCAAGGGTAATGAAAGGTCCACTCGAACAGTATTGGGCAAAGTGCTGAGAAGTGGAGCTGCGGATATCACTGAGTAGATCGGTAAAAGTCCGACTACAACTGGAGCAGTGATTAAAACTTAACGTAAAGCTCCAGTGGTATCGCCTGGTATTTGTCGAAAAGGCTTCCCGAAATGAAGGGCCGGCCATAAACGCAAAGTGCTAATATAAAGAAAACTATTCCATTATTTTTGTGATGATTTTTGAGGACACGTTTGCCTCTGAACCATTTTCAACCAATCTTGTTTCATCTTTTACAGCCAATTATTGGTTAATTCCATTTTTGGTTCCCTTTATATGACAGCATATAATTACGATTAATCGTTTTTACCGAAATTTTTGGCATTTAAAATAAAAAATTAGGACCGTCTTAACGATTAGATGTCTGTCTCTACTCCTTGTTGCTATGTTCTACATGTCTCGTCTAACTATAGGCTCTGTTATGATAATTCAAAAATAGACTTTAGTGTACGCACAAGACCTTGCAGTGACAGTGTTCTTTCTTTTTTTTCTGACTTTTTTCCTTTTCCAGGTTGGGAAATTACGCCGATTCAGACTACAAGGATGAAGAAAATTCAAATAGCAAGATAAACAAGAAAGATTCAAATCTCAGTTCTACGCCAGACATACAGAAAATTGCTTTTGCTGCGATACCAACCGCGCAAACAAACATATCGATGCCCGAACTTCCTGCCAACAGCAATAACAGTACTGTTTCACCATCTAGGCACCATGGAACCACAAAGACAATCAAAGCGACGTAAAGATGATCCTCGACCTCGTTTCCGGGATGATTTGTGACAGACACCATGGAAACAAGGTTGGAAGACAACGACGTTTGCCTGTAAATGGCAGTGATTTAACCAAGTTACAAATTTCATAGCTGAAATATTTAAAGCTCGCTGAAGCATTAGAAATTTTGTTTAACACGCTTGTTCGGCACTGGACTGCACTATGACCAAATTTAGCTCAGAACTTAGAAAAACTGTATGGTTTACAGCTTAAACTCTGGTGGCTAGCATGGTCGTGATGGTTTAAAATAATTTGTACACTCTGTTCTCATCTCGCAACGTTATCTTTCGTTGGCCGGGAATAGAGGAAGGAGAGCTTTAGCTCTATCAGGAGGCACCTTGGGGTAAAGTTGATGGAGTACTCCCACAATCCCACTTTCAGCGTGTTAATCTCGTACCCAGATCCAACTGAAATGTTACGATCGCTTGGCCGTGGGCGGTCTTGGTACGAAACTAGTTGCGTGCATCAAACATGAACAGGATATGGGACTGGGATACGAGGCTAGGAAGAATACTAAATAGTTGTCACTGAATCTGTCCACGCCTTTTTGTGCTGATTTGAGACAATTAAATATCATCGCATGTGTAAATGTATGACTCATGCATGGCCTTTGATGTTAAAGACAGAAAAAAACAATTTTCACTATTTCGATAGGTCCCTAAACTTAGGTATTTTTGGCTAAGCAATAAAGGAAAGCTAGAAAAACATATATACACTGATTCATCACATGAAGTTCGGGACTCAAAAGCGATGCGTGACAACAAATTAAATCCACCTCTTAGTTAAGACTCCAATCCCATGAGCCTTCACGAATTGCCCTTGTGCCTTTGCGAGATTGTTATTCACTCTTTTCTCCAGCGCCCTGTTGATCCTTGCCAAACGGTATTAAAAAGGTAGAGGCTTTTCCTGGTTTCTTCTGCTACCTAAGAATGGAACACAGCCTGTTACCAACGAGGGGACTTCAAAGATGCCTGCCGAACCGTTGTAAAGGGTCCAAATTGATTGAATCATCCAAGTTGTCCAATTTCAGTGACCTTTATCATACAGAGACAAGATAATTTTTGAGACAGTTCAGACTGGAAACTTTTCTGTCCCTATTCAGGCTTACTTTTGTGCATTGCGGAGGTGAAGAGCCCCAGAGATGAATCCGAGGAAGGAGACAAATTTTCTTTGACACGATTTTCAAAGGGTGTTTTCTTTTTTTTCTTGGGCGCTTGATGAAAACGTCTTAGCCAGCTCAGACGCCTCTTGTTTTATTCCAGTTTATTTTGTTTTCCCATAATTTTTTATCTGATTATTTGCATTCTATAAAGCTTAATCAAGAGTATCGAGGAACGTATCAGGTCCATCAGGCCTTCCAACGAAAGGAGGAATGGGCTGAGCGAGCGCGGGAGGAAGGCATTTCCCCCATCCCCCTTGGAAAGACTGGTAATCAGCCTAAGTCAGGCTATCTAAGGATATTAATACAGCTATCTTACAAAGTTCATTTTAAGTGAGAAACTTAGAGCTTTTGCGCTGAATACTGCAGACTTTAACACTCTACGTGTACACCGATTAGCAGGAAATATACTTGATTAGAAGTAATTTTCAAGTTTATGTTTGTTTTATTTGAAAAGTTTTGATTTATCTTGGCAAAGCTACAAAATTATCCTTTCATTTCACAGTTCGACAGACACTTCCCGCCAAAATTACCGGAAGTAGAACCCAGGCCTTTGATAATATTGATCACGTGCGTGCCCCTGGAGCCCCCCACACATTGTTGCTTGGAACAAATGCGAGTCGCGGTCGCATGTCCGTCGTGAAATTTTAGCTAAAATCACTCCAAAACAGGAAATTTGCCCGGCCCGAGGCCGAAACGACCATTTCCAGACATAGTACATTATCCTACCAATCGACATCAGGCAGCAATTCAGCTCCATGTACCGATAAAAGCCCGTGGAATTAGTCATATGCAAACAACCACAGGTAGGCCGTTCGATCGAACACAGAGATAGAGTTCGCACTTTTACGCCGAATTCGCCGGCTGTACCTCATATACAGGGGGTAAGTTACCCCCCTTTCGCCGAAGAAATATTTTGCGACCACTTGGAGTTGCAGGAATTGGAGAGAAACCTTACGAATATCATCCCGGAAGCTCCAATTATATGCCTGTAATTCTATATTTGCCTGTTTTCAAGGAAAATTGTCTAATTTCGATAATATTTCCCCTGTTCTATGACTAATTTGTCCTATTTTAACCACAGGCTCATTGGAGTTCATGCCAAAACGGCAGCAGAAGTTCGTTAGGCTGCCATCCGTTTGAAATAATGGAGGCTGGCACTGCTAAATGTCTTCTGGATGTGATAAAGTGAGTGAAGTATTTTTCATGTCACCAAAATTAGATTTGACATCTTATACTGTACGTTAGTGGGCCGGTGAAAGAGATCTGAAAGAGGAAGTATTAGTTCATGCAGGAATCAACTTTGATGTTGAATTTCTCTCTCTCTATAGCGACCCTAACGCTTTGCAAGAATTCTTGAGAACCAATAGCCAGGTGAGCGGAATACTTTTCTCAAATTTACTGTGACAGTATTCATAAAACACTATGTGCTGAAGTCAGCTTTGTAACTTTTTGTGATGCATGTGGATCTAATTTGTCTTGACTCTTCAATTCATCTGAAAGGGGGCAGACCAAACCTCAATTTCTGTGCATGGCAATTTTCTTATAGATCCAAAAATTTCACAGTTGTTTGTATTTACCAAGTCCATAATTGACACAAGGTGATTTCTTATCCAAACTACTTGAAGGTAGTATTAATATGTCCTGTCCATACTGAAAGGGGTTGCAATGGTAAAATCTTAGACTTGCAAGATGTTTAGACCCTTTTTTGACAATCCAAGACTGAGATTTCATAATTATATCTTTACAAGCCCTGATCTTTACTCTCACTTAGCTATGATAGTTCCAAGGTTGTATATCTGACTTGCAATACAGTTGCAAGATACTGTTCTGTGCCTGTTTTTGTAACAAAGCAGCTTTCAGGTTGCATTATAATCAAACCAGCTGGAATAATATGTGTAACTCTAATGTACTTTTGGTACCATTTGGTCAAGATACTTGGCTGTGGGAACAAATCCTAGAACTTGGAGTGCAATGCAAGTTTTGGAGACCAAAATGAAATGCCCTACTGAAGAATGTGATTTTGAAACTCAGTATGAAAGTTGATGAAATTTTTACATACACTAGAACCCATTTTCTCTCCCCCCCTTCCCCCCCCCCCTCTCCCAACTTGAACTCATAAGGGTAATAAATAATGGTTTGAATAGAAGGGGGTTGGAGTTAACAGGATTGGTTTTTAAATTATCAATTAGGAAGGAATGATTGTTTTACCATTCTTGCACAATCAACTGTTATTTTCATTTATTTAGTCAGTTTAAGGGAGCTTTTTGATAAGACGGTTTAGTCTGTGAAGTTCAGGTTGGCAGGTGTTAATAGCTTTCTTTAATGTTTATAACCCAATGTCTTTACTTAATGTTCAAGTCTGGAGTGAAGATTTGAGCAAAGGGAAATTAAAATTAATTTTGAGTTAAAAGGAAGTTCAAGTGAACCAAGTTTGAGCCAGCTAATAATAAATAACTGAGGAGATGGGGTCAAAGCAAAGGGAAACCGGATCTTATTTAAGTTAGCGGAGGGTTTGAGTGAATCATGTTGTAGTAAGTGGGGTTCTAGTGTAATTCAATTGTTTAGAGAGCTGTGATTTTTCAAGGTTCTATTACACCCTTGATAATTTAGGCAAACCTTGTAAATTTTCCTTTGAGTTTACTGTCCACACTGATCTTATCTGAATAGGAGCAAAACAATCATAAGCAGCTATGTCCCTTGACAACAACAGTGTATATGGTAGGAAAATCTTGGAGACTAGGCAAATAACCGTAAATTACATGGTGCAAGCTGTGGTAGCTCCCAAAACTTTGTCAAACTTCAAAGGAGCTTGTGAAAAATTAAAATTTAGATGCTCTTTCATAGATCTTACCTTTAACCCTTTTGTTTCCAAGTTCTCATTAGTAATTCTCCTTACTTTCTACCACAGGATTCCTTTGATGTTAGTTTGGAGAATTTGGAATTGGATCAACTAGTAACCCCCTACTTGATGTTTTCCTTTATTCTCATCACTTATATGCTTGACTTTTAATTGATGTTGTAAGGAGGAATTTTGTCTTGGTCACTCATGGGAATGTAAGGATTTAGACCAGTTTCAAAAGGTTTTTCCAAATTTAAACATGTTTTCCTTTATTTACAGGATCATGGCCTTTCTTCTAAAAATTCAGGGGACTCTATTTCAGTGTCAACTCCACTGAATGTGAATCATTTACTGACTTCAAAATTAAATGCCAGTTCAACAAGAGAAGGTGGGATTAACAACAGGTTACCTGTAAATGCAAGAATTGCTTCACAAGTGTCTGGAACATCTTTGCCTAGTTCTTCTTCATTGCCACAAAGTACATTAGTAAATTCAGTGGTCAACAATAGTAGCATGTCAAGAAATAGTTCAAGTCCTAATACTCCTTTTACTGTTGGGGTGGTTCCGTCTTCTGTTCCGGTGTCAAGTGGTGTCAATTTTCTAAAGGCTGGTATGGAAAGTCCTGGTAGTTTAGGGAACAAAACTGGCAGTGCACTAGGAATTTCGTCTTCACCAAAACCTGTGGCTACTACTGCTTCAGTATTTCAAGGGAAAAAACCCATCCCAATCCAACCTAAAACCCCTAATATTTCCTCTGCTGTAACAAGCTCAACTGTAGGAACTACAGGAACACGTGGAATACAGATTGTGAACTCTGGATTACCTATTGTAATGCAAAAACAGCCTGTTGTTGCACAGCAGAGTATATCTTCCTCTGGGCATCGTGTTGTATTAAATGGAACAGATTCGAAAACAAACGTGAAGACAAGTGTTGCTCCTGTAAATGCACATTCTAATAAATCTCCTCAAGGTGTGTTACAGCCGATTCTTTCTACAACTCCTGTCAAACGAATTGCACCTAAACAGCCAAGTATATTACCTCAAACTGGTATGTCATCGCCACCTCAAATTGTGGGTACACAACATAAGATACTTCTGCAACAAGTTTCAAATCAAATTACTCCTCAAGTGCAAACTGTTATAAATCAAGTGTCACCGGGAAATGCTCAACAACAAAATCATACGCAGCTTATCCAAGCACAGCAGTTACTTAATTTGATAAGAGGCCAAAATCCAAGCACCCAGACAACACAACAGACATCAACTCAGCTCACACAATCACAAGCATTACCTGCAAATCAGATTAAACAAATTCAACAGTTAGTTCAACAGAAACTTTCTAACCAGCAGCAACAACCGCCAGTTGTACAAACGTTGCAACAGAATGTACTTAGTCCTGCACAGCTCCAAGCTGCTTTGAAACCAAACCAACAGTTTACGACACAAACTGTCCAAGCAGCTCAACCACAAAACATTGTTGTTCAAGAAGAAGTCATCAAACAACTTCTTCAACAAGTATCACAACAAAAAGCTACCCAGAAACTTGTGCAACCTCAGCAAATATTTCGGCAAATACCACAGCAGTCTCAATCTGTTCAAAAGCAGATCTTAGTACAGAATATTCAACCACAGGGACAGCAAACCCTGCAAACATTGCAAGTTAATGTCAATGCTTCTGCTAAGCCTTCTAACCTGAATCAAAGAACTGATGTCTCTTTGTCTCCTGCAAATATTCAGCTACAGCAAGTATTGAATAACCAGCAGAAGCAGCAAGTGCTTTCTCTCGGACAACAGCAAGTTAACTTAACACAACAGCCGCAAGTGTCAAAGGAACAAGGCGCTAGAGTTCTTCAAGGTGTAACATTTGTACCAAGTCAACTCAACAAAACCCCTGTAGCACAAGTGTCAAATCAAGGAGGTATTGTCCGGCAGGTTAATTCTGTTGTTCAGCAAGGAAAAACTGGAATGGCACCTGTTGTCCATGTTGCAACAACGGCTCAACAGAATACAGTTTCTCAAGTGCAGCAACAACAAGCACAAGCTGGAGTTCAGAAAGTGTTTATCATAAAACAACCTGAGTTGTTACAAAAGCTGGGATTACAAGGAGGAAAAACTCAACAGACTATTCAAATTACACCACAACAGCTACAGGCACTGAAACAGTTGCAATTACAGCAGCAAGTGGTGAAGCAGAAACTTACTTCAAGTGGTCTTCAAATAGGAAGTAATGTGCAAACTAAAAACTTAACAGCAGATCAGCTGAAGCAGATACAACTGCAACAGCAACAGCTGCAAGGTTCAGGAGTGAAGCAGGTTGTTCCTCAGGGTCGGGCACAGTCTGTAGTTCAACAACAAGTTAATGTTAAAACACAGGGGAAAATGCAGCACATTCCTAGAATTCTTCAAACATCAGGCAGACAACCTGTGTCTCAGGTGAGAGATTAAAATGATACATTCTGTGGCTGAAATGTTTTCTTTGTTTACAATTTTCTATTATCAGTCAAATTCACTTTTTACTCTGCTTTTTTAATAGTCATCATAATGAGATACAAAGTAAAGTAAAAATCAAACTGGTTTGTGAAATGTTGAGGTGAAATTGAGAAAATATTTTACACCACTACTTATGAAAATCAAAAATTGACTTACCAAGGCTCACTTTCATTGAATGTTAATTAATTTGACAACTTATTTTAAATCCTGGCATATCAGTTGTTTTCACATACTGTATTTCCTTGAATAAGCACCTTTTGGTTTAAGGTAGGGGGGGTGGCATGTTTTTAAGGTGGGTGCTTATTATTCTTCCTCACTAATTCTGCTTTAGTTGAAGTGTAAAAAGTGGTGATAGATACAGGTTTTCCTTATATCCCTACTCCATAAGAAATTGAGGGAGGGGGCGGGCACATCACTAAAATTACAGTCCAGGGGTGGGCATTTATTAGAATGTGGGTGCTTATTCGAGGAAGTGTGGTATTTATCTATTTGATTGCTTTGTGCTTAAATTTTTTCTCATAATTTTTTTCTCATACACTTTTATTTAACATGGCCTGTTCAATTCCTAAATTGTAACTTTCCTAATTCCACTTAACCGTTAGAGTGTCAAGGTGTCTGTACCAATAAAACAGGAAACAAACAAAGGAGTGAAGCGCCCACATTCATCATCAGAGACAACAGATGTACCAAAAGTTGCTACAAGGTTGGTCATTCAAAAAATAGTTTTACTGTAATTTCTGGCCAATTACCTGCTGGTATTCTGTCAATTTTTCCACTAACAGTAGTTGGTGCGGGTTATAGGAAGGTGTGGGTAATACGATAATTTTTAACGCTTCTGGTATAGTTTTAAAACAATAAGCAGGAAAAACAGGGATGATAAGATCCACCTATGATACTCTTCAAAAAACCTGTGCAATAACTCATTTATTTTGTGCAGATTGCTCATTATAATGAGAGACTTTAATGCTCTCGATGAAAGCTGATGCAAATTGAAAACACATCTACAAAGCTCAATAATGAAGCTTTCATCTTGTTTGTTCTCTTACTTTCTTACCTTGTCAATTTCATAGCTTGTTTCTTTGTTTAGTTCAAAAACAATCTCACTTACATGGGTAGTGAACTTGAAAATAAAAGAATTTAATTGCGAAAAAGCTGTCTTCATAGCGAATCACATGCAAAATGATGCTGACATGTTCATTTCATGGTGCTGCATAATTAATGGTGTGACAGAATTTTTGATACATCAGTGAAATTTTCTCAGCTGGCACTGCCTTGAGTTAAAGCGTATTTTCCCATTTCAAGCGATTTCTTCAACTTGTAGATCTCAAGATATTGGTTTTTTTTTAGAACAGATTTTTACAAGTGGTGTCATTTTCAATTAAACAGGGAAGACAAAAAGTGTAAATAATTGTTAACTGCATGCTAAAGAATATCATGTCAAAAATAATAATGAAGGAACTTTGTGTGAGGCCATGATTTTCTTTATTTTTGGGTGCAGGTTATCTGCTAGTGCAGGTAATCTGTTGAAATTTTCTTCTCGTTATTGCAAAAACTGACCCACGCAGGTAATCTGCTGCATGGGTAAATGGACAGAAATTACAGTAACCCTTTACACCCAAAGCTTCTTTAGATGGTGATCATTTCCATTATTCTTGTGACCCTAATCTATATAATATAGCGGTGATATTATAAGGAGGAATTGGACACTAGTCACTCTTGAGGGTCAGATGGTTAAATGTGAATACAGAGTGATCTATTTGTTATCTAAAGTATCTTTAGTTTTTTTCTTGTTGAAAAGATGGAAAGGAAATTTGGGTTGCAAAGGTTGATAAGCATTTCATTTCAGAGAAACTTGTGGAAAGATAAGCCATGATACACAAGTTCTATGTTTAACTTGTGTATTTTATATAGAGAGGATCAAAAAGCATAAAGAATGTGTTCAGTGACTAGTTGAATGAGAAAGTTATTTTCCCGAACTGGCAATTGTGCTATGGGGATCTTCAAGTACTTCCCATTATTGTTGCAATAAATCTTAATAAAATTCCTAGTGATTTTGATTCTTAAACTTGTTCATTTAGATTAAAACAAGGCCTAACTCAAGATCAACAGGCAGTTATTCGACCTGATGTCAAAACGCCTTTTAGTACCCATGAAGACCTTATTAAAAGACTAACACCTTACCATGTGTGTTATGATCCAAGTCCTACTCCTGCTGATGTTCAGAAAGGTCAGTCTTGACAACACACAATTGTCTCCTGTTAACTCGAACCCTTGGTTTGAACCAAAATCCTTTCTCCTTGTCAAGTCTGTTATACATTTTTTACAATTTTACCCTTGAACTTCCATTAACTTGAGCAAGTCTTCATATCCTGTCTGGGCATTCCTATTAAAAGTATCATTTCTAAGCATGTTTGTCAATGTGACAGGTGACAAGAAGCAGTGACGTAGTCCAAAACAATGCACTTCTTTGAAATAGCTAGAAATTTTTTGTCTTTTTTTGTCAATGGTACATTGTCTATGCAACCTGAGTCTTGTGTGATATGTAACTTTGCTTGGACAAAGGGTTAATGCTTGAAACATCAGCTTTGGAAACTCCTTATGGTGGCCAATTTGCATGATTAACTCAGTTGATAAGACTAAAAATGATATAAACTATAGGACCATGTGGCAAAGTGGCTTAAGCATTTGAGTCAGGCAGGGCCTACGTCTTTTATTCTATGGCCAGACTCAATTTACTTTCACAAAGCCTTTCTCCATCTAGGAATAGTGATGGGTAGCAAGGGATTGTGATTTAATGCTGGCTGGTAACCCTGCAACAGATTGGGATTCCATAAACATGTAGGGGGAAGTTGTGATACTTCCAGTCACTCTATGCCACTAAGAATGGGATATGATCTGGTGGGATAGGCCTTCTGGTTTGTAAGCCAGGTTTTCATGTACATAGCATTTTGTTGAGTGCTTCCTTGTGTTCATTCTTATCCTACTTTTTGTACCCAGCTGATGCTCTTTTTGGGGCTGTCTCGACCCAACTGGTGAAACGAAGTCAAAAAATGATGGAGAAATATCGTCAACTCTTATATGATGAGAGTATGGTAAGGTGTCTTTTTATTCACTCTCTATCTTTATTCATACATCCCTTGTTACTTCAGCACTAAACATCAATTTTACTCAGTATGTTCAAAACATTTCTTATAATTTTAGCAAGAGGAACTTGATGTAGGAGTAAACATCCCCTAGCTGATATATTTTTCTTCAAATTACTTTTCTTCTTGAAAATTTGATGATATTATTAGACAAAATTGCTCTTTGGTCACCTTGGAAAGTGAGAAAGAATGTTTGGGTGCAGAAACAACCTTTCAACCAATCTTAAAAATTTAATCATTACACTGAAATCTCAGGTACTACCTCAAGTTGGTTCTTAGGAACTGACCAGCACAGTTAACCCTTCTACACCCTAGCATCAGTCTACTTTTCTCCATACTGTTCTCTATACATTTCCCATGATATTGACAAAGAGAATTTGTAGAACAATCAAGAGCATCTCTAGTTGGTGATCATTTCCTTTATTCTCATGACCTCGCTGTTAGTTTTAGGGGTGATACTGATGGGGAAAATAGTTACTAATCACTCTAGGAGCTTAAAGAGTTAAAAAAAACTTGTACACAGTATCAATGAATGAGTACCTGGATTTAGTAATTTAATTGCTATGGTTAACAAGAGTTAAAGCCAAAATCTTGTGATGTTGTCACACTGTGTTAAAGACATTTTTTAATTTAAGAACACAAAACTTATTGTCATGTACACAGCATCACAACCTGTTGAAAATGGATATCATTAACACTTCAAATTTGCAAGACCTGTTATTATGCTGTGCAGCTAGTAGGTGGCTCATGCACCAGCGTGCATGTATTGAGATATGAAAGATACAGGAAATTTAGAGAGCATGATGTCCGTACAGTAGTTGCTTGAGGCACAGCGTAGAGGAACTCTACAATAAGAAACAAAATTGTGTACACAATGGTATTTTCAACCCCTATTACTTCAATTTGATCTACTTTGCTCTTGTTAAGTTAACCTTTTTGCCCCTTCTCCCCCAACCCCCAAACCCCCCCCTTATCAATAAAAAAAGTGTTGTATCGTGATTCCACAAGCTTTTAGCTACATACAGGCAACTCTAAATGGGAGAGGGGAGGGGGGTCTTGTCAATGATTTAAAGTGTGGTAGAAACAGAAATGTTATTCTACACATAAACAGAACATCTTCAAAGAGACGCTGATTGTAGCTTCTTGAGTTCTCTCTAAACTTCCCAAGTTTTTCATACATTGATGAATGTACCACAGATGGGAACTGGTGGCAATATAACTGATGCTTAATTGTTTGCTAACATATTAGTGTTCCATAAAGAGGAATTTTGTCTGTGAGGTTTCAATACACTTCACTGGCACACACATTTGGAATTCTTAGCATTCTGGCACCATTGAACTAGATTACATGTTGCTTGAATGTTCTTTGATATAATTTAAATTGGTTAAGAAAAGTAAATTATGTGAATATTTGTGTTAAAATTTTCTCATGCAGCGGGAGCATCCCTCAGCTGAAATGGTCATGCTCTACAGAGTTTTCTTGACTAATGAACGTTCATTGCTGGCTGATGAGAGAAAAATAGCCAAAGGTATTTATCATGTTTTTTTTTGTGGGCTGTTGATGGAAGCAAGCAAAGTAGTTTACTGTCCTATAATGTTTGTAACTTTCTTTCTCACGAATGATGTTCAGAATTTTAGTACAGTCCCATATAAATATTATTTCATAGCTTACTTACTTGGCTTCAAGTTGAACAAAGACTCAAATAAAACAGATACTACAGACAATCTCCATTTAATTTTGATTGTACTTGTGTAACTCCTAAGTTTCATGTTATTTATCATATTGATATTTCATTTCAGAAAACCCTGAAGAAATCCTTAATATTATCAAAAAGGAGAAGCAGACTATTGAGTCATCAAATGACACAGCAACAGATGACACTGTAACAAAAGATATCACTTCTGATGAAACTATGGATTTTGTGGAATCAACTACTGAAAGTGATGTGGTCAATAGTATGAAAAATTCTGTGTCTGAGGCTTCTTCTAAAATTTCTTCTCTTTTAAGTGTAAATTATTCTCCATCTTCGTTAAACTACTCTTCAAATTCTTTGTCACCAAAGACTGAAACTTCATCCTCATCATCATCACTTCTTTCTACAAGAACACCTACATTAGTTTCTACCAGCTCTGTCAACAACCATGTGTCTAGTTTATCTTCGCAAGATCATTTAGATAAACAGGATTCACTAAGCAAAGAAAGCTCTGGTGGAAATCACAAGTTGTCAGCAGACTTAAGCATTGATTCCCAGATGGACACAGAATGTGAAAAAGAAGATGTGACTGCTACTTTGGCTTTGCTCAATTCCATGGCATCTGAACTGGATGAAGTTTTAGATGTTGAAGGAACACTTTAGGAATAGTTGGTTCGACTCCACACTTATCTCTTGTCAATAATCTTGGTGTTTACTTGCAGTGCAAGAAAAATTACAGATATTTAACACTTAAAATTCCAAAGTCTAATTAATTTTTTCTTCTAGTTGTGGCACACTTTTCCTTAAGATAATCAATTTGTTTTTCCTTTATCAAGAAATTCTGTGGCTGTTGTCTTTCTCTGTCTTTTGAATTGCCATATTTTCAGGATAAATGGCTTCAAATGACATTCCTCTTTGGGTGTTTAAGGGTTCAGATGAATTTCATTGTCAAGGATAGCAGCAACAATAAGAATAACAGTAAGACACTGTGAAATGAATATGAGTTCTTATTTTGGTTAGACACATTACTGACACAACAAATTCCTTCCTCACCAGTTTTTGTATTACATACAGTAAGTTTTTCGAACCCAGGGTAGTCTCATTATCTGGATGATCAGACTGCATGAGCAAATGTTTCTATTACATTAGAAAGTTGGTTCTAATATACTTATCTTGCATCTGAAAGCCTTTAAGTGTTCAACATGACTCTTGAATTTTCAGAAATTTCCACAATTTTTTGGGTGCTATTTACTCACATTCTCCTCCATATTTATAGTCCTGGATTTCTTGTGCACCCTCACTGATGCTTATGTCAGTTGTTTCCTTAACATATGCTCATGCCTGCCACAAAAGCCAGGAATGAAAGCTCACAGCATTTAAATAAATCTATAGCTTATATATATATATATATATATATATATGAAAAAACAAACTCGAAAAAAAAATTTTTTGTGGTTTTCTCCTCTTTTTATGCTGATGTGTTACAGTTTGATATAACTACTTGCACCTTTGTACATAAATTTTATAACTCTTGTCCGGTTTGAAATCATCTAAAGACCTCACAAATGTCCCAATATTTTAAATTTAAAGGTCAGCATAATGCAAGAAATTTCATCATGAGGCCCAGGGGAACAAATCCCACAAACAGGATAGTTTGTTTTCCAAAGTCTTCAGTGCAACTAGGATGCTGTAACATCATCATAATATCAAATTGCTTTGTATACAAATAAATTGTGGTCACTTATTTTATTCCTGCAAGAATTGCATAAGTTGAAACCAATTTGAATTTTTGTGAACTTGTTGTTGCAATGAAATTGTGACAGAGAGATGAAGATTTCTCATTAGTTTTCTGTCACTCAAAGGAATTGTTGCTGTGACTTTTCTCTGGGTCGTTTCTTAGCTACTTGTTCCCTAGTCTTTATTGTCTCAGTTAAATGCTGGATTTAAGGATATACTGGTCAAATATAGACCATCTGTAGAATAATTTTTGGTGGAAGCTGGATATCAAATCTTTCTGGAAGGGTCAGTTGAAAAGCTTCCTGTAAAACTGCTGATGAAAATGCAATTTAAGTTGACATTAATAAATTCTTAGTCTATTGTTTCATAATAAGTAATTGGAAAAAAGGCAAAGTTTTCTGATGCCATCAAGTTGCAGATCCTTTCTTAATGTTAGTATTTAACTCTACTCGCCACTAGAATTTTCTGTGAAGGTGTCCTGTTCCTTGGAGCAGCTATGCTAATGGATAATAAAGTTTTGTGCTTTTGTACAACTATTTATAATGTAAATGATATTTCATATGAAAATATATTAATATATTATTCTCTGAATGTAGATCTCTTGTCTTTGTGTCAAGTTGGGAAAAGCAGATACAAATTTTCTTCATAAAACCGGAAAACACAAGACTTGTAGTTTGTCAAAAAAACCTTATCAAGTTTGTCCTACCTTTTCTATTTCTCTTCAGAAAACAACTCTCTAAGGCCAGTTTGGTTAAACTTGGGTTATGATAATCCGGGGTTGGAGTCATCTGATTTCAGCTCTGAAAGCTATAAAAGAACATTAAGTATAGAGAGATTATTCCATGGAACGTGCGCGCGAATGATTTTTATTCTCAAGTTGCGATACATCAAAAAGACGAACGAGTGAGTTCGGCCAACGCGTGGGTTTTTAGATGCAACGCAATGAGGGAATAAAAGTCGTTAGACTACTTTCCATAGTATGATGTTTTTATTTGATACATACTGAGATTTTTTCACATTTGAATTAACAGATTGGAAGCGAATTACTGCGAAAATATGTAGTTCATCCAATCAGAGAAACGAACGGTAGCAATTCACAGTGTCTATCCAAGTACACATAAAATAAAGTACTCTTCGTTTACAATATGATGATTGGATGCTCTAACAAGATTAGAGAAAATTATCCAAATAAAGGCTTTTGAACAAAGAACTTAACGAACCCGGATTAACTATTTAACCTGATTGTGCTAATCGGCCTTCGACTGAATTGGTTGAGCTGGTGTCCAATTATACCAGATCAGACAATAAAGATTGGAAAAAATCAATTTTTTAAAATTAAATTCAAGTCAATTTGGAATTTTTGTGCTGTTGTGGGCGGCTACGATCTTGGATTTTGTTGATAATCATCCGACCCTCGCTCGGATGACCTGAGTAGCCATAACTGCCCCCCCATTTTCTCCAGTCTTCTCTCGCCTGTCATTGAAGTTGTCACCATCGCACGTCACAACTTTACCGTGATCCCTAACGAGTGCAGGTCAAATGTGCGAGAATTCGGCCGGACCACATACCAGGACGCACTCAAAGCTTCGCTTTGACCCACTCGGTTGTCAACAAGTTCGCAGAGAAAGAGCGGATGCGACTAAAGGAGCTTGAATGAGGTGAGTAGATTAACGGCCGTTTCGTTTTTGATTGGTTTCGTCTACGACAAGTTTGAGAGTCTTAAGAGGTTTGTTAGTTTGCCGCCCTCGGTCAGTTGGTCAACATCTTATAGCTCGGTTCGCTATCAGTTTTAGGTTTAGTATGCTAACATTCCTTTCAATTCTTAAACATTTGATAGAAGTCTAAACCATGTTATATATTCGGAGTGCAGGCAATCGATTTCACCTCCTTTATTAAGCCAAGTTTTTAAATCGAAAGACGTGGTCACATGGCATTTGTTCATTTCAAACGTTGAGAGGAACATGCTGAGCCGAATGAAACGCTAGCTCGAATTCGGAATATCGCCTCAGAAACCTGAAGTTCGGACCAGATGGCCATAGTTTCGAGGTTCTGTCTCAATTTTTTTTTGGATAAGGCCGCATTGTCTTGTACCGTTAGATGGACTAACGCATGGAGTGTGGTGCGGTCACAGTGCATTTAAGTGCATTTAGGTGCATTTTCGGAGGCTGTTCCGGTTTTTTTCGTTTATTTGTTCGAGATTCTGACACTGAATTTTCGCCAATTAAGGGTGATAATGAAGTGCTTTTTATTACAAAGTTAAAGTATTTGTAAGTGCTGTAGCTGATATTAAACATTGTTTTACCTGATCACCCATGATGCACTTTGCGTCGTGAGGTTTGTTTATCCACGATTCCTGCGCGATCCCTCACGTTCTACCACTTCGAATCTACCGCAATTTATTCGTCTATTTTATGGTAGAGAGGGAGTTGTCTTGTTCCTGAAATATCTGCTACCATTTAATCCTTTAGCTCCACCAATCCTTTGAAATTGAGAGCTCTTATCTTCAACTCAATTGAAAATTGAAGATTGTTGAAAACAGTAATAATAATGATAGTAATAAGACCTAATAGTAGCAATGAAACTCTTATCCTAGGGAAACTCAACTAGCTATAAAACAGATACTTTCAAAATGAATAGTTAACTGAATAAAATGATCAAATATGACATACCTGTGTAAGGAAAATTACTTAATTTTTGTATGGGTAAGAGCATTCATAAATACCTCTGAAAATTTTAGTAATATTAAATGAATGTTTATATTTGTATAGCAATACTGAGAATATGATTGATATATATTAGTATTTGAATACAGATAAAATGTCTAAGGAAAATTATAGGGTGCGCTCTGGGCCCCAGCCATGCCAGTTAGGGTGCCCAGCCCTCAAAGTGGTTGCCTGAAAAAATAAATTTATAAAGTCTTCAGATATTAATAATTTATAATAATTTATTAGTTGTATAGCCCTATTTACATGTACAGATCAATAGTGCTTTACACTGAATAAAAATTAAAAACCTTATATATCTAAATAAAATTTACAATAGTAATGGTAGCTAAAAATATATAAGAATAAATTATTTTAATGTAATATATCTGAGTTAATGATTACTAAAAGCTTCATTAAACAGAAACGTTTTAATAGCTTTTTTAAATTTATCCAAACACTTAATCATTCTAATTTCATAAGGAAGTCTGTTCCATAAGTATGGTGCTGCTGCCTGAAAAGACTGAGCTCCAAATGTCTTCAGCATCTTACCCTTAGGGGGCTCTAAGTAAAGACCGTCATTAGATCGAAGACAATAAGAAGATTTTGATTTAATAGATATAAGGCTGTTAATATATGATGGAGCTAAATTATGAACCTCTTTAAAAGTAAGTAGAAGAATTTTAAATTTAATGCAAGCCTGGATAATTAACCTTTTCATTTTATTGTGAGTTTTCTCTCAGTCTTCTTTTTTTAGAAGTATGGTCTTCAAGAATTACTCACTGAATGTCTTTGCACATTTTTTTGCTATGATAGACTATATGTACAAATGCGCACTAACAAGGAAGTTTTGTGAAAACAAAACCATATAAAGTAATTGTATTAAAACTGTATTCAGAACATTCATTTGATTCTGAGCTCATCAACGTGAACAAGAAAACTTAAGGTTAATCAAGTGGCTATCACACAAATGACATTTTTCTGCATTCTATGACATAATACTACATATGTTTAACTACATTTATGGATGTGCATGTAGGTAAGTTTAAACAAATAGGTGATGTCTCAACTGAAACTGTCCAATAATCAAAATGTCCTCTAATAAATGTAAAACAGTTATGATTATGATACGGACAAAGCTTTAAGGATATTTTCTTCTATGAAGCCCAATGTCTTGCGTCAGGGTGGGTCTCAACCTTTTATTTTCCTTGAGGTCAAATGCATGAGGTTCGGAACCAGTGGACAGTCTTCTGAAGGAGGCCTGAGTCAAGAAATTCTTGAGGTCTTTGTGCTTTTGGGATGGATGATGTTTGATTGCAATCCTCAGGATGCTGTCCAAGTCACTTTGACTCATGTTTGACTGTGATTATGTCTCAACTTTATTCATGCTGTTAAATCCTCTTTCAACTTCGGTTGTTGACAATAGCCAAGTTATCCTTACAATAGTCTGCCAGCACTAGTACTTCTACATTCCCATACGTAGAAAGCTCAACTTGATCTGTTGGCCAGACATCTGGATCCAACACGGCAGCAGCTTCCAGCACAGGGCCGTTCTCTAAGAAACTGTACCTGTCTCCAAATTTTTCATTACATTGTCTAACACTTTCTGCTTTGTTGCCTTAAACTCTTCGAGATCACTATCTGCTGTAATAACGGGGATCTCTTTGAAAGACTCAGTTCCTTTTATTTCCTTCAAGAAATGTTGGAGTCTTAGCCCATTCATGTCCTCCATGCTTAGCAATCACATTTTGAAATTGGTTACTGATGCTTTGCCTGGGTAATAGTAGTGAAGTCAGCTTGGAACACTTTATCAAGGTGTGCTGCGGCCTCCATGATGTCCCAAGTCAGGTGCATAAGCAACAGGTCCTTCAAAGATGTAAGAAACTTCACAGAAAAAGTTGCTCTGCCCTGTCTTCTAGCTGATCCTACCCTGCCCTCTTTTGCATTTTGAAAATGTATCAAAAAAACTTTAAGTCCTATGAACAGGGTTGTCAAAGCAGTTTGTAGATGTGGAAGCCACCAAGCACCCAAAAAATTAAGTGGCCTTGAGACTTTCTTTGCAAGAGCTTGTGACAGGTCCCTCAACTCTCTGAGAGCTTTCAGGCTAAAATGGCAGTCTTTGTACAAACTCAAAAGTATTTTTTGGAGCTTATGAGATTTGTCATAGTGTTCTAATGACTTCACAACAGCAAGCTCTACTGTGTGAGTACCACACCAATATTTCTGAAAGTTCTGTGTTGATGGGTCTTGTTGACTTGTTTCTCCACATTTTTTATTACATTGTCTAACACTTTCTGCCTTGTTGCCTCAAACTCTTCGAGATCGCTATCTGCTCTAATGATGGGGATCTCTTTGAAAGACTCAGTTCCTTCCTTTTCCTTCAAGAAATGTTGGAGTCTTAACCCATTCATCTTCTCCATGCCTAGCAATCACATTTTGAAATTGGTTACTTATGCTTTGCCTAGGTAATAGTAGTGAAGTCAGCTTGGAACACTTTATCTAGGTGTGCTGCAGCCACCATGATGTCCCAAGTCGGGTGTATAAACAACAGGTCCTTCAAAGATGTAAGAAACTTCACAGAAAAAGTCGCTCTGCCCTGTCTTCCAGCTGATCCTATCCTGTCCTCTTTTGCATTTTGAAAATGTATCAAAAAACTTTAAGTCCTATGAACAAGGTTGTCAAGGTCCCTCAATTCTCTGAGAGCTTTCGTGCTATAATGGTATTCTTTGTGCAAACTTTAAAGTGTTTTTTGGAGCTTATGAAATTTGTCATTGTGTTCTAATGACTTCATAACGGCAAGCTTTACTATGTGAGCACCACACCAATATTTCTGAACGTTCTGTGTTGATGGGTCTTGTTGAAGAAGTCCCCAAATGCCATTTTGAGTACCAGTCATGACTGCACAACCATCACTTCTGAATGCAGCCAGCTTTTCCTTCCATTCACCTTTCTCTAGTCCTGTTACTTTTGTCATACAAGTGCTTCTAGTATCAGGGATATCAGAACCAGACCCTGACTTAGGTTCTTGAATCACTAGTTACAAATTCACTGGTCTGCCAAGTTCCCAGTTAAGATACCTCACAAACACAAGGATGACTTCTAAAATGCCAAAATCACTTCCACCATCAGCCATAACTGTAATTAAATTACTTTGTCTCAGCTTGGCTGCAACCTCCTCTTTCATCACATCACTGATGTGGCTCAAAAATTCACTGCAGGCACTTCTTGTTGTGTATGTTTTTTCTAAGGTCAGCTCCATTAATGTTTTGAAGTGTGCAGATAGTTTCAAAATCATAAAAAGGGCCTTTCAAGTGCTACAACAGTGAAGGCTGTCGAAGTCCTTTTAATATATCATCATTAGCACTCATTGACCTTGTGAAGAGGCTTGACAAGGGAAGTTTCTTCAGGCTTTTTGCATGCTTTCTTGGCTTTGAGGATACTAACATGAACTTGGCTTTTTTCGTGTTTCAAATTTTCCATCTTGAAAACTTTGGTTCCACTCTCCTTGGAAATGTTGGTATGGGATGATGACTGTGGGTTCTGGGAACACACATTACAGTAAATTTAGTAGACCTCATGATGGGGTAGTTGTACTTGGGGGTATAGGTAAACTACATCATCGTTCATCTGTGGATATACAACGGTGTTAACCAAGGAAACAAGTTATGCCAATTCCACTGAAACTTGCTTACTCTGGTGTCTTCATAGCAAGTGATCTTTGCAAAGCCTTGTGCTGGAGGAACTTTAGACTGAGAATAACTCCATGCAAACAAATTATCAAATTATGCCAACCAGAAAATGCAATAAATTTGCATAAACAAAGACTTTTTAAAAATAGCAATTTACACTGCGCAGATTGGAAAATGTTTAAAATAATAATGTAAATGATGCAAATGGAAAACTGAGATGATATTTCAGGAAATGGTACTAATATTTAGGACATTCCTGTCTCTTGTCAGAGATTATAGTGTTAGATATTTGTTTTAAAAATCACATGGGATGGAACTTCAGATTGGAGCGTGTGAGAGTAAACAAGCACATGTATCTGGTGTCAAAGGAACAAAGGAAATTTTAGCGATGCATTGTTAACACAATAAATGGACAACAGCATGTTGCACTTTTTTGCCCTCTTTTTTTTGCTGGGCGATCAGCAACTTTTTTTCAGTTGCCTGAATTGAAAAGTTAGTCACCTCTGGCAACCAGGTGCCTTTAGACCACAGGCCTGCTGTAGAAAAATCTATGTTCTTTACATTAAGGATCACTGTAACCCCAATTTCTCTGACAAACAAAGAAAATAGATACTTTCTCACTCCACATGGCAACAAAGTAATTTCAGATGTGTGTGCCTTTACAAAATCAGCCTCCTGGTGCTGATTCAAGCAATCAAGTTTAATTAATTTTCCCTTAAAGTAATTTTTTACTGGCAAAGTTTCTGGATTTTGGATTTAAGCAACATTTTCAGCACCCTCTCATTGCTGCAACAGCTAGTACTTGTTGGGAATACTTCCCTTTGAAACAGGTGGTAAACAGCTTGGAAAATTTAATAATTAGCCACTTTGCTGGCCAAGGGAGATAGCTAGCGTAGTTCAAGTTTTGAAAATCATTAGCTGAGCCTGCTTCAGCTTCTGAACCAAAAATCCTGATCTTGCTGTGCAGAGCATTGTGTGTAATGGTGTCCTTAAGGTGAGGGTGGCTGGACAGTATGGTCCACTTAGATGACTTTGTAATGCCTTACAAACTGCTGCTGTTGTGCTGTTGTTGGTTGATACCTACATTTTGGTAAAATTAAGAGGATGGTATTTTAGGGTTGAAAATGTTTGGTTGGTGAGGTGAAAGCGGAATATATTGCTACCTTTAGTCTTGGACAAATTATTAATATTAATATTGAATATTATCTTAACCCTCTCACCACCAGGCATTTGGTATGAAGAGCCTGGGACAGCAGGACATTTTGGGAATTGAACCCAAAATTGACTGGGTTGTTCTCAAATCAATTTTAGACCCAGAAGGAGACATTTGTTAAAAAATGAAATCCCACATATTCTTAATCTCTGATTGATTCTCTATCATTTTAAAATTCCATGGGTTATAGGATAGTTTGAAGTTGCAAAATTGCAAAACGCCTGATTATCACAGCATTTATTTGTGTAGGTTGGTATGATGCTCTTGTATGTATCATACCAATGCAAGATGTCAATAAAGAAAAACTTATCTGTCTTCAGTTATAATAAAATGTCAATAACATGACTTGTTGACTTCATTGTTCTCACTAAAAACAAAGTGAAAAGCATTTAACAATGTTAAAAGTTTAGTGCAGATAAAACAAAATGGCAGTTTGTACACAATCACCATGCATCTTCAAATATGTTATAAAAAGTTGCAAATAACTGCAAAATCCTTTGGAAAATATAACACTTAAGCTCAAAAACACTGTTTCTTGCTGAGTTTATTTAAACAAACTAGCCACAATCCTTGTTCTAGGAAAGGAAAAAAAAATTTAAGGAGTAACCCCCAAGTTCATTTCCAGTAATCAGTTTTGGTGTGATGGTTCACAAAGCAACTTTCATCAGGAAGGCCAATGCACAGGTAAACATTATACTGCCTATATTTTTAGTTGGTCTTCTGCCTCTTGAAAGTTTCCCCATTTTTCTTGGCCTTTGTGTATTTCTTCTCTCACAACACATCAATGACTATTCCCTTCACCCTTGATGGGTAAGTGTGGGCCCACATTTGCCAGACAATCTTCCGGGGGCATATTTTGTCTTTGCCTTTTGGCTGCCTTGTTTCTGGTAGGAGTGGTTCTCACAAGCTCTTGCTTAAACAATAGCATGCCTCTCTTTCGTTTGCCTTTACCATTGTGGGGAATTTTGTATCCCTCCAAGATGTAAACACTATGGATTGAGAGTAGCAGGAATTTGGTCCACATCACCCATGTACCTGTTGTAATCTGCTACAATTGGAGGTCTGTAGATTTTCTTGCTTTTCCATTGCCCTATGACTCTCACTCTTCTTCTAACTATACTAGGGTCGTCTGCTGCATTTCATTTCATTTCATTTTATTTTTTTTTAAACACGGTGAATTCATCAGCCTAAAAAATACATATCACATACGCTAGAATATTTAAAACTCAAACTATATACTATAACACTTAAAGCTGTTTTCCGTGAGTACCGTGCGTTAGACTTAAAGAATGTCATTGATCTTAAGTTTAAATACCCCCAGAGACTCTGTGTTCCTTATATCGCATGGTAGACTGTTCCATAATGTGGCGCCATTTTAGCTAAAGCTATGAGAGTTTTGCCTCCGAAGCATTAGGGTCAGAGTCTGAAGCTGTTCCTGTGTCAACCCAGTTAGGTACTTCAGGAGGAGCATGGATAGTGCTAAGGAAGAAAACATCTTTTCTATCCTTTCATCTGAAAGCTAACGTCTCATTACAACTCAGCCAGGCAGCTTGGCCCCTTGATCTCAACTGAACAGCTTTGAGTTCGTTGGTAGGGTACCATATTATCTTGATCTAGCTGTGCCTGCAGTTAGGATTCCTCAGGCCTTCAGAAGTCTGAAAAGTGTTGGACTTGTGTTAAAGTTGTCCATGTACAGGAGATGATTAGTTAGATACACATCCTGCATCAGTTCCATGACAATCTTTCCAGTTTTGCCAAGAGTTCCAGCAGCTGCATCATCTTTGTCAGCATAAATGATAACATTCTTGTAATATCTGCTTTTCACATCACAAAGAATAAAGAACTTAACCTCGAATTTAATGGGTTTGTCTGGCATTCACACCTTGATTGCGAATCTTTCCTCATAAAGTATCATAGCTTCATCAATAGAAACTTCCTGGCCATAGTTAAAGGGGTTCTACACTTGCCAACAATGAATGAGCTGACTTTCCCTATTTTGAACAGGTGGTTGTTTCTTTCATCCTCGGTGATCACATGCGGAAGGTCCATAAAGTAAAAAGTATTTCTTAAGTCAGAACAATCATTTTTGAGAAGAAAGCAGGTTTCTGATATTCGGGGTGTGAAAAATCTCTGTACTCCAGGTGGATAGAAAATACTGCTCATCCTGCAAAGTACCACCAAGCCATTAGAAATGATCAGGAAGGTTAGAAACACTTTCATTTCCTTGCTCGTGACTGCTTGCCAATGTCTTGCTTCTTTTACCTTAGCATTAGTGTTCATAATTTGAACAATTTTTTTAGATCAGTCCATTGTCAAAAACTAGCATTAAAAAGTTAATTGCTCTCCCAGAAGTGGTTGTCGAGAAGATTTACACAAAAACCTGCAAAATCATCTCAAACAGGTTTTCTAATTCATCATCACTGGCATTGGACAGGCTGTCAGAGTCTTTGAATTCATCAGAACTGCTGCTCTAATTAACGTCGTTGCTTCCAGAATACATTTTATCCTGATTTAAGAATGGTGACTGTGCGTACGAGGTTCTAAAAAGTAAAATATCTTACAAAACTCAAGTGAAACCATGTGCTTTTTATCAACTTCAAGCTCTAACCCTCCACGCATTATTGAAAGCTGATAGTGGTTTATTAGAGTTAAGCGCTTCATTTGGCCGGTTAAACAGCCATAAGGGAATGGAACATTTGCTGCCTGGCCAGAAAATCAACCATTGGTGGTGAAATGGTTAATAGTAGCAAGTTGTAGATTTCTTAATAATCTTAATAATTTTAATGTTATGACATTCCATTCATTGGTTAAATGATGAAAACTCTGCAAGTGTTCCCCATCATTACACTTCTGAACTCAACTACTCTGGATTGTGGGCTTCTTGATGGTTTACTTGTAAATTTCTTTATATTACATTTCTTACTGCATTTTGAGATTAATTGGTCATTTTTTTGGCTCTCTTGTTCGCCTGTTTACAAGTATGAATGATGAACAACATATGGTTATTTGGTTATCTCAGTTTTATCTTGGCCATTGAACACAAGGTGAGCACCTCAATCAATTCTGTCTAAAACTAGTTCTTATGACTGCACCGTTAGATTTAATGGTTAGTCAGTGTGCTCAGTAGAAATTTGACTGACCTGGGAAAACTTTATCAACCGGCTATATCCTTCCGTTTTCACGAGTTGCCCTGCAAACTTAACATAGATTACCATGAATCCTTAAATTCTTGACAGCTAAGTCAATGACTAACAATTTGTTTATGATATTGTAGCCAAACGGCTGGTGTTCCTTTGGAAACAACTGCCTCTTAATAAGGGTAAGTTGTTTGCACGCCATAATTACCGTACCAATTGAGACACCACTGCAGTGATTTTTCTTTTACTTTCTTTTATACACTCTGCAAATATGTCAAACTTGTGTGCAGAGCAAGTGGGGCACAACACTATTGATGGTGTATTTCTTCAATTTGGTTTTGCCTTGGGAAGTGGTTTTTGTAGTAAAGTAAAGATGAAGATAACCCCTGAAACCTCTGGTTTTAATAGCCTAACCTCTTATTAAGTAAAAACAGTGAGAACACGAATAAGCAAGTATAAAGGAATAAACGCAAAACAGCATCAATGTAGTAATAAACATGAAACTACTTACATTTGATTATGCAGTTCTCAAGCTTACATTGTGCAACATGTTAACAAAAGCAGTATGGAGCACATAGAGTTTGTGTTCTGTAATTAATGAATTACAACAATCTTTTCAGTCTTCCCTGTAGAGCCGCTATCTAGTTATTTCTATTTTGAGAAAATCCCCAATCACAGTGTATCATTTAGACATTGATTAGTACTAACCTCGATAGGATAGAGACAATCATTCGATGATACAGCATTTGGATTGTCTTGAGCAGATGCATCATGTGCTACATGTAATTTAGTTGATGTGGCACCTTGCATGATGGGCCTATGTGGAATGTTGAACTCAATACCCTTTAGTGGCTGGTCAAGTGGTTAACCAATCCCTTTCTGCTCATCAATGATCACACTGTAAGCTTGCTCCAACCCTGTTTGTTTCAACTTCTGCTTTGAACTTTCCAGTCAACAAATACTTCCCTTCTCATTTGAAGGTAGTGGTGGGTGCATGGTTGCCTTTCCTGGGTAGGGCTGCTTTGTGCTAACCCGATTCGCTGTGCTTTAATTGCTCACGTAATTCTTTTTACAATTCACTTTGGTGGTGTTGTGGTGTGTTGGTTAGTCCTAACTTTGAGAGTTCTCAATTATCTAACTGAGTTGTTTATATAAGAAGCATGTGTGAAGCATAAATCTCCTCTTCTGGAGAAAGAAAAACCCATCCAAAACATTATTGGGGAGGTAGCGGTACGAAGGCACTCCTCTCTGCCCAAATGAGGGTAGTTTCCTCATCCTAAACTGTATGGTTGACTGATCAGTCCTGGTATCCTTATGAGGGGTCAATGACCACAATCTTTGTAATTGGTCTCTGATACTCCGAGGTTGGCATTTCAACTTTGACGTTCCAAACATTGTCATTCCTTCCCGGGAATAATGATTATTTTGATAGTCTAGTTTCCACGAACAGAATTGGAATCCTCCACTATGACTACCTCATCCACTCACATAGGATACTTCTTAGCATTCCACTTCTTTCTTGGGACCAATGACGGAAACACACCTCAGGTCTAACGTCTCCAGAAGGTGTCCACTATTTACTGCACCAACTCGATTCTATGTCGGGGGTTCCTAGTCTCTCTGAACGGTCCATGTGACCCTGTTGATGAGGCTCGTCCGAGAAGCATGTTGTTGCAACACATATGAGCCGCCATCTGGGTTATTGGGAATTCTTCCAATGGGGTGTTGATTCATTATGCTGGCCACATCAGTAATTAGGTATATGATTTGAATGGTGTCAGTATTTGTTCACCAATTGCCTTCTTGTGGTCTGTCTTGGCACCCTTAATGAACGCTTCTGTGCAACCATTTTGATGAGGTGCTCCAGGTGTGGTGAACTGCCATTTCATTCCTTTCTCAGGGCTAAACTCTTAAAGCTCTATGATTCCATTCTTGGACCATCTCTCTGAGCTTGTGCTCTGTTCCTACAAGCTGAGAACCATTATTGCTCATAATCAGCACAGGTGTTCATCTGATGGTGAAGAATCGTCTTAGTGTCTGCATGAATTCTAAGGTTGAGTAGTCTACAGCTAACTCCAGGTGTACAGCTCGCGTGTTCATACAGGTTAAGACAACTCCTTAGTACTTGGCAGTTGTTTTTGCCTTGTCTTCACTTTGTCGGCTCCAGAGTAGTCACATACTGTGTAACAAAATGACGGTGTGAACGGTTCCAGGTGGTTTTTGGGCAAGTCCAACATGAGTTGTGATTCAGTTTTTGCTTCACTTTCTTGGTAGAGCATGCAGTAGAACTTTACAGACTTGGAAAATCATGAGCCCTTAGGATCCAAGACTTCATTCTGATCTTTGCCACTGCAGTAGCCACTCCAATGTGTCCGATCTGATGGTAGTGTTGAGTTATCAAAAGAGATATCCAGTGGTCTGGAGGGAGGACAGCTGGATGTTTGACCACTAACTCACTACTCCATCTTCATCCATAGATGGGCTTAGCTGTAACATCAGAGGATTGGGTGAGCTGACTGGCTTGAGCTTTAGGGCATTCCTTTACTATTTCATTTAGGTCAACAGTTGAATCCTCTTGAGGCCACTCCTCCTGGGGTAGGAAGAACTCTGGTCCTTGCTTCCATCAGCCATTTGGTTGCTTTTTTGGTATGCCACGAGAGGCATTATCAGTCTGGCTTTCAAGAGATGATGTCAGTACCTGTATGCGAGAAGGTTTCAAGAAGCTATACTCAAGTACTTGGGTGATCTTGGATTGTACTGAAATATTTCTCCAGACACCTACCTCTTTACTCTTGCAATCGCAGCTCTACTCGACTTATAAGAGTAATACAATCCTTAAAGAATTGATTGGAGTCGCTCCCAATGGAGCCATTAGTTTTGTTTCCAGTTTGTATACAGGGAGTATTAGTGATAAAGAAATCACAAGGTGTTGTAGGATTTTAGACCTTTGAGATTCTGGAGACTTGGTGATGGCTGATAAAGGATTTGACATCAATGTTTTACCAAGAGAGCCCAAGGTACAATTAACTATTCCTCCCTTTCTTGAAAGTTAAGGGAAATTTTCCCTCAAGATGTTCAAAAAACAAAAACTAATGCCAGCCTAGAATACATGTTGAACGGGCTATTGGATCTTGGGGTCAGAGAGTATCAATTTTTGATTCAGGTGTTCCATTATCTACGTTAGGTTCAGTAAATCAATTATTTTCTGTGGCCTGTCTTCATAAAAATTTGCAAGGACCACTGATTTTAACTGATAGTTAAAAGCAAAATGAATTAGCATAATATATGTAGTAGTTTTAAAGAAGCAGTGAAGATTGTTTAAAAGAAAAATTACATAACACTTAATGGAGGTCCATGACTGCCCAATTCATACAGTATAATTTTTCAGTGTAACAATACTGACTCTAAATTCAACTTATGTATATGTGTCATTCTACTGAGTCACCTTGGTTTATTAACTGCTAGAATGACAGCTTGTAATTTACCAGTTTTTATGCAAAAGGGGAATTGACTTCACAAATTATGATTGTTGTGTGCAGAAAATATTACATTCTAATATTGTATATTCTCTGTAGAACAAAATATTGAATCAAAAATAATTCTTGTGCAAAAAACAAGTTATCATCTATGTAACTAACGAAATCACACCAATCTAGTCCAGTGAGGCCTAGTTGACATTGAACTTGATAATAGTAAATATTGGGTTTTTTTAAAACATATACTGGTTTGTGGTGTTATCCCTGGTAAGATACCTAACATTATCAAATGACATCTCATCCTCTTTTTACAACTTTAATCTCTAGAAAACCAAAAGGGTTTTGATCATTGTTTACAGCATCAAAGTCATAGCGGAGCTCGCAGAGCGTAGCCCCATAATTATACAAAATGGTAGTAGTAACCCATCAAGCCGAAAAAATTTGGACTTATGACCGTACGGGTGTTCATACAAGGTGCTACTTTTAACATGTGTGGTCAACTGTACCGCGGGTACGCCAACGCCACGGCTTTGTCCAGTAGTCCAGCGATCAGTGCACTAGGCTCCGACGACCTGGGTGCTAGTCCTGGTTGGGGCAAGGCGTTGTGCCCTCGAGACGTGCGGGGAAAAAATGCGAGCTCTTCTTTTAGACTTGGCTAAATCTATATATTACACTTTTCTGTCTGGGCTCCATGCTAACCATGGGTACTTGGTACTGATGATCAATCCTGATGAGAAGAGATTAACTCTCCCTCCCCTTGCACTATTGGCATAAATCAT